TGTATTATGTATAGCGACGTCGTGTCGTCAGAGGCGCGGATATGAACTTGGACTTCTAAATTAAAAAGGTATGGCCAAGACGGCGGAAAGTCAGAAATAAAAGGACGAGGCCCCTGGGCGCAAATGAACCATTTGAAAATGATAAGGCGTCGATGTAAATAGAGGGTTCTGATTGGCTAGTCGCAGAGGGCATGATAAGAGCCTCTACCGTCCTTTCTAACCAACTTCACTCGACTCTCCGTACCACACGATATTCCATGGGATTATCGAAAAAGCATGTCACATAATGGCCACAGCCGATCTAGAATCTGTAAGCGAGAATTGATGCCAAGGTGGCGACGCCGTGGAAAAAGAACGAGTCGCTGACACCAGCCCTATAGATAAGAAGTGGGTCTTGATTGGTCCGTAGCGGACTTCATATCTACAGCCAGTGGCGAGGCGTGGATCGCGGTTAAGTCGCGTTGAATTCCATTATTTCCCTTCACTTGTCACTGAATTGTTCCCAATCACACTATCGTCGCGGAAGTATCCCCTGCTTATCGCTCAGACTATGTATGACCCTCCGAGATCACTCTCAGCCTAGATCCTAGTAGATCCAAGGTAGGACTGCAGGTTGGACATGGTACCTGGATACGAACTCTTGAGGAATTTGTAGAATCTGCAATGAGATCTAGCTGTCAAGGATAGGGGTTTTTCTTTATGCATCAATTGCATGAATGCAAAAGCATAAAGAACGAAGTGAGACCCCGTAATCCCCCGGTATACGGGTCCCATACGGGGGCCCTGGACCGCCCCCAATTCGATCTTATCCCGGACATGGCTGAATTAGGCTGGCTTGGCTCTGGCTATCAGTGGCATCCCATGAATCATAGTAGAAACCACTCTGACCATCGTCCGGTTCCCACTATCAGGAGGCCCTTTGATCCATGGGGCTTCTAGCGTTGGTGGGGATCAGTCGATTCCCGGCTGACTGCGTATTTCTCACTATTTAATTATCAAGGTGCGTCCCTGCAGTCTTGATACATCATTTCCCCTTCTCCTTTCCACCCAGGGTTATATCATCCTTTGGCCTATCCCTTCCCTCTTTCTAGCTTTTGGATCTGTGATCCTCCGCCCGGACATATTCTTGTCCTCCCCCAATTCGAGTCCTGAAAACGCGCTTGTGAAACAAGCCCCATTTTGGGTTGCAGTTTCACCATGTCCGAAAACACCGACAGCCCTTATTACGGCGTCGCCTATAATGGCACCAACTCCAACGGCGGCGACTCGCTCACCGAAAACTTGAACCTGTTCTATAATGTATGTTTGAGTCCACAACATCCACGACAGCTTTGTATCATGTTGACTAACAATCGATTGACAGGCGGGTGATATTGCCTGGGTCATTACATCGACGGCGCTAGTCTTACTCATGATTCCGGGTGTTGGGTATGGACACATATGACAAAAACAACTCACCACCACTCGCTAACCGCCAATTAGATTTTTCTACTCAGGTCTCGCTCGCCGCAAGTCCGCCCTCTCGCTGATATGGCTTTCCATCATGTCTGTCGGAGTCGTCTCATTTCAGTGGTTCTTCTGGGGCTACTCGCTAGCCTTCTCCCACTCCGCCGGAACATTCATCGGTGACCTGAGCAATTTTGGTTTGAAGGATGTGTTGGCTCAACCCTCTGTTGGCAGCACCAAGGTTCCCGATATCCTGTTCTGTGTTTTCCAAGGCATGTTCGCTGCTATTACCGTTGCTCTCGCTGCCGGTGCCGTCGCCGAACGAGGCCGTATGCTCCCTTGTGTCGTCTTCATGTTTGTCTGGACTACTGTCATCTACGATCCCATTGCCTGCTGGACCTGGAACTCATCGGGCTGGGTCTACAAACTCGGTGGCCTGGACTTTGCCGGTGGTACCCCTGTGCACATTGCCTCCGGCTCTGCGGCTCTCGCCTACTCCCTGATGCTAGGTAAGCGTCGTGGACACGGTACCCACGAGCTCAACTACCGCCCTCACAACGTTACTCACGTCGTCATCGGAACTGTCTTCCTCTGGGTTGGTTGGTTCGGCTTCAATGCCGGCTCTGCCCTGTCTGCCAACCTCCGCGCAGTCATGGCCGCTGTCGTGACCAACCTGGCTGCCTCCGTCGGTGGTGTCACCTGGTGTCTGCTTGACTACCGTCTGGAGCGCAAGTGGTCCACTGTCGGTTTCTGCTCCGGTGTTATTGCCGGTCTCGTTGCCATTACTCCCGGCTCCGGCTTCGTGACTCCCTGGGCTGCTTTCATCTTTGGTGTCGTCGGCGCTGTTGCTTGCAACTATGCTACCAAGCTGAAGTTCCTCCTCCGCGTTGATGACGCCCTTGATATCTTTGCTGTCCACGCGGTCGGTGGTCTTGTCGGCAACATCCTTACCGGTCTCTTTGCTGCGTAAGTCTCCTCCCTAGTAATGACCCTAACTATAGACTAACGTGTTCTTCAGTGACTACATTGCGCACCTTGACGGTGCCACTGTCATCCCCGGCGGCTGGATCAACCAAAACTACATCCAGCTGGGCTACCAGCTTGCCGACTCCTTCTCCGGCTTTGCCTACTCCTTCTTCGGAACTTGCATCATTCTCTTCATCATGAACCTCATTCCCGGCCTCAGCCTGCGTGCTCCCGAGGAGGATGAGATTATGGGTATTGACGATGCCGAGATTGGCGAGTTTGCCTACGATTACGTCGAGGTTACTCGTGACATTGTCAACGGCGTGGAGAGCAGCGAGACTGCCTCAAAGCGCACCATGACCCCCACTGGGGATAACTCCACTGCCATTGCCACCAAGGTCTAATTGTCTGGTGGTGTGGCCGCACACATTCTTTCATAATACTTTAATCTTCTTTCGGCGGCGATTTCTGTTGGAGTCATTATCTCTTTCATTTGGCATGACGGATACACCGCATGATTTTTATATTTCATTAGCATTTCTGATACCCTTTCAACTAAAAACGAAAATTTTCAAAAGCAAGTGTGTCCAAATCAACATGTAGAGCGTAGATCTTAAGAGTTGAAGAGAGCAGAAAGAAGAGTATGTCAGAGTGAGCCGAGAACGGGAGAGCGAACGGGGGACCCACGGGACCCGTGATGTGGGCTCAAGCCGAGCCACTGCAGAGCTTCTCGAAGCTCTCAGCTCCCCGCAACACCTCACCCTTGTGACTCGTTCTACAGACATAAAGACCCCTCATTACTTCTGTACTCTCCAACACCTCCCACGTACCTTCTTTCGTCCCAAATGCCCTCGCCCAGCGCCGAGAACGGCGGGGCCACGCCCAACTTCCCGACCGACCCGAACGATTTCGACAGCGACCCGCGCGTTTCCTTCTCGAAGCTGGACAACAAGTTTATCCTGGAGACTGAAGATGGTCAGGAGTTCGAGTGGGATGCTGCGATCAAGCGGTGGGTTCATCAGGTAAGGCTTTTGCGCCCTTATTGCGTTCTGCGATTCTCACTCCGCAGATTGCGCGAGCCCCTGGAGTCGCATATTTTCGAAACTCAGAGATCCGTATTGACATGGGAGTGGTAACAGGTTGACGAGGAACTCCTCAGACAACAACAAGAGGCCTACAAGGTCGCTGGCGTGGAAGACGACGAGCCACTGCACCCGCGAGATAGGAAGAAGCGGAAACAGCAGGCGAGCGGCGACGACGTACGTATCGCGACTGTGGCTACATGCGTATATGGTTCTTAATGCTGACTTCTACTGTCCTTCCCAGGCCGATGCACAGAAACCTAAGAAACAGCGAGTAAATACCGCGGTATTCGTCACTTCAATCCCGCTCGATGTCAAGTTCGATGAGATCCGGGACACGTTCTCGAAGTGCGGTGTCATTGCCGAGGAAATTGACAGCGGAAACCCTCGCATCAAGATGTACAATGACGACGATGGGAAATTTAAGGGCGAGGCGCTAATTGTCTACTTCCGACCCGAGTCGGTCAATCTCGCTATTCAGATGCTTGATGATTCTGATTTCCGGCTTGGCGAGCGCGGGCCAAATGGGTCTATGCGGGTGCAGGCTGCGGACTTCTCTTTCAAGAGTCAGAAGGATGCGCCGAAACAGTCTAATATGCGAGATAAGAAGAAGATTATTGAGCGGACGCAGCGGTTGAACAGGTGAGTCGGGTGGTAGGAGTTTTGTTGACTGTTGCTGATTTTCCTGCAGTAAACTTGCGGATTGGGATGATGACGATCCTTCTACACTTCCCGAGACGACTTCTCGTATGGAACGAGTCGTGATTTTGAAGCACATGTTTACCTTGCAGGAATTGGAGGTCCGTGACTACAAGCTGTTGGATTGGAAATGATGACTGACACCCAATTGCAGGAGGATGTCGCCGCCATTCTTGATATCAAACAGGATATCCGTGATGAGTGCTCCAAGATCGGTGAGGTCACCAACGTGGTGCTCTATGATAAGGAACCCGAAGGCGTGGTTAGTGTGAAATTTGTAGATCCCCAAGCTGCCCTGCAATGCGTCAAGAACATGGACGGTCGATACTTTGGTGGCACTCGTGTTGAAGCCTATGTATCCGAAGGACGCGAGAAGTTTAAGAAGACCAATGAGCGACGAGCGGCTCTGGAAGACATGGCGGAGCGGGGCATCGATGCTGAAGATGAAGAGGAAACCCAGCGACTCGATGAATTTGGAACATGGTTGGAGAGTTCCAAGAGGGCTGAGACGGAGACGAAGACGAAGACGAAGTAGAGAGAAGGAATTACCGCTGTACTATACTCAACAAAATGGTGTGTTTTGACTCCACTCAACGACCGGTGGTTCGCGCTGCTTAGCTGAGCGTGTCCCGTGAGCACACTAGACCCGAACAGGTAATGCCCCCCTGAACAGCAAAAGAAGTGTTGTTGATCCCCACGCACACACACCGCTCACCTCTCTTTCTCCTTTCCCATCTTCCTGACTCCGGTCAATCTCCTTGTTACTCTTTTTTTTCATCCTCCGTCACCGACGTCAACCTATCCAACATGCGTGAGATCGTAAGTTACCCCCCATTCCGACGCGTCTTATTGTCCTACCCCCTGAAGAACCCCACCTGTTCAGCCTGTGCTAACATTCTTTTGCTTGACGACAGGTCCACCTCCAGACCGGCCAGTGCGTAAGTACAGCGTCCAAATCGATTGAATTCCGTGGTCTATAGTGAGGGTCCAAGTAACTAAACGAGATCGTGGGGTGACAGGGTAACCAAATTGGTGCCGCCTTCTGGTACGTGCAGACCTGGACACATCCATCAATTGAAACTACGAGAGACCTTTTACTGACTTGATTCCAGGCAAACCATTGCTGGTGAGCATGGTCTTGACGGCGATGGCCAGTAAGTCGCCCAAAAAACCGTTCGACACGAACTAGCGGTCTGATGTTTTGATCTAGGTACGCTGGTGTTTCCGACCTCCAGCGCGAGCGCATGAACGTCTACTTCAACGAGGTATGTGCCGTCTATCTCACTCGACTAATCGGGTCTGATCGCACCAAATCTAATCATGATTTTTCTCACCTGCAGGCTAGCAACGACAAGTACGTTCCCCGTGCCGTTCTGGTCGACTTGGAGCCTGGTACCATGGACGCTGTCCGTGCCGGCCCCTTCGGCAAGCTCTTCCGTCCCGACAACTTCGTCTTCGGCCAGTCTGGTGCTGGTAACAACTGGGCCAAGGGTCACTACACTGAGGGTGCCGAGCTCGTCGACCAGGTCATCGATGTCGTCCGCCGCGAGGCTGAGGGCTGTGACTGCCTCCAGGGTTTCCAGATCACTCACTCCCTGGGTGGTGGTACCGGTGCCGGTATGGGTACCCTCCTGATCTCCAAGATCCGTGAGGAGTTCCCCGACCGCATGATGGCTACCTTCTCCGTTGTCCCCTCCCCCAAGGTTTCGGACACCGTCGTTGAGCCCTACAACGCTACTCTTTCCGTCCACCAGCTCGTTGAGCACTCCGACGAGACCTTCTGTATCGATAACGAGGTTTGTTTTCGCTCTCTTGAGTCTGGCATTTGCAATTGAGATGCTAATCCTCTTTCAGGCTCTGTACGACATTTGCATGCGTACCCTCAAGCTCAACCAGCCCTCGTACGGTGACCTGAACCACCTGGTTTCCGCTGTCATGTCCGGTGTCACCACCTCCCTCCGTTTCCCCGGTCAGCTCAACTCCGATCTCCGCAAGCTTGCCGTCAACATGGTTCCCTTCCCTCGCCTGCACTTCTTCATGGTCGGCTTCGCTCCCCTGACCAGCCGAAATGCCCGCGATTACCGCCAGGTCAGCGTCCCCGAGCTGACCCAGCAGATGTTCGACCCCAAGAACATGATGGCTGCCTCTGACTTCCGCAACGGCCGTTACCTCACCTGCTCCGCTCTCTTCCGCGGTAAGGTCTCCATGAAGGAGGTTGAGGACCAGATGCGTAACGTCCAGAACAAGAACCAGAGCTACTTCGTTGAGTGGATCCCCAACAACGTGCAGACCGCTCTCTGCTCCGTTCCCCCCCCGTGGCCTCCGCATGTCCTCCACCTTCGTCGGTAACTCCACCTCCATCCAGGAGCTGTTCAAGCGTGTCGGCGATCAGTTCAGTGCCATGTTCCGTCGCAAGGCTTTCTTGCACTGGTACACTGGTGAGGGTATGGACGAGATGGAGTTCACTGAGGCTGAGTCCAACATGAACGACCTTGTCTCCGAGTACCAGCAGTACCAGGAGGCCTCCATCGACGAGGAGGAGGAGTACATGGGTGAGGACATTGTCGACGAGGAGGAGGTCTAAATGTGAACCTATCTCCAACTATGATGAGATTTGCTCGCAGTAATACCCTTCTACATTCTCTACGCTTCGTGTGATCGGCTCGGGACTCCGAGCTCGGAATCTCGAACCCAAGTATTTTGTTTGAGCGCTCCTAATTTTCAAACTCCTTTATTCTGTCTCTATTTCCCCTGTCGCTTTTCGGCGGTCGCATGACTGCCGGGCCAGAATAGCACATATTGGAAAAAGAAATTGACGAAAAATTACGTCTTTACTTTTTACTCTCTGGTAGTTGATTCGGTAATTTGCATTAAAGCTCGGCTGTATAGAACATGTTCATTCAAGCTAAGACGGTATCACAATCTTTCGACCTCGACGCCTGCAAATAAAATCCGTCTGGCCACCTGCAAGGAACGGATGGATTAATGGAACGGACATTTCCCCGTCCGGAACTCCTTCAATTGCTCCATCATCTCCTCCAACTCCTTCTTTCCCTTCCCCTCGAAGTGCTTTGGCCCAACATCTGGTATAGTGTAACCAGAGGGATAGAACTTATCTCCCTCATCACCAGGAACAGGTCGACCCAGAGCCCAAGTCAACCAAGCCATCGGGCCCCAACGATTCCACAAAGTCGGCTTGACATAATAAGGCGCCGCCTCCCACTGCGTAAGAAAGAAGCGATTACTCTGATCCGGCTCCTCCGTGAACGAAATATACCGCAAGAAATAAGGCCTCGGAGGGACCAAATACCTCAAGAACAGCTTTCGAACCATAAGAAGACTCGAAAATAGCGCACTAAAGAACGCTGTCGGGGGATCATACCTGCCAAGTATCAAAATTAGCACATCCAACCACGCAGAATCAAACAAAAAACCCCCCCCCAGGGTGTACAAGGAAGGGGGGATAAACAACATACATCATAGCCCTTCTCAGCCTCTCATCCATCATAAACGAAACAAACTGCAGCCCAACCGGACATAACCACGCAGGCAACATATAAACCAAAATAGCAGTGGTCTGATCTGCCGTCTCCCGATTATTAACATCAGGGACCATAAATTCCCTCTCATATTCCAAACTCCACGTCTCAAGCTCCTCAAGCCACTGAATCCCATCTCGGAATCCCTGCCCAGACGGCAACGCATCGTAACTAACCCCCAATGCATCCCCTGCACTCTTCCAGAACGTGCCTATCGCACACCGCTCCAAGTCACTTAAACTTCGCCATTCGAAACGCTCGATGAACCGGATAGGTTCCAGCGCGAAGAGAGCTAGCGTGTACAGCATGTCTGGTTCGAGGATCTTGCCCGAAGCGCGGTATCCAGCGTGGAGGTAGCGCGTGCGTGCGAATGAGGTTATTGCGCGCGAGGAGGTCGGGCTGTTACCGACCATTTCTTGAACAAGGGTTGATGTGTCTGTGTAGCGTTTTAGAGCTGTGGCGGGGTTGGAGAATTGAGTGGTTTTTGTTAGGAGCTTTGAGATTGTAGGGATACCGTATGTCTAAATTTTCCAGATGTCAGTTAATCTTGCGAGTTCTTGAGGTTAGATTGGAGGTTAGCGTACTCGAAAGAGGGCGAATTGTAGGGACTTGATGAATATGAATGGAAATTCGAGCTGCGCTACTCCTTTTTGGATCTGGAAGGCTTCTTCGTCGGTCATGTTGGCCATGGATTCGCGGGTTGGGTAGTTGTATTTCTTTGGGAGATTGTTGACGCGCTGGTAGCGGAGGGTTCTTATGAGTAGGGGGTAGCCTAGTAGGAGGGCTAGGGCGTAGGGGAGCCATTGTGGTGAGGTGAGGATGGTCCTCGAGCCTGAGAGAGGTTCCGCAAAGGACGTGTTGTCCATGGCAAGGGTGTCTCGAGGGTCAGAACCCGGAGTGGTGTGAAATCAAAGCCAAAACAGCGCCACGAGTCTTATAAAGCGCCCTGCGGGGGTTTTGTGGAGGTTGAATCAGCTTACTCTGATTTGCCCCGCTCCCCATCACTTTATCTTTACTTTCTTTTCCTATCAACATCTTTCCCTTCTGTTTTCTGGATTCATCTTGTATTTGCGACTTATTTCTTTGAGATGATAGATTAGGCCTGTGCAGCCTTCATAGTACCTCCAAACACGCTAAACGCCCAAATGCCATCTTTACAGGTCTTGCTACTGACAACCATGGGAATGCTATGTACTCTGATCGGCACGGACCGCGCTGATCGTAGGCCGCGGACCGGGGCTGTCGGTTTCATATGCAACACCGCCAGCCGAATTACACTCACCGCAGGATCAACGCCCGATGTACCACAGTTCGACTGCACGCAAGGGTGGGAACGAGACGAGGGTGAACCCTGCCCCGAGCCATGTTCCGAGGTCTGCACCATGTGCCAGCTTGGCAACGGGCCCGCCGTAGTAAGATTGATCCTGAAATGAGAATTAGCTGAAGGTCTTACGCATAGCAATGAAGTGCAGAACTTACCATGCCGACAATGGCGCCGGCCCAGCCGATCGCGAAAGCCAGGCCGGCCGCAATCCCCATGGGCAGCTGCTGCGGGGTATTCCATGAAGACCAGTCATAACCACTGCGGCGGCGGAACAGGATATCCTCCATTAAAATAATACAAAAGAACATCATCACCCAGTATCCGATTAACGGCAGGAAGCTCTTGAACACATCATACAGCTGGTTGCGGCCACCCATAGCACAGCCGCAGTAGATGGCTGTGCTGAGGGTGACGAAGACTGGTCGTGGGACCTTGCGGAAGAAATCACCGAGCATTTGGAAATTCATGCTCATCGAGTAAGCGCCGGGCGTGTTGTTGGCCAGGAGCGCGAAAACGTTGATCACCGCGCAGAACTTGCCAAATCCTCCAAGGGAATCATATGCCATCATCAACAGATCTCCTGGGCTGTTGCCATACTTGGCTCTATACTCGGCGGAACTGGCCAGCGCTGTTCCGAGTCCAATTCCAATAAGAATGGTTATAGCCATAGCCTGGCCACATCCGAGGACCGTCACTGCAAAAGTGCGCCAGCGTTTGACGTGGGGCGGGTAGTAGACGTAGTAGTCTGCGGCGAGAGGTGCCCATGCCAGCCCGATAGACATACATAGAGAAAAGAAGGTAATGCGTTTGGCGTTGAGAACCCCCTGAGACATCTCGGTGTGAATGTTGAAGTCGAAGTGAGGTCCGGCTGAGCCTAGCATCACGCAGAGCACCATTAATTGTGGCAACCACGCAAACCTGAGATTGTTAGATGGGTCTGTGTCACGTTGGTTGGAAATTGCTTACCGTTCATAAACTGCGAAGATTTTCATGCCGAACATGGCCATCACCCAGCTTAAGCCGGCTACAATCACGATTCCAACCAGCACAGAGAGCTGCCCCCCAGAAACTCTGGACAGGATCTGACCTCCAACGACGCTGTTGACCATACAGTAGCCAAGATTGGTGAAGACATTCAATGCACAGCACACTTTACTAGGATAGTATCCCATATGGAAGCGTCCCACGATCTGTCGATTCGATTAGCACATGATGATAGCCATGGACGCGATACCGATTTTAGAATTTACCAAGGTGCGACATCCACTGATGGGTCCCCATGTGCTCACGTATCCCACTGTGCAAACCCCAAGGAGATTTCCAAATATAGCACAAAAAGCCGCGTCCTTGAAACTGAGGCCCAGCACAAACGTCCCCATCGATCCAACAATAATATTGTTTGTGGCGAGCGACATGCTAAACCACATGAGTAGCATGTGCAACGAAGTTGAAGCAGTGACCGGCTGTCGCTCTTCCAACGGCACTGGCTCGATACCGCGGGCCTCCCCACCTCCTTTCAGACCGGATATCAATCGCTGCCATGTCGACTTGGGCTTGGTATCAGGGAGCGGATCTTTGAGCTCACTAGTGGGCGTAGTCTCGAGCTCGAACTGGCTCTCGCTTTGCAGGGAAGGCGAGCCCTTCTCGAGATCCGACTTCATGGTCAATATACAAGGAGCGAGGTATGTGCAAGTATTGGTGTCGATCAGGAGAAGTGCTGTTGAATATCCGAGTCGAGAGCTGTATTAACCCGTTTAGATAATCCTCCGCAGTCGACTGGTCTGAACCTTGTGGAGAAATGTCGAGTCGTGTTGAGCACCTGAGCTGCATAGGGAGGCAGAGAGGTATGATACATATAGGGCAACGCGGAACAAATGTACCCAATTACGCCTCCACGGACCTGACATCACCCTGTCGCGGGAAACAAGTGCGTAACACCCGTAGCTCCCGAGGCAGGCATTCCTATGAATCAAGGATGAAGACCAGGTGGTCCGACCTGCGGGCCAATGACCAGACCGTGAACAATGCCCAGCGAAGTAACAACAATCTTGGGAGGGCACATGTTCATAGGTCTGGAGCGGGAATCTCGTCCCTCAGTGGGGAAAATATCCTTCTCAAAAGCATTACCAGATCCTCCTAGGCTATGATGGCGTTGATCGAGGGATAGGCCCTTATGACGGCGCCTTTGAAGAGCTATTCGCCTGTTTCACGGTCGTGCTCCTTTCTCGTGATCATCGACAGACTTCCCAATGGGGTATGTCGCATACCCTAAAGCTCCGACTATGCGCTGGTTGGAATGTTAGCCAAGCAAGGAGAAACTTTCTCCTAGCTTTCCTATACGGTTCTCCGATTCAAATATAGACACTATTAGAGGCTGGTCTGCTTGGGTAATCTTTCCAACCAACAGGATTCGCGAGAAATGTGAGGTTCTTCTTGGGGTGTTCGTGCTTAATGATTGGATTTGGACCCGGTAGGAAGGAAACCTAGGAAGAAAGGGGTAGCTTTGGCAACGAGGGTTCTCAACACTTTGCTTTACATCTTCATACTTTGGCTTGCGGCGCGAAGAAGGTTCTGCGACTTCGGTTTCCCTCGGCATTGGGGATCCGGGGTATTGGTGTTTCATGGGTTTGATTCGGATATAAAATTTAAGCTTTTCAGCCCCAGGTTACAGCTTACCCGTAGGACCAGGCAGGATATTACGCTCCAGCCATACTATCGAAGCTCCCGTATTTAATTTCGCGTTGTGCTTCAATTCTGGTATACGGCACGAACCCCCGAACAATGCCAATTACGTACTAGCAAACACCAGATCTCAAATGCACTCTTCCTGAAACCCCAAAGCCAAGCTTTCTCAAATCTCTCCATGCCCCACAGCCTGGGTAGCGACGCGTATCCCAAGGGGACCAAAGCTCCCAACCTCCAAGAACCCTCCTGCATGCTCGGCGATTCGCGGCCATCAGTCCGGGCCTATCGAGATGCCGAGGTGACCAACCAGGAAACCCCCGGGTGATCGACTGTCCATCCTTACATCGGCTTTTCTGAGGTCATGCATTAAACCCTAAAATCCGAAACTGTCGAACAGCACGGTCCCGAGTATGCTTGTCTGTTATGCATATCCTTGCGGCTCCACTTGTAAGCATCGGGGAGCTGAGAGTTGACAGATCTTATGACGAAACTTGATCCAGATCGCCTGTTTGACAAATGATCTAATGATCAGCGGGCTATTGAACTTACTGCCTTGTTTTGTATCTGAGTAGGGTAGTCCATGCCTTTATGGCTTCGTTGATGTATGCTTGTCTGTTAAGTGGGCTCCCTGGGTTGATCCACTTGACCTTGGCGGGTGACGCAACAGGGGAATATCTATGGACTATGAGGAGTAGCGACTTGTTGTCTTGTAGACCCGATCGGGTAGACAAGTCTCGCTTGAACAGCAATCTATAGGGAATATATATGAATGGTAAGGGGGATCATCCAATCCCCGGGGTTGGTCTGAAGCAGGTAATATTTCTCACATGGAAATAAAGTGATTTGCAATTTCATAAAGTACACAGGACGACACCCTCAAGGCTGCAAGGCAGTAAGTCAGGTTTTGTTGTAGGTGATGAATTCGGCGATATACACGCAGGGCCGTGATGACGGCCTAGTTTGGTCAGTAACAAAGAGGTCAAACTTGACCGCACTCTTTGATTGCTCAAGCGCTGGTCGATCATGTGGATTCTTTTCAGAAAAAGAAGCTACCATACAGCCCTTTAAGCACACAAAATTATCCCCAGGCCTCTTTCATGATATTGCATACATTGGAGGGTTAATGAGTATAGTGTGATCAGCAATATATCTGGTTCAACCGAACTATCTGATTTACCACACAACCATACAATAGCCTTTCCACATCTTAAACACCTCGGTAGATGCGCCTTCGATTCCTGTAATCCGTGAGAACCAGAAAGGGGTGCATTTCGGGCCCTTCAAGTCGGGCTAGGTTATGTCCGCGGAGGAAAGGTGTATGATCCACTATCAATCTGTGTTCCAATGCCCGATAAATGTTAATATCGGTATAGCACATGGCACAGAGAGAAGAAAAAGAAGAAAAAACGATTTTTGACGAGTTTAGGCTAAAGGATATTTAAGAGGCCTGTACCTTGGGGTTCAATATTGCAACGTGCACATTTGAACTCAACAACTCCCACGCTTCAACAACTCCTGTATAACCATCTCAACTTCTCGCCTTCGAGCACCAATCATTCTTCAAACACGTTCGATATCACCGACGTTACCAAATTGCCGCTCTTGATTGCTGGCTCTTCACCACCCATCCAAACCTGGCCCCCGTGACTACCCCATGAAACTCCAGCTCCAGGAACAAGCCACTGTCCCCGCCGGTTCAATGAAGACAATAAGAATGGATGTCCTCTCTCTTCTTCATTTATTAGAATCTCTCGCCCCGGTTCTCTTTCCCCCATCATCTCTCCTCTCTCCAGCTCTTTCTCCATTCCGTACCCGCATGCATTCTAGGTGCACTCCTTGCAATTAATCATGGAGCCCGAAGACCTGTCTTGGGACTCACTGAAGATTAAAAGCAACGCAGACAAAGATAGTACCAGACTTCTTCTCCTGAAGATGCTGGACGAGGCCGACCTGCTTACCCAGTCCACCAGTTCCCTCGCAGACAGGAAGCGCCTGGCAGATGAACTCAACTGTACCGTCCCACGCATGCCGGAAGGCATCAGAAAGGCTTTCACGAGCAACCCGAGTGACTGTATTGACTCACTGACAAAATTGGCCGTTTTCTGCAAACACAGCGACATCCACAAGGTTGAGTACTACGAGAAAACCGCATCACGCCTACTTCGCGACGAGTACTTCTACATCGTTGATATCGACAGCAACTTCAAGGGGCCATTCTTACTATCCGACCTTCTTCGCGACGAAGGCGGATTGTACAGCGACGGCACAATCGAAGAACGATTACTCGACTTCAACAAATTTCTGAAGTGCCTCTACAAGTGCGATTTCAATAGCTTCCGCCACGAGGTCAGTCTCTGGTACGCCGAGACCAGCAGCGACGGCATCTTCGAGAGCGTCGAGACAAATCCAGTTATTGACCATGCGTCCTGGATCTCGGCCATGATCGAGGAACAGAATGCATTACAAAATGTTCCCGTGCCCTTTGAGTTCCATATCACCGACCCGAATGGGTGTTCATGTGCCTATGACTGTGACTGTGGCTGGGCGTCTGATGCTGACTCCATGGTACGTGACTAGGCCAAATGTTCTATGCAGTCCGAAAGTCTAACCGCTCTACAGGCCTTGAGTGATGACACTCTTGTCTGGCCATATTGAAAAAAAACTCACTACTTACCAGCCGTGGACACGAGGCTCAGCGTGCCTTTTTGTTTATAACAGGAAGGTTGAGAGATAGTCGTCGGAGAAGACAGATGAGTGCAAGGCTGCACAGAGAGACATACATGATTGTTACGACCCATGGACTTATGAGTAGTGCAGATCTCGATGGAAATACACACGAAGATTCTATCATTCATATGCACTAGTTGAGTATTGGAGCATAGATGCTGACTTGGTCATCGGGCAGCAGCATCCAAGTGGCTGTCAAGTCAGCCATAAGTAGCAACCTAGTCAACCTCCAAATCTGCCCAGCTTACCAATGCGCCTCACAAGATTCGAAACTACAGATCGTACCTTGACGAGTTTAATCAAGGACCTCTTATGGAGACCGGGCAGGAATGCTGTGTAACGTGACCAACAAACCTACCATGGTGAATCTGCCACACGACATTCCATTGCTCTAACCACAAACAACAGAGACCATTGGTACCGTACACCATGAGAACCTATGCCATACTAGGTGGCACAGGCTCAACCGGTTCAAGCATAATCAACCAACTCCTCCAAGACGAAGATGTCCATATAAACGTTTACGCCCGATCCGCCAAAAGACTCTCGGAAAAAGTACCCGACCTCTCCTCAAACCCACGCGCCAAGTTATATATCGGGTCACTCGATGACATCGAGCTACTAGCCAATTGCCTCGAAGGTGTCGACGCAGCCTTCTTCACAGTAGCAACAAATTTCAACATACCAGACTGCTCAATAGCCCAACAAACGGCACATTCAGCCGTATCAGCACTAGAAATAGTGCGATCACGCATCACCAAGCGTAATGGCAAGACTAAACGCAGCTGGGTATGCCCATCTCTGATCTTCCTCTCTTCTGCCGGAACCAACCCCGAATTGATGGCGCAACAGTCGTGGGCCTTCAACTTTGCAGTCTCAAGAGGGTGTTATTGGATTTACCGTGATCTCTCCCTGGCGGCGGATTATCTGCGGAGTCATGATTGGCTTCCACTGATCTTTATTCAGCCTAATGCATTGGTGCATCATTGTGCTTTTGGTGTGAGGTTGGATGAAGAAGAGGCGAGCTCGAGATGTTCCTATGCGGACCTTGCTAATGCTATGGTTCTTGCTGCTGAAGGGAAGCTAGAATCCGGGGATTTAAAAGGAGAGAAGAGTCGATGGATTGGGAAGTGTGTTGGAGTTAGTAGTCTTGGTGGTGGGAAGGTGAAGGTTGCAACTGAGAATCTCAATTATGTTATTCCTGGGTTCGTGGGATACTTCTCGCCAGCTCTATGGAATATGTGCAAGAGTATAGGGCTATGGTGAATGCTGCACCAACTTTAAACTGTATTCTAGCTTCCCGTGCCATCCTTACTGAAACCTCGTCGCCATCAACGGATCAGTATTCTCTCCTCGTCCCCGAATCCAAATATCCACAATCTTCGACGCCGACGGATCCTCATCCGAGTCAACAACAAAGTACCAACCATAATACGCACCTGTCACGCATGCATGATTCGGAAACACCTTGACAACCTGCCCAATCTCTAACGGGATATCCCCTTCCTTCCCACCCTCCCACGCAACAATCGCATGCTCCTGACTGATCCTCTCAACAACCAGCCTATCCTTATTCTTCAAGCCCCAGTCAGAAAGCACTCCCCACCCCGAATAACTAGGACACGGCTCCCTTCCCAACGCCAAAGTCCCCGCCGCAAGCAACACCTCAGCCCTCTCTCTCTCTCCATCATTATAGATACTACAAACCTCAGCTACCACGCAAAGCGCAATCTCCTCCTCCAGCCTCCCCGCCCCAATCCTCGCGTTCGTAGAAACTTGCTGCATATCCAAAACCGGATAATTGCCCGCATGCAACTCAAGTTTCACCTTCGCTCCCTCACACGGATCCCTCAGTAACGCCATCAACTCCTTCGCTTTGGGCGATGTCGCTCCCGAAACAAGATTATTCGAGCTTGCAACCTGTGGCGTCGCGCCAACGCTGATAACCAATTCTCGCTTCGGGAGGAGAGGGAGCCACCTGTTCAGCGCATCTTTGCATCCCTGGATCTCGGAGATCAAATGTCCCATAGCTTGCTCGGCTGTAGTGGCGCTGTAGCTGAGACTACTATGCGAATAGAGGCCTAGTAAATGCGCAGAGCCTGTTTCTTCGGCTAAGGCTAGTTTCTCAAGAAGCCCGTTCTTATTCAGAGATACAGGCGGGACGCCGGCACGGTGGTAGCCTGTGTCTACTTTGATGAAGACACAAGCGGGAAATCCCGCAATAGAGGTGAAGTTAGTGAGGAAGGGGACTTGATCTGGGTGGTCGATCATGACTGAGATGCTGTCTGGACCTAGGTCTTTTGCTAAGTTGGCGAGATTGGCGACTTTTGATGGGACGAGGGGGATGCCATAGAGGATGTTGATGCGTTGGCCCTTTGATTGGAGAGCTTTTAGGAGGCCGGTTAGACTTTCGATTTCGAGAAGTGTTGAGGCGATGAAGTTTGCTGTGGGTGCGGTGTCGTCGACTTGCATTGCGGCGAGTTCGAGAGTCTGGGGGTCTTAGATTGAGACTGGACATCTGTATTTATGGGATTTTGTAGGGGTAGCTCACCTTGTGTGTTTTCACATGGGCTCTGAATCCAACGTTGAGGGCTTTGATGGTGTTCTTCATTCGTTGGCAATGCCGGCGGATGATGGCTCGGTCGAGCACTGCGGCGGGCTTGGGGACATCGGTCATGTCTTTGCCAACCCAGAATTGGGCGAGATCTGTCTTGGATGGAAGTGTGATGGCTGCCATTTTGGAATTTTGTTCTCACTGTGTGATTCAAGTCAACAAGGAATCTGGACAGAGAGACTTTATATGCCCCGCGCCACCTTCGGGTGCCAGCTCGATGAGGCATGTGGGGCGTGTTGAGGCTGATCTTTTTACCGACACTTTCTAGACTCTTTCTAAGGTAGAATTTCTTGGATGTTACTTGATGATGTCGAAAAGGTATCAATTGGTATCGGAAGTGCTAGTAAAGACAAAGAAAAGGCCGGCTACCATTAGTCCAGTGTACGCCGAAGATGAAACAAAAATCACCCAGCCCCAAGAATGCTAGACGAATGCAAAGTCTATGTGTTTTTCCAAGAGCAATGGGTCAATAGTTCGCAACAGTAAAAGACAAAAGGGATTAAATCGATGCCCGACAATGGGTGGAAACGGAAATACAAAGATGTGGTAGGCCGAGGGGAATCAAGAAGACTGGAACGCCGTTCCCAAGTATGCGTTTTTTTGGGGGAGGTTGAGGAAATGCAAGGTGCGTCTGAGGAGGGCCAGGTTGTATATTTAGACCTGGGAGTGACTCATGCTCGACCGAGATCGTTGAGACAATGACCGGCGGCCACGACTGGACGGGGTCCGCTCTGAGAGTGCTGAGGGAGCGTGTTCGAAGAAGGGGGTAAGGTCTGGGTTCTGGCTCGGAGGATGCTTTGAACCATGGTCGTATTCATTTACCACACGGTCATCGGCCGCAGTATCAGGATGAATTTCAATGCCCTGCTGTCGGTCTAGGCCGCCAAAGGGCCCACCGGTCGTGGCGAAGGCGATAGAGTCGGCCTCGTCATGACCCCGCTCGATAGGAGACCATCCGGCAATACTGCCGGCCACGATACCAGCCATGGCAGCGGCGGGCCCGAACGTTGAGTTGGAACGTGACCGTGTGTTGCGGCGAGAGCGTGACTCCGGAGTTGGCGGCTGGGGTGTTGGGCTTCTGCTGCCATTGCCATTCTCCTCGTTGGGTGTAGGCGGAACGGAAGATTCGCGCGAGCGAGAGCCGCTACGAGACCGTGGGAGGAATTCCTGCGGGTGCTGCAGCTTGTGACGGATGTGCTTCAATCGTCCGCCGCGGACGGCCTTGATGAATTGCAGTTGGTCGCGAATCTCCTCCAAAGCAGGGTTCCACTCGAAGCGGCGATCTTCATCAGAGACAACAAGTTCGGGCGAATCTTTCTTGTCGCGGTGCCAGAAGTGGGGAACGAGCTTGCTAATAAATTCGTCGGGAATGAGACGGATGATCACAGCGATCGGAATGGAAAGAGCACCCAGAACAAGACTGACAGCCCACTGAGAGCCCTGGTCAAGGCGCTTCACAGAGAATGCCTGGCCACCAACAAAGATGATCAAGACTTGACCTCCAACGATGATAAGTTGGATGCCGATGAACCATTTGTTGCGCCAGATGCCTTCCATGATGTTGAGCTTGTTGTCGATCCGGCGAGAGTTATACTGGTTGAAGATCTGCATGAAGACGAAGGTGTTGAAGACCACGGTCTGCATGTGCTCTTCACTCCAAGATGTGAAAATAGAGTGGCCGGCAAAGTTGAGAACAAAGGTCACGACAAGCTGATAGATAGACTGTCCGATGATCATCTTCCACATAGTGAGAGTGATCAGCGGCGACGCTTTGGATTCAGGTCGGCGGTCAAGAACGTAGGGCGAAGGAGGGTCGGTTGCCAGTGCAAGAGCAGCGAAGGTATCCATGATGAGATTGACCCACAGCAGCTGGACAGCACTAAGAACTGAGTCTTCAGTGCTACTGGCAACCGCAGAGACAAAGGTAAGAACCACAGCAGTGATGTTGACAGTGATTTGGAATTGAAGGAACTTCTTCACCGCATCACTGACAGTGCGACCCCAAGCCATGGCCTTCACAATAGATGCGAAATTATCGTCCATCAAAATGATATCAGATGCCTCCTTGGCCACTTCAGTACCGGTAACACCCATCGCAAAACCGACATCAGCATTCTTGAGAGCTTGGGCATCGTTGGTACCATCACCAGTCACAGCGACAGTCTCTCCGAGCTTTTTGAGCTGGTTGACAAGGATCTTCTTATCCTCGGGACTCGATCGGGCAATCACCTGAAGTCTCGGGATAATCTGGTTCATTTGACGGGTACTCAACTTGCGGAACTTGGGACCTTCAATAGCAATGCCACCGGGGGTGTAGATACCACATTCCTCAGCAATAGCCTTAGCTGTCAAGATGTTGTCACCGGTAACCATACGGACGAAGACACCAGCGCGCTGGCAGGTGTGAACCGCCTCTGCAACACCTTGTCGAACAGGATCCTGAATACCAAAAATTCCGAGAAGTGTCATGTCCTTGAAAATTGGCTCAAAGACAGCCATGTTGCGGTCGGATTCCGAGGTAGGTGCACCTCGAGGTGGCCATTGTTCAAAGTCGCGGTAAACGAGGGCAATGCAACGCAGCGAGCGCGATGCATAGGCAGTAATAGTATTGTCAAGAGTAGATCGGTTGTCGTCAGACATCGGGTCCTCTGAAAGTTCACCAGTGGGATCGTGCACGATGCGTGTCGACTTTTTCATCAGGATTTCCGCAGCACCCTTGACTAGCATCCGATATTTCCCATTCTTCATCTGGATGACAACAGCCATGCATTTGCGGCCCGAATCAAAGGGGAACATCTGTGCAAGCTTCGCATTTGCCCTCTCTTCGGCCGGCGGCCCCATGCCAAGGTATTCGCGTGCGAAAGACAAAAGAGCAGTTTCTGTCTTGGATCCAATAAAAGTCTTCACACCATCGGACTCGCCCTCGAACGCAGTTGAGTTCAGAGTAATCGACTTAAGCAGGACATCTTTGACAGAGGGCGAGAGAGTGGACACAAACTCCGAAGCGGAGACACCTCCAGAGTTAGAGCCAGACGTCTTATCGCCGAAGCGAGAACTAGTTCCTAGCGTAGCTGCGACAGCGCTCATTTTGTTTTCGGTAAGAGTTCCTGTTTTATCGGAGCAGATTGTCGTGGCATTACCCATGGTCTCACAAGCCTTTAAGAAACGAACCAAGTTGTTATCCTTGATCATCCGTGTTGTTGCAAACGCGAGGGCGAGTGTAACTGCTAGTGGCAATCCTTCGGGGACCGCAACGACGACAATAGTAACAGCAACGATGAAGATCTGCAAGAAAGCCTGTCCCTTTCCGTCCGCACCGCCATCGATATCCTTGAGACGAACAAGGAATTTGATAAAGCACACCACAAACAATAGCAATCCTGATGCAAGACCAAGCTTCGCGATGTACTCAGCCAGTTTGTTCAGCTTAGTCTGCAATGGGGTGGTTTCGCCCTCCTCCTGGAGAGACATCATTGTCCGACCGTGAGTAGAATGGACACCAGTGGCAGTGACCAAAAAAGTTCCGACACCTTCCGACACCTTCGCACCGGAAATGATGAACGGATCCATTTTCTTGAGATCTTCATGTTGCTCGATCGTCCGGTAGACATCATTACCGGGGGTTTTACGAAGGACATCGGATTCACCAGTGGCGGAGGATTCGTCGCATTTCACATCGTGGCCTTCGATCAAGATTCCATCAACAGGGACCATGTCACCGGGCTCCAGATGCATCACATCTCCGACAACCAGATCGTGGATCGAGATTTCCACCGTATTGCCGGATCGCACCACCTTGACAAGCCTGTTCTCCTTCTTCTTATTAAGTTTTGCGAATTGCCTTTCTTTTTGCCAGTCGTTCGCCGCACCGACGACAACCACGATGATGATAGCAATGAGAATTGCAAGACCCTCCACCCATTCCACACCAGGTTCGTTCGGATTTGCAGGATGCAAGGACTGTGGAATACCGACGGCGAGCGAGACCACGGCTGCAATCGTAAGCAAAATGAGGACCTTGTCGTTGTATGCAATCCAAGCCAGTTCCCAAATCGTCTTGAGCTTCCGTTCTGGCAGTTTGTTGGTCCCGTATATGCGTCTCCGGTCGACATAGTCATCTCCGGCGTTTGATGCTGTTTCGCTGCCCAAAGGCCGCTCCGGCGGTGGACCCGTCGGAGAAGCTGTCTTGGGCAAGGACTCTGATCCAACCACCTCCTCGAAGCTAACAGCTCCATCCAGCGTAGATTCATCCGCACTCAGACCACTCTGGGCGTCTGTACGAAGTCCCTTTTCCAATCCTCGTAGTCCACCCAGTGCACGAAAGGCAGCGAAGCTTTTCGGGTTGAGGAGCTTGTTCAGCTGACCTGGGGAGAAAGCAAACTTGTTGTTCTCCACCTCGAACTCGGACTCTCGACCGGGATCGGGGTTCAACGCGTCTTCGTCATCGAAGTTGTGATTATTCGACAAGTCGGAATGAGATCCGTTAGAGGTGGGCACGAAGGTATCACCACCGTAGGTGCTCGATGTTTGGCTGGTATCCTCGGACTCCAATGAATTACCGCGGGAACGTGCTCCTGGCACGGAGAGGAAGTTGGAGTGTGTTTCGGGAAGCTTGGACTTGGGGGATGACACATTGTGAGGCGATGTCGGGCGGTCATCTCGAGCGTCATAGGAGGCATTGGAGCTAATGATTGAGGCAGGCGACCGCATTTCGGTTGGGGAGACATCGCTTCCATTCCTGTGATGCCAGCCCGTGGTGGTTTCCAGGTTACTCGTGTTGAGCTGGAGCGAGGGCTGGCCAGAGACCTGAACAGGGGGGTTCTCGTCGGGGGAGTTTACCGCAGACGTATCGATGGTGATCGTGGGCGCTCGTTCCCTGCGCAGCGGCGTGGAAGGCTGCTGAGCCGGCTCATCTCGCGACTCGGACATGGTGAAGGGTGATCGCAACGGAGCGCCGTTCACGCGAGCGGCACACCCAGAAGAGTTGTTAAGCTTAGCATGGGGATAAATCCGGGGGGTGTCCAGATGGATCCGAATACAAAGCGTGGAGTATGCAGAGTTGTAAGGGGAGGAAGTCAAGGGGAGGGAAGGAGTTCCGCATTCATCGAAACGTACAGTATCCCATCACACGCCACTGAAATGGCTATGACAGACGACAAAACCCCCTTGGATAGATCCACTACGGTCTCGACTTATTGTCTTGATTAATCGATTTCCCATTTGGTTTGCTATGTATCCGCTCCACGGGTTCCACCTTTAGCACAGCCCCAGTGGGGAACGTTGTTTTTTTCCATGTCGCTTCGCGCTACGTTAAAGTAGAGAGGGGGAAGGATGTGGGCGCACAAAACACTTAGCACATAGTACACAGCACACAGCATAAAGGCCAATGCTAGTGAGAAACAGGGATGAAGGACAGTCAAACCTGGTAACGTGCCGTAAATGGACAGGCGAAGCGCCCCGGCTTTGCACTGCCTCATTCTGCCAAGAACAGGCCCGGGGCCCCAAGCGAATAGGATTGGCAAATAGGGGCCAGCGGGATTGAACTTTGTTGAGCATGGAGTGACGTCTCCCTCATCTGCTAATGCTATGCTGTCCCGGCGAGGTTAATCAGGAGTTGATGCCCGATCGAGGGTTAGCGGTCTGCCATGGCTCCTCTCTCTTCGAGCTCGAGCTCGAGCTCGAGATTCTATAGTGGCCCGCTATTTGATGCCCTAGCATTCCATTCCGGCCTGCAGCCACATCAATATATGGCTCTAGCTTCAGTCTCGCACATGGGGTATGAACCCCTTTTCAAATCTATGAATCATTGATCGGGATCTTCGGAGACGGCTATGAGACTTCTCCATCATCCTAGGATCAGCAGCTACTGTACAACCTGTTCTGTGTGACAGTCTAAGCCGCTAAGCCGCCCTGAGCAACGATCAGGGATCCAAAGCATCTGGTCTGCCCAATCGGCTTTGCTATGACCACTCCATTCCGCCAATAATTCACTGTATGTTAGGCGGCGTTGTAGGCCAATGGATCTCACCAAGTGGGAATTCCACTTAGCATAAATACAAACTACGCTCTAATTCTCTAGGCCCGACCCATTGTAATCGTAGTCTGTGTTGTGGCTCCAGTAGTGCTGATTAGCGTGGTGATGGCAGTGCTGATACAGACCGCGCGGGTGGCGTGGCGTCTGCGGAGATTGGCGGAAAACCGAGGCCGTACTTCGAGATAGAACTGCGGGATTTACTTCCTTCTTAGTCCTGGAAGAGAATGCTTCGTAGGCTAGAACGGCTGTCGCTCGTAGGTATGACTTTCACGCATGCCAAGCCCATTCAGCTAGGTTGGTGACATTCTTTCTCCAATTTCATATCTTTTTTTACTCTCGGGAGGAATTGAAAATCGGCCCCCAAATCAGCGTCTATTTACACCAATTAATCGGAAAAACAACTGAGAGGGCGGTAGATATGTCTATCTAAACTTGCGCTGGCGGTTATCGATTGTCAACCTATGATGATTTCTTGGTTTCTACTTGATTGCCCCAGCGGATGAAATCGTGATCAAGTTCGCAGTGACCTACATTTACGGATCAGATATCATAACTTGGATCGCAGAAGAGAATGAATCGAGGGCTGAAGCTGACACACTCCCTTTCACCCATACTTTCCTTCGTCACGATGGCTTTGTGCAGCCTAAACAAGACAGTGCACGCCTTGTCGCGGCGCATACCCGGCACGCGAATGGTCGACGAAACCAAAATCGGAATCGGAGGTGTACTGCATTAGCTGCATCAGATTCGAAAATTCACCGTATAAGAGCACGAGTACCAGTAGCCGCGCCATAATCACAGCGTCTTCTAATTCTCCGCGGATAGTAATACTCCGTCCCATCTTCTCCCATCACACGTAACCCACAACCCAGCAGAACACCCAAAGTAAAAAACCAGTACATTGCTACTCCCCAGCAAAGAAATATCCCTCAGCCTCGAATATGCCAAGCAAGTGCGATCCCACCACTACGGCATAGCTCTCTACACAGCCCAATCTTCAACCCAGACATGTTCGGGTACTTCAACGCCAACAGCGACTAGAACCCCATAATCGACCTCTCAAAGTCACCATCCACCGAACCCACATCATCCACTCTGCTCCCACCACCAGATCGTCAAAATTGCTGTTCAAACCTAGGCACGCGCACGCGCACACGCGGCCGCAAATTCTCTGTTTCGACGTCGGAGTATCACAGGTTGTCCTCCTAAGCACAACAGGTGTCCCATTAAGTCTAGGCACATGCTACAGATTCGAAAGCGTAGGTTCGACTGGGGCAGTGCTTATCACTAGCGTGCCGGTTGTGCATGGGTGAATTTATCACGAGATGCCGTTTAAGCGGTGGGGGGTGGATAATGCGGAAGTGTTGTTGAGGGATAGGACGAAGTTAAAGAATTTTGATTGGTGGTGGAGTACTCGTATTTGGAGAGCGGAGAGGGCTATTAATCGTTAAAAGGATAGGACGAGGGCTGTGAATGTTGGGTTTAAGATGGGATTTGTTGAGATTGGTGAGGTTGCGCCAAAGGTGGAGGGTTGGATAAGGGTTAAAGGGAAGGGGCATATTTTTGATACTAGGATTGGCGTTGTTGTATTGTATTCAAGGAAAGGATTTGTGCTAACTTTCGACGTAAAGTGATGATTCAAGGAGGGCTTAGGTTCAAATATAGGCCTGTGATTGGGGTGAGCGGAATGGGAACAAAGCTTTGACATGAAAGAGAATTGACGGCCCCAATAGGATCTCGGGTCGCAAACTACACGTACCACGGTGTCGTGGTGATGAGGAAAAGAAAGAGACTGTGGACGTCTCGGTGCAAGGGCACGAGTATTGACATCTCGTTGGGCAGTGCGTCGCTGGCTACGTATGTATCCGCAACCTAGGAGGCTGTTGATGTAGGACGGCATGGTCCACTCCAGGACGGTGTAGCCAGGCCTCTTCTTCAGGCACCTGCGGCGTAAAGATAAAGTGCAACGATTCGACTCGTGGTGATCCACCATGATCGGGGTAGCTCACCTCGTTCTAATAGTGATTTGAGGAATTCAAGGTGCTGCAGTATTGGCTCGGCGATAGCATCCCAGAGCCATTCGAGGACCTGCTCAATTTGCTGGGTAGCAGCTGGGAAATGGGTGTCCAAAAGGCGTAGGGCTTCATACTACCATTCTCCGGCGTTTCTTTGTGTACCTCCTATGGAGATCAAGCAAGTCCACTCCTTCCTTGGTCACAATGATGGTATCGCTGGGGAAGATGGCAAATTTAAATATGGTGACAGGTCGTTCCTGCACGTAGTCAATTAGGTTAGATGTGTCGTCCCGAAGAAGCTCATCGGTACATAGAGATAGGTCGCCCTGCCGGTTGCAAGGTACAAGCTTGCTCAAAACAGGTTTCAGCTTCTATATGGTCGGCAGCATCGTGCATTCGACTGTATACCTCGTTAGTTGCTCACCCAAGTCAAAGAAATGCAGTACCTGTCTCACTTCCTGAACAGAGCCCAGGTCGATGGCCTTGCGACAATAGTACATCGAATCATTGAGTAGCTTGTCGTCCATCGATCTGCTTGCCGTTGGCAAAGTAGTAGGCGATGAGAGAGCCAAGTGAGATAGTGTATTGCAAAAAGAGCATCTCTTTGATACATAATAATTCATGAGTGATGTTTCTCATTCTTCAGGTAGAAGCCTTGGGCGAACGGCACGTTCGTTTTCTGCGTAGATTTGAAGGAGCCGCTACACTTCCTCACTCAATCACTCTAGAAAGTAATTACGGCAGGATTCCCCATTGGAAAGATTCTGTCATTGCGAGACGAGTCATCTATTCATCTGTGGACTTGTTGTCGTATTCCCATGGCTTTTGGAATGGCCAACATTGTCCCCTTATGATGTTGCCTGGGCATAAGCGGAAGGTGTCTGCTTAGATAGGGCATCTGAGTTGCTGTGCTTGGGCGCGGGGGGGGAGGGGTTGGTGGAACATTTCCCATCTCTTTATTGAGCTGAAGGGGAGTAAATACAGCCTTGCGCTTAAAATAACATGAGACTTCGTAGGTGTTGATAGCGTGGTTGGGTGTACGAGAATCGTATCGGGGAGATCTCAGACGACTGGCTATGCTATCCCCCATCCATTTCTGCAGACTCCGTCGGATAGAATGTGGCGCCATTTAAAGCAAATTAGAAAGTGAAAGGTTAATTGTGTAGAGCTCCGTAGGTCATCCGTCACCATGTGTGATCATAGTATCATATTGTATCCAATTGAATTTCTCACATGCAGGTCACTTAAGATTTTCATGCACAGGTCGGGTGCGGCGTTTCAGAGTTCCTTATATTGAAGTGTGTTTTTGACGATTGGCAAATTCAAAGCCGCCTAGAGAGAAACTTACCCAACTAGGGAGTTGGGGGCTCCGTGTAGATTGGCTTCCTATGACTTTCCTGTCGCATGGCTTACAAACCTATCACGGCAGCCAAGGTCTGCAAAACTACGCTCCGCGGAGTTCTACATTGATACCAAGAGAGGATTTCAAAGCATTGGCGCTCATTGTGGAAACATAACTGCGTAGCGTCGAGCAGCATTCCGCTCTGGGCCAAGTCAGGCGCCCGGTACCAGTTCCCCGACAGTCTGGAAGCTACCTATATCAATCTATGACTCAGGGTGAATTCACCCATCTCATAAACCCATCCTCGTATAAATCTCACTCTCATCCGCCTAGCAAGGTTCTATTCAAACCACCAAAAACAAAAATGTCCAACCCAATTGCCACCTACGGCTTCACAGCCGTGCCAGCCTCTGCCTCCGCCCTACTCACCTCAACACCAGCATATCCAAGCAGCAGCACTAAAGCAGAGCCTATCCCCGTCTCCGCAACTCCAATCCCATCCAGCGAGCTAGCTCAGCGTATAAACTCGTACGCCCGGTCTCACCTCCCAGAACCAACGTATAACCACTCCTTGCGCGTATACCACTTCGGCCTTGCCATTAAGCGATACCGCTTCGCCCACGCAGACTGGGATTTCTCCGACGAGACCTACTTCCTTGCATGTGTGCTGCACGATATCGGAACGACGGACGAGAATCTGCAGAAGACGAAGATGAGCTTCGAGTTCTACGGAGGATTCTTGGCATTGGAGGTATTGCAGGATGGGGATGGTGGGGCGCCGCAGGACCAGGCGGAGAGTATTGCGGAGGCTATTATTCGGCATCAGGATCTTTGTGATGTGGGGAAGATCACTGCGCTGGGACAGTTATTGCAGCTGGCGACTATCTTTGGTATGTTTTTCCCTTCTTCTTTTCCTTTTCTATTTACCTTTTCTCCGGACTCGAGGTTATTTTGCGGTATCTTGGCCGTGGCGTATAGGTGGATTGACTCTTGAAACTTGTGGAGATGACTGATCGCAATTTTGGAGAACAGATAATACCGGCGCCTATGCCGATTTGGTCCATCCTGATACTATTAAAGATGTGTCGGAGCATTTCCCGCGTCATGCTTGGAGCCAGTGCTTTGCTTCCACGATCCATCGTGAGAACGGCCTGAAGCCGTGGGCGCATACCACGGCCCTGGGCGAGGAGGCTTTCCCGGCTAAAGTGCTTGCGAACAAGCTGATGGAGCCGTTTGAATAAGCTGTGTCGCCGCACCTAGGGATTCTCTCTGAGTCTTGTCGGGTCCAATGGAAGGGGTCAAAAGTCAATGCCTACGTGATACGAACGAGCTTAATTAAAATGCAAAATGATCAATAATGGGATACATTGTATTTGTAGACTTATCCAGCTTCCCATGATAATCCCACGCAAGTCTGCTTAGAATGAATGATTCCGTCCTTGTTCCCCTATGCTAATATACACCTAACCCAATTCACATTATACCTCGATTCACTCGCTCTGTTGAAGAAGATCGGACTCATCATCTTCAGGGACCTTGACTCTCCAGATGCCCAGGGTTTGACCGTTCTCGAAGACGCGGTCCCCTCCCTCCGAATCAGTAAGAACCATTGCCTTGCTAGCCAGGGCCAATGCATCCATAAGCTCGGCCATGCGCTGCGCCTCGGTGAAGGCGCGGGTCAGGTGTGGAACGTTCGCAACCCAGATCGACACCGTCATACACTGCGTGAGCAGAGTTGGCTTATCAAGAGAGTGGCTGGCGTAGTACAAGGCGTTGTGGTAGTCGAGGATCAGCTCGGGGAGATAGGTCTTGCGAATGTATGCATAGTCTTGTTCTTCGTCGGCTGTAAGATGATTAGCATGGAAATACCCCAAGGCTGGACGGATACAAGTACTTACCATTGATGGATGTGCTCAGCCACTCGTCAACGATGAGTCCAACGTTCATCTCGACTTCTTGAAGAAGTTCCTCCAGTTCGTGCAAATGGTTCTTTACCGTGCCAGAATCGCGGCGCCGCTTGGTTCTGAAGGATAAGTTAGCTTTTATCGCTCAGTGAGACGGGGCAATGCTACTCACTTCGAGATTTGATCATACACAATAGCAAACTGCTCCAGGGAATCGAAGCCGAGAGCCAGAGTCTCCAAATTGTACATCCGAATGCACTGCTGGTAAGCGAGGGAGTGGTCAGTGCCTGAGCCGGGTGCGATCCCAATGCCATTGCCAGAGAGACTGCGACGATGGAAATGGCCACTGTTCCTCTTGGATTTGGATGGACTAGCAGGGGCGGAGTCTTCGGCCACGACATTGTCGAAAACGGGGAATTGGAAGATGTCGAATCCGAATGATTCTTGAGAAAGCTCCGCCAATCGCACGCGGTGACTCAACTCCCGAGCGGCGGCGAGTTTACCGGCAACTGCAACAGATTAGCATACTTCGTACATCTGAAGGGGGAAAGATTGAACGTACCAAAAAACTTGCGGTACAGCCAAGCGCCAAGCTTGCAAATCTTGGGCCACTGGCCGCCCACGTAACGAAGCCACTCAAGGCTGCGAATCATCTTTTCGTCCTCATCTGCAATAAATGTCCCGATCAGATCCTTTTTGGGTGGCGTCAGTACACGCACACCATTCTCCCGCCTAACCACTCGCGGGTATCCAGTGACCTTTCCTGAAGAGTCGATCTGGGAAACACCGGTGCTGAGCCACGCCCATTGAGCATCGAGAACGGCGCTGATGTCCACACCGTGCTTCTGCAAGAGGCGGATTTGCTGCTTCCTCTCTCGGGGCTCGGTGATCTCGATCAAGATTCTCGAGATGACATTGTGTGACATCTCCCGAGGCAGAACGGATGCATACAGAGGAATCAAGTCGTATAAGCCCCTGCCTTCCAAGTTGGTAATGTAGCCAGCCACAAGAACCGACGCTGTCTCCATGAACTGGGTATCCGCTCGGGCATAGCCAATTGAGTTGACAATGAGATAAATATGTGTTGCAATTTTCAAGGATTCCTCATCGGCTGCAGCAATGAGATATGCCTCATCGACTTGCGAACGCACCATAGGAGGAATGATAGAAGCTTTCTCCGGGTGTCTGGCGCTGACCTGAGAGATAGCCTGGGCAATAAGTGAGAAGAAAGAATCGTAACCCTTGCTCAAGATTGCGGCTTGAATGTTGCGGAAAGGATTGCGAGCCTCGCCGCCGACTTGCTCATTGCCCCGCAAATACTGGAAGAACTTCTGAAGGTCTGTATGTCCAGCGGGCTCTGGCTGGAACACAACAGGGGTGGTTGGAGAATGGCTCAACTTGCGCTGGAACTGCTTGCAAAATCCTTGGTAGCGCGAGAGCACAACGCGGTTGAAGTAAACGTAAAGGTAGTCATCCCAGCTGCGGCAGACCTTCGCGGCTGGCTCGCTCTCGCCACAGAGAAGGGCGTAGACAGCCCGTTGGAAATCGTCGGTGTTCGGGCTGCGCGCCAGGGCAGCGCAAGCACTGCGCCAGGAGTCATGGGATCGGCTGTTCATCAAGCGTGTCATCCCATCATCAACGGGAGTTCTGGTTTTGGAGTTCTTCGTACCAGTGTGCACACTGGATCCACAGAGACTCACGGCACGCCAACTTTCAAGACGATTCGAAGCCCACTCGCGAATTGTGGTCCAGTTTTCGCCCTGTCGGAGCATCTTCCAGCAAGCCATCCAAGTGGCACGCTCATAGAACTCGTCCTGGCCCTGCAGGCCACGTTTTTGCCGGGTAAGCGCATCAGGGTCTAATTGTGTAATCAAAGGTCGCTGCTCGTCGTTACTAAGGAGAGAGCGAGTGATGCTGGGATCATTCGATTCTAGAGGCTGCGGCCAGGCACGTAGACGCTTGTGACCCTTGATCGCTTCCTTTGTGAATAGCCACCCGTGTGCCCACAGCCCTTGGCCTCGTTCAGCCTGCGACTCCATATCTAAGATCAGACTGTCAAGATCTTGGTTGCCGGTCTTTGACGTCTCCTCCAGCCATCGCATCGCGATGACGCACTCGAGCGCATAGTGATCCGCGGACAAGAATTCCTCCCAGACTTCGCGATCTGTCGAGTACCGGTGAAGATTTTGGAAGGCCGATTGGCGTCCTTCCTTGAAACTGGCCCGACTGGCGGGGTCGTCGATGCTAATAAGGTTAAGGAGGAGGCGCCAGGTATCGACCTCGAGCTGCAAGCGCTGCACCTCCTCGTCTGCTTTCCCATCCTGCACTCCACTTGATCGGAAGCCTGTCTTTGCTCGCCTGAGAGTCGCCTCTTTGTTAATGTCTTGAATTGCGTTTTGCGCTAGGTCACGGTAGCTCTCGACCAGTTTGTAAGCGGCCTGGATGCTGTGGAATTCGTCGGTGGCATTCTTGCGTTTGAATTGCTCGAGCTTCTCGGCGAATGCCTCGATCTGGCGCGTGACACGGTCGGCTGTCCGGCGAAGGGGTTGTAGTACTTCTTGCGCACCCGAAGCTGTGAATAGCTTAGGGGAATCTAATGGCGAGTGAGTAATGGGCAATTGACCAACCCATGTATCAGAACACGAACCTTGAGCTCTGCTGGAGAAGTTGACCATGGATTTTAAACTGCGCTCCGATGCCCGGAAGACGGATCCTGACTCCGAGGCACCGTCGCCATTGACGTCGTCCATAGTCTCGTCCATAGTCTCGTCCATCTCCTGCTCTTCGTCGTCGTAGTCGCCCTCTTCATCTTCGTAATAAACTTCCTCCTCTTCATCCATGAGATCTTCATCCTCGCCTTCGTCCTCGTCAATGTTGAGAATTTCGGGTTCCTTAGGTGGAGCCTTGAAGGTGAGAATCCATTAGCAAGCTGTAGAAGCAGCACAAAGAGACCAAGTCGCGTACCTGCGAGCGGCGAGTTGGGCCCGTAGACGCAGCAGACCTAGTAAGGGGAGCCATCATGAATGACGACGAACCAGGTCAGCAACCTCGAGGATCAAGAATTCGATGTTGTTGATGGAGAAGAAGGAATTCCGGTGTTTGTCTCATTTGGTTTTGGGCGCGTTGGCGCCAGTGCCCAAAGGAGTTTAGCTTAGTCGGCACGGGATTTTTCACTATTTAAGGCTTTCCGTGCAAAATCTCTTTCCTCTTTTTTCTTTTCTTCTTCAATGTCTATAGGCAATCATTAGAGTCTCGGATTGGAGGTAATCAATCTTCATTCAGGTCCATCGCGGCCTCTTAGCGTGCTCACGATTGTCTTATAATAATTAAGCAGTTCTTCAATTACCTAGCCTCCTCCCGATGGAAGTTTAGACCGCAAAGGAACTGTTACATGCCAATCGCTATGCTATGCGCTATGTGATTTAATTCTGGCTCGCTGCCTCCGCCCGCTGCTTCATCTTCAATCGTAGCAGGCCCGCCTTCGGGCAGCTCACAACGGACGCGTGATCTCCTCGCTCCTGATAAAAGGCGTTGCAGCATTCGTAAAGAGCGTCAATCTGCGCCTGGCATTTTGCCTCGTTGTACCCATTCTTGGTTAAGCAGTCTGAAACTGGTTAATCTGGGTCTCTGGAATGTGAAGTCATAAGAGAGTACCTTGAATGGCGCACTAGGACCAGTCAGCTTCCAAATTAGGGGACATAGGGACCGGGGGAGAGGCGTACAGCGCGCGGGTGACAGGGCGTCTCGTGAGACAGATCTTGCTTGAGATTTCCCTGTAATTTCATCAGTCGTAGTTCTGGATTGATGCTATGCACCTACCATAATGAACTGAAGCAAGCGAATGAAGAGAGAAGCTCAACGGAAGCTCATAGAACACTGTCTCTTCCCGGACAGAGTGACGCAAAATAGATTCTCCGCCTTTGTGGGGCGAGCCGCCATTCTGCCGCTTGATATCTTGCTCTTCTCTCTTCACTCTGGATTCCTCCATCATCCATCACCTTTAAGTGTGAGTCGCATTCTTGTCGCATTACCCCCTGTGTCGCATCAGCTAATACTCGTCCCTAAGATACTCAGATCTTTGCAGATCGCTCACCACATCCTCTAGTAAGCGCCCTGCGTTAACTCCTCCCATGATCGCCTCTGACCCCGATCTCAGACAATCCACCCTTTATCTTCACAATGTCCGCCGAGAAGGAGGGCAGTGCCCCTGCTGTCGAACACTTGAACATCAAGGTCACCGACAACAACAATGAGGTCTTTTTCAAGATCAAGCGATCGACTCAGCTGAAGAAGCTGATGGATGCCTTCTGTGAGCGCCAGGGCAAGCAAATGGCCACGGTCCGTTTCTTGTTCGACGGAACCCGTGTCCGCCCCGAAGACACACCCGACACCGTACGTCCCTATATAGGAGAGAATAGAGGAGATCAATGACTGACATGTATATAGCTGGATATGGCCGATGGCGACACCCTCGAAGTCCACCAGGAGCAGATCGGCGGATAGATGAGCTTGCGCTGCTGGAATCCCACTTCTCGCTAGCCAAGCCGCATGACCTCGACACTTGTTATTTGCATACGAATGGCGACAGGATTGGCGGAACGGAAATTAGCGAATGGATCGGGTTCATTGCGGGGAGTTACATGCTGGTCTTTTACGAGATAACGAATACACCGAAACCGCTCGAGCAGCGGAATTCTCAATAATACGGTTCTAAAGCCTCTCGGCGATTAAGAGTCTCAAGTCTGGCATTAGTCCCTGTCACCCAGTGACAGGACTCAGTCATTGATTAATATTACTACCTTCCCCAATATCCCCGAAACCCCAGACCCCTATAGAGCCATCCTTTGTCGGGATTCCCTATTCTCCAAGCCCGAACAGAGAACGTTTGAACCCCACGTCCAGCCAACGCAGATTGGAAGCAATTCATGCGCCATGTAAAACAACATTTGAACACAATTCACGTATGTACAGGTGAATACTCGTAAGTTAGCCACAGGAAACAAGCCTAGTCCGTCCACACAGAAGACTTCACACGCTCCTCTTCCTCCTTGGCCTTAGCCTGCTCCTCGCGCTCGCGGTTACGGCGCTTGATCTCCTGCTCCTTGGTAGCACGATCATAGGCACGCTGCTCCTCGGTGCGCTTGGGTGCCCGGATCCCCAACGCACCAGCAATCAGCCGGCCAGCGACAGCAGTCTGTTTCTCTGGCCGGCGAGCGGGACCGCCCGGTCCGGCCGACGTGGGCGCCGGCATCGCGGGACCCCATGACTGCGACGTCTGCGGCGAGATAGGCGTAGGCGGGGGATCTAGTGGCCCCTCTGCACTAATGGTAGGTGACAGGGTGCTTGACGGGGATGCAACATCTTGCGGTGTGGGTTCGTCGTCTGAAGGCTCTGTCTCGTCCTCCCATGAGTCAGCGACGGGTTTCTTAGCCTTCTTGGTCTTTGACGCAGGGGAGGTCTTCGTGGTCGGGCGTAGAATGTCCTGCACCGGTCCTTTTTCGCCAATGGCCAGACTGCGAAGGCTGGATTGGAGCTCGGCCGAGGGGTCAGACATGGCACGTGAGGTGGCTATGTAGCATGGAGGTGTAGGTGGTAGGAAAGTCCACGGGTGTGCAGCAATTATTTATTTGGGGAAGAATGAACCAAATATAGAGAGTTTGCGGAGTCTTGCGTTTAGAATGGAAGATCACAGGTGCATGGCGTCACCGCTACCGATTCATCCTTGGTCTCCACGATCGACCAAGGATGGGGCTAAGCCAACCCGGGAACCTCTGCCTTAGGCGGGAGGGGTGTCTGAGCCCCGGGGTCATTCATTTATCTGATACTTTGGGTGTTTTCAAGGCTATTTTCGTTTACTATTCGCTCGGATCCGTTGCTCCGGCATTCGGAGGTTATGATCGACAGTGTTTTGTGTAATATTCAAACTTGGAATTTTCACATACCTCGGCTCTAAATAGGCCCACGGGTACGAAGGGCACTAGCTTGGAACATGACAGAAGCTTATGCACATGTCACACCGAAGTCTGCTCATTGTTTCTTCGAATCTTGTGATAGACATACCGTGGCGTTTATACAATCTATATACAATCACTGATGCTGATTTACTTCTGAGCGAGTGCGATAACCTTCTTGGCCGCATCCTCAAATCCGTCGAATGCATGGAGAGGAAGTCCACTCTCAGCAATCTGTCACCAAGTCATGTCAGCAAATGGAACAAAAGATATTTTACAACGCTCAGAGTATCTTACCATCTTCTGGCCAAGCTCTTCATTTGTCCCACGCAGTCGAACCACGACGGGAACCTTCATATGCAAGTCCCGGAAAGCCAAGATGATTCCCTCGGCGATCATGTCGCAACGCGTCAGACCACCAAAGATATTGACAAAGATAGCATTAACACGCGTATCAGAGCAGATGATCCGAAAAGATGACTTGACCGTCTCGGAGGTGGCCTTGCCGCCAGTGTCAAGGAAGTTGGCGCAGTGGCCGCCGTGAATCGTTAGAGCGTCGACAGTGTTCATGGCAAGTCCAGCTCCGTTGACTGATAGAATATTAGACAGAAACCTGTCGCAGATGAAAGCTTTAGAGACATACCTAGAGTACCAATGCTACCCTCGCCCTCCAATCTGTTACAGTCAGCGCTGACAAGGATTTGTGAAAGTCCATCAACCTACTTGACGTATACAATTCCGTCCTTCTCAGCTTCAACCTCTTCGGGGGCCTCTTCAGTGGTATTTCGTAAGCTGTGAATCTCTTCCTGGCGCTTCGAGCTGCGGAATGCAGCATCGTCGAATCCAAAGTGGGCACCGTGGACTTCCAGGTTTCCATCTGCCGCTGTTCCAAAGCGAGTCTCCAGGTTGAAAGCTTCCTTCTCTTTGAAAATCTCCCACAGTGCTTGCACAAGATCAGCCAGCTTGCCCTTGGTTGACTCGGGAAGACCCAAATACGATGAAACGTCAGCAACAAGTGGGCTGTTGCCAAAGTTGGTCTGGGTGTAGGAAAAGGGGAATTTCTGCGCCTTGTCGGGTTGAGAAGCGCTTGGAGATGCGATGATACACGGCGACAAAGCTGTTCGGTCAACAGAGATGGAAATTGATGTATCTGAGTTAGAAGGAGCCTCGTTGACGGGAATAGACTTTTGCTTCAATATGTCAAATGCTTGAAACTGCTTGACGTAGAGACTGCGCTTCTGCTGGTTCATGGGCCTCGGGGTTGGTGTAATGCGCCTCATGGTGTGAAGTCCTCGCTTTTGAGAGCTTGCCCCGGATGTAGACTATGTGGTGTTACTTTAGTCCTTTAGACAAGTTTAACTAAGCACTCACGCTTGTACCCACGCGGCCGGTGTTGCCAAGCAACGTCTTCATTCCCACGCCGAACTTCTCGGGGTGATTGACCATAACGGCACCAGCGCGTTCCAATGCATGATACTTGGTCTGAGCATCAGGCTCGCCAGGTGCAGCCCAAGCTCCAGCATGGCCCATGATGCGGCCAGGAGGTGCTTCCAACCCACCAACGAGAGCCATGATAGGCCTGGGAGTGGTTAGCAAAAGGCATCCACAGCACCAGTGCAAGACTTACTTGGGGTTTTGAGTCCGCTGTCGATAATCCTTAATCCATTCTGCAGCATCCATCTCAGCCGTGCCACCGATCTCACCAACAAGAATAATGCCCTCTGTATCAGAATCATGTTCAAAGATCTTCAGCGCATCAACGAAGTTAGTTCCAGCCAACACATCACCACCCATGCTAATGCAAAGACTCTGTCCCAGTCCAGCACGGGTCGTCGATGCGACAGTCTCATAACTCAAAGTTCCTGACTTGGCTATGATGCCAACATTGCCAGGTGCGAAGCACGGTAGGGGCTGGAAGCCGATACGGCACTTGCCGATAGCTGAGATGATACCCGGGCAGTTTGCCCCGACGAGACGAGTCTTGGACTGGGTTTGAAGCATGGAGTGGATCTTTTGGAACTGTTAGAAGAAGGAATAGACATGGAGATTTGTGATCATGGGCTCACCCGAAGGATGTCGTGAATGGGGACATGCTCAGCAACTGCCACTACGAGTGGGATCTCGGCTTCAATGGCTTCCTCAATGGCCTGAGCTGTTTGGTTGCCCGGGACATAGATAGCGGATGCATCAGGTTTTGCTTTTTCATGGGCCTGATTGCCAATTACAAGTTAGTTTACTATCCTGCGTTCAAGACAATAAATAGTGAGAGTTTTGCCTACCGCTTTGACAGAAGGGAAGATAGGAAGGCCCAGGTGCTCGCCCTCAACACCAGGCTTGACACCTCCAACAATCTTGGTTCCCCATTCCAGAGACTCCTTCACATTGGCAGTAGCCTGTCTTCCTGCGGGGGAGTCAGCCAGGTCAAAACCATGCAGCGGGATATGAGATCATACCAGTGAATCCCTGGAAAAGGACTTTCGTATGAGCGCCAATCTTCAAATTGTGCAAAGTATCCGCGTAGCTAGCGCTACACGACGAAGTCGAGAATCGCCTGATCCGCAGCCCAGCCTGGGGTACGCGTCTTGGCAGAGAGTGCAGAGGCATCGTGAGGTCCAGGGCTAATCATACAGTGGCGAGGTTCAGCTCGCGCAACCAATTGGCCGTTGGTTATGTTCTTTATACGTTTGCCCCCGCGATCGTCAAACATTTGGGTGGCCGACTTAAGACGGCTTCTTGAGTAAGTCGGCTATCCGGTCTCGGAGTTTCCCCAGACTACACCCGAGGTGCGCCCTTTGATGCCTGGTTTTGAAGGCATCAAATCTAACTAACTATCACTGATTTGATCCGCGCTACAATTGAATGAAACAGAGAAAGCGTAAGTGAGCAGGTCATATGGCTCTCTTGGGGCTTTAACCAGTTGAAGGATCTTCTTGTTGACTATCACAATGTCCAAATTTGTTATTCTATTCACAAGGTGCGAATAGTCAATATGGATGGTTTCTTCGATGCTGGCATGATCCTCTATGCTTTCCAGGGCATCGACGCGGACAGAGAGCGCGGAGATAAACCTGAGAAGCGGCTCTTCAATTGGAATGGAGAATGTTGCGTAGGAAAGAATGACTGCATTCGGCTATGGGGGGAAGAACAAGGGTTGGCACTAAACGAGTGAGGCTAATTGAGGAGTTATTTCTATTGGCACTTAGTCGTTGCATTCAGCTGCGTCAGCCATTTCAGAAGTAGTTAGTGACTGGCTTTGTAGTAAATCAGGTATCAAATGTATAACAGAAGGATTTGACAGAGGTAGCCTTAGAGGCCAGAAGTTAGGTGAAGCGCACGAGGATCAGCGCTGTCATTTGCGCTGAGGGCGAACCCGGACAAGTCGGGCATACAGTAGGTTAACCTCCATTTGGGTATTGTTTCAAAGCTAGGGGGCATATATTTGCATTCAGATTCAGAGATATAAGCATAACGTCGAGAATTATGACAAGCTCGCTAATTAATATTCATTGAGATGAAGTTTCTTTCCAACGAAGCGCCGCTTCTCAGGTTTATCTCCGCGCTCTCTGTCCGCGCTAACGCCCTTGAGAGCATGGAGGAGCATACCAGCATCGAAGAAACCATCTATATTGGCCATTAGCACCTTGTAGATAGAAATAAAGTGGGCATTGTGAAACTTACATCCTCCCATGCCATCGTCATCTGGCTCCACACTGTCTGTGGTAGTAGGGGTATCGAAGCCCGTGGCACGGGTGTTGCTCCGGACAAGACGACCTCGGCGCTGCGAGTCAGGTTGTAAGCGCTCAGTCAGTTCTTCCGTCTCGCGAGCACGACTAGTTCTCGGACTCATTGCCTTGCGGTTGGTAGCCCGCAGCAATTTCCGTATCTCAAAGAGGTAGGACTCGAGAGTCTGCATAAGGCGTACGGTTTGGCGGTGCTTGGAAGATGCGCAGAAGGAAATCGAATCGTCCTTGATAATGTAGCCAATGCCGAAGCCGTCAGCGGATGTGGGACCGAATCCGAAATGGCGCAGACATGGGTTTCCGCAGTTTGAGGTGGACAAAATGGTGTTATTGATCTTGTCCCAGCCCGGGTCGCTGAAGATGGCGGGCGTGGGTGGTGAAACGTTGCGCAGTCCGCGAGTGCTGCTGCTGTTGGGCGAGGAGTAGCCGTCCTCGGATACTTCAGAAGACATGGAAGACTCGACTCCGTCGCCTGGGCTACTGTATCCGCCCGTGGAGCTGGTCTCGTCGTCATCCATAAAGGATCGCTGCCAGAGGCAGTAGAGCGCGTATAGGTGGCGATCTTGGCCCTGGCCCTTGGAGCATTCTTTGGTCAAGGCTGTGTGCTTTTGAGTTGCGGTGCGTAAGGCGTCGATCTTCTGCTCTGCTGGGTTCTCGCCCCAGAAAGTCTTCACGAAATCAACGGTCTCTGGCGTTACAGTTCGTACCGCCTCAGTGCGACCGTGTAGGAACATCTTCGTCATAGCTGGCTCGTATGTGTTTTCTATGCGGCCGTAAAGGCCATAATATGCAGCTTGGAAGGCCATTTGAATGAACGCGTCAGGCGAGAATCCCATCGATGTGATAAAGTTCTTTCCGTAACCCTCAAAGTCCAATACGCGGAATTCGTGTTGGTAGAGAAGATCCGAAAGGTGGGACTCGGCAAACCGTAGCGCGATTTTCAGTTCCGGGGTCATGTCCCACTCGAGCTTACGAGGAGTAGTGCTGACGTTTCCAAAGCTGTGTGGGTCACGCTTGGCAGGGTCAGGGCTAGATGTCGTCCAGAGGCTTGGAGCCTGTCCGTTGATGGTCTTTGCGAATCGAAGAATGGTGTCCGTGTAAACGTCGCTGGCAAAGCGCAGCACGGTATGGCCATCAACGCCGGTGTGCTCAAAGTTGATACCGGCACTGCCATTTTTGCAAACAATGATCTGAAGCTTGTCGTACCATCGGTTGGTGCAGGTGCCAACTTGTACGCCTTTGATCACCTCGCTTGTGCCGCAGAGCATGTTGGCACACAGTTCGGAGGTGTTGGAAGGCTCAGTATCATCGAGGCACAGCACAAAGAGAGCGGTATCCACAATGTTCAAACACTCAGCGTTGTTCGAGGCCGGGTCCTTGGTCATAATATCGCGCAGTCCGGACCAGACCTTACGATTCTCAGTGCTGAGAACACCCAGTGCACCCTTGGCTGCTTCATGCATAGAGGTTTGAGCCGCATCATTAACGATAACTTCAAGATTCAAGGCGATATCCTTCTCGCTCATGATCAAATCGCTATTGGCGTCCAGTACATCGAACCAGTAAAATTGGCCTCGGCACATGACGGCGACATGCTTGGCCGAGGGATCCTGGCTGATGACGCAGCCGTTGTCCGTGGGAAGACGGGCTGTGCCAAACAGTCGCGAGTACTGGTACATGCATAGTGGCGTCCCACGGACAGTGTCAGGTGGAAGCTCTTCGCGCCGCACGGCCCGAACGAAAGATAAGGCCGAGACAACCAAAGATGCGGCCCGAGTGACTTGATGGTTGCGAGCTGGAGTAGGGTCATCCTCCAACAAGAAGAATGGGTTGAGATTCAAAACAACCGCTAGATAATGTCAGTACTATTCCCAACTATTATAGTAGAAGCGTGGGCTATACTGACAGCTATCAAAGTTCAAATAGGAATCGTACCCTGGAAGATATTAGTCGCTATTTTCTCCTGATAGTTGAGAGTGTACCCACAAAACTGTTCGATGTAGCTGGTCTTTGAAGTAGCGTAGTTCTTAAGCTTTTCTTGTAGAGACGGGCCATCTGTCTTTAAAAATTCCCTTACTGCCGCTTTGCTCTCCTCGTGTTCTCGGGGCCCTTGTAAAGCCATGAGGGCATCGAGGTGTCGTCGACAAGTATCCTCAAGGTCAGGGATTGGCAGTTTAGGCAGTGAGTCTTGGTTGGTAAAGGTCAGGCCTTGCTTTTTGGGCGTGTGGACTTCAACGGCCCCGGATGAAGGCCGATCGGGTGATGCATTCGGTCTCACGACCGTGTGCCCTTGACCCTCGGGCACGGATGCTTTAGGATCAATCTCCATAGGATCTCTCAGAGGTTTTGGTGCAGTGAAATAACGGACTGCCGTTGGTGAATAAGACATGATGTCAGTGATTTGATTCGATCAAGCGTAGTGGCTGGCGAGGAAAGTAGGTAGAGACAAAAGGCGTAGCGCAGTGCGATAGAAATAATGACAATCTTGTAGGTAGTATGATGGCATTGAGGCTATCTCATGGGAACGGACATCGGGACAGTATAGGGTAGCCAAGGGGGACGGGGCAGTTAACCGAGCGAATATAAGAAACTATATACCCCAGCCCGAAGAATACCCCACTGCGGATGTTTGTGGGACCGGCTCGGATTGAAGGGAGGCACGGGGGAAAGGACTTACATGGTCAAATGCAAACCGCGGGATGTGGGTTGGCTGTTCGGGGCCCAGCTCGTATGTGTAGCGCCGGAGGAACGGATGGGCCTCTTCTGGTGACTGTCAGATGATTCGTCCAGTCAAAGATAACAACGCTGCGCTGCAGGTGTTGCACACTCAGTTCCTCTGAGCAGCTCTCCAGCTGGTTTATATGGCAGATGATGAAAGAAAGGTTCATATATGAACCTAATAGGGACGACTCACCCGGCCGCAATCAGATAAACCTTGAATTTGGAGGTCCGTGTGCACAGGACAGCTGAGCAATACAGAGTACTATTGACAGCCAGAAGAATGTCAAGCTTTTAAGAATGAGTCGATTTTTATAAAGCACGAACCACGTATCTTTTCACGGGAAGCTCAGACATATGCAAAATCCGCCTTGTGTGGGACGGTGGGGATCTTCAGGTCCGTGATTGACACGATGACGTTTCGGGCGAAGGGAGCTGCGTGTTGATGGCACGTGACCCAGATCTAACCGCCCAAGTAGCGGCCCGCAACGGCGTTCTGCCGTCACAGACCGTCTTAATCCGCCCGACCGCTACTTATCCGAATCTAGCGTCTTCGGTCATAGCTAGTGCGAGTTTAGCGTTGTGCTATCTTCATCTCTAGATAATTTAGATGCAATTAATCCTTGCCAATGCAATAGTTGTTGTCCCCAGATCATCCTCGTTGAGCAGGTAGTTTGTAGGTTACTTCGAAAGACTGCTGAGCGAGGAGTCCACACTTTCACACCATCTCCTGTAGTACTAATGATGCGAAATCCACGAGCGCTTTTCTCGAGATAGCTCGTAAATAGGGCTAGGGGCGAGTATACAGGAGGCTATAGAAAGTTTGGCTTGATATAATACAGACAGCAAATGGGGCTGTAGTGATCGGGGGGGGGGGGGGGGGGGGTAGCTAGATAAGCTCGGCGTTAGCATCGGGAGTTGAAGGGTTGATTAGATACCGGTCACTTCACTTTTACACGTACAAGCTGAGTCTGGGGAATCTCAAAGCCCTGGCAGCTGGTTACATTTGGTTATTGCCATTGCACACAATACCAGTAGGTTGAGGATCAGCAAAATCCAGTCAAGACAGGCATTTACGCACTAACACTGTAGCAAGACTGAGTGTCGTAGAAAAACTTAATGTCATTTTCAAGGCTGAATGGCCATTAGTCCATATTATATAGACACCCAACGGGGAATTCATGATCCATTGACTATCACATTGAGAGTCAAAACTACGGTGGACAATTATTATGGACCCGGCGGTTGCTCTGCCTCTCGCTTTTACCAGGTTAACATACGTGGAGTACTATTATGATACGTCCAAGCTTGCACAGAAACATAATTTCTATTCAGTTATCAGCAAGCGATCAAAGGCACTGTCTCTGACAAAAACAAGTCACAAAAACGATATCAAGCCTGCACCCCTTGATAATAATCATAACGATCATCACTGTACATGCATCTTGCCACAAACCAATGCAAGACTTATGCACGCACAAAAGCCGTTCCCCAGCCAACAGCAAGATCCCTCACATCAAAAACACGTCAATGGCTTACGCTAAGAAAAAAAAGGTTATAGTTAAGGTGGATAAAGTTCTGGATCAGTCAGACGCGGGGGTCAGGAACGAAACTTCTACAAGGATTCTTGACTACGCAAGGCACGTGATAGCACCATCGGCGCAAGGCTCATCTCGCATTCAGGGTTACATCACAGACCATATTTTATCCACAAAATGGGCAGAAAACGCTAGGAGACAGCAAGTCAAAGATATTCACAATTGAACGGGGTCACATCCACAAGACCCATCTCCCGAGGTGGGTTGGAAGAAGAAAAGAGAAAAAGGAGAGCCAGGACCGGTTCCCGACGAGTAGATACATTGATCTCCCCGGGCCCGAGCTGTAAAAAAAGTGGCTCAAGGTTTGGGGAGAAGGGAACTGGTGCTGGGGTCCACCTCGGGGGAATCCCCCAAGAGACTGGGATGGATAATGCAGAATGCTCAGAGAAGCGAAGCGATAGGAAAATGACAGGAGTGGACGAATGCAAGATGGCGAGATATACATTGGCAAATCGGAGTATTCTCTTGAATCTAAGAGCATTCTTAGGAGACGGTGTAAACGGCGTCGCCCAGAGGGGCGAGGACGTTATCACCGTATTCACCGGCATAGTTACCCGCGGGAGAGTAGTTGCAGACAGTGAAGGGGAGAGAGCTGCTAGAATCGACGTTTCCGAGGCCGTCGCACACCACGGTAGCGCAGCCGACGTGAGTGGTGCCCTTCCAAATGATCTGAGAGAAGTGACCCCACTTCTCGAAATCGGTCATGCTGGGGTCGGACTCTCCGTAGGGGGTGGGGAAGTATTCAATCTCGTCGTTGTACATCAGGTTGGTGAGCATGACACCAACCTGGCTGGACTCGACACCGTAGCCGATGTTCTGACCGTAACCACCGCCATCAATGGAGCTGGGATCATGTTAGATGGGTTTTGATAATGGAGGATGGAAGTGGGAACTTACGTGTCGTGTTCGTAAACACACTTGGCGGCGAGAGCGCGGGCGCTCGTCTCAAGATCGGCAGACCAGTCGACGGAAGGAGCGGAGTGGTTGCTGCGGTGAATGTTGTGGTTGTACAGCACGGCCTGTTGGTAGGCGTTGGCGGCGGTGGCAGTGGCGGCCGCGGAAGTCGAAGTAGCGAGGGTGGACGTAGCAGAGGTGGTAGATTCAGGCTCGATAGTGGAAGTCCAGGCAGTTGACCAGTAGGAAGTGGACTCGGCGGCGGCCTGGACACCTTCGGCGGCGCTGGTGGTAGGCGCAGGCACCGGCGCGAGGGTAGCGGGCGCAGCCTCCAAGGTAGAGGTAGACGAGGTGACCGACTCGGGAACAATAACAGTAGATTTCTTGTAGAGATCGGATTGCTGGGTCTCGACAGCGGCGGCAGACAAAGTGGTAGTCTTGTAGTCAACCTGAACCTGGTTGGCGGTAGGAACAGTTTCGGTAACGGTGGGTGCCGTGACGGTCTTGGTAACAGTGACGGTGGTCCAATCGGTGACATAAACGCTCCTCTCATAGGCGTTCACAGCGCCAGCTGCCAGAGCAGCAAGCAATAGAGTAGGACGCATGGTGATACCAGATCAAATCGCGGTCAAAGAGTGTCGAGAGTACTTCACCAGGAAGTATGATAACACCGCAGATCGACTGTCGGTGTGAAGGAGTGGAATTTGGCGCTTGTCAAAGGAGTGACAGGCCGAAAATACGAAAAAAGTATTAACGGTCGGGGAGTGAAGCGTGAAAAGCGTGAAGAGAAGAGAGAGGATGGCAAGGGTTAATGTAGAAAGGGGAGGCCGAAGCCAGGGTGGGGCCGTGCGAATCACAGTTGTTTGGGAAATGAAATTGGAGATTGCTTCTCAAGATCCTTAATTTGCCTCGTTATTTGTTTATATGAAATGAACAAAGCGTTGCTCCAACACGACGATGCCGTGTCTAACACTACTTATTGCTTTTTGGCGCCCTTGTCCAACCACTTCGACATACGGGATACATACCAATGTCGCTCCCGCCACCAGCAGGCGTGGGACATTCCGCATTCCAACGCGTCTCCGATGTCCATCTTATTGGCCCGAGACCGTCTTAGACGAGGCTGGGCAATGGAGAATACACAACAGCTATTCTCCGTCTGGAGCAGATCGGGCACAGGTCTGGGTCTGTCAAATTCATGCTCCCCTGTGGTCCCTGGTGCCCCTGGGCGGATCCTCAATCCCACTCCCACTTCTGGTAGCGCTAGCGCCCTGGCATCAAATTTCAGGGCCCGCTTCTTCGTCGGCCGTGCAGACGTGGAGTCTTGCCCGATGTGCCGGTCTCATCAGTTCGGCCAGGGGTCTGGAATACGATCGATCATCTGGGATGCCTTTTTTTTTTTTTTTTTTTCCATCGTACGAGGGCATCTCTATGGGCTACCCCTTGAGGGTGTGCCAGGAACAGTTTCAGAATTGATCGTCCTACACCAATCATAGCAGCGAGGGGAGATCACCCACCCAAACGGCGTGGCCGCTAGGAAACTTGGCTTTTCGTCTAGCCCATAGTGGCCCATCGGGGCCCATTCCTGCACGGTCCGTGATCTGGGATTGATTAAATCGAGACGCCTCTTTTATCTGGTGTGTTTCAGCCCCAAAAAACGTGCCGCTGGGCTTTCCAACCGTTTCTCTCCTCAGGCTCATCTTGACACAGATCTCACGTTACAAGTTGCTTGTTCCGTTGGTCTCATCTGCTTCTCATCTTCCTCATCTTCCTCTTAAGAAACCCATGAAAAACAAGGAACTGAATAGAGTTCGCGCCATCCCCGCTCCCCTCGAAATCGGCCCTGATGACGAGGCTATCGGAAGTGATTCAGCCAAGGCCACACCCTGGCCGACTCCGAAATTACGTTGAAATTGTCTCTGGACAGGTTAGGGGCACACGTACACGCACATCTAGAAAGTAGCCCTCCTTGTTCTACAGTCCCGTAGTTCCGTAGACACGTTCAATTCCATGAAACTGATGCCAGGTCATGTACTATATAGTGACCTTCTGATTGGAAGCCCAGTCCTGTAATCTCCGAGCCGAGCTGGGCTTTCATGACCCCCGGTTGCGCCCCGGAATTCCGTGGATGCAGACGTCGGGGACCCCCAGTCAGGCCCCGATCGCACAAATGTACATACTTTCCAACGCCAAGGAGATACCCGCACCCAAAAAACGCAACGAACTGGAACCGAATGAGATGATTGTGATTTTCTATAGATCCACGGTTCTGCACCGTCCCATCTCACAAACCATCAGGTAGTTCTTGGCTGGGTCGCCGGCTTTGAGATCCTTGAAGAGTGGGTTCCGCGATTTCAACCAGAATGACTGATTCCCCACAAAGTCCTTCAGATGGGATGGGCGAATATCGACAAGCGACGCCACAACAATCGAGGAAGAGATTCTGGACCCGGTCTTTGCTCGTACTTTTTGCACGACGAGATCGCGTGCCGAGACCGGTTGGTTTTGTCGGCTGACGAGGGTTTCGCCACTTAATAGAGTTGAGTTGGTAATTTCCGCTGTGCAAAAGACACCGGTCACGGTGCTCGTGCCAATTTGTAGACCCACGATGACATCCAGTAGCCCGACGAAGAGGAATGGGTGCTGCATGATCTCCACCGCAAAGGAGTTGCATGTCTGTCGGGCCAGTGTCCGGTATTCCCCTTCCTCCAGCAGAGCTGACAGTCCCAACAGGTTGCGAGCAATCATGCCGTTGACTGAGGGTGTTGCCGACTCGGTACCGGTCTTCAGTCGGAGAAGTGGGGGTGGCATGCCAGGGGTCATACTTGACGGTGTGTTATAGTAGCCGGCGGGTGTAGATCCAGTCCTGGCTAGGAAATATTCGTTGAGGTATTCTATCAGAGGTTAGTTACCGATCACGTTTGCAATCTTCGAAACTCTTACTTTGAAGGCGCTCGGCGAATTGAAGATAGCTGTCATCAAAGGTAGCCTCGTACATGTCCAGCAGACCGCTGATCAGGAACGCGTAGTCATCAGCGAAGCCGGGAGTATCACCACGACTGCCATCGCGCCAGATACGCCACAACTTGCCCGTGGTCTTCTCGAAGAGATTCTCCTTGATGAAGCCAATCGCACGTGCAGCAGCCTCACGACACTGGACCGCCTTGGAGCTCTCGATTTCCTCAAACAGAACGCTGCACTTGGCCAGTGCGCCGATCGCCAGTCCATTCCAGGCCACGATGATTTTGTCGTCTAGGTCCGGTCGGCCTCGGGTCCTTTCACGGTAGTCATGCAGCTTTTGTTTTCCACCCTTGATGATCTTAACCACCTCCTCTTCACTCAATCCGAATTCCTTGGCGAGTTTGCTCGGGGTGGCGCGAACAGATAACACATTCTGGTTCATAAATTCGTCGTGGGGGTCGTACTCAGCTGCGATGTTTCCATCAGGCAGGACGCCCCAATGGCGAGCACACACAGGAGCATCGCGCGTCCCCAGGACTTGGGTAAGTTCTTTCAGAGACCACACATAGAAAGCGCCTTCTCGCTTTTCCGTATCGTTGGGGCTGGGGAAGCTGTCTGCGTCCTCGGATGAAAAGAAACCTCCAGTAGGGGATTGCAGCGGTTCAGTCGTCAGATAGGCAGCCAAGTCGTAGACAGCACCCAAAAGCTCGGGATCATGAGTCAAGCGGAAGGCATCCACATAGACATCCAGGAGTTGTGCCTGGTCATGCAGCATCTTTTCAAAATGTGGCAAGCCCCAGTCAGTCGTAACACTGTACCGAAAGAAGCCATGTCCAATATGATCCCGAATGCCACCACGGGCCATGTTCACCAATGTTGTCACCGCCATAGCAGTCGCTTTTTCACACTCATCTTGTCCCACGACATCGGTGACTTCCTTCGGGTATGCACCAAGTCGAAGCAGGAAGCTGAGGTTGGAAGGAGTAGGAAATTTAGGCGCGCGACCAAATCCACCGTTGATAGAGTCGTATCGCGATGAGAAGTGCTGATAAGCCTCTTCCAAGAGCTCAATGTCCAGGTCCTCATCATCCTCACGGGTCCCATGCTGTGAGTGCGTTCCCTCTTCAGCAAACTCCCGCAGTTGGGCGGTGATGTCTTTGGCACTATCCAAGCAGCGTTGCTGCTGAGTCTGCCACACATCCCTCAGCTTCTCCAGAATCTCAACAAATCCGGTAGTTCCCGGGCCCTGCAAAGTCGTCGAGTTGGGACCAGGCCAGTACGTGCCTCCGAAGACAGGCTCCAAATTGGGGGTCAAGAAAACGTTCAAAGGCCAACCACCAGCGCCGGTAGTGGCCTGGACATAGTTCATATAGACATCGTCGATATCCGGACGCTCTTCGCGGTCAACTTTGATAGGAATAAAAGATTCGTTGAGAATTGCAGCAACTTCTGGAGACATGAAGGACTCCTTCTCCATGACATGGCACCCTACAGACCGTTAGACTGGGGCTATCGCAATCAGGAATAACGGAAACATACAATGACAAGCCGAGTATCCAATACTCAGGAATATCATCCGATTATACCTCCGAGCAAGCGCGATAGACTCGGCATCCCAGAGTTGCCACGCCACTGGGTTATTCATATGTCCCCGAACCTGTCGCTCGTTAGTACCTTACAGTGAGACGGGAATAGCGGGCAGTCTCACATAGGGCGAACTGCTTTGTGAGAGGCGGTTGACCAGCTTTGGCGCCGCTTCAGAGACCTCGTGCTGCGACTGCATGATGGATGTCGCGTTGACGGACTTCAGTTCGGGAAGCCGGAGAAGTTAGTTGGAGTACTAGCGGTTTCCGGAAAGGGACCGGGACTGATAATACGCCACCAATGGTACAGGCTGTAAATCGAGAAGTTGCACAGAGAGGGGGAAAGACCGGAAGTGGGGTGACCGCAGAAGGTCGGGGCACTGCAGATCGGGATCGTCCCTGTGCGTCATCGATGCATAAGGACGGTCACGTGCTCTGCGACAGCCATGAAGCTCTTTCCTTTCCTTTCCCTTCTAATGGGTGGCCATATCTCGATTAGTTCAAACAAGCTTCGAGATGATTTGAATAGCAGCGTAGGATTTTCTCTGTGCCAGGCAGTCGCGGTTGAAGAGTGTGACTATCTCTTAGATGAATCTTGTCGAACTGCGGAGATATATATCCACCCTTAGATGTAATAAGCTGTTAATCTTAAACACTGGAATGCCAAACATCACCAGACAATTACAGAATGAGTAAACCCTTCAGTATTTCCCATTGCTAGAGTCCTCAATGGTAAAGAACATAGGAATACCCAAAGCAGATAGTACAGCCTTGATGAAGAATAGGTGCAGATGGTCACGTGAGGGCCACGATCACCTACGGCATGTTGTGAACTGGCACGGGCTTTTGGAGTACATTTGTAAATTTCCCTTATTATAAATTTCAACTCACTGCCTCCCGATCAATACCTCGCATTAGAAATATGAGGTGGAAGGACTGTTCACACTGATCTGCCTTCCAAAAGAACCCAATGGACCATGCGTCATGATTTAGAGATTACCTGCCCGATCCGAGACGATCATAAAACTGACAAGCGCTCGCCTGGAACATAACATGCCCATAGACTTCCTGAAAACCTTGGAGATTCAGGTGTCCTCAAGCTCTCCCAAGTCCCCCTTACTGATACCGAATTCGTAGTATCCAAGTACGGGAAGCTCGTATCTCAGCAAGAAGGGGCGGACTTTCAGTAACACCAATATCGGCATTGAGAAAATTGTGATTGACTTGCGAGTATCTCGGCCACTATGCTACAGGTGCTCGGAAGAACCGAATTCCGTCTGTACGAGATGCCAGAAACCACGCGCTGGGAGCGTTGAACTCGGGTTTAACATACTACAAGCTCGGGAACCTTAAAAATACCTAATCAGGTCACTATGTCCGACATCGACTGAAACGATCCACGATTTAACTTCGCTTCTAAAGAAATTTACGAGTGTACTCACGACAATGTGCAGCTATGCTCCTCTCTTTTAACAATATACTAACATCCTTGCTAATTCATTGAACACTTGCTTGATGAAGCGCTCTAAGAGGTAGCTACCCGACCTAGGAGGAGTGTCTAACCCTGGGCCTGAAGTATCTATGCACAAAAGGAACACCAGGATAAAGCAAGAATACGCGAGGGAGTGAAGGAAAAAGATTATTTCTCCGGGGAAGTGAGTATACTCTGGTGGATTCCGGAGTAATTTCGCTACCGAAAGAGGATGAAGTGGATAATGAAGCAAAAGGGCGGGGAAAGAGATCCACCCTCCCGGAGAGATTCATACGACCAATACTGGTGGAACAAGCTTCCCCGACCATTAAAATGAGCTAACAGGGATATATGGGGGCTTGAATAGCCAAATTAGACTCCTTTGGACCGGCTTCCCCACACATTCGAGCAAGCATCGGTGGTGGAGACCGGCACAACATTTAACCACTACCCCAACCTCCCCACCCTTGGGCTCAGAGCTTCCCCAGATCTTATAGAGGTGGCTTGCCGAACAGCTATAAAAGAGCTGGGAGATCGGAGTTTCACTCCATGCTCCAGCTCCAAGCTACACTTGATCTCCTGTCATCTTCTGGCACTTGACTCAACACCAACATGCGTTCTTCTCACCTGGCCCCAGTGGCTGCCATTGCCTACGCAACAGCTGGTTCGGCCACATCTTCTCTGAGCGACATCTGCACAGATGCATACGCAAAGACTACATTGCCTGTTGATGCAATTGATAGTATTACCATCGACACTTCCTCCGTTTCAACGAGCTTGGTCACCAACTTCACCGCCGAGTCGATTTTCTATCCTACATCAACTTTCGACTATTGCAATCTGACCTTTGCATACTCCCATACTGGCATTGAAGGCGATAAGGTCCATGTTCAATATTGGCTGCCAGCTCCCGGGAAGTTTAACAACAGATATGTGTCTACTGGTGGAGGTGGCTGGGCTATCAATTCGGGAAGCTCTTCGATCCCTACCGCGATTATCGTTGATGGGTAGGTCATTATTAGCCATATACTTCAAGGGCGTGTTCACTAAGGATTATCATAGTGTCGGCGGTTTGACCGATGGAGGCTTTGGAAGCTTCGATACTGAATTTAGCGAAGCGGCCTTGCTTGCCAACGGAACCATCAATTGGCAGGCAACATACATGTGGGGTAAGCTGTGCAACATTGGAATGTATTTGCCAAAGGCTGCTAACAAATGAAAAAAGGCTATCAGGCACAACATGAACTTGCTGTTCTGGGCAAGCAATTGACCCGAAACATCTACAAAGTGGCTTCCAGCAAGAAGATCTACTCCTACTACCAGGGTTGCTCCGAGGGCGGTCGTGAGGGATGGAGTCAGGTTCAGCGTTTCCCTGAGCAGTTCGATGGTGTTGTTGCCATGGCCCCTGCCTTCCGCTGGGCTCAACAGCAGACAAATCACTTAACCGGCAATGTCATGCAGAAGGACCTCGGCTCATATCCTTCCCCTTGTGAGTTGGAGAAAGTCATGAACATGACAATTAAGAGCTGCGATCCTCTCGACGGCAAGACCGATGGCGTCGTGTCCCGCTCTGACCTGTGCCTGGCCCACATTGACTGGGACAGTGTTAAAGGAGCTTCGTTCTCTTGCGCAGCAGCTGCCGGTTCCTTTGGATCCGCTGCTACACCCGCTGTGAGCGGCACGGTTAGCGCCAAGACCACCGAGCTTGTTAAGAAGTACTGGAACGGTCTCCATGACTCCAACGGCGATCTCGTCTACTTCAGCTATCAGCCCGGTGCCACCTTCACCGATCTTCAGACTGAGTACGACTCCACTACCAAGACCTGGGAGCTCGACATTAGCGGCCTCGGCGGTATCTGGATTGCCCAGTTCATCGACTACATCAAGGATGCCGAAAACATCGACAGCCTCGAAGGTGTCACCTACGACACCCTGAAGGAGTGGATGATCTTCTCCCAGGCCAAGTACGGCGATATTCTCCAGACCACCTACCCCGATCTTTCCGCGTTCCAAGCTGCTGGCAGCAAGGTTCTCCACGCGCACGGTGAGCAGGACTTCTCAATCCCCACTGCCTCCTCCGTCCGCTACTGGGATTCCGTCCGCCAGATCATGTTCCCCAAAAAGTCCTACCGCGCGGGCGCTGCCGCTCTCGATGACTTCTACCGCCTCTTCCTGATCCCCGGCGTCGGCCACTGTGCTGTCAACGACTACCAACCCAAAGCTCCATGGCCCCAGACTACCCTCCAGACTCTTATCAAGTGGGTCGAGGATGGCGAGGCCCCTGCGACTCTTGCTGGATCGGGTGATATCCCTGAGATTTGTAGATGGCCCTTCCGCCCTCTGTGGACCAACAGCGGCAAGACTTTCCAGTGTGTCTACGACCAGGACTCGGTGGATGCTTTTACCTATGATCTGACCGCGTTCAAGCTCCCTGTGTACTAGATTTCCTTCCTATTTTGTGAGAAGAGATAATAAAATATCTCGAAGAAGATCTCTATTGAAATTAGAGCGTATCTTAATTCAAGATAATACGTTGACGGCAATTGAAAATGAAGCATTTCATCATTTAAGTTTATTCCATCTGAGTAGAAACATCTAAACACTTTGTACACCGGGACATTTCGACTGGGTATCACAATGCAACATCTAATCATCCATAAGCTCAGCGAGCTCGCGTTCCTCCTCCTCTGTCAACATCGGTTCGCCATCCGTCTTTTCTTCTTCTTCTTCTTCTTCTTCTGGGCCATTCTTGGCCAGATCCACAGCCTTTTGCAGCTCATCGGGTCGTAGTGACCACTGGCGGATGGTACCATCAATGGCCACACTGGCAACGGTCGAACCCACAAGGGCCAGGCCAGTGACTTCTTCAAAGTGGCCTGAGAACGTATGATGGAGTTCTCCAGTCTGAGATGGGTTAGCAACTAGGTGCAAAGGTAGACCTAAGGATCATAGAAAACTTACAGATCGGTTCCAGACGCGCACCTCTTCGTCACGACAAGCGGTGACAACCCAGCCACCGGTTTCATAGACGACAATGTCTCGCACGAAGTCGGGATGTTCCAAGGTGAGGTTGGCCTTCCAACCGTCCGCCCGCACCAGACACTTGGCCGTCTTGTCGGCTGATGCCGTCCAGAGATCACCATCGTTGTCGAAGAACATCTTGTATACACTGGTTTCATGAGGCAGAAGAGGATCTAAAGGTTCCCCACCACCGAAAATCTTGAACTGTCGGATCTCACGGTCACTTCCCGCACTGAAAAGGACGGGCTGGTCATCCATTTCAGGATCGAAAGCGAGATCCTGAATGCCGCGAGCATGGTCCTTGAATGTCTCAATTCGTTCACCACTGGCAATTTTAAAAACAAGGATCTGTGCATCTGCACTGCCGGAGATGAGCAGGTCTTCTCCATGCAGTCTTACAGAGACAACCGACTTGACAAAGTCGTTATGTCCTTCGTATTTCTGTCGAGACTGACCCGAGGCAACGTCCCAGCTCCATACGGCCTTGTCCCAGCATCCGGCGAACAGGAGCTTGCCATCCGGACTAAGACAGACACTGGTGACTGGGGCCATGGGCCCTTTGAACAGGGCAGATGTCTCGCCCGTCTGAACTCGTTAAAAACAGAAGCGTCCTAGTAGGGAATTTACATAGGGACTTACTGCAAGAACAACTCTCCTCACCAGACCATTACTCTGCGCAACGTAGATCGAGCCATGATTCACCGGATCGGCACGGACAGCCAGAATCTTGCTCTGTAGCCTAATGGGGCTTCCATCGGTATTCTGGGACTTGGCGTCCTTCCGCTCCTGCAAGTCAAGGGAAGCGCTACGTTGTTAGTATGAGGATTTCAGCCGAATCAAAGTACTCACGACGTTTGAAAAAAGTAATCCCGATTTGAATTGGTCGCCATAGCTACCTACGTCCAAGAAGTCGGGGGAAAGTGAGCTCTCGCATTCAACCCACGAACCCACGAACCCACGACCCACTTCCAGCGCACAACCAAACTGCTCTCGAAGCTTCTGCGGTCTACCGTACCCCGAATCCCCCAAAACCAAACAGATTTTGCTTCCTTCTCTTCTCCCTTCTCTCCTCTTCTCTTCTCAACTCTCCCACTTCCCCCCCCCTTCCCACAATTTTCTCTCTTTTTCCTTTTTTTGTTTTCCCTGCTTTCTTATTTGCGCGATTCCCGCGCAGGCCGCCAAGATGGAGATGAACCATTTGATAGGGTCAGTCATCTGCACCTGCACCTCCTCGAAGAGGTTATGCGGCTGAGCTGGAGTTAACACCTGGCAGTCAGCGTTTCAACCTCATCTCCAAGAGCGATATTCGGTAAGGTCCATCTCCATTGATTCCTCGGACACCCTTGCTAATTGCCCCTAGCTACGTCGGTACTCTCCATGAAATCAACCCAGAGGCCTCCACCATCGCCCTTGAGAATGTCCAGTCATTTGGCACAGAAGGGCGTCGGGGAAGCTCGGGCGATGAGATTCCTCCTTCCTCAAGTATCTACGAATACATTGTCTTCCGGGGCAGCGATGTGAAGGATATTAGCGTCGCTGAAGAGGAGAAGAAGGAGGCCACACAGCCGGAACCCCCTCGTGTTCCGGATGACCCCGCGATCATGAGTGTAAGTCTATCTTGCTTCGTTCACCACAATTCTTTTTCTACATACCATCTGGCTGTACCACTTGACCGTGGTCGGCCAATTGATCAGATGATGAAATATATTCGGATGTAAACTCACAGACCTGTTCGGAATGCGCAAAACCGTGTCGATATTTTCCGTTGCCTTCCTTCTGATTGATCAATTACCCATTCTTTGCCTCATTGCACCTGTCTCGTCTTGATCGGACATTTTGCTGACTCGAAGCAAAATAGAACATATCGCGACCGGGTCCCGCCCCTGGCCTGGAGCAAGGTTCTGCTCCTGGCCTCCCTCAGGGCCCACCCCAGGGTCCTCCCCAGGGTCCTCCTCAGGGTGCTCCTCAGGCGCCTCAGGGTGCCCAGCCGACACCTCCTGGATACCCCCAACAGCCGCAGTATCCGCAGGGCTTCTACCCTCCCTATGGTGGACAGCGCTTTGGACCTCCTCCCCCCTTCCCTCCTGGTCCAGGTTTCCCCAACATGCCCTACGGTGCGCCCCAGGGATGGTACCCACCTCCTGGCCACGGCTTCCCTCCGGGTCCGGGCCAGTTCCCTCCTCAGATGCCCCTTGGCGGTCCTGGCCAACCCCAGCAGCGTCCTGGTCCCCCCGGCCCTGCACCTGGTCCTAAGCCTACCTCGGAGTTGCCCGTCGGTGACAAGGTCTCCAGCATGCCAGCTAGCCGAAATGCTACTCCTGGCGCTCAGAATGCCCCGACCCCACCAATTGAGTCTAAACCGTCTGTTGCTGAAGCGATCCAAGCACCGACTGGACCTATGGCCGCCCAGCGGAGCGGCCGCGTCGTCCCGGCTATCCCAATGGCTGCACCTAGACCTGCTATTCCTATGAACAATGGCCCTGCTCCTGGTGCGCCCGGTAACGGTCCTGCTGCCAATGCTACCTCTGCCGCTGCGGCCGCCGTCGCTGCTGCTATGGCCAAACTGCCACCTCCCAGCTCTCAGCAGAGACCCCGTCAGCCCAATATGTCTGTTGAGGTCATGACCCAGCAGATGAACGATATGCGGCCTTACGATAACAGTCGTGGCCGTGGTGGTCACCAGCACCGCGGTGGACGCGGAGGGCCTCGCCCCCACCCCCAGCACCAGCACAAGAAGATCGAAGTCCCTCAATCGGACTACGACTTCCAGACTGCCAATGCCAAGTTCAACAAGCAGGACTTGGTCAAGGAGGCCATCGCTACCGGTTCTCCTGCTGCTGAAGCGGAAGCTCACAGCCATGATGGCGAAGCTGATATCGGCAGCGATATCGGAACCGCTCACACAATAAACTATAACCGTGGCAGCTCTTTCTTCGACAACATCTCGAGTGAAGCTCGTGATCGTGAAGAGAACGCGATCAACCGCCTAGGCGGCCGCGAGTGGCGCGGTGAGGAGGAGAAGCGCAACATCGAGACCTTCGGCCAAGGCAGTGTTGACGGTAACCGGGGTCGGGGCCGAGGCCGCGGACGTGGCTATGGTCGTGGCCGTGGATACGGTCGCGGTCGTGGTTACGGTGGTTCTCGTGGTGGTCGTGCTCCCTCCTCCTCGACCGGTGTGCCCTCGCTGGGTTAGGTCGAGTCAATTCTTCCAACTCGTCTTCTAGCAGTAAATGCTATGATATCTCATTCCATCTTTTGGGATGTGTGCGTTCCTATGAATGAAACGACTGAACATGCTATTTTTTCTCGTCTCGGCGCAATGGGAATACTCGGTTTGGGCATTCGGGAAGGCAATTTTATGATTATTATTTTTTCGCGACTGGCAATAGGTGTTGCACATTTGTGCTTTTGGATTTCCTTTTTTTTTTTTTTTCTTTTTTCCTTGTCAAGCATACCCTCTAAAGCGTGGTTCCTGGTTTGCCCAATTTGGGCGGATATCTCACCTCTTATGTGGTCTTCGGAAATGAGACACGCAGAGGTTTTGCAACATGCAATCTCGTCACTGCCAATGGCGTGACTGAAGGTCGGCCATTGAGGCGACAGGCCATTTCACGCGAAATGTAACAACATATTTTGGAGAACATCCAATCAATCAAACAAAAGGAAAAAAGAGGCCGTTTGGTCTATCACACATTGTTCTCTTGTAATACCGTAGTTTTCCAGACCGTGTCAACACCACTGATGCAGGTAGTACCCTGAATGCAGATGCGGAGAAGGGTCTATATCGGCCTCTGACCAAATGTGGTCCCCTCCCTGCGACGTCAAATTTGAAACAGCCAGACCTACCAGGACCCAGGCTGAACAAATGGGTATGTGTTTCAACATGAGTGTGAGGAGCTCTGGTCTCGGCCGCTTATTGTTCTAATACATTTAGCACTCCATAATGGAGACGAACCATCTTTTGGGTTAAAGGCATCAATCAATGTCAGCCTCGGGAAATGTTCCATCTACTAGGACCTTCTAGTGTGCAACAGGGCGCTATTCTCGCTTCATATTCCCCCGCACTCTATGTCCCCGCCACAAAAGATAAGCCTGACATCTGGAAAACCGAACTTCCGTCCGTTTGCCGTACTCATTATCTCCAGCTCCCCGTCACTAGTTCTTGAATTCGACCAAAAACAGCCAAAGCGTGAACATGTCCAACTCTACCCAAGCCCCGGACCATTTACCCTGGGATCCCAACTGCATCAGATTTCCCCTGCTGAAGGAGCTTCCCCAATTGCCTAACGCACCCGAAGGCGCGGCGTGGGTTTGGGGCAAAGATGACCAGGTATGCGTCCGGACATCCTGTCCTCTTGCCGTAAAAATAATGAAAATAGCTAGGGAGATTGAACCTGTTGACGCCGCAGCGTGTCAAGGAATCGGCCAAAGATATTCAAACTGGAGAGATGGTGCGACTGGAGTGAGTTGCATACATACAATAGCCATATCAAATCAAAACGCTCATATTGAATCAGTCTTCCTCTAAACATGCCTGAGAAACCCGCCGCCGACCGCGAGGTGTTCCAGCACGCTATCAAGACCCTCATACCAGATATCGCATTCGACGACACCTACACTTTGAACACGCAGAGTAGCACCCAGTGGGATGGATTCCGACACGTAAGTATTTGCACACCTCATGTCAACTCAGCCTACTAACTACTTCATCAGTGTGCCCATTTCCAAACCAAGCTCTTTTACAATGGGGTACTCTCCACTCCAATTTTCTACAAACCAAACTAACCCCCCCAAAGGCCTCAAGCTCCGACTTCGTCGGCGATGCCTCCAACCTCCGTTGCAGCATCCACCACTGGGCAAACCATGGCATCGCTGGCCGCGGTATTCTCCTTGACTACCGCTACTATGCCCTCACCCACAACAAGCCCTACGACCCTTACACGCCCTACGAAATAACATTCTCCGAACTACAAGCCTGTGCCAAATTCCAAAACCTGAACCTCCTCCCCCAATCCCAAGGGGGGGACATCCGCATCGGCGACATCCTCCTGGTCCGCTCGGGCTATGTCGAGAAGTATCACGCCCAAAGCCCAGCCGAGCGCTACGCAACCGCGACGCGGTCCCCTGAGAACCTCGGTTTCGCGGGCCTCTCACGCGAGGAAGAGATGCGTGAGTGGTTGCATGATTGTTACTTTGCAGGCGTGGCGGGTGACTCGCCGATGTTTGAGGCATGGCCTGTTCAGGGAATGAATCATCTGCATCAGAGTCTGCTTGCGCTTTGGGGGGTTCCTATTGGGGAGATGTGGGATTTGGAGAGGTTGGCGGAGTTGTGTAGGAAGAGGGGGAGGTGGACGTTCTTTTTGACGAGTGCGCCTGCTAATGTGCCTGGTACGTTTGGATTTGGAAGGGTTTGGGGCTCGGAGTGCTAACTATTCGTGTAGGTGGTGTTGGGTCGCATGCTAATGCGACTGCAATTCTGTGATTTTAGTGGATATTCCGTGTTAGGTTGGGAATCCGGTGTTTTGAATGTTAGAGCTGACTGTGGATTCTGAGAATAGTGCATTGGAGTGTGTTGGGCTATATATCTCTAAGAGAATTGTACGAGCTGAGTTGTCCAGGTCTTCAGGGCTGCTTTTCAATCGGCATAACCCAGCCAAGAGTACCTATGGTAATCAAGCTACAGATACAAGAGGGCTCACCACTGATTCTTGTAGTCTTCAGATATAGTCTTTGATAAATCAATAGAGCCAGTCTAAGCCTATCAATTTAAGCTAGTTAGTCTTCTTTATTCCTTTTAGCTACAATATATACGGTATCCTTCCCCATTTACTTCAATACGAATGGTATTTGTTTCTTCTCACCTCAATCAGCTTTTGAACTGCAATTCAAGAAGTACACATTATTATTGACCTCGACGTATAACCCGACGGTCATATTACAAGGCTGCGTCAAAATGTTTCCCGGAATTATTACAAGGCCTCAAACCTACCAGAGATTATTCATAGTCTTTTAAGCCTAAGTCTAGGGTTGCTTGAAAGCGATGCCTATTCTCAGACGTATTTTCTTCCTTCTGACTTATGAATAACTCAAATATTCAAGTGTAACTTTGAGTATGCCTGGAAAGTTGGTCCTCAGAGCTGGCCCAGTTATTACAAGGTTCAGATCCAACTAGAAGTAGATACAAATGGTACCTCGTTGGTCCCCTGTAGTCGGTATCTCTGCTACAAGGTCGATTTTCACCTCGTGACGATGTCCCGCGGCGTCAAGTGCGTCTCCAACACAATGCGTCCCGAAGCCACACATGTCTTCTGGAACCCAGATGACTCTGGCACAAAAGAAACCAACCGTCCAGTTGTCCGAGGAATTTTGAAAGTGACTCCCTCTCATGCAGTGCGAGGAGTTGTTATGGTGATGATCATGATAAATCGAGATAAATAGATGCATAGAGGGGCATCGGCGATAGTGAGCTCACCTGCACCTTTGTAGAGAGCTCATAACATGTCAGAAGGAGGTAAATGATCAATTTTAAGGTCTCATATCTTCAATTGCTCTCCAATATTCACCTCTTCTCTCACCACAATCTTTCATCTTTACTGTCGGCAATCAAACAGCAAGACAGATTGTGACCGACTAGTTTCTTCATCCCCATCTTTTCTCTTTCTTGTCACTGACCAGAACATTCTGATCATATCACACCAGAGCGTCTTGATCATCGCCCACTAGGACTTGTTGCCTTTTTTACGTCCTGTTAATCTCACACCAAGACTTCTTGAATTTCATCGTTCTCAACAGCAACCATGGGTCTCCTTGAGCTACCACCTGAGCTTCTGCTTATCATCGCGGATCACCTTGAGTTTCAGAGTGATTTGAACTCGTTTGCGCAGACCAACCGATGCACATGGGCAGCCATCAATCGTTATCTCTATCGATTCAACATCGTCAATCACCAGGGTCATGGCATTATCAAAGCCACAAACGACAATCAGCAAAGTTCAATTCAATACTTCATCGATGCCGGTATCCGTGGGCTTGAATCCTGGGACTGCCTGCCCCTGTTTTTTGCTTCCGGACGGGGGTACGACTCGGTCCTCAGCACTCTTCTTGAGGCAGGTGCCGCATCAGACTTTGAAATGATACAATATGACCGACTCATAAGTCCACTGGTATACGCCTGCACCGGTGGACATGAGAACGCAGTGAACTTATTAATCCAATATGGTGCTGATGTGAATCTCAACATCCGTCCTCAGGCTCAAAGCCCTCTTCATACAGCGGCTTATTATGGGCATGAGTCGATCGTCAGGGTATTGATTCAGCGTGGTGCCAACATCGAGGCTACCGCTCAGAGCGTCATCGGCGATGGCCGGCCCCTTCACTTTGCCCTTCAAGGCAGGAAGCTCGATGCTTTCCGGATCTTGATAGCCAATGGTGCCACGGTGGACAGTTCTTTTTTTCACTGGGCAGTTAGTGCGGTGGGCAACGCATGGGAATTTTTGTTAGCGATTCTTGAAACTGGCATAGACGTCAATTGCCGCGGAGACAAATTCAGAGCTCCCCTTCACTCCGCTGCTATGAACGGCGGCACAGACGTCGCCAGATTTCTTATCCAGAAAGGTGCAGACATTGAGGCCAGAGATGCCTCGCTCAGTACCCCTCTACATATCGGTGCGTCCTGGTGCAACACCAATGTGATTAAGATATTGCTTGAGCTCGGTGGAGCAGATGTCCACGCACACGACCTAAAGGGTAATACACCTCTGCATCTTGTAACGACAGGCCTTGGAGATCATGACGAAATCGGCACTGCGACAATTCTTGTTGAAAATGGGGCTTCCGTCGAATCGCAGAATAATCATCGGGAGACGCCACTTTTTCTAGCTGTGAGAAACAAGTCAGTGGCCATGACCCAGCTCTTGATTGAAATGGGTGCCGACATTGAGCATCGTAACAAGCGGGGAGAAACGCCAATTTATTGTGCTCTGAGAACACATTCCAAGCCCATTATCCAATTGCTATATGTAGAGGGCTGTGAAACGGAGATTCAGAACGCTCGCGGAGAAACACCTCTGGATATTTCTTCCAAGCAAAATATCAGGACGAATAGGTTCTTTTGCGCGATGATGGATGAATGTCATAAACCTCAGCGCGAAGAGTTGGAGGAGACCAGAGAATTTTGATCACATTCGGCTGATAACAACCAAGCTAGTTCAAAACCAGACAATCAATTGATTTTCCCTGTGAATGCCTGACCAAATAATAGATTATGTACAGCTCCCCAAGCCTTACACGGGGTTTGAAGGATATATTTGGTTGTTTTTAGATGTCTTTTCGAACGCCTCCTAGTTACAACACGCCAGGAACAATATTCATGGACATCATAAAGCAGTTCACGGTATATAACTAGCCGATAGACAATATCTCAGGCATCATATGGAAGGCAAGTCTCAGAAGGGTTGTAAGCCCCTAAGATCCCAAGAGATGAAGTCGTCAAGTTGAAAGAGTGAAAGAAAAGCAGCAGGAGGCTGGAGAAAGAGGGATCTTTTAATCTCTCATGCTACAAGTGGCACTCCTCCAGGCAACAGCCTTCCACCAGTTCCTACCAAAACCTTGAAAGCATTCTTTAAAGATCGAGGCTGGAACAAACTAAGAAATAACACAGACACAGAATCCTCCTCCAACTGGCTAAAGCCCAAAACGAGCCATGTGGCCGAGTCACACCAGAAGTCTATACCCGAGCCGACAGTTCTCCTCTGCACTGTCGAATTTGGGCTTGCAATTTGATAATATGGATATATTAAAGTGAGATCACCCCCCTCCTTTGCCTCTTTATGTTATCCCGTTACGTTGATATATAGTTTCTTAAGTAGAGCCTGGGCGTCTATCATCGGCCAACATCGCACCAAGCTCGTTGTATAGTAGGTCAGTTCTTTGAGAGATCTTGGTAATAGACGTTCGATTGCCGGGGGCTGTGACCCAAAACACATTTCGCATGGTTGGGATACAGTCAACCCATCAGAAGAGCAAGACTTTCTGAGTCCGATGGGTTTGGTTGATCAATTTTTGGACCCTGGCTGGGACAATCGTGGTCTACAATTGTCTGGTAATTTGACTGTTGATACGCCTCGTCGGACCTGCCGTTCATCGGCGTTGTCCACGGGGTTCCTTTTATAAACCTATAGTACTGTGTACTCTTCTCTTATATGGATCATCACAGAACGTAATTGATTGTGGAAAGCATTGATGCAGACTCTAAGTAGCATGAAATCTATTTTATATCGGATGTCGTATTCACATAAAACTGAGATCCGAATTAACAATTAAGAAAGGGTCGCCAGGCCGGAGTCATCGACATTGCCATAGATCCACTGACTGAAATTGCTCGGAGCGGCCTGGTTGCAGGGAATGCCGGAGCCGTTCTGACCAACAACGTTCGTGCACTGGAACAGCTCATGCTGAACATCCGTGCCATAGTAAGGCAGACCCAGAGAGGCATTCACACTGGTGATGTTCACATTGTCAAAGGTAATGTTAGGGCAGGGGCGCTCGTCTGAGCAGTAGATAGACGAAGCGATATTGAACCGTGATGTGCCATGAATGTTTTGCCACTTCACGTCCTCAATTTGCAAAGTCGATGTATTACAGCCCTTGTTGGAATCGGCTGAGTAAACACACTGCGAAAGCTGAATCGGAAGCCCGACGTTGTCCATTTCAAAGTTACGGAAAGTAACGTTCTTCACGAGACCGGTTCCACCACCACCCCAGTCTCCATTGCTGGGAGTGTAGATGCGAGTGCCTTGCCAGGTCTTGATGTAGGCGCCGTCCATGGCGTTCTTGATTTTCACATTTTCAAAGGTGGCATTGAGAACGTAGTCAGGCATGTCGGGATATTGGCCGATAGATCCAATTGTAATTCCAGTGCCTCCCTCGCAGTAGATGTTCCTGGCGAGCAAATTCGTTGTGTTGCCCTTGGCCGCGATACAATCGTCGCCATTGATAATGGTGGCATTCTCAACAAGCAGAGTATCGCTCTTCCAAGAATCGTAGCCATCGGTGTTCATCGTTCCCCATTTGCTGTTGCTAGTCGCATTAACGAACAGGTTGGTGAGGGACACGTTCTTGCTATCCCAGACAAATGTGGCCCAGAACTGCGGCTGAATAACTCTCAGTCTGTCGACAAGGAGGTTGGTCGAGTTATAGAAAGTGATACTCATTGGACGTCCCGGCTGGTTTGACTCATTCCTGTTTGCATTGTACCAGACTTGGCCCTGGCCGTTGTAGAAGCCGCCCTCGCCATAGAAGTTCACGTTTGTGCCTCCGAAGAGCCAAGCAGTGACCTGATCCTGCAAAACAACACTGATTGAGTGTGTTCGCCAGTAGGGGATGTTGGTAGAGAAGCGGAGTTCACCACGGAGATGAACGTCACAGTTGAGCAGGTTGGTTGTGTTGAGAACGGTGTTGACATGGAACACATTGTCGGAGAAAATAACTGTTCCGTTCGTACCACAAGTCTCAAAGGCTTGCTGAATAGATGGAGAATCATCAACAGCTTGCCCCTTATGAACTAGGGATTCGGGGTACAAAATACATGTTGTTCCTTCGTTGACGACCCAGGCCTTCACCAAGGTGACCCACAAAGCAAGAAACCACAGATTCATGACGTATATTGTGCTAGGGCTTCAATGACTGCAGATTGAAGACTCGCGTCTGAACTTGCTCGCAGAACCTGCTCATTTCGAGGAGAAAAGTCTTTTATATAGCCCAGTAGGGCATGAGGTACCCCCACATGCATGGGGAGCCTCCTGGAGAAAACATGACATCATATATGACCCCAGTGGGAGCCCCAGTCTCCTCGGGTTAAGCTAATAGCCCCCTTGTACAGTATAGACATGAAAATACGGCATCTACACAGGTAGCTCTGCAGAAACGCTCAAGCGGCTATTGAAGCCAAAGGTTTTAATTGCCGAACCATGAAGCGGGGTGATTGGGTCGGGAACTCTCCGAGAAGTATTCAAATGTTGATTCGTGCTTCCGATGGAGACTTTAGTCATGCCCGGCTTCTCATTAACGTTGAAAAGGCTTAGTTTCGGAATATCACTTGCTTTCAACCCCATATTTGGTAGTGAGGGCGATGATCCTCACTAGTTGTCAAGCCGTTTCGTGACGATCATCCCACCTTTTCCAGTGTGCCCGCAATATCGGCACCCCATCGGGTAATGAAGCAAATCGCTGAAGTCACCCAGTTGAACGAAATACCAACTGAGGATAAACGTTACGGAACTCTCCGCCACTCGGCATATAGTCACCCCAGGATTACCTCGTCAGTTTTTGCGTCATAAATGGCGCATTTTGAGCCTCGTTACGAACTCCTGTCCCTGAGATCGGAGCCGACCGGCTCCCCGGAATCTAACCGATCGGCATCATTAGCCCCCGGAAATGTTCTTCTAAACCCCCTGCACTTGCTACGGCTTCCGTCCTCTCGGCCCGGTTGTGACGGGTTGACTACCGAAAGGCCTATTTGTTTCTCAGATTTTCGATTTTTAAAGATCTTGTCAACTGGCCATGCGAAAAGACGGGGGAAATTCTGCCTTGGAAATCCGTTGCTCGAATTCTTCACTCTTGCTCGCTTTTCTGTCAAGCGTGCAGAGCGCCAAGCCGTCAGAACCACACTGATGACTTCCCCACTTTACAATAAAAGGAAAGAAATCAAGGAAGTGAACATCAAACGGGCCCAATGTAATGTAACTTTCTTATCCTAGATGGTAGATGGGATGCTCGTGTTTATTCTCAACGCCATGCTTAGATGCTCTAGGATTAGTGGTCTATTGAATCTCCCCAGAACCTTGGAATCATCGGATTTCGGATTTCTTTGCAACAAATGTCTCCCTCTCCACAGAATCGTCAACCACCTTTTCATCAAGGGTTGCTTCTTTTCCTTCAAACGCTTTGTCGATGTCCTCCAGGATGCGATCCTTCGTGTCCGGGAAAACAAAACACACCACAAAGATGAGCACGCAAAGGAGACAACAAAACACGATGTATTTCGTGTCGTAGATGACCTTCAGTCCAACAAGTTTACAAACATCCCAGAATTGAGGGACAGATTCGTCAATTGACAGACCTAAAGAACGTAGCTTGAAGAGCGAAACCTCAATTGTATGGGAGTAGAGCATTGGCGTCTACGAAATGTCAAAGAAAAAACAATGAACACGAATCCTAAATCAGCTAGGCAATCATAGTTGTGGACACTGCAAGTAGGAAACGAGAAACGGTGAAAATAGCGATGTTCTAAGACGCCGGCTGGATTGCAGCAAAGGGGACCATGCCCGATAGTCCGATCAACACAGGTACTCAACGGCCATATTTATCGCTGAGCCATGGTATTAGAAGGGTTTCAAGAGTTACTTGTACATCTTGAGCCGTTAATGGTATTCTTGCCCGTTGTACTGCAATCAGACGCTTTATTCAGCCACCAGGTTTCTCCAGGGCATTAAGAGGCTTTATATCTCCGATGTCAAAGCTCGTCTATGGGGAAATGAAAAGGCTCCCACGAGCAGCTGTTAAAGGGCTGCAGTTATGGATCTTCTCTTGCTCGATCGCTAATCCAGATTTACTATAGCTCGCCACCGCCGCCAGCCAAGGTTAACCAATCAATATGCAGCACGAGCGAAACATGTTCATCAATTTCCCATTTTCCACGCTCGTAACGGAGGGAATACGAAAGATGAAATGCCGTCATGGATCGTGGAGCTAACCATGAGCCACTTACAGGTTCTATGGGTTATAATACTTTGTATGGGACATGAAAAAGGTCCACAGAAGCAAAAAAGACACAACCGATTCTCTCAAGCCACGATAGCTAAGTTCTCATATCTGCGCAGCTTCTTCAAAATCTTACAGCCCTGGAAATCACCTGCGGTGACTATTTCCGCCAGAAGACAGGAGTCCAGTTCGGGTAAGCTAGAACTGTGCTTGTCTAAGTACACGATTAATCGACGAGACATACAGGTACAACTTCAAGGACGTTGCATCCTTGACCGCTCCTACTGCAGCATGAAAACTTCAATGTTATTCTGGAGCTGAAGGCTACCATTGTGTTTTTGCATTTTCCTCGATACTGGAACATAATATGTATAACCAGAGCCTCAGAATATGCCACAATTATGGGTATGCCTAAATATTGTTTCTTGAGAGTTTCAACATTTAGATCAAATATCGGAGCGTAGAAGCTCTAATAAGGCTGCCTGGGTGGTTTCCCTATTGGGGAATGTGGAGAAGGCGGGCATTTTTTGTCGCGGAATCGACTCACTCGAGTTGACGACTTGGTTTCCCCCACCTTCGTGACACCACACCACGTTCTCCGGTGTCTAGCAGCTCGTGTGGGTATTCGCAGAGCTTCTTGATCAACTATCTGTGCTATCCGGTGCCCTTTCCCGCTACAATGTTCAAGAAAAAGCCTACAGTGAGTGATCGCCCTCTCCCCGCACTGCCCCTCCCTTAGAAGCCATCCTCTGCGCTGCCTAAAGACGATGCCAGAGGGCTCAAAAGTACTATTATATTGATACCATGACAGATCAAGAACCTGTCTCCGTTGCGGTCTTCCGACCGGAGAAAGATTGCCGACCAGATCATCAAAGACTACCAAATCTCCGTTCCCTCCTCCGAAACGAGCTCAGATGCACCTAGTGCAGGATCTGCCACAGTTCCAACCCTTTCTTCGATCCGAAGTGCCTTTCTTCCTGATAACACTCAGACCGCGCGCTTCACAACAACCGCTGGACCGGATTTAAGAGAGGTCCAGGGTATTGTCTACGTGGGTGCCCACGCAGGCGAAGAAGAACGAGTATTGTGGTTCAAGATCGAGCATGGCCCAGGGTACGACAAGCGCCTGTATCCTACCGTATACACATTATGGAACAACCCGAATCTGGTTCCTTTGTTATATACCCCGGATATGGTGATGCGGAAGCTCCAAGGCGGAGCTGATCTCATGACGCCCGGCCTTGCAAACGAGCCTCCATTCCCGGAGAAGGCCATCAAAAATGCTGTTGTCGCGGTTGCAAGCTGTGATAAACACACCGTCCCAGCATTTGTGGGGATTTGTGAGATTGACGTCTCAGCACTTGGTAAGGTCCAAGGTACAAAGGGCCATGCTGTTCGAGGCCTTCACTGGGAAGGTGATGAATTGTGGGCATGGAGTTCGTCCTCGCGGCCCGGGCGCCCTGGCCCCGAGTACATCCAAGGATGGGATGAAGAAGAGACCGATGACGTGGAAGAAGGTGTTGGTGAACTGACGCTTAATGAGAAGGAAGATGGGGCTGCCGAGAACACCGATGATATCCCCGGGGAGATTGCTTCCCCCGGTCCAGAAGAACCCGCGGAGGAAGTCAAGGAGCCTTCAACAAAGGGTATGCAGTATTTACAGCCTACCAGTTCGCCGATATATTTGCTAACAGTATTCAGAAATTGACGAGGCCTTTGTCCAAGCGTTCATTTACTCCCTCTGGAAGCTCAAGCAAGATAACCCCTCAGCCCCTACCCATGGTCTGACGCTACCCGTCTCACCCTCGATCTTGATTGCCAACCTCATCACGCCTTATCTGCCAATCTATTCAGCACAGGAAGTGCAGTTCTACAACATTAAGAAGACTAGCTGGAAGAACGTCAAGAAATTCATCAAGCACCTCGACAAATTGAAGCTTGTCAAGGCAAAGGATCGCAGTGGTGGGGAGACGTACGTTTGGGATGTCGACTTCGACGACCAGCGCATTGGTAGATTCGTTCCGTACAAGCTACCATCAAAGGCGGCCCTCGAGAGCGGTACTAAGCCGGCCTCTGATGGCAAGAGGCCCGCTGCGACTGATAGCGGCGATCCAGCTATGGGACAAACTCTCATAGTCCAAACCCTCTACCGAGCAACAGGAAAGCTTTGTCCAGACATTCTCCCATCTCTGCCCCCCAGCAACCCCAAGAACTACTACAAGTACTCGGATATCTCGAGTCATCTGGATAAATACCTGCAGTCACAAGACCCGCCCATTGTTTCAAAAGACAACCGACGTATCATCACTCTCAACCCCTACCTCGCAAACACCATCTTCACGTCAGGATCCTCCGAGGATCAAGGTACCCTGAAACGGGGCATGGTGACACGTGATGGCCTGCTGAAGCGGATTATGGAAGACATTACGCTTTTGCAACCACACTATGCCATCTTAAAGCCAGGACAGACTCTCGCAGATGTCAAGCCCAAGGCAGGCGCCACGCCTAAGGCCCAAATCACCATTGAGAAGCGCACCGGCTCGAAGCTTATCACGAAGGTGACAAACTTGGAGGTATTTGGCATCATTCCCAGTCTTTTGGCAGAGGAGCTGCAGAAGAAATGTGCTAGTAGCACAAGCGTCACGCAGGCCAATGGTGCTCCCAAGGGTGTAATGGAGGTCTTGGTGCAAGGTGACCAACGGAAAGCTATTGACACGGCTCTTACGCGACGTGGCTTGAAGAGTCAATGGGTTGAGGTGGTGGACAAGACCAAGAAGAATAAATAGGCAATGTACGATATCTAGCCTAGCAAGATATCACGACATTGGCCTGAAATTGCCTTCATCATGACATAATGGATTCATACTTGAAACAGCCCCGTACTACATACTATAGATTTACATTGGTGGTTATGATTGAGCAGTCTAACAAATCCATTCAAGAAAGTATATATAAAAGGGACCCCATAGGCCCTTCATCTCCTTAGAAGGAGGAAAAAGAAAGCAAATGTAACTATTGTTACAGATCGACACGTCCAAAAATGACCTCAAGAGACAGGATGCCAGACCCAGGTCGAAAAGAAAGAAACTAATTCATTGCAGCCGTCAGAAAGGACAAGGTGTTCTGGCTAGATGGTGCAAGTGCATCTTTTTAGTTGGCGAGGCTGGTCAGGTCACGGGCGTGCTTCTTGTCAGCGACGAGCCATCCGAAGGTCTCACGCAGGAGGTCGAGGACCTGACTGGCGCTCAGAGTGCTGAGGTAGGAGGTCCAGTCATTGTAGTTGTAGTGGCTGGGCTCGGAGGTGGTGGTAGCGGTGGAAGCAGCGGTGGTGCCAGTGGAGCCGGAACTCTCAGAGCCCGAGGAAGAACCAGAGCTGGAGCTAGAGTCGGAGGATCCGGTGGAGTCCGAGCCGGTGCTAGGGGTGGAGGTACTCTGGGCTGACTGACCCGCCGCACTGGCAGTGGCGGTCACGGTGTCCACGTTCTGAGCGCTGGCGGTCTGGAAAGCAGGCTGGTCAGTAACCTGAGCAGTAACAGTGGTATCAACGACGGAGTCGACAGTGGCAGTAGCATGATCGGTGACGGTGGCAGCACTCTGGACATTCAGGGGAACAGTGGGCTGCGTGAACTGGGGGCGAGCAGAAGCAGGGCCACGGCTCAGGGGAACCCGCGTGGAGTTGCGGAATGACGGGACCGATGGGAAGGCTGAGGGGCTCCGGATAGGGGCAGAACTGACAGTAGTGGCGGCGGAGACCGCGGCAGCAGTGGTAGAGGCAGCGGCGGCGGCGGCAGTGGTGGTGGTGGCAGAGGAGGCAGAGCCGGCAGTGTACAGAGCGGGACCGGGGATGTCATAGGTGCTCAAGGACTGGTAGATGTTGACCAGGATGCCCGCGTCAGTGTTCTTGTAGAGCTCTGTACCCAGGGTACCAGTGGGAGAGTCACTGCCACCACCGGTAACCTTCAGGTTCAGACACTGAGGATAGTTCTGAGCGCCATTCGTATTCTCGGCAGAGTGCAGAGCAATAATTTCGTGGCGGAGGACGTAGTTACCGGACTCGATGGTGCTGGGGATAGTAATGGTACGGCTGTTGTTGTTGGAGATCAACTTGTCGGTGGCCCAGGTGCCAGGAACGTCAGCGTCGTCGATCAGGCCGCCTGCATCGATCTTGAAGAACTTCAGATCGGTCTTGGTGACATCAGAGCAGTCGCCGTTGCAGTTGGCGAGGTAGGTAATGACAGGGCCGTGGTGGCTGGAGGGCCAGTCAGTCCACTGCAGCTCAACGCTGCCACCGGCCTTGACGGGAGCAGAGATAGCACCGGGCTTTCCATCTTTGTGGCAGATGATGTTGGCGTTGGCATATTCGGAGCCGTCGATGTAGCCGTTGTCAGTCTCATCCTCGGACCAACCAATGGTCTCCGGGGGATCAGTCTCGTAGTTGTACTGGTCGACGAGGTATCCACCGTAGTAGGTGCCGTCAACAACGGCTCCAGAGACATAGCCGTGGCCAGCCACCAAGGCGGCGGATCCGAGGATCACTCCAGCAATCTTTGACATAGACATATTTTCAGTCGCGACAAGAAAAGACGCACAGCGTTAGGGTCCGAGAAGGAACGTAGTCGGGAGAAAGAACGTAAAATGGGGACGTCAAGTCAACCCGGTGAAGAGAATGGAAAGGTACTAGACCTTGAGAAAGAATGGAATGCGAAAAGACTGGTGATGAAAAAGATCCAAGCTAAGCAGCGGCTCCCATCTGGCTCTTTTATATCCTGCTGTTCGGACGTCGTCCGCGGCATCATAGCTCTTTCGAGGTCAGGGCAGCCACGCCACACTCGACTTTCGTGACAGGTCCAACATGGCATACCCCTTAATTCAACGGGTGTTTCTGTGTTCCTGGTCGACCCTTCCAGCATGGCACTATCGGCCATAGGTGGAGAATCTCCACGACCGAAAGGGGAGTGTTCCGAGGTATGAAATAGATGAACGAAATCATCTCCCAAGCCGCCGAGCTCCTGTAGGGACTGAGATTAATTAAGCTCTAAAGCCCACTTAGAGGGTTCAGGGCTTGGTCCAACCACTAGAAGGTGCCTGACGATCCAGCGCGGCTGTCTGCGACGAACGACGTTTCATCTCGCCGGTCAAACTCCTTCGATTGGCAATTGGCCCCTGCGAGCAGCCAGGTGTATATCATCACTTCCTCGATCAATCGGTTTATCCAAGTTCCTGCTCGGAGTAATTTCGTTGCTTAAAAGCTTGGCCTCTGCCAAGGGGGTCACCGCATGGTCCACACCGTGGACGATGTGGATGCCGGAACAGTTTAGTTGTTTGAAACAGATTTAACCGATGGCTTTAGCCGTGCTAGACTTTGTCTGATTAAATCAATAGAACATGTACACTTGAAACGGCGAACAGTCTTTCCAAACTGTCATCGCTAAGTCAAAATCGCCATTAGCGGGCTGCCAAAAGAGAATTTCCTCCACGGAAGGTGTGCTAGGGCCAGGTGCAAAGGTACCGGGGCTCAAGCTTTTGTACTCGCCGTCTCGAAGACGATTTATCTGATATCTCGGCGTTTGTGATGATCGTTGACCATAGCGATCACACAATTTCTCAGGGTTCCCTGAAGCCACCGAGCCCCATGAGAAAGAGCATCATTCATTCCATGATGAAGGAGGAGCTGCGGCGCGTACCCGAAGAATTATTCTGAAACCTTCGGGGGGCTCGGCACGCCGCACATAGCGGAGTCCGACCACTCTGGACCTGCGCGGTATCGATCCTTTATTAAAAAGCTGTCCTGGCCGAGACATTTGCATATAGTCTAGGTCCAAGTCCGGACCGGTCTACACCGTTGAATTCTATCATGGGCGGCCGTTATTCGTTATTATGTGTTTCCCTTGGTCCTGTAGCTAGAGAGTGGCAATCGCGCTAGACAACGCCGCCTCTCAGCACGTTGTGGGGCATCTCGAGGGAGGCAATCCTGGTAGAATTTGCAACATTAGTCGATGATCGTTGTGAGGTCAATTCGAGCACCTTCCCAACCCCCACGGGGCCTGGACGCAGATCCGAGGGCAGCCAAGGTGATCTGGCCGTTGAGCGGCATAAAAAGCGGCTCCCTAGCCGACGACTTTCGCCGATATCCTTCCGGGAAATGCTCGCATCTCTCTGGGTTTGGGCCCAATCCAATTGAGTTCTGTATGTGGCGTACATGAGTGGCTGCATAAGAACCTGGTACTTTGGCTCTTGGACCTTCCTCTGGGCCAGTACTACTGATAGCATGGATGATCTACGGCTGGCGATAGGAAAGTCTTCTGCGAGGATGACTGAAAGGCGATACTATCTCATAATCAAGGTCACTTAAGAGATCGGGGACGAGTGGGACAAGGGCGATAGCGTAACACAATCCGTGCGAGGATGATAGCCGGGCTCGTGTTCTCGTGTTCGTCATCGCCAATCTACGAGGACATGGCGCTCATGCAGTGTCTAAGCATTGGCGGGCCAGTCCGGGCCGGATGTGAGAAGGGGGAAGTCCCTTGCCAGGTGGATCAATTTTTCCATCCAAGTCGAATGCATTGAAGACGAGGATGAAAGAAATTCAGGCCAACGACAGTCGAAGCCGGGGTAGTACAGTATGTTAATCTTGAGTGGGAGTTGGAGTTGCAGCCGCATAGAGAGACAAAGATGATTGTTTTTCGAGGAAGAGCAAATCAAATCAACGCCACGTAATCTCAAAGCCATTGGTCACCGTATTGGTCACCGCTCTCACTGCCTGAGGTGTCTGCGTCTCTTCTCATCGTACCTATACGTACTGCGTTTCTTTCCCGGGCTCCGAAAATGCAGGAGACTCGAATTTCATGAAAAATCCATTCTGCAAGGTCTACCTACGCAAGAAAATACCCCGTCGAGCACGTCAAGTATCAAGCGTCACCTCGTCACCCACGTTGTTCCCGGCTGTTCTGCCAGTCTCGATCGGCACTCTCAGTTTTCCCGCTCCCCTTTCTTGACTCCACAAGGCAGTCACTTTCCCAGGACCCCAGCACTCAACAACTCATCTACCCTCGCTCTTGTTCCAGGAATCATGGTCTCGGGAGACCGGTCCTGGTACACTGCGTGAGACAACTCTTCTTATCTACGACCATTTCGTTCGCCGATCATCACTTCCCCGGCCCGCTTCCCCAACAACCCACACGCGAGCATCGGTTAGGATCATAAATACGACGAAGGTCACAGGTCGCACTCACCTCCCCCTGTCTTCAAGGACGAGTGATTCAAGGATCAAAGAAGCATGGGACCGACAGAGGCTCCCTGCTCACCCGCCTTCCCTTCCCTAGACCCCATCATCATGGACGACGAGATGGAGTCCGCATTCCGCAACGCCAACATGGATTTCCTAGACCCCACGCAACTGGATATGCCCTCAGATACGGCTGGAGGTGACTTTGACGACCTCTTCTCCCATGTCACCAACGCTCGCTCCAACGGCGCTCCCGAGTCTTCCAAGCATTACCAGAACCAGCACCTCCTGAGGCAACCATCTGCCATGACCGCCGATTCCCCAGCAGAGTCCCCGGACAACTCGAGCCGCAGCTCTTCGTCAGAATCACCAAGAATTCATCTGCGCCAGACCTCAGTCGCATCCACAAACTCCGTCGCCCACAGCGAGAACCAATTGCCGTCCGCCGGATTTCCCTCGGAAGATTGGATGCGCCCTGACTTAGCATCAGTCAAGGAGGAATCACCGTTCACGATAGAACCGTCTTACCCAATGGATGCTGGGTTCCCAGACTTGGAGTCTAGCAACAAGGCCATGGATGCGGCATTCGACTTTGAAAGTGCGGCGAGCAGCCCTAGTCCATTAAAAACCGAGAACCCCCCTCAGCCCAATTCTCAGCATCTAACTAAGTCACATATTTGGAGTCCTTCAAGTGCTTCGGCTCAGCCGGTGTCGAACGACGCCGCAGCAGCATCATCAGTGAGTCATCCTGACCCTCAACATGTCTCAACATATTCTAATTGATAATCCAGGTTCATGCGCCTGGGTCGCCCTTTTTCTCCTTTGGTCTTAAAGAGCAGTCTCCCTTTTCTGGGTCTGCCCATGGTTCCAGACTGTCCGCTGCGCATCCGCAATGGGGTGGACACTCCCCGTCCTCACTTTTGGAGGAAAGTTTTGGAGGCATCAATATGAACGGACACTCCCCGATGAATGCGTCGTTATCACCCAGCATGAACTTTGGCTCCCCGGCCTCTTTCCCATTCCCGATCAACCTCGCGTCTTCCCCGGCCCAGCATCAAATGGATACCACAAACTCTGTGCAGCCCGTTCTGACGGTTCATCCGACGTCCTTGAAATCTCGCGTCGAGACCCAAATCCCCATCCGATTGACACTATCTCCGTTGCCGGTTGGCGTGAAGAAATTGCGCCTGCCATCACACACCATCTCTAAACTCAAATTCCTCGCCCCTCCTTCTACCGATTCCACCCCCGACACTCTCCGATTGTACACCAGTTTGGTGTGCACGAGCGCAATGCAGGACCGAGAAAAGTTAAAGCGGGCTTTCGCGCGGACTCGAGGTGAGAGAAACGCGAATGGTGTGGAAGAGGAGCGACCATTGGATGGTGGAGATGTCAAGATTTGTGGAGGTTGTATCCAACGAGAACGAAAGCGCGCTTCTCGTAAGAAGCAACGGAAGCCCGAAGAAGATGAGCTCTTTCAAAAGGACGAAGAGAAGCGTGTGATTGTGTTCAACACGAGCGAGCTCAAGGAATGGACCGAGCCACCGAAGAACGCTTCTTCCGGCTATAATGAAATGCCGCTCGCTCCCCCGGGATCGATGCAGGTGGAGCTCCCTATGCGCATTGCATGTTACTGTCGTCACCAGAATGAGAAGCTTGGGTTCCAGGTCATTTTCACCGTGAAGGATCACATGGACAATGTTGTCGCTCAGGCTATCACCAACTCCATCATGATCACTGATGACCACAAAACGCAAGCTCCCTCTGCACCTCCCACTGGCCCTGCGGCAGCTATGTCTGACGGATCTTCGTTGCCCGGTGCTGGTGTATTCTCATCCGGTCTGAATGGCGAGAACGGCAAGGCCAATGGGGCGTTTGCGTCCCCGCAATCTCCGACTGATCTTCAGGGTCTGCAGCAAAGGTTCAATTCGCAGTATCAATTGACGCCGAGCTCATTTGCCGCTGCTCAAAACTCAGCCAATGGCGTGTCGTCAACTTCCCAAACTCCCCGTAGCTTGTCTCGACAGGCTTCGCCAACGGATTTCCAGGGCCCGCAGACGAAGAGGCGGAAGCACAGCAGCTCAGGAAGACTCCCCTCGGAACTTACAATGACGCGGATGGAGACGCCTCAATCATCGAATTCAGCTATGACCAATTCTGCACAGCTTGCCGCTGCCCGGGGTTTCACTTCGCCGACAGAGCGACCATTTGTGACACCAACGTCCATGTCCGGGCAATATGGCAATGGACCTCCCACCCCCAATCAAGCCAACGATAACAACAACCCCTTCTTCAACCCTACACCTGCCCAACGACAAAGCTTGGATAGTTTGGCCCAGCAACCTATGGGGTCTGGAGCTAATTCGGCCCAGCCCAGTCGTCCTAGTACTCCGGGTGCTTCAAGTCGTAACGGCTTCCAGGATCCAAATCTTGCTCTTGCCCTTGGTCCCAATTCTGCAAGCCAGATTTGGCCTCAACTCGCTACTACTCCCAATCGGCTGCCGTCGGTGATTCATAAACTTGTGCCCGCGGAAGGGTCGATTACTGGAGGCACGGAGGTTACATTATTGGGCAGTGGCTTCTACCCCGGTATGGAAGTAGTCTTTGGTGATACTCTCGCAACTACCACCACATTCTGGGGCGACAAGTGCTTGAACTGTTTGACCCCCCTGCTCTCCAGCCGGGTCTAGTATCAGTGGTTTTCAAGCACGAACATCCCACTTTCGGTCAAGTGCAAACGCCTCAACCACTCATGCCGAAACAACAATTATTCTTCAGATACGTGGATGATCGTGAGCTACAAATGTATCGCTTGGCGCTTAACATTCTCGGACAGAAGTTGGGCAATCAAGCGGATGCATTCCAGACAGCTCAGCAGATCATGGGAAGCGACCCGAATGCTATCTTCAACATGCAGAAGGATATGCAGGGTGGTGGCTCCTCTGGCGGCCATCAGCGACAGGTGCCTGGACACGAATCTCAGGGCAAGCTCAGCGATCTTGATTCGAAGATGCTGACCTACCTAGAATTCATCGATCTTGACGATAGCCCGCGGCCCCCGCGCTACAACTCGCGCAGCACGACTGGCCAGAGTCTTCTTCATTTCGCGGCCTCGTTGGGCTTGACCCGATTTGTCGCTGGTCTTTTGGCACGAGGAGCTAACCCCGATGTACAAGACAACACGGGCAACTCGCCGATGCATCTGGCAGCTCTGCATGGTCACGCTCACATTGTCCACCGACTCCGTCTGACAGGGGCCAATGCCAATGCTCGCAGTGTGCGTGGCTTCACCCCTGCTGATCTGGCGACCACTCTCCCTGCTCACCAGGCCGCTTTGCTCCCATCTCGTCACTACAGGTCTCGCAGTGTTGGGTCTCTCGGTTCCCGCCGCAGGCACAGCAGCACCGCCTCTCTCAGTTCGCTTTGGGAGGCATCATCGGCTTCCGGTTCATTGGGTCATGCCGTTGACGATTCAAGCGATCTGGAAGATGAAGACGAGGATAGTGAAGACTCCGATGGCAACCCTGTACACCTGAGCATGTCTCGACGATCAAGCATGCATCAAGATATCAATCCGCCGGTCATGGACACAGTTGAACCGCCTGCGGCACCGGGTGATGCTCGTGGATTCTCTACGCCGGAAACTATCGTCGCCTGGCGGAACCAGCTGGCTGCACAGATTCATCAATTCCAGCAGAGCGTGGCAAATGCCTTCCCGAACATTCCCGCTCTGCCTCCCATGCCAGCTTTGCCTGATTATCAGGCCAATCAAATGATGCGTCGCATCACTAATCTGGTACCTAACCGGCCCACTGCTCGAGAGGGTTGGTGGGATCTGTTGAAGGGCAACACCGCCCAGGGTCAAACCTTGCCTCCTTCCTACGACGAATTGTACCCACATCAACAAGACACACCAGAAGATGCTGAGATGAAAAAGTCTGCTCTCCTGCATGCAGCCACGGAGGCGGCGATAGACCAGCACTTCGAGGCACAGAGCAACGTTGCCTCCTCCTCTGCATCCGCTTCTACATCAGCGGCTGCAGTCACTACGGAGCGTCCTAGATCAGCCAAGGACGAACTGAAGGACATAACAATAGGCCGAAAGGTCATTTCGCGTGAGCAACAGAAGCATCTCCGAGAGCACCAGGCCCGCCGGATGAAGGGTCTGGGCAGCGACCGGAACCTTTACTTCGTTTGGGTAAGTTTTCATCATTCACTTCACAGCTTGTAACCCTCACTAACGGTCCTTAGATTCCTCTTCTGCTTCTTGTTATTTTCGCATGGATTCGCAACTACGTGCCTGGTATCTGGCAAGGCGTTACGGAAATCTATGATTTTGTGAAGGCTCGCGCGACACAGCGGGCTGTGGAAATGGGCATTTAGGGATCTTTTCTTTTGTTTTCTTTTTCTCCTTTGCTGTCTTTGGATCCGGTGTTTCCGTCTGAGCGAGTTGACTCAGCCTTATCTCGTGGCTCTTCTGCCTTTCTATTTTTTTTATTGGCTCTGCAATAATGACAGACTACGACTAGATATACGTTCAGCTGGAGGGTCGATTTGGCCCCTTCAGTTTGCCTGCATAGATAAATGTGTTCACACAATTGATTTTTTTTTCAAGTACCCTCTCTAGATCTGTATACTTATTCAACCTTGGAACTGCGCAGGTGTTTACCCTAAGTCATCCAGGTTTGGTGCTCCGAGTTCTGGTGGCACTAAACTATCCCGGTTGAACGAGTCAGTCCCGATGTCCACCAATGGGGCGTCTTCCTTCTAACCGTGTGCTGCTAGATGTCAGGACAGCATGGTAGCAAGGTTCTTTGTACACGAACTGTGTGATGCCTGGATCCGATGGTAGAGTCCAGTCAATGTCAAGTTCCATCTTCTGGGTAAAGCTTCCAAACTCCTGTAATGCATCATTGGTGTTAAACGGAAAAGATTCCCCGATCAAAGAAGAGTATCGGAATGGGTCCTAGCGTTCGAGAGAGACGGTGGAAATGGGGATCTCCGAACGCTGTAGATGTATAAGCTCATAGTATGGCTCTACTTGGTGATTCTCAATAGGCATATATGGTTTCTGGTTCGAGTTCACATCATGGAGTGCCTCTAGAATTGGAGGTTCTTGATGCGAGGGGCCTTGGTGTTGTTTCAAAAAGTCACGCCGTGTAAGAGTAGCCCCGCATGTAAATTTGAATGTTTCTCATTTGTATTTGGAATCATGATCAGCAAGATTACCTTGTCTTAGATTATCCGCACAATGCCGTTGGAGGTGTTCATGGCGACGATATTGGCGATTGCAGGGGGGGGCATGTCTTGGGCTTCGTCTGGCGACCTGGAGACATGATGGAGGACTTTGGTGACTCCATTTCCTAGCTTCTCAATAGGTTTGATTGAAATAAGAATTGGGTAGAGACTTCAATGCAAGTCCATGGAGGTTAGTCAGTTGGAGGCTCGCCTGCAATGTGGGTCATGAGAACCTTCATGAATCCAATTCATCGACAAAGTGCGAGTATGATGCATGGCCCTTTTTCAGATAGCTCAGAGCCCAGAGACCGTGATTAAAACTGTTTTGACGCATTAAGGTTCATTCTCTTTCGACAGAGCGCACCCTGCGGCTGTTTCCGACCTTGTATAGATCAAGCCACTATTCCGAATCGGGAAATGCGAAAGGCGCGGCTGAGTCACCCGATGTTCCCGATTGCGCAGCGCGAGAGATCATGGCCTAATTCTACATCTTTGGGTCAAGGCAATCGTGGAAGGCACATTCAAGGTTTACAGATATCATATATCATATGCGATGGAGCGATACGTAGCTCTGCGTCAAGACGAAGAGTCAAACGCCCAAGAACAACTCACTCCACCGCCAATCCCTGAGACGGGACCATATATGGCGAACTTTGGGTATGTCCGCGTGTTGAATGTATGATTCGATGTCAGCTAATCCCCAACGCAGGTTTGTTCATCCATCTATGGTGGGAATGCCACCTTTTGACGATCTTTCAAATCTCCCGACCTTACAAGAGCGACTATGCTGTGCTGATGGGACTCTCCACGAGTCGGAAATGAACATGCCCGAATCAATTGGCTCTGCCAGCTTCGTCCGTCCATTTGATGACCTAGAGAGTGCTTTAGATCCTTCATTTCACTTTCCAGAGACATCTTTGCTGCATGACTCTGGCATTGATGGGTTGGATGCAGCAAGCCAAGACATAATGACTATGCCCAGCGAGCCATTGTCGTCTTTCTTCAACGACTTTGATTTACAGAACCACCATTCTCATCAAGTTCCTGTTGCAAATACTGAAGGATTGCAGACACTCAATCCTCTGGATCGTTGGAGAAACTCGCCGCCAGAGACAGAAGCCGCGCATCTGACGGATATCATGAACTCCTTGGCCCGATCAAATAGCAATTCATCATCTAAGTCACGCCCTGGCTCTCGAATGTCAGGCACATCGTATCGTCGAGGTCAAAAATGGCCCAGAAATTCTCCATCTGTCACGGCATCAGAGTCCACCAGGTCAACTGCCTCCAGTAGCTCTGCATCCTCTGCTCACAGCTTTAGCTCCGATCAATCTGGCTCATTTGGTCGATTTTATGTGGGAGAACCGACACGTCGTCGTCGGCGACGTAACCGAAAGGCTTCGCCCGTGCCGAACAACCACCCCGGGCAAAAAGCCCAGTGGCGGCCTTATCAGTGTACATTCTGTACTGATACCTTCAAATCCAAATACGACTGGACACGCCATGAGAAGACTCTTCATTTGTCATTGGAAAGCTGGGCTTGCGCACCATTTGGATCGACCTACGAGGACGAATCAACCGGCACGTTACGTTGCGCATTTTGCGATGTCGACAACCCGTCGGAGAGTCATATCCAGGAACATAATTTTTGGGGATGCCAAGACAAACCGTCTGCATTGCGAACCTTCTATCGAAAAGACCATCTTCGCCAGCACTTACGCCTCGTACATGGGATAGACAACGCAAAATCAAGCATAGCGTCGTGGAAATCGGAGGTCAAAGATATTAATTCCCGATGTGGATTCTGCGCAACGACCTTTACTCGATGGTCCGATCGGAATGATCATATTGCCGGACACTACAAGGAAGGAACTACCATGAAGGACTGGAAAGGTTGCCGAGGCTTTATTCCGGCTGTGGCCCTGGCCGTTGACAACGCCATGCCACCGTATCTGATTGGGAGTGAATCGACCGGCATCGATCCGTTCAGCGCGTCCCGTCGAGGACAGGCACCCACACCCACAGAGGGCAAAGCCTCATATCAAGAGCTAGAACCAGCAATCATCCAACCCACTCCATTCGAGCAGTTGACGGAACATTTAATCCGACATGTTCGGGCAAAGCAAGCAGATGGAATACCCATTACGGACGAATCCATACAGAAAGAGGCACGATGTCTCTTATACGGAGATGATGATCCTTGGAATCAAACTGCGGCGGATAACCCCGAATGGCTGAGCTTTTTCAAGGATGGAATGGGAATTAACTCTTCGGCAACCGTGACGAATGCCATCTCATCAAGCATATGCTCAGCCCCTGTCTTCCCACTCCCGTGGACAATAAAGTCGACGGAGAATATGGAGACACCGGGAGAAAGTGATTCCCTTGAGATTGAGACAGCAGCACTGATTGACCAGTGGATGCCCTGGGCCTGGCAGAGCCCTGAGTGTCTTGCGGAGTTCCGTCGGTTTACTAACGGGGTTGGTTCATGTTCTGGGATAAATCAAGCATTAGCTCCCGATCCTAACGATCAATCTTGATGTTAATAGAGGAGTACAGAAGTATACCTACCCACATATGTTGGAATTACCTACTTCAAATGTTATATATCATCCAGATGTCTGAAGTGTCTGGTATTCTCTATTTTTAGTTGAGATAGAACTTGTTTGACGATAGGCAACCAAACTGATTACCATATCCAAGAACTCTTGAATAGAGTTCACTAACGCCTAGGAAATAGGTATATATCAAGCCACTGCATGGATATGCGAGATTCATCACCTCGGAGCATTCTTGACCCCGCAGTCATGCTATAATAGCGAGCACCGTTGAGCTTGCCAATTTATTAAATGTTTGTTTTTCGAACCCTAGAAGCTTAGTTCCTTTTATTTTCCCTGTTCTGGGTTTAATTGTTTTTCCTTCTTTTACCGATTGAGCACTGCACTATTCTACTCAGAGGCTGGCGTCGAGTCTGGCTGGAAGTTTAAACTAGGCTCTCTTCGGAGCCTTTGGGGATTTTATGTGATAATACTGATATTAACTATGACGATTAATAAACTACTATGAGGTAAAGAATGCGAGATACCAAGAAGAATATGATGTCTAAAACATTGACTATGGTCGTTGCATACAAGATGGTAATGATTGCCAAGATGCGGTCTGTGCGCGACCATAGCTGGCATCGACGGGAGTTTCCTGAACATCAACAACCCCGCGAACTGTCCCACAACGATACCCCTGGGAACTATACGAGCTACTCGGTGCCCCGCAGCTCGACAAATCGAAATGCTCTGAGTGCCATTGGCTCTCTCCGGAACCGCACCCGGGAATCATGGACCCTTCCAAGGCTGCTTCAAGCAATGTGACCGGTATGACCCCCGAACAGTTCGGTTCGCGCTGGCGCGCCCGCTGACCATAAGCCATTCGCAGTTGAATACACGGACCCATATGGACTATTTCCTCAGATACAACCAGTCCTTGAATCGAAGCTTCCCCTGAAGAACCTCCATTGGAAATCGCCCACCCGCCCTGCTCGGTCGATCGAGTCGCTCCGTGTTGGCTTCACACCTGCACCAAATGATCCCGCTGAACGGGAATCCTCCAGTGATGGTGCTGGCACAGTCCCGCATCGGCGACACCAGATCCCTGGTCTGCGACAAACACCGTACCTGAAGATTTACCTCCTCCGATGTGACGATAACGATACCTACAAGGCCACAGCGCGCAAGACACTGCGAGAATGGATCAAAGCTCAGGGTTCGTCTAGTACTTCGCAAACTACAGGAAGCAGCCAGGAGAAGCACGATGCATTTGAGTGGTTGATTGTGCACGTGGTGCAAGACGGCGATGGAGACAAGACACCGACAACTACCTCGAAATGGGGCCGGGGCACAAGTACAGTCTTGGAGAAGGTCAAGGCGGATTTCAATGGGACTTCCAAAACTGCGGTGGATCGCGTGGCACAGTTGCGGCTTCCAAGGGAGGGAGCGGCAAAGTCCCCTGAATTGGCCGATCAGCTGGAAGACCTGATTGATAAGATCAAGAACGGGATTTTGGCTTCTTTTGACCTACGTGTGGCTCAATACGAGGAAGACATCAAGGAGAAGGACTCGCAGCGCAGTCTACCAGGCTGGAACTTCTGTACTTTCTTCATTCTCAAAGAAGGCCTCGCTCGTGGCTTCGAAAACGTGGGACTCTTCGACGATGCGCTGGCTGGTTATGACGAACTTTCTGCTGGCTTGGATGCCGCTATTCGAGAACAACTACAGGGAAGCGGTGAACAGCATAGCACTACGCTTTTGGAGTCTAGCAAGATCTGTGCAGAAGCTGCCAAAAAGGCGCTGGAGAATGGGGCGCCAAGAGCAGATGGTTCAGAGAACGAGAATTCCCTAGAGATTCGCCCCGAAGATTTCCCACTTAGCTCCGGAAAGATGCCTTACCGTGAAATGATCCTGTCAAGCGATATTTCAATCTTTGATTTCCGCACCTACGTCTTTTCCCGACAGCTCACCCTGCAGCTTCGAGCTGCAAGAGCTCCATCGTTGACTGCTGGCGATGCGACCAAAAAGGAGAAGAAGCCAGAAGACCTTATGTTACTTTCAGAGATTTGCAGCAGATCTACGGAGTTCATCAGTCTTGCCGCTCGAACACTCCGATACGATCTAGAATCAGGGCTAACAGGAGTGGAATCTGATGCAAAGGCAGATGTCATTCACAATATGGTGTCTTCGTGGACATATTCAGCAGCTCTACAAGTCCTCAACCAGACATTTACTCCCACTCTTTCACTCCCCGAGTCGTCTCTTCATGCAGTAGTGCAATCAAGTGATGTCTCGAGTTCAAACGTGCCTGCAACAATTCCAGAGGAGCTTACGGAAAGACCACGCCGGTCAAGCTCTTTGATCTCTCCCCCAACATCCCGGTCGCCTCGTCCTGTGACCCAGGATATGTCCGATTCGATCGGACTTATGCAAAGGCGCTCAACTATGGAACACCCAAAGCCTGCCCCCGGTGCAGTGCAAAGGACCGGATCTGAGCAGTTGGCCTCGGGAAGAGGAGAGTTGCTTCTGTTGGCTCGGCGATCTCTGGAAGAAGCCGCTCGGAGACGTGGCTGGTCCGAAAAATGGAATGATCTTGGCCTACTATTTGACGACAGCCATCCTTCCGGAACGAGTGGTCTAGCGGAAGTTTCCTTGGATGACAGTGAAGAATCCAAGCCGCAGAAAGATTCGGAACCAAAACCGTCCTCGCTTGTGGGCATTGAAATCCCCAATCTGGTGGCTGCTCTCGGCTCGAAGGACACATTTTTGTCCCTCTATGAGGATCTCACAGACCAAATTATCTGTCACAATATGGCTGCGAACCGCACTTACTCTGCTCAGACAGCCCTCGCAGAAATTGCCATTCTGCGATACCGACAGGCCGATTTTGAATCCGCTGCGTCCTACTTCCACCAAATGGCTCCATTCTATGGCAGCAAGTTCTGGGCAGTTTTGGAGGGAACAATGCTCGAACTATACTCACGCTGTTTGAAAAAACTGGAGCGCCATGAGGACTATGTTCGCATGATGCTCAAGCTGCTCTCCAAGTATGCTTCTTACTCTCAGTCGCGCATCCTCCACAGTAAAAAAGCCCTGACCGCTCCGACTTCTATCCTAGAGCAGGAGAAACTCGCTGGCTATGTATCTGGCCTATTTGAGGGAGCTGGAAGTCTGCAGAAAGAGATTTCCGCATCTCTGTCGGACTTTTTCGGGGACCTGCATGTCGATCCGGCGATTCAGCTTTACGATGATAAGGATGGCTTCCAGGTTCGATTGTCGTTGCGATTCCTGCTCGGTCCTCGGGTCGAGATCGACTCTATCAAGGTCCGGCTGATCAGTGCTAGCAATTCTGAGCATTGGATTGAGGGTTCCACCAAATTTGTGATCAAATCTACGAGGACCACAATCTTCATTGACTCTGCGGTAAGTCGTTCTCTGCTTATAGCACAGTTTTTCTCATCTGACATCTCTCTAGACAACACTGCAAGGGAAATACATCGTTGACCGCTTGGAGATGAAATCCGGTAACCTGGTCTTTGCATATCACAGTGGCAACCAATCTGCACTCCCTGTTGGATTCCGGGAAGCAGATGAAGCAGAGGAGGCGGATCAACGGCCGTACATCTACTGCTATCCTCCTCCAGATGGCCTACAGGCTAAAGTAGTTTCGCCTCACTTGATCAATCTGGAAGCGATGCGTACGCTAGAGCTGGAACTCAAGAGTGGACGAAATAACATCGAGTCCGGTACAGTTCGCATTCGACCAGCAACTGCAGGTCTACGACTTCGAAGTACGGAGGTGGAGGTCGTGGAGGGCGAGCTAGAGGTGTCGGCGAACGGTGACTCTGGAGTCATTGAGTTCGCTCACTTCCTGCCTAGGTCTTCTGTTCGACTGCGCATTCCTTACACTGTCGAGGAGGCCTTTACTACGCTCTCTGCAAGAGCGGAAATTGGGTATTTGACCGAGCAGGGCAAATTCGTCTTTTCAACAGCCCACGACATTATTGCGACGCTTCCCATCTCAGTCAACGTGCAAGACGTGTTCAAGGATGAAGTGCTATTCTCGCGATTCACGGTCAGCCCCGCTATGCTAATCCCATTGCGTATCACGAATTGTAGCCTCCCGAGCTCCGAATCCTTCAAGGTGCAGTCTAGCATTACTGGGCCTGTTGCTCTCGCTGTCTTCCCTAAGCAGCCGGCTTCTCTCCTGTACAAGATTCGGCCCTCGCCGACTCCCAGATCAGCATCACGCAGCCTTCGTCTACGAGTTGATTTCACGTGCATTGACGATGAGTGCTTTGATGCAATTCAGAAGCTCTTCGTTGCCGCGGTGGAGTCTAGTCAGTTTGCCCAGTATTCCACGCTTTTCACATCGCACCTCATTGGCAGGTTCCGTGATCAGCTGTCCACCGCAAACCTGGAAGTCATTGGACTAGTCAGAGAAGTCGAGACGCTCTCATACCGAAGCGTACGGTGGGAGGGCCTGTTGGGAGCATTAAAAGACCGTACTGAAGAGATGCGCCAGTGGCTGACTGCGTGGCATGAGGTTAGTTGACATCCAGCCACCTGCTATATTGCTTTGATCCACAGCCTAACATCGTTTGACACAGAACAATCCGGTTGTCCGGCTTCCCCAACAACCCACCATCCCCACCCGCAGTATTGTCATCCCTGTGGAAATTCCCGAGATCCAAGTGGTGCATACGGCTGAGTTGCAGCTCCACCCCAGCTCCGAAGCCATGGGTACCGGTGCTTCTCACGCCGCCGTCGGCCAGATGATATCCGCTGAGTTGACCCTGCACCACACGCGACGGTGGTGCTCTCCGGCAACCCAGGAGAATTCCGGCCAGCCTCTAGAGTGTTCATACGAGCTACACGCTAACCCGGAGCTGTGGCTCCTCGGTGGTCGCCGTCGGGGCAACTTCCTCGCGCGCGAAGGCGAAGCCACCCGTTTCACCGTTCTCCTACTTCCCCAGAAGCCGGGCCATCTACTCTTGCCCGGGCTAGAGGTTCGCACCTTCGCCCCTTCATCGTCTCAGCCACCCACGTCTCCCGTTGCGCCTGATACTGCAAGCGGCGGCCCCGTGATGCCCGCTCAACGCCGGTCTATTCCGAGTGAGGTAGACTACCGCAATCATGGCGAGACCATGTTGGTCCTACCGGACCTACGCAAGACGACGGTCAGCCTCAGCGCGTCAGGTAGTCCGGGCGGGCCCTGGCTGGTGGATTCGGAGCGACGAGCAGAGGTGCATTGATCCATGGAACATTGAATGATACGTGGCGATTGTGTGTACATATAGATCTACGAGTCATGAAGTTATCTGTTTGCAACTCCGAGAAGGACAAGTCCCTGGCTTAGTCACCTATCAATCATCTAGAAAGCTAGAAGCTAGAAGCTAGAAGCTAGATTTCAAGGGTAACCTTGGGTACAGAAGACCTAGACATAGTCCATGGCTCTATCGAGCATCTCGAGTGTAAATCACCAATGAGACTAGTATGAAAGCGCTCGTGGTGGCGATAACACGATAAGGGGCCACAATGGATGAAAACGATAACCCGATTAAAAAATGATTAAAAATGATCCAAAAAGGATAAAAATGACAGGTGGGGCAGACTCCCGCTGGGGGCGTCTCAACAAAACCCAAGTGCTGAGCGGGTCCCCAACAAGCTAGAACATGTACTGGGTACCTCCGCAAGCCACCTCCTTCCACTTACCTTCCCATTGTCCCTGTATGTACTCAATACTTTGCTCTAACACACGGACAACGCAGGCCATCAGGCCACCAGGCCATATCACCGTGGACTCGAGCGCCTTGAGTACGGTCCACAATCACATGCCTCCCTTGCGCATACCGATTGCCACGGATCGTCCCATACCGGGCCAATCCGAGGGGTAAAAGCTCGCCACGAAAATGACCCGCCGAGGTAGGGTGATCGCTGGGGATACCCACATGCTGGACTCACCGTATTATCGATCTGGGCCCGCATGTGAAGTTTAGTTCGGTTTTATTTCGCCCCTAGGATATGCCTATTCCCTAGGACAAGAAGAAGAAACCTTGATCGATCGGGTAACTGGGAAAGGAAGGAAAGACAAAAGGTAAAACGTTGAGAGCCGAAAACAGCCTAGATAAGAGATAAGAAACAGCTGAAGAACTACGTGGGTCGTAATTTTCAGTGTTTAAATTCGAGGCCGAGCCTACATGCAGTATCGCGCGTGGCGCTGAAATAGATCGGCCAGTCACGTACTATATAGCGGAAGCCCCCTGGCTGCATGTGCAAGATCGGCTCGGCGAGGCGAATGGTCTAGAGAGGAGTTCATGCAGGAAAAAAAGTGGTGCTCGGTCGTAAAAGGGCAAAGTTCGGAAAATTCAATCAACCGGGGGAAGGTGGGGAAATTCCATTGGTATTCTGGTATGTTCGTATTGCCGTAACACATACACTGGGTGGCTTTTTGGTGGAGGAAATTGGACCCGTGTAATGCAAATACCACCACCCATGGACCACGGGCCTGTGTCCCTGCGCCTTTTTCTGTCTTTTTTTTTCTTGTGGTCTCTACTTTTCTCCCTCCCTTTCCTCGTTGATCCTTCATATTTCTCCCGGGGGCCTTTGTGTTCTTGTTTTGCGTTCAGCTATCGTCTCTCTCTTACACCGCTTCTATCCTTGATCCCTGCCCTGTGCAACCACCCGTTAAGAAGGGCATTTCGAATTCCCCCTGTGAGTAGCTGAAGGGCTGAAAGCTAGCGACGATCTTATTTCGATCCCAATGGACTGACTCCTATAGGTTGAAGTGGAGTGTTTGGTCCCTCGCTTCTGTCTCCCACATCTCCACCTCTTGGATATAACAAAGCAACTCTGCTTTTTATATAATTTCTTGTTCAACCATGTCGTCCACCGCCGTTCCCAAGCGCGTTGCGCTGAACCGCAACCACGCCACGGACTCGTCTGTTCCCTCTGTTTCGGCCTCACCTTTCGATAGTCCTCGTCAGTCGCCGTCGTCGACTTCCCTGTCCTCCTTGGCCTCGGAGACCGAGCACGCGAAGATGATCGACACCTATGGCAATGAGTTCAAGATCCCCGACTTCACCATCAAGCAGATTCGCGATGCCATTCCCGCTCACTGCTTCCACCGCTCCGCTATCACCAGTCTGTACTATGTCTTCCGGGACTTGTTCATCCTGGGCTCCGTCTTCTACCTCTTCCACAACTATGTCACCCCGGAGACTGTTCCCAACCTCCCGGCCCGTGTCGTCCTCTGGACTCTGTATACCGTCATCCAAGGTCTCGTTGGTACCGGTGTCTGGGTCTTGGCCCACGAGTGTGGTCACCAGGCCTTCTCTCCCTCCAAGGTCCTGAACGACACCGTCGGCTGGGTCTGCCACTCCCTCCTGCTGGTCCCCTACTTCTCGTGGAAGATCTCCCACGGCAAGCACCACAAGGCCACCGGCAACCTTGCTCGCGACATGGTCTTCATCCCCAAGACCCGTGATCAGCACGCTTCCCGTGTCGGCAAGACCATGCACGAGCTCGGCGAGCTCATGGAGGAGACTCCCATCCTGACTGCCTCCAACCTCCTTCTGCAGCAGCTCTTCGGCTGGCCCATGTACCTGTTGATCAACGTTACCGGCCACAACAACCACGAGAAGCAGCCCGAGGGCCGCGGCAAGGGCAAGTCCAACGGCTGGTTCGGCGGTGTCAACCACTTCAACCCCTCCAGCCCTCTGTACGAGGCTCGTGATGCCAAGCTGATTGCCCTGTCCGACCTTGGTCTGTTCCTCGTCGGCCTTGCTCTGTACTTCATTGGCACCAACTATGGCTGGCTCAACCTGCTCGTCTGGTACGGTATCCCCTACGTGTGGGTCAACCACTGGCTCGGTAAGTTTCCCTCGACCAAACGAGTATATAACCACATACTAATCTTTCTCTCCAGTCGCCATCACCTTCCTTCAGCACACCGATCCTACCCTCCCCCACTACCAGCCCGAGGTGTGGAACTTCGTCCGTGGCGCCGCTGCCACCATCGACCGTGACTTTGGCTTCGTCGGCCGCCACATCTTCCACGGTATCATCGAGACCCACGTTCTGCACCACTATGTCAGCAACATCCCCTTCTACAACGCCGACGAGGCCTCCGAAGCCATCAAGGGCGTCATGGGCACCCACTACCGCACCGATGCCCAGACCGGCTGGACTGGCTTCTTCAAGGCCATGTGGACTAGCGCTCGCACCTGCCAGTGGGTCGAGCCCAACGAAGGTGCCCAGGGCGAGAGCCAGGGTGTCCTCTTCTACCGCAACACCAACGGTCTCGGTGTCTCTCCCGCCAAGATGGCCAAATAGATGATCGCTTGATCTTGTTTTTTTATCTCTTGTGAATTTTTTTTGGTTGAATGTATACATGACGGGCACGCATACACGAGAGATTTAGGCGAGGAGCGCAAGATAGATGCGAAAGATGGTTCTGTTGCAATTTTGAAATCGTCGAGTTGATAATGCTGATGACGGATCTCGGTGACACTTTTTCTTTAGAAATCATCTTCGTTTTTGGTTCTGTTTGGCTTTGACCTGTCTCCTGTGCTTAATCATCAAGCTCATTTCCATATGATGACTTTCTTGCCAGTTTGGCTCTCCATTCCATGTCTCGGGTATCATTATCAAGACTGGACAAAATGTTTTATCGGTTTCCCATGTCGTTTTATTTCCCGACACATTCGTTCGGTGTTATCTATTTGAATCTTTAGAGCGAATATATTTCTAGCCTGAGAATTTGTGTCTCTTTTCGAGGCAGGCCTGTATGTTATGAGACGATGAGATCAATCAAGACCTTCTGTGTTCCCTATGCAGGCATCAGCTTCGGTAGTCGGTAGTCAGTAGTCAGTAGTCAGCAGTCAGTATCAGTAGATATAGGTGTAGTTGGGGAGAGATGAAGTGGCAAGGTGCTTTGAAGGAGGTCAACCTTATAAGAAGGGGTCCCAGGGGACTTGAAGGTAAAAAACCTGGAGAATCAGGAAATGACGTTGGGTGACAAAAATAAGAAGCCTGCAACACCGTTAGAGCTTAACTTTTGCGGGGTAGGGAAACTTCCGCTGCTTCCGATTGCGTGTAGCGCGTATTATCTCGCTGTTTATTGCTTATTGGCTTTTCCTGGCGTTTCTTGGATAACCACTAGTTTCATCTTTTGACTTGAACTTATGCGTGACGCCCATGTCCTTGTCTGGCCCGCTCGCTGAGCCACAGAGGCGAGGCAGGGACGAGTCCCTACGCTCTGGGAACCTCGACAGGATGGAATTTTCTAGCTCTATTAAGCTTCATTGCTTCGTAAATAGCTTAAAACTAGGTGTTTTCCTATTCACGGTCATTGGAATGCTGCTGTAGCACCATCTATTCTTAGGTTTATATTTTCGTCGTACTTAGAGGCGTGGGAAGAAATTATATTCGGCCATATGGCCTATCTAGAGCTTGGGGCAAGCAAATATTTCCAAATGGACGGGCATAGACTGAAGCTTAACTGTCACGCTTATAATTTACTATCCGCGCCGTCTATCTCTAGGCCATATCTAAGATTTTCTATAGCTCGGAGGACGTACCCACTTCTACGCCATCACACTACACGCTCGAGTGCATTATCAACAACTAGGGGCTTCAGCCTCGAAATTCCCCCTGGCATATTCTACCTTACACAAAGTAACGGAATCCAGGAGGTTCCAGAAAGTAGAGGAGTTCGTTCCATCTCTTCCCCTCGTTATATACCTAATTTTACTTTCTCGCATGGTTTCTTCTGTTCCTGGAATGATATAGCCTACTACCCTTCACCCTTTGAATATTCTCTGACTCCAACTCTTATAATCGACAACAAGCTTTCGCCCTAGCCCCAGCCCCATCCTCCACAAGCACACTCTTATTCCTTTCCTGTGTCGAAACAGCCACATCCAACCCCGGATTCCCAGAAAAGAAGTTAATCGGCTTCAACCCCACAACCATCTTCTCCGATGGCATAACCGGCCAATCCTCAATGCGCGGATTATGAGTCGATCCAAACGTATGCCAGATCACAATGTCCTCATTTCTAACATTCGAGTTCCCGTCTTTCTTCCGCTGCTCAATCACAGAGCTAATACCCTCTCCACCAGAAGATTGCATCGTATGTCTTCCCGCCGGGAAGACCTCGTCGTCTTCATACCGCGTAATCCAAACAGCGTGGGCCCCGAACTCTGATCGCTTAGCGTGGTAAGAGCCCGGATGAGCGAGGAGCATCTGGCTATAACAAGGGTTCAATTTAAATCCCACAGGTGTTCCTGTGATGGGGTTGATTTTGTCTTCGTTGATTATCTTGAACGAGCGATTTGTGGTGAAGTCGAGATCTAGACCTCCTTCTTGGTCTATGATTTTCGACTTTGTGGTATAGCCTACTCCGAAGGGGTTTTTGTTATCGACTGGTAGGGCGTGTGACTCTTCGACTTGGAGGGAGTTGGTTGTGCCTTCGATTGCTGGGTCGATGCGGAGTGAAAAGAGGTGTTGGTGGTATGGAGCTAGTACGCCTGGTGCGACGATCGTACCGTAGCTGACTGTGTCATCTAGGTTAATTGGGCATGTTGAGAGAATGCCTGTTGCGCGAACTTCGTAGTGGATGGAGGCATCTTGGCTGAAATGGAACGCGAAAATATACTCGTAGTTGCTGACTGTTATGATGGTCTGTAGGACTAGGATACGCGAGCGGGTGACGACGGCGTTCTGGGTGCGGTGGTTTGTGTGTTTCCATAGAATTCCATCATCTTGTTCGTGGCAGCAGACAACATTTGGTAGTTTGACTGGTTCGCCGGAGGACGTATTGTGCCAACCGTCGAAATACTTGATTGTGCCGAGACAGTCGCAGCCTAGTTGGAGGTTGTTGGCGTTGATTCCTGCACCGTCGTTGCCTAGGTCAAAGGCTCCTTTTCTGGGGTATGGAGAGCGTGGGTCACCGTAGGGAACGAACATCTCTGACAGGGAGAGACGGTAGAAAAGGCTTCGGTTGTCGTAGCGGATGTCATGGAGGGTTAGTCCTTCGCGATAGTTGAAGCCGACTCGCATCGTCCATTTCTCCCAGCTCAAGAGATTACCATCTGTTTTGAACGAAGGACCCTCGGGCTGGATGACTTGGTACGGCTTGGTAGTTGTGCGTGGTGGAGGTCGGAGATCGGGATGATACTCGCTCATCTCGGTTGGATGGATCTTGCCGTGCTCATATGGTCGCGCATCTTCGCGGGTTTTCTCGCTCTCAGAAGAAGGCAGATGGTAAATTTTGGTCACTTCCAGCTGCTCGGATACTTCTGCGCAGAGCTCAAGTGGATAGGCGTAGTAGTTGGCGTCCAGGTGATCAAGAAGACGCATGTAGAAGTAACACTGATTGAAATTAGAAATCGGCACTAAATAAAGTGGGCAAATGCTTACCATAGTCGTCCGTTCGGTCATTTCGCTCATTCCATCAGTGGCATAAGCCCATGGCTCAATAACCACCATGGCATCAAGAGGAAGCTTTAACTTTTCAATCTCCGCCTGGACTCGCGGGTCGGCTCTGCATGCTTTCTCTGCCGCTTGCATGTAAGCCGAGTCGATGTAAGGATGTTTGCCTGCTAGGTGCTCCTTCTTGATGACTGACGCAGAATGAATATCGACAAAGAGCTCGATCATTTCGATTGCTCCTGAATCACCGCGAACGGTCACTTGCACGCGTGCTGTTCGGACAGGTCGTGAGATCTGGGATTGACCGAAATGCTCCTTCTCGAGAAAGGGGATCATTTCGCTCTTGCGCGGCTCTTGCAGGGTGATGACTCGGAAATTTGGAGACTTTCCTGGCAAGGCTTTGTGCACAATTTGCGCAGCCTGGATTGTTATGTCTTGTCAGCAATGGTTGCTTTCGACCATCGATTAGGCTTCCTCACCTTTGCGATTTCCCCCGGAGTGAGGGGGTCAAACGGATGTGCCATTGACATGTTCTCGGCGGGGTACACAGGACTTTGGGAAGTCATAAGTCGAAATAACACTGCTTGGCTCTGGCGGATGTTGACTCGAGGCAGCTTTCTTATAGAAGCAGAGGAGATAAGAAGATAAGCAGCGTCGGCGAGCTCGGCCTACAGGAAGGAGGTTAGTCACCGATCATTCCCGCGGACTAAATGTACTTAGATCAACGCGGAATACATAGCAAGATACGCAGCGGGGTATACTCCGCCGATAGATCCTAGGTATAAGACATGTCGAATCAGAGGACTCAGCTCCCATCTGAGCGGGCGCAAGATTCGCTAAAGATACAGATTCGGGGTTTCAAAGCACGTTGCAGTTGCGGTATGTGCCAATGACGATGCGTGATATTCGCTAAGGTATAAGAATAGCCGGCATCCCACGCTCCTTCTCCACGCGCTTCAGCGGGACTTCCGCTAACGTTAGGAATAGCCGGGTATTAACGATCTGGGTATAGTGCCGGTTCAGATTAACTCAAAAGGTCAAGTGTGCCTTTTCCATATAGCACGTTAAGATAGATGATGTATTGGGGCAAGACTGACGCTGGTAATAAACCATTGGTGTCTATTCGATAACCTAGGGTAGCTGTTTGTCTGGGCTACCTAGATAGTGTTTAGCTATTTTATATTTTTAAATCATACATAATAAAAACTCTTTTAGTTTGAATTAGTAATTAAGGATTGTCAAGGCCGGATTCTGAGAGGATCAACACTTGATCGGGGTTTTCTGAGACATTCGTTGATTCATAGTCATATTCACTTCGTGATAGATGCCATATCTCTCCGCCCGGATATAGACAAGGAGGCTTAGCGGTAAACGCTCGAGTCATTTGGATCTACTATATTGCAACAATCACCCCCCATGGCGTGCAGTCCTCAGCCCACCTTTCCAGATCTCAAATTCAATCTCATTGTTCCTCTCGCTCAACGATTGTGTCGCTACGACATATTCTTCGTTCGGTGACTTTATCGACCCTGATGTCCAGGGAGCGAAAACAAGCTTCATTTTTCGCCGTGTTATGTGCTCCGGGCCTTCGGGGGCCTTCTGTTTCTGTGAAAGGACTGGCTTCTCGAAGGCATCTAGAGACTGGTCTTCCCCATCAGGAACTTTCGCTGTTTTGGTTGTCTCCGTTGTGTGAACTTCACGAGCAGAAGAAATCACGGGCTTTTGAGCCTGTGGCTTTTCTGCCCGACTTTGCGAATAGAGGTCTGTCTGTTCCCGGGGGGTAGACAGAGGGTACCCGGCATTATCCCAAGGGGGAACTGGAGGACGTGTACCGTCCTTTTTCAATGCAATACGACATGCAATCTGCGTGGACCAGAAAAATCCCAGAGCCGGGGTCTTAAGCGAGGTCTCAGAATACAGACCGTCGCCCCATCCTGTGAAGAACCGCTCTTGGTGAAAGAGACTCAGTATACTGCTACGAGCGGAATTGTTGATGATGTAGGAACCATCAAACTGGTCATCCTCTTGGGCAGCGAATTGCGAAGACGCAGGAGACGATGAGGGAATGAGATTATCCGCAGGTCCCGAATCTGTTCGGCCTCTTGATAATGGTGAGGCATTGGCGGATTCTCGTGCCGCCAGGGCAGCGCTTTGACTTGAGACAGCTGGAAACCCTGGTCGGAAGGAAGAATCACTTCCATTTCCTTCCGCGGGTTCGAAGCGATCGGACACCTGATTCGCGACCACGATGGCTATGTTTTCCTTCGCGGCAAGATTCCGCAGCATCTGACCCAGCTTTGCAAGTTCAGTGGACCGGTTTGACATCGCAAGCATGTTGTTAGAGGAGTGTTCAGCGCGGTAATTGGAGGTTATGGAGTCGATGATGATCAGGCCGGCATCGTACCGTGCTATAGCAACCGGTAGCTGGTAATTGAGGATGTGGTCCTGACTCTCCAAGTCCATGGCATTAATGGAGAGGACGTTTTGTAAGGACGGCGCCTGGTCGGCGGGCAAAATAGAGAGGTATGGATGGCATTCTATCAGCTGGGATAGGCGACCCGTCGCTAATGGGTGTTCGGTTGAGATATAGATTGCACGTTTCTTCAGCCCATGGGGCTTGTCCAGTTGCACCGCAAGGAGGAGGCTGAGGAGGAATTGGGTCTTGCCGCTGCCACTGCAAACGTGAAGCCACAGGTCAGAACCACCCATTCGGTCTCAATCGTGAATGCTCGCTACTACATACCTCTCGCCAGTCACCTCTGTCACATATCCGGTCGGTACTCCACCTCCTAAGACCTCATCGAGAGCCGGCTCTAAGGTGCTGATTGTGTTCCATCGCGATGGTTCGAGCTTCGTGGCCGGGCCGAGATCAAAGCTCACAGCATCACCGCTGATGCTCGAGCTTGAGAACTCTTCTCCATTTTGTTCTGTCGTCACCTGTGTCTTTTCGAACCCAAGATCGCCATGCAAAGCCTCGACGATGCTGGCGGCCAGTCGCCGGACGTCTGCGGGGGGCACATGAGCGCGTTTCGCGATCTCGAGCGTGTCGAGCGTGATAAGGTCGACAGTTGAGATCTTGCCTCGCTCAAGAGGAGGAAGAATGTGCGCATAGGGTCTTGTCGCAAAGCCAGGCAGGACAGATAGAAGATCCATAAGAGTTAGAGGCAACGCCAGGTAGCAAAGCTGATCTCGCGATTATTCAAGCTTCCGCGTCAGCCAATCACAGTCGCCCTCCGCATCAGCAGAACTATGACGCGACCAGCAAGTGGCTATACTTTAGTAGACAATTGGCCTGCATTGGGCCTTGAGAGAGCTTTCCAAGCTACGCACACATGTAGAACTACTGTCTTCTAACGGAAATTCAATCGCAAGTGCTGGTTCTATGTTTCTCACCTGCCAATCTATATTGAACTGCCGACTTTTGAGAATTTAAGCGACCGTGATCCAATATTAGAAAGGATCCAAGACTCACTAAAATTTGTTACTACTCTCTACTCAAGAGACCCCAATTATTACATATGAGGAGCAAAGCTTTTGATTGAGTGTTCAGAGGCGGACATTCGAGGTCCACATATGCATCCGGAATTCAGAATTGGACGCGAAATCGACTACTATAAGACATTGATTGAGTCAAAACTTAGACTTGAAACGATCTAGAGAGATTGCTGTGGCATATTACCCAGTAGACTGATCCCTACGAAGTGCAAGTAACTCAAGTGCTGTTTAGTGATCTATGGTTGCGATACACTAAGTTAGTGATGTCGTAGGAAAACACGCAATGTCCGATCCTTCGAATGTTGGACGTTCGTTCATGGTTTCAAGAGCATAAAGCATAAAATACGCGATGACCAATGCATTGCCATCATGCTGAGTACTTATTGTAGTTGAGATGGCCCCTTTGTATGTCCAAAATGAGGTGGTTCACGCAAACCGTATTAGAACTGAGAGAAATAGAGCCATTGAACTCGTGTGAGATTGAGCACGGCTTCAATTGCAGTCGGTAACCTAGAGATGAAGGGTGTCTATGGCGAAGTTTGCCGACCAATCTCTATGAAAACCTATGACCAGTATCACCTTGTCAAACACCGTACGTTCCATGTCAAAGTGAATTCTATATGAACAAGTAAATAGGTGGATCGACCAATGTCCCATGTCCCTGCCGTTAAAAGTGCACACATAGTGATCAAAACTGGATTTAGTATCGAAACATAGTATGTCTGCAACTGCGCCGACAGACCAGTCCAGCCAGACTCTCGGCACGTAGCGATTCATCTATAAAGAAAACAGCCTCAGTCCACACGCCCAATTATTCAATTGTCAGCACCCTTAAACCCGACAGTCAGAATGCTCGGCAAGATGACCGTTGACCCTGAGCAGAGGAAAAGATCAAAGAGTCCGTCATACTGAGACTGTCCCAGATAGGAAGGTCAAAACAATGTCCCAGCCCCCAAGACACGCATGGGCGGATACTGACAATGAGATAGGCCTGAAGTCAAAGGTTCAACAAGGCAACAAAGCCATCCATCGTAACCACGCCTGGCCCGTCCTAGTTCCCGCTTACAGCCCGAGAGAAGGCTGATCAGAGTGGCTTGCGGATCAGGCGATCATTCCAGTTCGCACTTTCAATACGGATGGGGTATACAGACCGTAACCGACGGTCAGCGGGCCGCGTTTCTTGGTCAGTACGAAATGGCGTTACCTATTAGGTAGGTGGGTAACGCGAGTTCTCGATTTGAGGGACGCTATCACCGCCGGTGGGTGCATCGGGGAATCGGGGTCCTTTGGGCTCGCCTTGATTGTGCAGGGAGTATAGAGCCGGGATTAGATTGAGCACTGAGGGGTGAGGCTCGCCCCTGGGCCAATTGACAATTATTAGTACCCTGCCTGGGCACCCGCAGACTATAATCTACGGAGCAGAGAAACTCCCGGCCGGGTGTAAGAGATTCTGATGTCACCGTCGTCTTGTGATGTTGCTCATGTGCGCAAGCGACCTATTGGTGAACTCCTCTGCTTTGGATCCCACATGGGCAGGGGTCTCGATTAGCAGTCTACAGGGAAAAGAAAGTGCAAAAAGCAAAGTATGAGTTACTTCAGGATCTTGTGGATATAGAATCGAGATATGTACCGAAAGGTTGGGTGGGAAACCGTTGAATCAGGGGATCGTGGTCCGTGATCAATAATCACTCTCTATTTTCAGTACGCAGTAGGGATCAGAGGACTGAGACCCCATAATTACACTCACATGATCGAAAGCCTAGGGTGCCACGCGAGTTGATGAACGCACTAGTATTGTGACTTTTATGTATTCGGCCCCAGCATGGATCTTACAATGCGATACAATCGTCTGACTTGGCGACCTGGCCAAAACAAGGAAACCGACATAGTTTTTTTTTCGCACTATAGTCTTCTAGGTGGCCGCCAAGAGAAGAGGCCCTAATCCCAACTCAAGCGAATCATTCTGGAAGGACAATGTTGGCGCTTCAATCGTGTGTTGGACTTGTAACGGCCACGGAGATGTTGCCGTGTATCCGAATGCTCTGATGGGATGAGCACTACCGGCAACGGATCGAGACCCCTAATGACGAAGACGTAGATGTAGCTTTGACTGCCGGAGTAAAGTCGTATATGTACAGCCTTGGACTACGACAATTACCCGCTGGGGTGACGATTGAAGACATGCATTGCAGCCGTGGGCCGAGACTTTCCTGAGTGGTCGAAGTGCAGACCTCGGCATCATACTCGGTGGTCACCATCAGGATGATCTCAGGGGGCCATACCTATAATTCATAGAGTCTAATACGAACCATGCCCTACATTTCATGGCGTTTAACGTGTCATATAGCAAACTCCCTGCTGGGCGCCATGGCACGATCTCCAGATCGACAACACCATGAATTGACTAAAGCGCTCTCACTGGATGGGATCGGGACTCCGTAGTTCCTGTGCTCCGAGTTCCCCGGTGCTAGACCATTGAGATGAGCCAGTAGGAAGCGGGGTCGGGGAAACAGCTGCAGATAAAAGTTGAGTCTGCACTCCACTTACGTGGGAATTGTTTGACATTAGGGACATGTGTCTCGCTGCATCAAAAGTACTCTGTACTGCACTAGGGCGGGCATCGTGTTATATTACGAAAGTGGTGTATCGTCAGGCGATACAGTGAAACAACGAAGACTGGGCCGGATGGGTCTGTGGCTTCATCGGTGCGGACCGTGTACAAAGCGGGGGAAGAAATGCCGACCTAGTAATTAACCATGAGGTTGGGACTAGTTGAGCATATCTAATAGACAGGAGATCGTGCACAGCTAAGGCAGGATCATTATGATATCCTAAGTCGGCCATGAGCCCATAAGATCCTTAATATTTAATGCCGGAAGAAAAGGCCAAGTCGACAGCTCACATTTCGCATGGAGCTCCTCACAGCGAGGGTGGGAACATCCAATGTGTCCACTAATCGACTACAGTAATTACGAGCGGGGTTGAAATATACACCAATAGGAACGGATCGACGATCAGAATTTATTGCATGAGGACCGAGGATAGGACTAGGGGCTAGCTCTTGCCTGAAAGCGCATGGTTCTGGGCGATTGTAGTCAAGGCAGACGGGATCGAACCGTGTTTTCTTTTTCTTGCCGGGGTCCCTGTTTGCTCCGTGTGTGGATGCGTACTCCGTACAACGGCCTCCATGCCCATGGGTACGGGTCGAGTTTATCGACTTGATAGACGTCACCGCGTTCGGAGAACGAGCTTGCCAAAACATCTGATGTAGGCTATGTATCTAGTAGGAAGGCTAAGTATTTGGTAAGGACAATTCACGACCGGACTTCCATTTCAAATTCCAAACTTCCTGTTAAACCCGATCTGGACGAGGGCTGACAGACCTGGTCCAGAGAAATACCCGTAATTTAAGTATCGACCCCGATGCCACCACGTCAGCAGCAACGCGTAAAAGCATCAGGGTGGACGGCATCGGTAGCTAAGGATGATATTCAGGTTCCAATGTTTGTTTGAAGGTGTATGCTCGGTATACATCGCTGATGAAAATAAAGGACACCGGTCCGTTGGGCTGGGACTGGAAAGTCGGGTAACAATGAATCCGCGAGCCATGGATCACAAACCTAGGATTGTTCGGGTGGCACTGCAGTGGGAGTGATGCGCAAGGGCTGTGATTTCCCGTAGAACCAAACCCTCAAGATCGACCCATCTCAGGATCACAGGGGACTGTTAGCTCCTGGGTCATCTATGCGCATTGGATGATCTCTAAATAATCTAAGCATTAAATCAGTACAGTACAAAAGGAATGAAGAGTAACTAGGGATCATGATTCTCAATACAGCGAATACACGAAGATGCCCTAATGTACGACGCTAGCACGCAACTAGTCAAGACTGAGGCAGCTCGCACTGAGACCGCAGATCGCGTCGACAGCCCCGAAGTTGTAAAGCTGTAATTGAAATGCAAAGGCCCCGTGTCCGCGAATTCTGGACTTGAACGAATGGACCCCACTGTTCTCCGTGAGCAGCAGAAGGGCTAGAAACGAGTACGGATAGAATAGTAGATCAGCACATTAGCACAGGAAAGAGAAGAAATAATCATAAAACATAGAATATGGAAAACGGAAATGACAGCCCCTGGGGTGAAATAAAATACCGAGTCTCGAACCACGTATATTGCCCATGCCGCAGTGGCCCATAGCAGCGTCCTGTACCCTGTCATGAGTGTCACCGTCTCCCTTCCCCTCCCAAACCTTCTCCTTCCATCACCTCGGGGCATTTTCAACATCCACACTCCGGGCTTGCTGGTCGACTCCCCCGTCCGCTCTCTCATTCTCCAGTCTATCAGTCATCGTGCCTCGACAACCGATTTGACCTTTGATCGTTCGTCCACTGATTTCCCTCAGGGAAAGCAACGGGGCTCCTGGCGAATCCTGGGCAAATTGAATCAAGTTGAAGTACCAACTAATTGCGAACCGGTTTTCGACCCGTGGAAAAGGAATTTGTACGTCGCGCGCCCGAACCAAACTCTAGACTGGTTTCACTCCACCACCGGCAACGCCACCCAGGAGTTCTCCGCTTGCTAATGTCGCGCTACAAGATAGACGAGGATAATACAGCCTATTACTTCAGTAATGGCATCCCGACCTCCTATGATGCCGCCTCATAATGAGACGGAGCACTCCGTCAGTCGCATTACGCGCGAGGGCAAGCAGATCACCTACAAGTTGAGTGTGATGCAACAGCCCGAGCGTGCCAGAGCTTGCGGTGCTGGAGCCAAGTGTAAGCAATACCTTTATTCCAGTTGGTGTCCGCCTCTGCTGACTGCCGACAATAGCGTCTGCCGATCGTCGCCCGGTTGACCCTCCGCCCGTCGTCGAGTTGCGAATCTTCGAATCGGATCCCAATAACGAAGCACAGAAAACCGACATCACCTTCGCTTACAACGCCAATTTCTTCCTCTATGCAACCTTGGATACTGCGCGCCCTATCGCTCACGGGCGGGTGGCTGGACCGCCGTCGTGCCCTGTATTAACAGGTGTACCCGTCGCCGGCGTGGCATATCTTGACCGGCCGTCGCAAGCAGGTTACTTCATCTTCCCAGATCTGTCTGTGCGCCACGAGGGTCGATATCGCTTGAGTTTCCACCTATACGAAGAGATCAAGGATGCCAAGGATGCCGACAAGAACTCGACTTTGCCCAATCCCAACCAAATAACACACCCGACCTCGTCCAAGCCTGGATCCCCGCAGGCATTCCTTCACTTCCGTCTCGAGGTGAAATCCGTGCCCTTCACCGTATACAGCGCGAAGAAGTTCCCCGGTCTGGCCACGAGCACTTCCCTGAGTCGCATCATCGCCGAGCAGGGTTGCCGTGTTCGCATTCGTCGCGATGTTCGGATGAGACGTCGGGGCGAGAAGCGTGAGGAGGATTACGACTACGACGAGGAGAGAGCGGCTGTGTACGCACGTTCCGATCGGTACTCAACACCAGATCGCTATGCGGCAGCCACAGTGGAGCGCCCCCGTTCGAATAGCAATGGAAGCACGATGCAGTCACCATATGGGTTCCCACCCGAGATTCAAAGGCGGCCTTCTGCACCAGACTACGGATTCCAGTGCCCACCACAGCCCTACGAACGGTCGATGCCACCTGCCCCTATGGCGCACGCTCAAACGCCCTCCTATCAATCCCACCTGTCTTTTGGCTCAACACCTGCTCATTACCCTTCCGCCCACATGCCCCCCACACCACCACCGGTTGCACCGCCCGGCATGTACTCGCCTCATACCACCTATGCCAACATTCGACACCCATCAGCCGTCTCGGAATACGAAGGAACACCTGCTGGATATCCTATGGCACCACCGATGGCAGACCGAGCCGGTGGTTACCCGAAGAATCCTATGGCTTCTTATCGTATGGAAGCGCCCAAATTACAATCATACATGGACCCTCGTATCCCCCCCGATCCTTCCCCATATCAGCAGATGCCGCCGAGTATGCTTCCTCGAGCAGAGCCACCAGCGTTACCTCACTCTCTACCGCCCCTCAAGGGTCTCCCCAACGAATATGTGCAACCGACTATCGAGCCAGGGTCTCCGACCGGATACGATTCTGTTTCTGGCAAACGGATGCTGTATCAAACCGGAACCACCGCCGTTGGCAAGCGATCCCACGAGGATTCATTTGGTCTTGATGAGCGCTCGATGCAGAACGGCATGCGTCCTGATGTCCCGACGTACAACAGTGCCTACCGCGATTTCTCTTCCGAGAGCCGTGCTGCCCTGATGGCCGAGCTTGGTGGTGGCTTTGAAATGGCATACAAGCGTGCGAATGGACGGATGGTCATGAAAGTCCCTCCAGGCAAGCAATAGAGATTCGCGAAAATTTGACTCTTTTTGAGAAGTCATACCCTAATTTTGAGAGATATGATATTCAATCTTGACATATCGTATCATTCCTCCCGATCTTGTTCTGACCCCTGGACTCAGGAGACATGGGCGCCCTGCAAACCCTTTTTGCATTTCTGTACATGAATTCCTTACCCTTTGTGGTCTTTGTTTGCCTTATGCCTAGATATCTCGATGCATTGTGTCGTCACCTCCCTTCTTCTATAACATCTTTCTTTGTTCAGTGTTCAACTATTCCGCGTGGGAATCGATTGGTCAATGCTGGGGTTTTGTGTGGTTGCGTTTTTATGTTCCCATTTCTGATGATCTCTTTGCGCATTCGTTGGGATTTGGATCGTTCATTTACTTCCTTTCATATTTTCCAAGACCAAGATGAGACACCTCCGTCCTGCTCCTCCAATCCAGACCTGGATACAGACCCTGCGGCCAGCTCGGGGTAGATTCCCCCCCCTCCGACTGGTTATATACAGCAGATATGGACTGGAAAGGGGCGTGGAGGCCGGCTCCCTCCCGTCTTGGCGTCTCCTGCGGTTTTTGGGATTTTCTTCACGGCTGTAAAAAAGGATGGCAAAGTTGTATCTCATTTTTGATAGCGACCTTGTGTGCCCCTGCGATCCTTTCTCTCCTTTGGGAGGAGGGATAGGATATGACAGTGCATAGGAGTGACGATTCGTGAATTTCCCTTGCTTGTTCCCGTTTTCCATGATATCACCTTTCGGAGGCCAGTAGCTTAATTTTTCTTAAACGGCGTTATGGGATTTCATTAATACCTAGCAACTTTTTTTGTTTTGAATACGATCAACGTTCAATCAGTTGTACAGAGCAGTAGATAAGTAAACTACTCGACGAAAGACCAGTAGACCCTAGGTGCATTCCTAGATTCCTTGTGCACATGTTCGCCTGAGACAGACGAGGTCAAGGAACCCCGGATCGACTCCCTGTATGCCTACATTCTAAACCGTGGAGTCAATAAATGAATCGATCAAAGGTGGAGCAAATGTGTAGCGGGTACATAAATGACGGTCTGAAGTTTCGTGTTAAGTGAAGTACCGAGTACCGGTTACCACAACAAACTTCCTCCCTGGGCAAGTGCGGAGTATGTAAACAAACCCACTTGACAACACATTTCAAAAAGCACCCCAGACCCTACTTCTTGACTTGTGTTTGTACTCGACCTTCTATGATATTTTATTCTTCTCTTCCCAGTCCGCTTCTTATCACTGTCCGCAACAAGGGTGCGGGGGTGTAAGTAGGGATGATCAAGTTGGTCACTGGCAAGGTAAAGCTCCCTTGCCTTGTTTCGACGACACTGTCTTGGAGATGCGATAAGAAAAAAATTACAGATCTGACTCTTCACTCCGTATACAGGAACCCAGCCACTCCGACGAAATGGACGTTGACCCGAACCCTGTGCAGCAACAACGTTCCTCACGCAAACACCTACGCAGCAGTTCTGACGACACCAACCTGGCATGGAGCTCGGACGAATCCGGTCGCTTCGATGACGCAGACGAGCGTGAGCTGGAGTTCTTCAAATCGCCATCGGCCAAGTCAGCCAAGCGGCGCCGCTCGAATGACTGGCCGCTCCCGGACGAAGCTGCGGACTACGGACATCATGATCGGCGCGCGCGCAATGGAGCTGGCGGTCTAGGCGCCAGTCTCGCAGCTCCATACAAGTCATCGCCTCGGGCGTCACCACGGGGTTCTTCGCGCGCAAGACACAGCGCCGCGGCTGCCAATAGTCCGCGCAATCTCCTAGCGCGGCGGTCGCGCTTTGTTGAGGCGACTATGATCGACAGTGTTAGTGAGAAGCCGCCGAGTATCTTCATGCAGGAGAAGAAGCAGGCCGCTGCCCAGAACCGCGGATCTGGGATCTTTCGATTTGGAAAGGCTATTGCCTCGGCCTTCAATCCGTTCGGGGGCTGGGGCAAGAGCTCACCGGAGAGTGCCAACAAGTCGCCTCAGAAAGACGCTCTTACGCAGGCAGAGCAGGCCTATGCGGAGCTCAAGAAGGCCGGATACAAGGGCACAAACAAGGGCGCTTACCTGGAAAGCGCAAATGTTGACCAGGCCCAAGCCGACCAGACATGGCAGGATATACGGGAAAAGATGCTCTCCGGAAACCCGACATCTCATTGCGGAGAAAAGTATGGCTTGGGCACACCATTGCGCTCTCCACAGCGCTCTCCGACGAAATCCTCGAAGCGCTCATCTCTTCAAGATCTGCGGTCATTGGGACTTCCTTTTATGAGGTCCCATGAACAAGTTACAACCGCCCCACCCACGTACCAAGATCGATCATCCGAGGACCTCGAGCCAAATGGGCTCCGAAGACAGAAGTCGAAGAAGGAAATGAATCGCCAGGCCAAGCTAGTCAAGAAGGTCAGCAACCTTGAAGATAAGCTAGACCGTGCTCGACGCGAGCTTCGTGAACTAAGCAGCAATGAGGAGCGAGTGCCCGCACCTATTCCAGAGTCAATAGAGTCCGTGCGTATGAGTATGGACATGGACCCTGGCATCTTTCCTCGCAAGTTTGTCCCAGGTGCACTTCCCACGCTGCCCTCGGAGCGACTGCTCGACCAACAAGACCCGGAATCCAAATCGCCTGAGCCCGGGATGGACGGCGTCACAGCTTTGCCATCCATGGAGGGCCGAGAAAGTTTCTCACTCGAGAAACCGTTGAGATCCCCGAGCTCATCACCTATCAAGACCCCAAAGGGGCGGTCGAAAGAATCACGACCATCTTCCATGGGTAAGGAAAGCTCCTCCCGTAAAAGGAAGTCACCAGTTCCTGAACAAATCGCTAGTCGGAATCCTATTCAGCCCCATTCGACGGACTGCCACGACGACATCCTCCAACCGGCCGAGCTGGAGCAGCTGATCGACCTCGGCCTACTCAGCCCAACTCGACAAGCCAAGTGGCAGAAACTCGAAGCCGGCGACAGCCCCGGCTCCATCGAACGCAAGCGAAACACCGGTGTTGACTACGCCACAGCAGGCGAAGCAGGCTCAATGCACAGAAGATCCCCATCAGTTCAGCCCCGACCCTCACCCGGCCTCAACCGCTCACCAAGCTCTAAGGCCGTAAGATCCCCACCTCCACTGCGCATGCGCCGTGGCCACTCGAGTTTACGGTCCGTCTCGCCGACGCACGCCGTTGCGAAATCGCAAGAAGCCCCAAGCGACTGTCTTTCACCTTCGCCACCCTTGGAAACTCACAATGCATTCTATCTTCAGCAGCAACGCTCCCTTGATCCCGATCGTACGCCTCGCTCTTCTCCGACTAAGTCAACCGGCTCTCCGTCCAGGCCTGCCCATACACGCCGCCGGAGTCGTCAGGAGAAGGACATTCCTCCCGTTCCGCCTCTTCCCAAAGAGCTTCGCAATGATGCTGCAAAGGTCACCAATTCGCCGTCGAAGAAGAAGAACCCGAGGGATAGTCTCGCGTCTGTTCTCGAGCCGCAGTCCCCTTCGACTCAGAACAGACGGTCAGCCGTGCTTGACGAGTACCCGTGGCCTTCGGACATATTCTGAGGCGCTCCGGCCTGCGTGGATCATGGTTTATGGAATGTTTCTATTGTGGCATTGAGCGTGGTGTTTTGGGGGTCTGCTATGTTGTTCGCCAGCTGACGCGATGAGATGATTTTACGACTTATACCCTGGAGTCTGGGAGGTTCTTAGTCTTTTCGTGTGGTCTTGAATAAAATTCTGTTCTGTTCTACAATTCTACATCGCGTCATGATCTGCACTTGAAAGTCAATTTAATATGGTGGTATCGATTGTAATGTTGCTCAAGCTAGTTCGTGATATCATTAAGCCCCTAGTTGCTAATCTTGGGATTGACAGTCTTGCTATGTTGGGACTTCTATTAGCCAGTGTCTCGTATTCAAATATCGAATAATCCAAGACATACCCAGTGGCCTTCTCGTAAGCCTCACGGCCGGCATCGGTGATCTTCTCCTGGACGCTGCGGTCCATGTTGTGACCGGACTTCTTGGTGGCGAAGCCGAAAGCTATATGCATCATCCGTTAGTAACTGAATGCTCATGCACCTAGGATGTACATCGCGGGGATTAAAAAAGTCATGTCAACAATGACGTACCCTTGTCAACGTAGTCGTCCTGCTGTCCGGCAGTATTGGAGGAGCTGCCGGAAGAGCTGTTGCCCTTCATGCCCTCGGAAGCCTTCTTGATGAAATCCATATTTGTAGTGGAGAGAAAGTTTCAAAAATTCTTAAATAGTTGCTAAAGAAGAAAAGACCAACACACGGGCAAGTGGCTGATCTAAATAACCATCTGGTCGGAATCCAAGGCCCGACCCCGCCCGCCCCTCGCTAATGATGAAAGAGCAACCCACCCTGGGACCCCCCCCGTACGTAGGTAATGGAGTACTTAGCCACAGCCTCCAACTCGAAGGACCAGGGGTCTCCCTGGTCGGATGCTCCAATTACGGGCGCAGATCGACACAAGTTTCGACATTTCTAGCGCAGCTGATAAATAAAGGCAGACTACCGATCCACTACTCACTAATGGGTGGACTGTGGACTCGGCACGACCGTCATTCGCTCGAGATGCTAGGATCTTGTCCCACGTGAATGATATCATACTGTGGATCGGGTCTAGTCCCGATGTAGTGTGGCTTTGGGGAGGAAGAGCCAGCTTACGCCGGCGGCGCTGAGGAGGCCCACTAGCATCGGCTGAAGCACCTTGACGCCGACGTGGGCGGCTATGATGCCTGTTATTGCTGGGAAGATGGAGCCGCCGATTTGGCCGAGGACGAAGACGAATGCTGGGTGGTTTTTTTGGTGAGGATGGGAGCTACTGTAAGATTGTATGTGGGTCGTGTCTCACCTATCGCCGAGGAACAGATTTCCGGAGAGAACATCTTGGAGCCGACTGAGATGCCCTAGAAAATAGTGGTTAGCTGGCCGGGGAGTGGTAATGAGTCGATCAGGGCATACTGTTGCGAAAAATGGACCTGAGAAGAATCCTAGCAAGCTGATGGCCACAGCCTCGGTGATGATATTCGGCACCCTGAGAGGTAATGAGGAGCAACTCCCTCTTTAAGGGGAGAAAGACGTACAGCCAGAACACCAATTGCAACCCCACGCAAAGAACCGCGTAAATGAAAATCATCCGTCGCTCACCAAGTCGATGCGTCGGCTCTGCAAGCAATAGTCGACCCAGGAAACCACCACCGTAGAAGCCAGCCGGAACGTATCCCATTTCCTTGACATTCCCATTGCGCACCCTGACCAGGTATTCGACCATCCAACCACCAGCCGTGATACCAGCGCCTAAGAAGAAGAAAAAGAATAAACTGAGTATCCAGACACCGGGGGTGGAGAGCGTGGCTTTGATTTCCTTGAGGGCCGTCTTGCCCGTTGACTCTGGTTGATCACCAGTGCTAGAAGATTGTTTCTTCTTCTTCATCAAAAGCCCCATTCTATCGTGGAATGATAGTCCCACCAGTGACATATTAACCACGCCAATACCCAACGGGAACAGGTAAAATAAATTCCACTTTGATTCCACATTCGCCGAAGCCACGCCCGTGGCCACGAACGGCCCGACAAGACAACCGGCCATGTACATCGCATGAATGAATCCCAGCCAGCGATGCGCGCCTCGAAGCGAGGAGACAAAGGTATTGGCATGTGTATCGTTATACGCCTGTCCTAGGCTCGCGAGGAAGAATGTGACGGCGTACAGCGGGAAAGGCGGGAGCCACGCGCGCAGCACATGGGCCAGGATCTGAATTGCTGCACCTAATGATAGTATAGCGCCTAGATCGAGATGCTGGCATATTGAGCTATTGGAGAGAGCTGCGAAGAACCAGCCGAAGAAGGTAGTGCCGTACCTATGGAAGCTGGTGAGAATTGTTGTCAAACTTGAAATGGACGCGATGCGACTTACAGTACGGCGACCATGTTCGTTCCGATGCCGTAGGTGCGTATCACGTAGGGAATTAGCGAGCCCAGACTGCCGTCATTGATCCCGGCGACGAAGAACGAAACGCCGGCGCTGATGATCTTGGCGTATAGCCATTTTGGTTGGTTGACCGTCTCTCTTCTTGCCTCTTGTAGCACGGTGGGCTCTTCAGAACCTGGCTCGAGTGGTGCTCGTGCTTGGAGGACAAATGACTCTGCCTGTGTTTGTGTGGTCATGTTGACTATAAAGCGAGCCCCAGGATTGCCCGTCCGTCAGCTGGTGGGTATTTAAATAAATCGGACTTAGGGTTGAGAGCAGCACGGCAATTCGGGCCGCATTTGCGCGAATGTTCAATGAGAAAAGAGGCCCGAGGCTTTTAGAAGGCGATGGGGTCGTAAGTCCGAGATGTCAAGATGGTCATTTGTCGGGGAAACCCCGATTGCGGGGATTCACTGGGTCCTGCTGGCTGACTTGCCGCATATGGCATCAGTCTCCACCACCCAAAAGATGCTCGTTGAGTATCTACCTTCTCGGCCCGATTCTAGACGGGAAGCTGTACTCTAGATCTGCCGGTGTTCCTGTGCGGCCATCCTCCTTCAACTCTAGCGGGACAGCATCTCTCACCAAGTCACAATCGATGATCAGTTGGGAATGGTTAGTACATCTATCTATGTTGATGTCCGATGTAAGAGTATTTGCCTCGATTCTCACAGAATACGTTGTGATACACTGATTTGGTGTCCGGCTCTTGCATTCGATGAGTTGTATTAAAGAACTAATGATAACCTTGATCTTCTTTACTGCATTATCGGAGTTGTGTATATATAGCGTCTCTGTGAAAAATTGAACTAACGAGTATCGTAATTAATCCCAGGTTGTCTACAGATGTGCACGTAGTCAAGATTGGATATTAGGAAACACCACTTTCACCTTTCACTCTTGATGTTTGGAGCTACCGGTAGCGGGGACCTTTTAACACATTGATACAGATACCTTGTTAAGTAATATCTCTGGAAAAATTGCTCACCTGGGCATAAGCGCACATCAAGGCCTACTCATGATCTCACTTTGTCGTACGAAAGCATCTATCGGGATCGGACTGAGGAAGCGACAAAATAGGAGATTTCATCTTCCATCACTTCACGATGTCTCCATGATCACGCAAACCGAATCAACCTTGATTCTCGTCTGTTTGCCTTCTCCATCTTCCCTTCTCCCGTCTTTCATTTTTATCAACCTTGGAACACACTGACCCCGACCTTCTCCTTGACCAAGCCATGAGTCTCCTCAATCTACCATCTGAGCTTTTGCTCATGATTGCGGATCGCTCCGATTCCCAGAGTGATATCAACTGTCTTGTGAGGGTCAATCGACACCTGTGGGAGGTCGTGAACCTGCACCTCTATCAATGCAATATCGCTCACTGTGAAGGCGAAGGTCTCAACTGGGCCGCTGCGAATGACCTGCCAAACTCGGCGCGATATTTCATCCATGCTGGTATCTGCCATAAGATTGAGCACTGGGATCGCATGCCTCTCATTCTTGCATCCCAGCTCGGAAAGGTGCCCGTCCTAAGCACCCTTCTCAAGGCAGGTGCTTCACCAAACTTCCACCAACAAGAGCGACTCGGAGACACCAGCCCGGCAAGCCTGGGGAAACGTTTTCAAAGGGAGATTATCGCCCTGTCTCCTGCAAGTCCACTGTCACTTGCCTCCGCAGGGGGGTTTGAGCTCGCAGTAAAGCTCTTGATACGGCACGGAGCCGACGTCAATTACAAGATTGAGGGTGAATTCTTAACACCTCTTCATATGGCAGCTCGTTATGGACACGACTCAATAATCAGCCTCCTCCTTTGCCACGGGGCGGATACTGAAGCCACCTCCAACTACTCAAGGCGGCCTCTTGACTGCGCCTTTCACAGCGGGCAGATCAATGCTTTTCGGCTTTTGATTCCCAAAAGTGCCAGGCTGCAGTCTTCAGACCTGTTCAATTTACTTCCTTACTGGGAATTTTTAGCGGCTGTCATGGAAACAGACACCGAATCAACGATCAACGTCAATTACCAAATCGACGACAAACCTATCCTTCACATTGCCGCTACCCAGGGCCTTCGAGAGTCTGCCAACATCCTCATCCAGAGAGGGGCAGATATTGAGGCTGAAGACTACAAGGGGATGACTTCTCTGCACAGTAGCGTTTCTCGTGGCCAGAAGAATGTGGTTGACCTGTTACTGGAGCTCGGCGCAGACTTCACGAAGAGGGACCAGAAGGGCAATACGCCATTGCATCATGTTGCTGACAATCATCGCATGTGTGACTCATCAAAGAAAGCCATCGCCACAGCTCTCATCCAGAGAGGTGCTGATATTGAAGCTCGTAACAACTATCGTGAGACACCGCTTTGTCACGCTGTGAGGAATAGATCTGAGGCCATTACCAAGCTACTGATTGAGAATGAAGCTGATATCGAGCCTCGCAACAGACGTGGAGAAACGCCATTCATCTGCGCCGTAAGAAAACAGACACCGAACGTTACTCGATTGTTGATTGAAAAGGGTTGCGATACCAAAGTGAAGAATAACAAGGGTCGGACTGCTATGGATATTGCCAGCCGCCAAACGAACATTTCCATGCTTCGGCTCTTGCTCACTAATGCAAATGCAAATGCACGGTTCTCAAGTGGACAGCGGGCTTGACCCGAGCGAGCACGAAAAAGAGGGAAATCACAGGTCCATAACAGCTAGGTGAATACAAAAACATGGCATTTATTGCCTAGCGCAGTCGAGTTACGGGTATCAAGGGGGCGTAGCTACTCTATTTTCTTAGTCTTCTTGAGCTTTTTCTTATGCATCTCTTGATTCCGCCTGTTGAAACTTCTTTCCAAAGAAGGACCACTCTCAACCTTGAGCATTTGAAACATCTAGATCAATATGACTTTGGCAAACCGAGCACTCGTTCACCAATATAGTTACAGATCATTTCTTTACTCACAGGAGCTATCCTGGGAATGAAAACCTCACGAAGATACCTTTCTACATGGTATTCTTTTGCATAGCCCATTCCCCCATGCGTCAGAACCGCCCTTTCACACGCTTCGAAAGCAGCCTCCGCAGCGAGATACTTGCCGGCATTGGCATACTCACCCCCTGCGTATCCTTGATCGTACATACGGGCTGCGTGGTAGATCATTAGGCGTGCAGCCTCCAGCTTCATCCAGCTATCTGCGAGAGGATGCTGGATAGCTTGATTTTTACCAATTGCACGCCCGAACACTTCCCTCTCACCCGCATAGATTGCTGCTTTCCTCAAAGCAGCGTATCCGAGGCCCAGTGCCTCAGCTCCGATAAGGATCCGTTCTGCATTCATGCCGTGGAGAATCATCTTGAATCCGTCGTTCTCCTTCCCGACCATATCGCTAGCTGGTACTCGCCAATTCTCGAAGAAAAGGGTATTTGTGTCGACAGCTGCTCGGCCCATTTTCGGAATTTCCGTGATTGTCACAACAGAGGGATCAAGATCGGTATAGAAGAGTGATAGGCCTTGCGATGGCTTTTTCACCTCTTCGAGAGGCGTGGTACGAACTAGGATCAGGATTTTTTGAGCATTTTGCGCAGTAGAAATCCATATCTTCTGTCCTGACAGGATGTAATCGTCACCGTTCTTCTCTTTTCGGGCGATAGATTGTAGCTTCAACGTGTCTAATCCATTATTCGGTTCAGTAACACCGAAACAAGCTCTCTCTTTCCCCGCGATCAGGGGCTCAAGCCAACGTTTCTTTTGTTCCTCGGTCCCGAATTTGACGACTGGCTCGAGACCAAAGATGTTCATATGCACGGAAGAGGCAGCCGTCATTCCTCCCCCTGACTCGGAGATGGTTTGCATCATTATGGTTGCTTCGGCGATGCCCAATTCTGAGCCGCCATATTCTTGTGGCATGCAGACTCCCAGCCACCCATCCTGGGCGAGAGTTTGATGGAAATCAGCTGGGAACTTCTTGGTCTCATCTTGTTTCAACCAATATTCGTCAGAATAGTTAGCGCAAATCTTGGCTATAGCTTCGCGAACAGTCTTTTGCGAGTCTGTCAGGTCGGTGTCGTGGGTTTGAAGATATTCCGTCGCACGAGCATTAGAGTGGGCGTATCGCAAGCCTCTGTTGGAGCATATGGATTGTACAGAATATCTTCTTAATTGTCGGAGCTATCGAGTTTGTTAACGTTGGAACTTCCCATCGCCAAATGGGTTAACGTACGATCAAACTCCGCCCCAGGAATGCCATGTTTGGTAGTGCTTCATCGTATAAGCGCAGCCCCAACTGTTGAATTTAAATCTCAGGCTTAGACACGACGAGTTTCAACAGTGATAGACGCCGAAAACTACCGAGGTCACCATGAACTATGCGTGTTCGGGCAAAAGTCCGAAGGTTGCACGTAGCATTATGGGGTTCGGCACCGAACCCCGAGGATGCCCGGGGTGAATCCCCGCACAGTTTGAGGCGCGCTGAACATAGAAAAACTATGCCATGTGAATTACACTTAGAAAATGCCTAGGCATTTGCTTTACTTTGGATTCGGAATACCTTAGCTAAGAGACACCGTAGCCCGGAGTTGCAGAACATACACAATTTCATTACGAGCCGCCAGACTTCCAATCTCCTGAGGACAGTCGACAATGTATAATTTTACACGAAACTCTGTAAGACTGCCTCACAAATACCCGTTGATGTTGGCAGTTAGAACTCCCCTTCGCTTGAATGTACGTGGGAATCATACTCTGACAGCCAAAACCACGCCTGACGGCCCACTTGTTGGAGTCAAAATTCTGGATTTGACACGCGTTCTGGCGGTAAGTTATTCCTTGGAGAATTCGAGCTGAGAAAGCGAAACTGATATATTCGGAAGGGCCCATTTTGCACGCAAATCCTGGCGGACTATGGTGCTGATGTGATCAAAGTGGAAAATCCAAATGGAGGAGTGAGTCTACAACATTCCTTTGACTTGCACTTTCGAAAGGTGAAAAGTTTGGAATTGATAGTCACTAAAAGAGAGTATAGGACGACACCCGACTCTGGCGCGAAGCTGGAGAGGAGGCTATATGGAAACCCGAGGCTTCCAATACTTCTATCTATTTCAATACCATCAATCGAAACAAGCGCTCGATTGCGGTCAATCTGAAGAAAGAGAGCGGAAGACAAATTATCCTAGGCCTTGCCCGTAAGGCAGATGTGGTGTAAGTCTCTCAATGGTCATGACACATTCTGTTTCCAACGCTTGTGAGTATACCTACTGACAAATTTGAATAGAGTGGAGAATTTTATCCCCGGAAAATTGGATAAGCTTGGCCTTGGCTATGATGTCTTGAAAGCTACCAACCCATCTATCATCCTAGCGAGTATTTCAGGTTTGCTGTCTGCTTCTTTCCGAGGGATTATTGTTCCTGACTATAAGTCCCAGGATATGGCGCCGACGGACCATATGCGCAGCGCGCAGGCTACGATGTGATCGGAGCAGCCGAGGGCGGCCTACTCCATATTACAGGAGAGGCAGATGGCCCTCCCACTAAGCCTGGCGTCGGCCTAATGGACATGTGCACAGGCTTGTATCTTCATGGCGCAATAGTATCAGCATTACTTGCACGAGGAAAAACAGGCCACGGACAGAAGATTGATACCTCGCTATTTGAGACGACTATTTCCATTCTCTCCAATGTGGGAATGTCCTGGATGAACCTCGGCAAAGAAGCCCAGCGTTGGGGTACAGGTCATCCAACCATCGTTCCATATGAGGCCTTCAAAACGAAGGACTCGTTTCTCGTCGTGGGTGCCGTTAACAGTCGGCAGTTTGAGACCCTCTGTGGTTATCTAGGAGAAGAAGGGCTGGCCAACGATCCTCGCTTTCTGGATAACAATGCCCGAGTCCAGAATCGTAAAGAGCTCAAGCGCATATTGGATGATCTCTTCGTCCGGAAGTCGAGGGGAGAATGGGAAAAGATATTTGAAGGGAGTGGAATGCCGTACGGTCCAATCAACAACTTGGAAAATGTCTTTTCGCATCCACAGACAGTGGCAAGAGACATGATGCAGACAGTCACTCAAGCTGAGGCGATATCGGGAAATGTCAAGGTCCTTGGTAAGTCGCACTGTAAATTGACGACTCGCTCTAACTAACTCATTTTGCGCCAAAGGAATGCCTGTGAAATTTAGCGAGTCGAAACCGACAATCAGAGAAGGGCCACCTTCTCTGGGGAAACATACCGACGATGTACTTCAAGAACTTGGACTAACCCCGGAAGCAATCAAGAAGCTACGCAAAGAAGGAGTGATTGGAGCTATTGCTGCGTTCTGATGCGATTACCATAGTTGTCATGGTACCGCACCTCTTTTTGTTTAGAGAATTATCTTCCAAACCAATCCTGTGAAAATCCCAGCATGACTTCATCCGTCTGAATATCTCCTCTCGTATTGATAGCATTCTGCATTTCTTGAAACATATGCTGAAAGTCAAGTATCGGGTCCATTTCAGAGAACGAGGTGTCGTGGTATTGCTCCGTAGACATAGTCGTCTCCGGAAACCCGGGCGAGGGAGACAGCTGTGGCAAATAAGACTGCGCAGACATGGCCGAGGAGTATGTTTGGAGCCCATTTTCAGCTACGGATGAGACAAGCCGCGTGTTCATTTGGTTGTTTTCACGTTCTGCAGAGCTAGCGTTGTCATCCTTCTGTTGAAACGTCATACTGGCAAGCTCCTTGAGGGCACTCATGCTCAACTGATTGAAGATATCACAGGAGCCTCGTGCATCATCCCATTTCTCACATATGGCTGTCAAAATGTTTGAGCAGTCACGAACGTCAGAAGTAACATCCCAAAATGAGGGTAAAAATGCGTGGGTACTTCTCTTACGCCTCTGCACGCAACAACCAACGCTGTAGATATTTGCTAGGCCGGCCATGAATATTGTGTAAAGACAGACCCATGAGTAGTTTAAATGACGGGCGCGGAGAAGCTCAAAATATCTGGCAAGAACCATACGGGATGAGGTCCAGATAGTTTTTAGCACATCATCCACATCTGTGTTAGATTCTAGGCCTTCCATTGCTGGAAATGTCACCGATGGCCGGAATAATAGGAGACACGAGCTGTTGTAGAGAGCGTGATACCAACTAGGATGTAAATAGGATGATGTGATGTCTCGGATATGCTCTGGTGATGGTAACGGAAGAAGTGAAATGTTTCTTTGCCATGCTTGAAGGTCCCTGTAGATATCTTGTCTAAGCGCCTCTCTGTCATGAAGCTGAAGCCGTTGAATGGAGCGACTTGTATACATGGATCGGTGAATTCTGGATTGGATCTTGCGTAGGTGAGTGTGTTGCAGAAAGGGCGATATATCCCGCAGTGATGCAGTAGATCCAGGCACATGCTCTAGCCCGTCATCGTCCAGTGGAGAGGGTAATGTTACATCTATGTCATCATCATGGAGAGCGAGAGGCCTTCCAAGTGAGATATTGACGATTCTAATTCGTTGTCAGCAACTTGGCTCCAGTTCAAATTCTCACGACCACTTACCTCTCCAGATTATAATAGCACCAGAAACATCGACGCTGCATTTCTAATTGAACTGAGCTTGGAACCTTTCCAGTAATGTGTGTTTTGCAACGTGAAGAAACCGTAGTACTGTTCTGATGCAAGCCAATTTCAACACATAGTCGAGACGCCCTCCCAAGCACCTCCCACATCTCACTAGAAGTGTCACGTAAGCTGGCATGGATCCCATATTTACAGTAGAGAAGCAGAGCCTGCAATGATCGAATGTCACGAAGGCCTGAAACCTCATCCAAGTGCATCGAAGCTCTGGCAAAATATGACTCCGAGTTGAGATGGCCGCTGTCAACTCTTTTGGACGATACCGACCCTAAAGCCAATACAATATCAAGTGCAAACGCATTTGAAGGATTATTTTGATAAAGCTTTGGATCTGAATAGATCTCACGCACCATCTCCATAAATGCTGGTCGATAAATTAACGGGAATAACAAGTGCCAGTGGTCAAAATATGATTCAATCAGGGGCATTGCCACGGAATGATCCACGACCACTGCAGGTTGCGGAATGGAAGGGAAGGCGATCCTTTCGGGCATTCGATGACTGTCGGTTACTCTCCCAAACAGACCACCCTTCGTACAGGAGGAATGCACCACCCGTTCAACGATATCGACGAAGTCCACCCCATTACTAGAGCCAAGATATCGAATCTCCTCCTCAGGGGTCCGTTGTAGAGAGCCTGCTGATTGTGACAACGACTGATCTTCCTCAGGCTCATCGGTGAAAGGATGAGACTCGGGAATCGGTAGCTCTGGCTGGCTGATACTACGCGGCTCGGTTACGCCCGATTGCAACGAGCCACGCCGGAGTTGCGCGTTCTCGTGTTCCAACTCTTTCAGCCGTAGCTCAACAGATTGCAAATATTCCTGCTGAAGCTGTCGATCCCGGCGCTTGTTGGGATACCTGCATAGGGCGCGACTCCTGATACATGCGCTGCACCGTGGCATCTCTCGGTCACATTTTGTTTTGCGCGAATAGCACCGTTCACAGGCATGCATGTTGGGCCCATGTGCTCTTGAAGATTGGAGTAATTAGAGAATATCAGACCACTATGATAGGCACTAATACCCGATGAGTGCCATGTCAGCCCCGATAGGCAGTGTGAAATAGGTCACGAAATGCAGGAGCCGAGGTGGACGCAACCTATGCCTCATATTCCAGGCAGCAAATTCGGGAGCTTCGACAAAACACAGTTCATGAGATTTCCACCTGCTTGGGGCCAAGATTCGACTTGTCATCCGTATGTCATGAACTGACCTTAATGGGGCTTTTTCAATCCAGATTCGCGTTCGTCTTGTCGTTACTGCTCCTCCGTTTTTGCCGACATCTTTGAGTGAGATGAAAGCGCTCGCACGATTGCATTTTATCTTCGTGATTTAAGACTCTAGGGCACCTGACATGAAAACAAAATGAATATACCTTGTGAACATACAACTTGGAGTATGGGGGCGCTGACTTCAGAACGCTGTGGTGCGAACTTGGGAACGATCGTACAACCTTCAACCGAGCCAGATCACGAATAGTAAGTAGTAAAGACAGTTACATACGAGTCTACAGTTTTCAATAATCTCAGTCGCCGCGATATTCTTATACTCAAAGACATGTCACACTTACTAATGACATAGATTCTGTCATTCCAAATATCTGCCCGATTCTACACTTGATTACAACGAGGCTTGCAAGAAGAAGAAGAAGAAGAAGAAATACGAGAGCACCGGACTTTGGCTCATGCATGATCTCTACTTTTCTGCCTGGCTCTCAGAGGAGAACTCTTTCCTCTGGCTACACGGTTTTGCCGGAAGTGGCAAATCTGTGCTGTGCTCGACAGCTATACAGTATGTTTTCCAACGTCACAAATCTTACTCGCAAATTGGTATCGCTCTCTTTCTTCCCTTTCAGCGATCCACTCAAACAAAAAGCCTCTACTATGCTACGTGCCTTGATTCTGCAACTCTCCAGCCAACTTGGCGATGAAAGTGAGCCGTCTGAGCTCTATAATAACTACATGAATGCAACGCCGCCCATCGAAAAGCTGCAAGATATTGTCCAATTGCTCCTCAGGCAACCAGCATTGGGTCATCGAGAATTTTTCAGATTGCCGTCTTTCAGGCTACTGTTAGCGAATTAAAGCAAATATATTGCCTAGTGGAAGGATACAGGTTACAGTCTGCCGTGGATGCTCTCGCGAGGGCAGTTCAGCGGGCGAGCCTTATACGAAGAACAGAAAGTCCTTTTTTGCCCACGGGCTCAAACCCTGATATTTATGACTGTTTCGGTTTTCACTTCTTATAACTAAGCTGGGGTATCTCCTTGGTCAGATTGTAGCATTTTCTTGAATGCTCATCTGCTACACATGTGCCCAGACGCGTCAAGCATTTGACAACGATGTATCCAGTGAGAATCATGCAGGCATCATTACCTTCTTCCCTATCCATTTTCGTACTGGGCAAACAATGTGTGTAGATGTCCTAATTTGTGTTGTCCTTGCCTAGCAGCAAGGGCCAAATTTGATAGTATATCACGGGAAATGCTGTCTATGGGCTCACACGTATATTGTGCAGAAAAAGATGCCTTGAGCCACCCAGACATCTGGGTGGAGACAAAATGGAGCCGTTTCAAGTTCGACTAGAGTGTTTGGAGATGACTGAGAATTATAATCAAACCTTGGTTATTTACTATGCCGACTTATTCCTGAGAAAAGGGATTGACATCAACATTGAACTTGCCGAGAAATCGGAGGTTTCCCGACCTTCCCGATGCCCCCGCTCCGACAGATCTGCTCCGTCGTCATACCTCATTCCACCTGAGTCTGACATCTTTTGCTTCATCAACTCTCCGAATCAAAACTCAAATACTTCTTGAAACAAACACAATGCCGGTCTACCACGTTGGTATGCGCTCTAGTCTACTTACACACGAACGCGGGTATCGCATCACAGCTCTCAGAGACCTGACCGACTCTACAGTACTTTTCCGCCTGAAGCCGAACGTAAGTCAGTCGCAAATAGCGATATGGGCACAAACGGCAAAGGAGATGGTTGGCAAGATTCCAGGCGAGTCGACTATACCAATTTTCGCAGAGCATCAACTAATCAAGCTACCCAAATTATATAGGCCTCGTTTCATTGCAAGCAGGCCAGCCGCTGTCAATTTGTATTCCTCGCGCCAAGGGCTTTGATATGGGGCTTGTAGCTGTCTTGGAGAAGGCAGAAGACGTTACGACTTATGCAGTTCACCCTGCTCACCTGGAGTACGTTGCTGCACGTTTAGCACTGGAACATAACACTGATTTGTCTTGTAGGGTGCATAAAATGAGGGAAGAGCTGTGTGATGACACATTGGCGTATGACCTGGAGTTCTAATTGCTTGGTTGTGTACCAGAATGAAGAAAGCCTCGACTTAAGCCTGGAACTAGTATAGCTATGCTCAATTGTACAGAAGGTCTGATGAGAATTTACTTCAACGATTGGCCACATTTGATCTACAGGACCATCGCCGGTCCGAATACACGAGGGGACTCAGAGTAGAGGTTTGTAACATATCTATATCGTCATAAACCGAGTGCTATTAACGCCGATGGAGGGGGTCCTCCCCATGTGAACCACCTGGGCAAAAAAGATGTTCGTTCGTAAAACTTTTGGTTTCCGCCCATAAACCGAGAGAAAAGAGAGATCGAAGCGAGATGAGATGGGTAGAGAAATTTACTCCTTAGCATCCACCTTCTTCGAGGCGCGGTCGCCGTTCGCTTCGCCATCGTGGGAACGCTTTTGGCCGCTGCTCTGCACAACGGGGACACCACTAACGCAAGTTTTGTTAGCAAAATCTTTCTCAAAATCACTCCGAATCATTACATACCGAGAATCCTTCCGGGCCTCCCGGTTCTCCTGGAAGCCGTCCTTCTGGTCGTCGTTGCGACGATCCCGCCAGTCGCGGTTGTTGTCACGGTCACGGCCACCACGGCCTCCACGGCCCCGACCACCGCGGCCACCGCGGCCACCACGGCCACCACGGCCCCGGCCACCGCCACGAGCCCGGTTGGCGCTAGGGTTCACATTGCCGGCCTTGATCTCCTCCACCTTCTCATCGCAGTACTGCTTCTTGCTCTTGATGGTTAAGTCCTCGCCCTTCCATTGGGGCTTGGTCTCGAGGGCCAAAAAGGCCTTCTGCTTCTCCTCATCCTCGAACTCAACGAAGACGCTGCCCTTGAAGGTCTTGTCAAAGCTACGGCGGAGACGGACGGCCTTGATGGGGCCATAGGGCTCGAACAAAGCCTCGATGTCGGTCTGGGTGGTGGGCTCCTCGGTTCCGTACCGGCCGAAGCCCTTGACGTAGATGCTGCGGGGCATGGCCTTATCCTCGAAGACCTTGATGGCATCGGTGTTGTGCTCGCAGGTCACAGACTCGGGCAGAGGAACCTTGCGCTTAATGGCGGTGTCGTTCTCGACCAGCTCAAGAGTCTCGGAGGTTTTGAGGGCCTCAACAACAGCGCTGAAGGGCTGGAAGCGGCGCATGCGCTTGAAAGAGTGAAGGATGTCCAGAGGCACGGCGTTGTTCGCGTTGCCACCAACCTTGGTGAAGAGGAACTTGTCCATAGGGAGGTTGGAGTCAGAGAAGTAGAACTCGACCTGTTACAACCCATATTAGCAATCTACACCAAGATGCGACCATTCTGGGCTAGATTTTACCTGCTTACGGATCTCAACGGGATCGTCGGTCTCTTTCTGGGTGGAGGGATCGAACTTGGAGTTGTTGGTCTTGTTTCCCCGCTGGTAGGGACGCTGCTCGCGCTGCTGCGACTTCTCCTCAGACTGCTCGGACTTCTCACCCAGCTTGGCGGCTTCAGCGACAATGCGCGCTTCGTCGGCGTCTTCCTGGCCAGCCGTCTCGGTAGCAGGCTTCTCCTCGTTCAACTCTGCAAGAACATTCTGGACGTCCTGTGCGGATTCCGCGTTCACGGTAGTCTTCTGTTCCTCGGACATTGTGAATGATGTGTATGGTTTGGTTGTGGTCGGATAGATTGCCAAGGTGACTCGGGAAGATGACTCGTCGGAGAGGATGGACTCAATCGTCGGACAAGGGATAGGTGCAATGTATTACTTCCGGAAAACCGAGTAGAACTCACAGATGAGTTCTTAAGCGCAAGGTTAAATAATGCGCCTGTGGTGATCAATCTGAAAGAAAGAGCTCAGCGGGGAGCGATTTTTTTTCGGCGCGCGGGAGCTCCGTTGATGCCTCAGGCTGCAGAACTAGCCTATATAGGCTTAGTGTGGAACAATTAACTATACAACGTGACAGCGGCGACAAGCTACCACTATAAATCCATAATACCGAAACAAATCAGGATGGAAAGAAAACAATTATGCAGACAGTAGGATTCAGTACGTGGAGATTACTACGAAACACGGTGTGGAAATTGCCACGTTCATAAACGAAGTGATAATCGCGCCTGCCCACGTAGATGCCCCCCATTTTTGGAAGCACACTCTCATCAACTTGTTCAACTTTCCCCTCTCAACTTCTGCACATTTGATCAATTATGCATGATTTAAAGTGACCAAAGAGGCTCATTCATTCTATATAAGGTGCCGCACGCGCATCGATCCCCTGTTTGCACCGGCCTATGCCGAGATGGAGAGTGAAGATGGGTCAGGAATGGGCTCTGAGAAGATGTCCACGGCAGATGTATGCCTCACTCACCTACCTTGAAGAGCGTTGGCTGACCAGATTTCAGATACTGTACCTTTCTATTGTGGGGCCGCTCATGCTGGCAGCCTTTTTTGAGTGGGTGCTCTGGCTTGCAGCGTTCGTCTACTGCCTTGTCAAAGTGTACCAGAAAGCTGACCACTGGAGTGTCCGGGTACTTGCGGTGGTGATGATGGTCCTCTTCAGTTTACTGCGGCAAGTGATATCAGCCTATGCATTCTCAGTATAGTCTACTAACAGTCCTGATCACCAGCTTGGTCTTTCTTCCTGTGATGATCGTGACACTGCCCCTGCCCAGCCAAATCACCCATTTATTCCCTGTTCCTGCAATCTCATTTTTTCAGTGGTTTGGGTTTTACTCATTTTCAATTCTCCTTATCGGTCCATGGCTCATTTGTGTGTACCGACTTGTCACCAACTCCCTTGGAAGGACGAAAAAGATTGACAAAATCCTGGACGAGCGTACCGCTCCGAAAACTGTTGTTGTGATGCCAGTCTACAAGGAGGAGCCAGATGTTCTGATTGCAGCGATTAACTCTGTGGTGGATTGCGACTATCCTGCCGGTTGCATCCATGTCTTTCTCTCTTATGACGGCGGTGGAGTGGACGAGCCATACCTACGAGTAATCCAGCATCTTGGCATTCCTGCCTCTCTCCAAGAATACCCTCGAAGTATCGACGTCATTTACAAAAGCGCCCGGATAACGGTCTCACGTTTCCCTCATGGAGGCAAAAGAAAGTGTCAAAAGAACACGTTCAAACTGATCGACAAAGTCTATGCTCGGTACATCAAGCGACACGACAATCTTTTCTTGTTATTCATCGACTCCGACTGCATCCTTGATCGGGTCTGCTTGCAAAATTTCATGTATGATATGGAGCTGAAGCCAGGGAGCAAGCATACTATGCTGGCAATGACAGGCATCATTACCTCGACCACCAAGAAGAACAACATGATCACCATCCTCCAGGACATGGAATATATACATGGACAGCTCTTTGAGCGCTCTGTTGAATCAGGCTGCGGGTCTGTGACATGCCTCCCGGGGGCATTGACAATCTTGCGTTTCTCTGCCTTCCGCAAGATGGCCAAGTATTATTTTTCTGATAAGGCCGAGCAGTGTGATGATCTCTTTGATTTTGGAAAGTGCCACCTTGGCGAAGATCGCTGGCTAACCCATCTGTTCATGATCGGTGCTACGAAGCCGTATGAGATCCAGATGTGTATGGGTGCTTTTTGCAAGACCGAAGCTGTGCAGACCTTCAGCACTCTCCTACAACAGCGACGTCGATGGTTTTTGGGGTACATTACCAACGAAGTGTGCATGATCACCGATATCCGGCTCTGGAAACGCTACCCGCTCCTATGTCTGTTCCGTTTTATGCAAAATACCATCCGGACCACTGCTCTATTGTTCTTTATCATGGTTGTTTCTCTCATGACAACCTCACAGAAAGCGGCAGACCTTCCGATTGCTTTTATGGGTGTCTCCCTTGGGCTAAACTATCTGCTTATGTTTTACTTTGGCCTCCAGCTTAAACGCTTCAAGGCCTGGCTATATCCGCTGATGTTCATTCTCAACCCTTTCTTCAACTGGGCCTACATGGTTTATGGGATATTAACCGCTGGGCAGCGCACTTGGGGTGGACCGCGCGCAGATGCTGCCACCGCGGATGATCATACAACTCCCGCCGAGGCGGTTGAGCAGGCCAAGGCACAGGGCGATGAACTCAACGTTGACGTGAACACCTTTCGCACGTCAACGGTCTCTCGACGGAGGTCCGTCCCAGTTCGCCCCTCAAGAACCATTGAAGGGCAATTCGCGCCCGCTGAGAAACTTCTTGACAACATTGATCGCAGTACCAACGAGCCTGGTCCATCTCAACGGCCGTTTGCAGGGCCTTTATTCTTTCCACCTCACGCTTTTCACGACTCGGCGGAGTCGTTGTTCAGTGGGTCTTCCGATGCTGGCTCCAATACGATTTCGCCGCCTCGTAATGTGGAGAGCCTCATGAGCGAAGAAGATCCACGGAGTCTCTACTGTGCCCGCCGAGCTAGTGCGACATCAAAGTGCTCGCTTAACTCCGATGATAATGAACTATACCCTGGAGCCATTGGGAATAACGAAATAGAATCCACTCCTCTAGAGCCTGTTGTCATGAAATCAAATACGGGCGATACGAAGGACTTTTGAGTCATCTCGTTGTCGCCACATTTCTGACTTGGCTGATCAGTCATTTACTCGCCCCCTTGGTGCTATTTTGGACGACGAGATCTCCAACGAAGCCCCCAGGGCGCAAGAGGAACATCGGATTGAATGGAAGAAGTTCCTCAGAGGATCGGTGGTATTTGCTACACCCGGTGAGATGGTGTAGTACGATGAGGTATTGAGGGCCTGACGTCAAGTCCTTCTTCGTCCCACTTTTCCCCTAGCGCCTTTTTCTTTTGGACGCGTTATTGGCTCACAATCGTATTCTTACCTGTCCCCATATCTCTTGACAATTGCACTCCTGTGAGTTGTTATCACTCAGCCTAGTCTCGAGCTTGGGCATAGATTTGAGTACATAGGGTAGGGTAAGACCGCATTTCATACCTGGACCGTTTCATTAGTCCGTGGCACGGTGGATCCGTGATATCATTACATAAGACCCACATAGGGCGGTGAGGCTTTTGATTTTTCTTTTTGCCTTTCCCTTTCTGGCGGTGAAGGGTCCAGTAGCCGCCAGAAGGTTCGATGGCCACGCACAAGGCCGGGATGACACGCCTATATAGCTAACACCCTGCTTTGAGTCGGCGCGTAATTACTTGTCACTATTATACCGTCTGACGATCTCTATCACCTCTTTCTGTTTTAGAGTGAAAAAAAAAAAGAAAGCAAAGATCTTCAGACCGCTGGGAAAGAAAGTGCTTTATCACCCCGCCAATAATAATAGTGGAGTGGCGTGCAAATTCTCCCCTCCAAACTTCTTCCCTCTTTGAATTACCCTTCTTCATCCTTCCACCCACCCACTCTCCCTCCCTTATACCCTACATTTTCTTCTTACAATGAGCGTTGTCGGTATTGATCTCGGTGCCCAGAGCACCAAGATCGGTGTTGCCCGGAACAAGGGTATTGATATTGTATGTACTGCCCCGCGACTGCCCAATCTTGCCGGATCTTCCATCCCCCTGACTGCGACCCCGGCGAAAACCGCAACGAGGAATTGAGGCTAATCATGGATATTTTGCATCTTACAGATCACCAATGAGGTTTCCAACCGACAGACCCCGTAAGTGATGCCACCCGCCGCCTCCATGTCCATCATTTTTGGAGTTTGAAATCGCTGACTAGAAATTTCTGTACACAGTTCCCTGGTCGGATTCACCGCTCGCTGCAGACACATCGGTGAGGCCGCCAAGACAGGAGAGACCTCGAACCTGAAGAACACCGTCGGCTCCCTCAAGCGCCTGATCGGCCGCTCATTCGACGACCCCGATGTCCAGATTGAGCAGAAGTACAACTCGGCGACCCTCTGTGACGTCAATGGCCAGGCCGGTGTCGAGGTCAGCTATCTCGGCAAGAAAGAGAAGTTCACGGCGACTCAGCTGGTCGCCATGTACTTGACCAAGATCAAGGACATCACCACCAAGGAGCTGAATGCTATCACTCCTGTGTCCGATGTCACTATCAGTGTTCCCGCCTGGTTTACCGATGTCCAGCGCCGGGCCATGATCGACGCGGCTGAAATTGCTGGTCTCAATGCTCTCCGTCTCGTCAACGACACCACCGCCACCGCCCTCGGCTGGGGCATCACCAAGCTGGACCTGCCCGGCCCGGAGGAGAAGCCCCGTCGCGTCGTTTTCATCGACATCGGTGCCAGCGACTACACTGCCAGCATCGTTGAGTTCCGCAAGGGCGAGCTGAACGTCAAGGCCACCGCATGCGACCGTCACTTCGGTGGCCGCAACTTCGATATCGCCCTGGCCGAGCGCCTGGCCGATGAGTTCAAAGAGAAATTCAAGATCGACATCCGCACTAACCCCAAGGCCTTTTCTCGTACCGTCGCTGCCGCCGAGAAGCTCAAGAAGGTCCTCTCTGCCAACCCCCAGGCTCCCATGAGCATTGAGTCTCTGATGAACGATGTCGACGTCAACACCGTCATGAAGCGTGATGACCTCGAGGAGATGGTCAAGCCCCTTCTTGACCGGATCACCGTCCCTCTGGAGCAGGCTCTCGCCGAGGCCAAGCTCACTGTTGAGGACATTGACCAGATTGAGATGGTTGGTGGCTGCACCCGTGTCCCCGCCATCAAGGACACCATCAGCAAGTTCTTCGGCAAGGGCCTGTCCTTCACTCTCAACCAGGACGAGGCTATTGCCCGTGGTTGCGCTTTCTGCTGCGCTACTCTGTCCCCGATCTTCCGTGTCCGTGACTTCTCTGTCCACGACATCGTGAACTACCCCATCGACTTCACCTGGGAGCAGTCACCCGAGATCCCTGATGAGGATACCAGCCTCACCGTCTTCGGTCGCGGCAACGTTATGCCCTCCACCAAGATCCTGACCTTCTACCGCAAGCAGCCCTTCGACCTCGAGGCCCGCTACGGCCAGCCCGAGGGCCTGCCCGGCAAGGTCAACCCTTGGATTGGCCGTTTCTCTGTCAAGGGTGTCCAAGCCGATGCCAACGACGATTTCATGATCTGCAAGCTCAAGGCCCGTCTGAACCTTCATGGTATTCTGAACGTTGAGTCTGGTTACTACGTTGAGGACATGGAGGTCGAGGAGCCCATTCCCGAGGAGGGTGAACAGAAGGATGGTGATGTAAGTTATTTCATGCCGTGTTTTACCGTTTTCCCCTTTGTTGAGGACATGACTAACAAAATTACTAGGCCATGGACACTAAGAGTGATGAGCCACCTAAGACCCGCAAAGTCAAGAAGCAGGTTCGCAAGGGTGATCTGCCCATTGTCTCCGGCACCGGTGCTACGGAAGACTCCGTCAAGCATGCCTGGGCTGAACGCGAGAACGCCATGTACATGGAAGACAAGCTCGTTGCCGAAACTGATGAGAAGAAGAACGAGCTTGAGACCCGCGTCTACGAGTATCGTGATAAGTTCTTTGACGGTGGCATCTACGCCGATATTCTCGCAAATTTCAAGTCAGAGAAGGAAGACGACCCCCCGAAGTACGAGCAGCTGGACAAGATGCTCAAGGGGCTTGTGGAGTGGCTAGAGGAGGATGGCTGGGACAGCACCAAGGCCATCTACGTTGCCAAGCAGGAAGAACTTCGCTCCCTTGTCGGACCCATCATCCAAAAATACAATGATATCGAGAACAAGAAGATTGAGGAAGCCGAGGAGGCCGCCGCCGCCAAGAAGCGCGCCGAGTTCGAGGCTAAGAAGGCCGCGGAGCCCAAGGAGGCTGACGCCGAGATGAAGGACGCTCCGGAGACCGAGGAGAAGCAGTAAATGCAGACGTTTCCTGTGATATTTTTGGGAAACCCACTCGGCAATATTGCCGAGTATGATGATGAAAAGGCTTCAAGATGTTTTCACGGACCTAGACGCGATCAACGAATGTTGATCTCACTTTTTTTTTGTTTTAATGGCAAACAGTTATGATGTAGATCGTTTCTTCTGAGTGAATAAGATCAATTGACTCATGCACGGTTCTCAAGAAGTAGGCTAAATTGGCGGATCCTCGCGAACCGCTGTTCCTGTCGCTGTTCCTGGTGCGATCGGCGGCGCAAGGCTGAGGTTCTTTGCCACTGGCTCCAAATTTGTATCAGTCTAAACTAAACCCTATCTCATCCTAACAGATGTCAGATTTGAATGTAGGGTCGTCTTAAGATCCCTAATGTTCTGTTCAGGCACCCAGGAAGTGTGTTCCCGTGGCCTAACCGGACTTGGGTCGGTAGCGCAGGCATTGAGTGGCCCTCGGATCCGACTCTTACGACTCTCCGTTATAATGTATTCCATTTCCCCGCAGGGCATAGTACCCTCTCTCCATAGGGTTAGCCATGTCATGTGTAGTAAGCGGACACGTCCAATGCAGGAAAGGGTCGCGTGCTCGGGGGTCAATTGTGGCCCGATCATTAGTTCTCAATTCTTAGTCTAGGTAACCTCGTTCAAAAGGACAAGTAGTTTGTACCGAAAGGTCCTTGGCATAATTTTGCCAAGAATCCAGCGCCAGTTTAGGGTCTTGATCTCGTTTGGGCAAGGGAGGTCTCTTCTGGCGGGGGCAGAATGGGGGGATGAACCCGTCCTCTTATCCTATAGTCCATTCAATTCGGGTAATTTCTTCTGCGCATCCTTAGGACCCCTTTTCAATCTCGACCGTCTGTTCCGTAGGTACAGTAGATAGATGACTATCAAATACAAACCTCGGAGACAATTTTTATTCGCGGGTGGGTCCGCTCAAGCAGGAAAACGAGCACGCGAGATCCAGGGGAGACATCCCTGGTTCCTCGCTTCCTCGTTCCCCTCGTTCCCTCGTACTTGGGCCCGATAGTATTCTTTACGTCTTAGCGCTGCCCCGGATCATCGCATTCGCATTCGCTCCCCTGAATCTTCTCGCCAATGGGGTCCAAGGACTATGTCACTCCGAAGGAACTCTCAGGCCCCCTTAATGGCTTCCTTTGACCGGACACGGTACTGGAGAGGGCCCATCGGTGGGGATTCCGGTCCAATCCGCCCCGCATGGTGGGATTTCAGGGTGTACATATTGTCTTAGTCCCGGCTTAGTCGGATGAACTGGTTCTGTGGATCTTACCAAGATCTTCTGCTTTTTTTTTCCCTTTCTCTGATTACACTCGCTTCTGTCTCGAGGGCTCGTCTGTATATTCGGAAACCGGCATATATAGTCCCTACACGTCTGCTCAGGCGGGACTACTTGCCATCCGGACTTAATTCCCGGCCTTGGTTGGAGCTCCAGCATGCGAACCGGCTCATGCTTATATACCGAGTCGCTCTTATAAAACCGGCATCCTAGCGGAGTCCGCTCCCTCGACCGGAGATGCAGTGGCGAACGCTACTGGCCTTCGCCCCTGCACTCTGGTCTGCCGTGGCTGCGCTGCCCTCGGCCGACGATGCGGAAACCCAGTTCGGACGAGACTTCTATAGCGATCCTACACTGAGAGACCCGTTATGGTGGAAATATGGACTGAATGCCTCCGCCGAGTATAAATACTTTCATGAGCCCGGCCGCGACGATATCCTAGGCCATTATGATTCTCGATACTTTACCGAGCCCGTCGACGACAGAGAACGCGCAGACACCCTCACTCATATGATCCGCGCATACCTTAAATTTTTCAACGAGAACGAGCTGGAAACATGGATTGCACACGGAACCCTGCTGGGCTGGTGGTGGAATGGAAAGGTGGGGACGACACTGTGATTCTGCGTCGATACCTGATCTAAATGACTCGATAGATCCTTCCCTGGGATTGGGACATGGACACCCAGGTCCCCGACACCACTCTTGCCTACCTCGCCGACCACTATAACCGCACAGTCGTCCAGTATAAGTCACCCGATACCGGAAAGGAGCGAGAATACTTGTTAGACATCAACCCATGGTCCCGGCAGCGCGAGCGCGGACAGGGACATAATATCATCGATGCGCGCTGGATCGACATTCACACCGGTCTATACATTGACATCACCGGTCTCAGTCGATTGGAGCCTGATCACCCGGATATTTGGCAGTGTAAGAACTTCCACAAATACCGTTTGAAGGATATATATCCGCTGCGCCGGACTACATTTGAGGGGGTCCCGGCCAAGGTGCCGCTCCAGTATGATTCCATGTTGATGGATGAGTACTCGGAGAAGGCATTGACCATGACGAGGTTCCATAAGTGAGTCTGCTTTTTATTTTATTTGAAGTGCAAGTGCTGACTGCTTTGCCTGCTATAGTCATACTTGGTTCCCAAACTTGGCGGAATGGATCGCCGATGAGACCCTCGCTAATTTGAAGATCAAACTGCCAGAAGACCGGCAGTATGAATGATTGTCGACAATTCCTCTCTTGCATTTTGTTCTATTGCATTTCGTCGAGCTTGGTTTTCTCGACGCTGCATTGGGCAGTTCATCCTCACTCATATATCTTTGCATTTGGGCTGGCTGGCGTTCCATGACTGTTTCGTCTTGATCTGTTTTGCATATATGCTTGAAAACGGAGTTCATCGGATATAGTGTACCGGTATTTTGAGAGTCACTTTGGGCATACAAATCTTGTAGTTTTAGCAAATCCATGCCTTTCTAGCATCCATGGATCGAGTCATGCTTTGTAAGCCGAGGTCCTTCGTCATTATGGCCTTAGGCATCTAATCGTCTTATCTCCGCGCTGACAAACTATCGCCGTGGAACCGCGTCGAATTCGCCTCAGTGCTTGCCTATTCGGGTTCCTATATGTACGCTCGCCTTTGCATCGAATACTTCCTTCGCTCCTACATCCTTCGTACAGTTGTGCTGGCATATTTAAACCCTCTCGCCATGGAATCGTCCATGGAGCTGACGGTGCACCACCATGGAACCCCGCACAGCTTCCCGCTCTCCAACTCAGCGACACTACAAGACCTCGCCGCAGCTATCGAAGGCATTCTGAACATTCCAGTCGCGAACCAAAAGCTCCTTATAGCTCCAAAGCCAGGCATGCAGAAAGCACCGTTCCCACCAACCGCTCTCACGGACATACTCCCACTCGACTCACCAAGGTTCAAAATCACTCTCCTCGGCTCACCCGCCAAAGCAATTGCAGACCTTCACGAACAAGCAACTAGCGAGCGCAAACGCCAAGAAACCCGCGCATCGGCCTTAGCCACAGCCCGCAAAAACCAACCCACAGCATCTCGCAGCCGTGGCATCAACACCCTGTCCAATGGCAGCAACAACTACACCTTCCACCGCCTCCTCCCTCTAAACTACCTACCGAACCCAGACCGCTCCCTCCAGTTCCTCACCCGCCTTCGCGATGACGCAGGCATCCGCGCTGCAATGGCGAAACACAAATTCTCCGTCCCACTTCTCACGGAAATGAACCCGGCAGAGCACACGACCAGCGAGTCGCGCACGCTAGGACTAAACCGAAACAAAGGCGAAGTCATCGAGCTTCGACTGCGCACAGATGCATACGATGGGTATCGTGACTACAGAACTATTCGCAAAACGCTCTGTCACGAACTGGCGCATTGTGTGTTCGGGCCACATGATCGGGACTTCTGGGACTTGACGGCGCAGATTGAGCGGGAGGTTGAGGCTGGGGATTGGAAGTCTGGTGGGAATCGGTTGACGGGACAGGAGTTTTATAATCCTGGGGATTGGGAGCGGGTACAGAGTGGGGAGGATGAATATGTTGATGAGTGTGGGTGGACTGGGGGTGAGTTTGTGCTTGGTGGGTTGAGAGATGGGAATAGAGACAGCGGAGGGACGGAGTCAAGGAGGGAAATTCTCGCGAGGGCTGCTGAGGAGAGGCTGAAAAAGGAAGGGAAGAAGGAGACGCAGGATGATGGGAGATGAGAGACGTGGACCTGTATTTTATAGTTGATACCCTAATGACCCTTCGGTCTAAGCAATTGATTCTTTTTGTTCTTCATTGCGCTATTCGACGGCTAAAATGCCTTGTGATTGAAGCAACATGATGCAAACTCGTGAAATTATAGGAAACGAAGACCTTTCTATGGCTGAGTGCCGAGCAGTCTTTCCATAGATCGATATCGTACGCCCGGACGTACGTATCCAGGCATGTAGAAGGTACCATGGGTCAAACCTTAGATTCGAATAGATCTTGCAGAGAAGACCAATTGCGCTTCAAGATTTAACCATGAAAGCAGAAAAGCTCACCCGAGCTTGAAGATGTATAAACATAGCTACATATTTAAATCTGTTCATTGACGAACAATCCCGCCATACCCTGCCCAGTACCAATACACATACTGGTAACCAAGATCTTCTTCTTCGTCCGGCGCGCCTCGCTCAAGACAGTAGCGATTTGGCGTGCACCAGTAGCACCCAAGGGGTGGCCAAGAGCAATGGCACCACCACGAGGGTTAACCTTGGCGTGGTCGAGACCCAGGGTGTTAACACAGTAGACAGCCATAGAGGCAAAGGCCTCGTTGATCTCGTAAATATCAATATCGTTCTTGTCGAGCTGGAACTTGCTCAGCAGCTTGGGGATGGCGGCAGTGGGGCCAATACCCATGACACGGGGAGGAACACCAGCGACGGTGGCGCCACAGAATTTAGCCAGGATGGGCTGGTTCAGTTCGATGGCCTTGGAGCGGCGCATGAGGAGAACAGAAGCGGCTGAGATTTCAATTAGCTTAGCTTCTTATGAGGTTATAGGAAGACAACATACCGCCATCAGTAACCTGGCTAGAGTTACCACCAGTTGACTTATCACCAAACTGCGGGAACGCAGGACGAATCTTGGAAAGCGACTCAAAAGTAGTACCAGGACGAACACCATCATCCTTAGTCAGGGTGATCTGCTTAACCTCGCCAGTCTTGGGGTCCTTGACCTTGACCGAGATAGGAGCAATCTCATCATCGAACCAGCCGGCCTGCTGGGCAACCTCAGCACGACGGAAAGACTCGGCAGCATAACGATCCTGTTGCTCACGCGAGATTCCAAAATCGTTACCAACATTCTCAGAGGTCTGACCCATGGGCTGCATGCAGTCGGCAGACTCCTGGTTGCGCAGAACCTCCTCGTTGAAGGGGCGCTCGAGACGGTCGCCAGCAGCGGACATCAGCTCCGCACCGAGGGCGATACCGATGTCGATCTGGCCCATGGAGATCTGGTTGGCAATGTCCTGCACAGCCTTCAGGCCGGATGAGCAGAAGCGGTTCACTGATGAGGCACCGGCAGTGTGGGGGATTCCGGCGGCCAGGGCGGCGGCGCGCACCATATAAGCGGCTTTGGCTTCACCGACCTAGTTCTCTGTTAGTCTCGGTATGCAATAGAAAGACAAGGAGCGTACATTGCCAAGGCAGACATCCTCAACCAGCGCGGGGTCGATCTTGGACTTGGCCAGAGTCTCCTTCAGCAAAGCGTAGACAATGTAGTCCAGCTCGGAATCCTTGAAACCACCCTTGCGCGCCTTAGTCAGGGCAGTGCGCATAGACAGGGTGATAACGACATCATCGGGGTTCTTCTGGGTGCTATTTGTATAAGTTAGCTTAGAAATGTGTCGGTGGCGAGTTGTGGACTCACATGGCGTTGACTCCACTGCCAGAGCCCTTGAGGTGGCTCAAGAGAGAGCTAAGACGATCTGCGGCCATGATTAAATATGAAGAGGATGGCTGTTGATACACATTTATTAGTGTTGGCTTCTTATGTTACCTCCTGTTCATCTGAGACTGTTGTTCACTCGGCTGGGGAGATTTTCGGAGTTGGTTGCGGGGAAGCTTCCATGACGCGGTTGCGCAGTTTGGAAGGTTGTGTGATAGAAGAAGAGGACAGATAGAAGATTATAGTGAGCTTACCGTTGGTACAAGAGTCGAACAATGTTGGAGAAAGTCAAGGATAACGGGAGAGAAAGAGAGGAGAAGAGTAGAAGTAGGAGAGTCTCCGCTTAAGCTTCCCCGAAAATACCGAGGCTCTTTTTGCTCGTTATCCGGCCGCGTACCTGTTACCTCACCCCTCACACTGAACGTTAGCCAATGGAAGTACCCATTACTTGTCGGAACTTTAATTGACTTGGCGTCTAAAGTCAACGCTCCAATGTGCCTAGGTCTACACTCGGGATACGAAGTGCAAACATCTTCTGAATTTATCTCGTTCCTGTTGCATCGGCCCATCGTAGGCAGACCAAGAGTATCTATCGCCTACCACGGGACGACGCCTTTCTCATCTCTATACACCCCCGACTCGCCATTAGTGCCCAGGGTCGCCAATCGAACAATATTAACCGCAGACTCCGATGCGGGCCGCCCATTGCCGCGGGAGAAGTTAGTTGCCGTCAGATTCGGGCAAGACGCGTTTACTTTCCATCCCTTGGACTGGAACTTGGCCGCATAGTGCAGAGTCAACATGTTCAACGCAGACTTGCTGCTGCGATAGATGGGGAAGCTGGGGCTTGAGAGCTTTTGGTGCCAATCAGATGACTGGTCGACTCGAAGACCTAGTGACCCCGTGTGTGAAGACACAAAGACGATTCGAGCTGGCGTCGCTGTGGATTTCTCGAGCAGGGGAGCAAAAGCTTCTGTTGTGATAGCCGCGCCGGCGACGTTGACTTCATAGGCATCGTGAAAGAGTCGACGCATCTTTGCCAGATCGGGCTTCTCCTGGACACCGTCCTTCTGATTCTGAACTTGTTGGAAGTGCATCTCGAATTCGTTGTTGATGCCCGCATTGTTGACAAGCACATCCAGACGGCCGTACTTGGATGCAACCTCGTCGACTGCCCGTTGGATGGATGCGTCGTCGGTCACGTCAATCGTGATGGGCTCCACAATCCTACCCGTTGGGTCGATCTCGGTGGCAGCTTTGGCACCACGCGTAGCATCGCGAGAGCCGAGGAGGATGTGGTATTTCTCATGCGCAAGGAGGCCTTTCACGACTTCATAGCCGATGCCTTGGTTGGCGCCGGTGATGAGGACAATGGTGCGATCCGAGTGGGAAGTCATATCGATCGGGACTAGAGTATTGATATGCCTGCTTTATATTCTACAGTGGGTTCTTTATAGCTGTCGTATCTCGGAACCTAGCTTAAATCCGCTGAGGTGCATTTCGCAGCAGTGAGGCTGGCTCGGACATTACATCTTAAATCCGGGGTGAAAACAATTCACGAAGAGCAACGGAACCCAGGATCATACTCAGATCTAAATCCCTAGAAAACACCTGGAAATGATTTACTAGGGCTGTAGCATAATTTTCCTAGAAGAACCCCTTGGAAATGCCTGAAGGTTAAAGATAGACGACTGAACTCTAGCAATGGAGGATGCAAAACGTATCAAATCAAATTAAAAGCAAGCCAGGAAGAGGCGCTCTTGTAACATTGCGTGTATGAAGCATTCAATGCTTGAAATCACCTTAAATAATAACCGCGAGCCAGAAATACCCCAATCCCCATCCTAATCTGTCCGAGCCTACATACGCCATAGTCCCTTTACCTTGTAATATATCAAATCCAATGATTGTTTCCATTACAGCAACTGATGATGACCAGCATCTTCGTTGCTTATTTCACTTCCAACCTCAGACCAGCTGGCTGGGGTAGCTATGCCTCCTACCGAACGAGCATCCAGGTCACTCAGTGTGCCGTCGGATGACCCATCGAAGTCACCGACATGACTGAAGCTCCCGGCAGTTGATGGTGCCGAAGAAACGGGGTGCTGGAACTGATTTCCTTGAGCAAAATCGTCCAGATCCGTGAGCAGGTCTTGCTGCTGTGTCACATTGGAACCTGATTGAGGGTGGGCGTAGTAGACCTGGCTGCCTTCCGTGTGACTGGAAGCCGAGGTAGACATCGGTGACTGGGCTCTGACAGGAGAATCGGAGAACGGATCGAAAAGGATTTCGCCGGGCGCGGATGAGGTGGGAGTCAGTTGTATCACGGATTCCGAGGGATGGTTCGATGTGGTTCCTGATGGTATATCGACAGGCAAGAGGTCCCGGCCCATACTAGAGGCTTCACCACGACGGTAAGACTGTGAGCCTATATCAAATCCAGTTGAGGCACCGACAGCGTTGATGTCATGGTCATCCGTTGACGCACGGAGTTTACCGTCGTTGTCTACTAAAGTGTCGAAGCTGTCGAGCTCATGTGGCCCTCTCGCCTTCCGTCGAGATTCAAGTAATATACCCCGCTTAATAATGTCCGCTCGAGCAATTCGTCTGCGTTCCTCGGCATGTTGGCCGATCTCTTCGGTCATGGAGATATCCTCTCGGAGGATGTGGTCACCCGGCTGGATCTCATCACCCAGGTTGTGTAAGGCCAAGGCGATCTTGCGTCGGGAAGTGGCTACCCACTCTTGAAACTGAGGGGACTGATAGACAGCAACGCCGGCAGCCACCAGAACTGAGGCTGTCACGATGATACCTACTTGATTGTCAGCATACCAATCCTCGGCGGGGAACTGATAAGATCCACCCGGAGGATCCGGGTCCAAGAGATCCAGAAAGTCGTGCTCTCACCTTTGACAAGGGGTGCAGGCATGATGAAGAATAAGCCTACTTCTGAACTTCTCCTTAGGAAGTCAAGCTTCCAAGATCGAAAACTTGGAAACGAGCTCCGAAGCTCCGAATGATGCCTGTATTCTTACATAAACGCCACACCTGACCCGCGCAGCCCTTATCCCCGGCCCTTAAAACACACCGCTTTGGGACGTGTTCCCCGCGCGTCTTGAAGCTTGAACTTTGAGCTTCAACTTTGAAGCTTTGCGCCCAGAACATCTCCTGCAGGACAGTGTCAACATGTCTCGCCAATCGATGGCGCCTCCGCGACCTCTGTCACTGACGGAGGAGTTGGAGAAATTAGAACAATCCATTACGCTCACGCTTCAAGGTAAATCCATGGTAAACAAATCATCAGGCATGATACTGATCCTCTTATCTGCCCGCAGAGATCGACCAGAACTTCAGCCAAGCCCATCGGATTGTCACTACAAGCATTCTTCCTTGTGTTGAGCAGTACACAGAGCATTCTCGGGACGTCTGGGAAGGCGCCAAGGTGAGCTCGATCTATGGGCGTTTGATGCCCAACGCGACTATAATGTTGATGCTAACTCTGTATCCAGTTTTGGAAACAATTCTTCGAAGCGAGCGCCAATGTATCTCTGTCCGGCTACGAGGAACGACCCAACGAGGGTGATACACCACAGGAGCCCACTGCCACGGAGGAAGAGCTTTCTGCAGATGTGACCCAGAGTACAGCCGACGAGGAACCCGACCAGACCTACGCGACGCCGTCATCTAAGCGTCCGGATATGCAACATGGTCATGGCGATGACATCGATCTGACCGAGCTCACCATATCCTCGCATAGTACCCCGCGTGCACCAGCTCAGCATACCGGCGAAGACGACATTACCATCTCATCCATCGAACATTCTTCCGATTACGAAAACCTGAGGAAGCAAATCAACGAAGCCGAGGCACCTTTCGACATGCCAGACTCATCAACCCTCCCGTCTACCCCAGGCCGGCAAAGCTTCTTCCCTCATGGCACCTCATCGAGAACACCAATGTCATCTCCTTTCATTCCACCCGCCTCATCGGTAAAGTTCCAATCCACGCCGGGTGACGCCCGATACCAGAAGCCCTCGGATCCGGTTCTCCATCAGGTTCTTGACAAGACCTACCGAGTGCAAGCAACCCCTCTCGGCAAGGGATTCAAGAACGTAGGCGGAGGTACAGCCACTCGCTCGCAGTTCAATATCACACCCAAGCCAGCCACATCGACATCACGATTTGGCTATGACAACTCACCGATGTCCAGTCCAGAGCTCGAGAAGCCTCAGATGCACTCGGAGGTTTTTTCATCGCCCATCAAGGGTGTCAATACTCCTGGAACAAACCGCAAGCGGCGTACCAGTAGCAATCGTACTCGCGGCACTCCGAAACCTGGTACAAGTGTTTTGACACCTGCGAAGCCTAACATTCATGACTCCGTTTGGGATAGTGATGACGATCTTGACGACGAGGATTTCGGGCCGAGTCCTCCCAAGACCATGCAATTCCATATTCCCCAGAGTAGGTTGATGAAGACTCCAGGTAAGAAATGTACTCCTGTCGCAACTTTCACTGAGAAGAGTGCTAATCTCGTTCTTACTACAGCCAAGGAAGCTTCCAAGCGCATCGTGACCGATTTACTGGCTACGGCTGGAGCGGGTGACATCACGGACGAGTTTGATGAGGACCAGAGCCCGAGTGTCATTCGACGTACGGAGCGTCTTGAGGATGACACATTTTAGGCTTCATCTTTGCTGATGTATTCCCTCTGAAGGATGTAGTGAATAGAAATACCCAAGTTTTCATCTGTGAACCCATCTTCAAACTCAGCTCTGTAGAAACAGGAATAGAGAAGCGGGCTACAAATGCGATTCTGAGGGTTATATTGCATATTGAGGATTGCTAATAGTCAAAGGTTGGTAAGTTGGTAAGATGGGGGCCATTTTCAATGTCGGTCTCAAACTTGACTAACGGTCCCGAATCTTGGATTTCGGGACCGAACCACGACATTCAATATTCTATAAAGCTGTGCTTCCCTCTAAAGTACCCTGTCTCATTCAGATTGTCTTATTTAAATTATTCCTTCCCGAGATCATAGATAACATTCACTCAATCATCTCCGAATCTTCTTCGCGACATCTGGATCAACAAGCCATGACACCCCCGATCCTAATCATTGGCGCCGGTCTAGGAGGCATCTGCCTTGCCCACGCCCTACGCAAAAACAACATCCCTTACAAACTATTCGAAGCAGACCCAAAGAGCAACTTCCGAACCCAGGGCTACAGACTCCGAATCACCAAAGACGGCGTCACCGCTCTCCACGAGTCCCTAACGCCAGAGCTCTTCACTCTATTCGAAAAGACATGCGCCGAAACTGCGAAAATGGGCATCCGAGTCAAACCAGATGGAACGCCCGCTCCTTCAAAACCAGGTCTTGGACCTCCGCCACAGACTATGTCAGGAAGCGTGTACACAATCGACCGCAGCACGTTCCGCGAAGCATTACTCGCCAGTCTAGAGGTAGAGGGAAATGTTTTCTTCGAAAAGAGTCTCGATTATTACACGATCGACGCCGATAAAGTGACCGGATTCTTCACCGACGGGTCATCCGAAGAGGGTGCTCTACTCGTCGGCGCAGATGGAGTCCGCTCGCGCGTTCGCAAGCAGTATATTCCCGAATACCAGGGTATAGACTCGGACATGCGCATCATCTTCGGGAAAACTCCATTGACTCCAGGATTCCTGGCTAAACTCCCCGAAAGCCATCAACAGGGCATGAGTCTAGTCACCGATCCAGACGATTCCTTCCAGCCTACATTCTTGTTCGAATCTATTCACTTCCCGCACGCTGATGAGGTCCCATTCCCGCTACCAAGTGCATACATGTATTGGTGTCTCCTAGCGCGTACATCAACGCTTCCAGTTTCAGATGAGAAATCGTGGCATGTGACTCCTCGGGAAGCAGCTGATTTAAGCCGTTATTTGACGAGGGGGTGGAATCCGGCGTTGAGGAGCATTTTCGAAATGCAGGACGAGTCGCAAGCGGCTGTGAGGTCGATTTTGTCGGCTTTGCCGGAAATTGAGCCGTGGACTCCTTGTTCGAGGGTTACGGTTTTGGGGGATGCGATTCATATCATGCCACCGACGGGCGCGATGGGTGCTAATACGGCTTTGAGGGATGCGGGGGATTTGGCGAGGAGGATTGTTGAGGCGGGTGGTGCTGGCGGTCTTGATGAGAAGATCATTGGTGATTATGAAGCTGGGGTTAGGGAGTTTGCTAAGGTGGCGATTGGGTTTAGTTGGAGAGGTGGGATGAATAGTTTTGGCTTGAGAGCTGCGGAGGAGTGTGAGCGCATTTTACTTTGATGGGAGCACTGGAGAGTTGATCTTGTACAGTAGCATGGAGGGATGTATTCTCCACTCCACGGATCTTAGGGCTGCAATAGGTGGGTGGACGCGGAGATAGAACTGTTTCTATTCCTATCGAGAACTTTGCCAGTGCAAGTATTTGATCTTGTAACAGAAGCAGTAGTTGAGCTATGGAGACTCGGAACAACTGCATACAAAGCACGAATTGACATAGAGACACAGGTCAGTCATTAGAGTAGAGAAGAAATCTCACCACCTCAAAGTATCATACATGAGCCATGAAAAGAACTTTTGGGGCGCAGGGCCCCTCGAGGTATGTAGGAGAGAAAATAAAAAATAAGAATAAGAATAAAACGCCGGTTCAAAGAGATGGAAGCAGATGTACGAGACATGGACATCGAAGGAAAACCAAATGGTCCAGCCTCTTGGAAGAAAATCCAGTCCCTTTCTCGCATTCTATGGTGGATCAACAAAGCTCATCAGAGCTCATCAGAGCTCGGAGAGAATAGTCGAGGTCGACCAGCGGCCAGACGCTCAAGTGGATATGGATCGGTATGAGTTGCAAATAAAAGGAATGGAGACGTGACGCGTTATCCTCACGGGTCCATTTAGTGCTTCTTTGCCTCGAGCTTCTCAGACTTGGGCTTAGACTCGGACTCAGACTCGGATTTCCCCTCCTTCTCGTCCTTTTTGTCGTCCTTCTTCTCCTCGCCGGAGGACTCATCAGAAGATTCCTTCGCCGCCTCGACGTGCTCCTCGGCATGCTTCAGATGCAGAGACTGGTGCTTATTTTTCAAGCGCTGCTCCTCAGCAGCAACCATATCCTTCCAAAGATCACCCTCATCCTTGTTACCCGTGCGAGCTGGAGTCTCCTCAATAGCCTCCTGCTTGTTCTTCTTGTTCTCCTTCTGCGCATCCAGAATACCGCGACCACGACGCTGATCCGAGATCTCAAACGCCGCCGACGCACACAGAACACCAAGAGTCAGACCCTGCGCATACACACGAGCCTGGACAATTTTCTGCGAGCTAGACAGGAAGGGGTTGCGGTTGACAAGCATAAACGAGCCGACAATGGAAGCAATCCAGGTGGCGCCGATGATCTTGTACTTCTCGCGGCGGGCGAAAGCCACGGTGCGGTCGGCGAAGCTAAGGCCGCGGGTTTGCTCAGCGCGAAGACGCTCTTCGCGGTTCTCGTACCAGAGTTTTTCGGCGTTCTGCTGGGTCTCGAATTCGCGCGAGGCGTGGTCGGCGGCTATAATTCCCACGAAGGTTCCGGATGAGGTGGTGAGGAAGGCTTTCATGGGCATTGTCAGGTTGCGGATTGTGCTAAAGCGTCGCGATGCGAGCATGACGCCGGCTACACCGGCTGCGAGACCGGTGACACCGCCGATGGTGCCGCCCTTGACGACAGCGCTGATTCCTGTCAGCCTATGGCATGATGAAGAAGATGAGCTCGGGGATCAATCTTACCGGTAGTGGGCGTCCTCTTCTTCCTTAGTGAGAATCTTCATTATGTAGATTGATGTGATGTGTAGTGATGTTCCAGGGAAAGTTCTGAGGAGGAATGGGTAGGCATAAAATAAGAAGCAGAGACCGAGACACCGGTAAGTATGACGTGAGCTCTACGGGATTTGGATTTCTACCCGGAAGCTCGGCCGGCCGAACTTCGGGATTCGGTTTTCGCTCGCTCTCAGCCAAAGTCGGCGGAACAAACGAGAGCTGAGGGTAAAGGGTAATACGGCAGTGATTATTGGCTTCTAGCTAGCTTTTACATGGCTTCTTATTCACTTCTTCTATTTCAGTAGTACTGCCGGATGCAATTGATGTTACACGCCCATCCCGTTATCTCAAAATTTCCGATCAATCCCGAACGCCTGACGTATGGAAAAAAACCAAAAACCAAAGTGAGTCAAAATAAAAAAGTGCCAGCCACTAAATGTAAAGAAATGAGAAGGTTGCCGGTTTACCGACGAGATGCTTTCTGGGCCGCATTTTGTCGGGCTTGCATCTTGCGGAAACGATCCTCGCCGCTGGCGCCCAGAGGTCGGGAAAAGCGACTCTCCGCCACAGCAGTCTGTCGGGGAACAATAGAATAGCTGACTTGGGTGCGGTCGACACGAGCACGGTTGGCCAGACGAGGAGGCAGCGTCTCACGCGCACGAGCATCGGCAGCAACAATCTCAGCTGTGGTCTGGACACGCTTGATGATTTTGCTATACAGCAGTCAGTAGGGCATTCGCATCGTTCAATGTGAAAGGGGACATACGTAGGGTCGAAATCGGCTTGCTGGAACACCCGCTTCGAGTAATCATCGCTGCGCTGGAGGATTGGGCGAGTCCACTCGGCCAGCAACTTCTCCGCCATTTCTTTGATGCGGCGCTCCGTGCGCTTGCTTTTGGTGTAGAAAACGACCACCTTTCCGATTCCACTGGCGATCAGGGCATCCTTCTGGATGGGAAGCTTGGTCAGGGCGGTCAACAGATCGCGCTGGATGTTGTAGGCTGGCATAGAACCATCATCTAAGGGCTCAAGGAAGAATCGAACGGCCTCCAGCAGGTTTATTTCCGGATCGACCAGGGCATTAGTGTACTGGTTACGGTTGAGGAGCATGATCACCTCAGGTAGAAGCTTTAGCTTGTGCATAGCAGGCTTGCCCTCCTGGCGGTTGATAGCATCCATCTGCGCGGCGTGGGTCATGCGCTTGCGCATATCCTCGATCTCAGCATCGGCCATGGCCTCAAGATCAATTCCATCCTGCTTGCGAACCCGGCGCTTTGTAGGCTTCTTCATGGCTTCGTCCATGGCGCGGTCCAGAGCTCGGCGACGACGGGTTTCGGGATCCAACGTCTCCTCATCGGTATCGGGTGACTTCTCCTTCTGCTTTCGCTGACGGGGACGAGATGACGAGCCTTCCTCGGCGTCTTCCTCGTCGCGCGCACGACGGCTCTTCTTCTCACGACGACCCTCCTTGCGGCGCGGGCGACCTTCCTCGCCCTCGGCGCGCTTGCGCTTGTGGCGACCGATCAACTTCAAATTATCCGCATCGACATCTAGCGGTGCGCGTTCTTCGACATCGACGTTCTCAGGATCGAAGTTGTCGAATTGTGCCTCGTCGACCTCGGAGAGAATGGATTCGTCGTCGGAAATATCATCGCCACCGCCGGCTTTTTCGTCCTGATCCTCGGAATCCTCGCCTGTGTTGGGTTCGGCGGGCTTGTCGCCTTCTTCCTCATCGCCAGCAATCGGTGTCGCGACTTTTTCGGGCTCTTCGCGCTCGGGGGTGGCGGCGGCTGAGCCAACCTGATGCTCGGGAGAGGCAGACATGGTGTATGGGGTATATCGAGGACAAGAAATAAATGACAGGAAGAGAAAGGGAAGGAGAACAGAAGATCGAGGGGTTCGATCAATGAGGTTGGGTGAACGGCGCGGTTGGTTGCGCAGGCAGTCCCGGCGCCCGCGAGTTGAAATAGGCGAATAGCAAACCAGTGACAGCAAATTAGATCTGAGAGAGCTGCAGAGATATGCAAACAGAGGACTGCACAAGGCAGAGAGAATAAGAGACAGAGAAAGATGGCGAGGTGATAAAAGGCCAGAGGCGGACAGAGAAGGAGAGGTTGGTCTGTGCTCCCGTGATTTCTTTCCCAAGTCCGCTTCGCCCTTCGTCACGAACAACCCATCTTTATCTTTACACACCTCTTCTTCTTTCAACTACATATCCCTCACATACAAAATGTTCGCTCCCGGTATGTCCTAATTTCCTTCCAATGCTGCTAAATGCCTATACTGACTGCCTGATTGCAGGTCAAGAACCCCAGCTCTCCAAGGAGGAGATCAAGGTAACTCGCGCCGCCTTCCGTTCTACGCTAAATATCGTTAACACTCAATCCAGACTGGTGAGATTGAGGCCTGCCAGACCATCAAGATGGCCGCTCTCGGTGGTTTCCTCCTCTACCTCTGTAAGTAGGAATAATGCGCTTGACGTCCGTCCGAAAGGCCTCGAGATTATCTCAAGGGCCGCAACGACGTCTTTCTCCTGCTGTACCTCCCCGATCTAATACGTTTATAGCCCCCTTCGCTGTCGACTTTGCTCGCAAGTTCCTCTAAACGAATCGCCCATCCACCCTCATCTCTAGCGTCATGGGTGCATGGCGAATGAACCGCCGGTTATGACCACTCGGTGGGATTTAGGGATTTGGGGAAATTTGTTTCACATCTAGACCATTATGTCCTGGGCTAGAAGTGCGGGTGCGTGGTTTTATGTTGCTTATCAATCGCAGCTTTGCTACGCCATTACCGTACCTGGACCAAGAATCTTGGCTGGATGATGTATTATTATTGTACATGCCTGTGTTTTCTGGGTTTGTTTGGATATAGAGCAATGGAAAAGAGGACAATGCTAGATACCATTATGGTAAAGAAGGTTATACCGGGAATTCACGTAAATGTAGCAAATGAATTCGTATTGAGTATGCATTACAGTAGTCAGCTCCCCATGAACGCCGGTGCTCCCATGCCCATGGGCCATTCAGTCCCAAGATGTGAAGAGATACATAAATCGAGTGGAAGCATGCAGAGGATTTCTCAGTTCCCGTTCAGCTTCTGCGCTTCCTCGAATTCTTTCTTGACCGAGGCCAACTCCTTCTGCAGGTGCTGGATTTGAGCATGGTAATCGTCGAGGATCTGTATAATGGATTAGGTCTTGAGTAAAGATGGATGCTTGCTGGCAACATACCTTCTTTGCTGTCTTCATTGTCTGCTCATCAATCTCATCTTCTCCGTTGTTCACCACGCTTCCGCCAGCGCGCTCCATCTCCATCTGCAATCGCTTGGAGTGCTCGTAGATGGCCAACATGCGGGCCCATATCTCTTCGCCGCGACCATTGAGAGACGGATCAAAGACCGAACGCTCCAGCTGGGTCAACTTCTTCTTCAGCTCCTCCTCGGCATCGTCCATTGCGTAGCCTCGGCTGCGCAGTACTTGGGTCTTGGCTGCAAGCGCGAGACAGCGCTTGCTGAGAACGAGATGTTTCCTGCGGCAGTCGGCAATCTTGACGGAGATCTTCAAGTCGTGGCGCGAGAGAAGCTCGGTCAGGCAGTTATTGATTTCATGAAGGCGGGACTGCATCATTGTGAGGAAGTCCTTCTGGCGTTGAGCGCGCTTGCCAAGTTCCCAGAAACCTTTTACAAGCACGGGAACGTAGCTGGGGTCAGGTCGTTGGCGAAGAGCTTCCTCCCACTTGGACTCGTCATCCTCGGGACCCGGCTGGTAAAAAGGCGCTTGGTCCTCACCAACCTGGTTGTAGAGATAGGCTCGGAATGGAGAGGACTGGCTGGGCGCGTCCCATTTGTCCTTGACGATAGCGATTTGCATGGGAACAGTACGGTGTACTGTGAAAGAGATTAGCATGTGGTAAATTTCTAGCGGGTTTGATTTCAAGTTCACCTCCGGTAATTGCTCGGCCGGGTGACCACAAGCTCGATGAGAAGGACTGCTGTTGTTGGTTGGGCTGGGGCTGAGCCATGGTAGTTTGGCCGAATTGCGACTGCTGCTGGCCGAATTGCGACTGCTGCGCTTGTTGTGGCTGCTGTTGCTGTTGTCCTCCGAGAAGAGATCCTCCGAACAAACTGCCCTGCTGTTGCAGTTGCGGTTGGGGTTGGGGTTGGGTGCTAGCACCGAGGCCTCCACCGAAAAGTCCACCTCCGGTCGCCGGTTGCTGCGTCTGCTGCTGCTGTTGCTGCTGACCCAGACCGCCGCCACCGCCGAACAAGCTTCCTGCGGGCTTCTGCCCAAATGAAGAACCAAACAGTCCACCGGACTGCTGAGGTTGTTGTTGCTGCTGTTGCTGTTGCTGCTGTTGTTGCTGTGGCTGTTGCCCTAATCCACCACCACCAAACAAGCTTCCCGCGGGCTTCTGTGCGGTACTCGAGCCAAAGAGGCCGCCGGACTGTTGTTGTTGGGGCTGAGCTGCCGCATTGCCGCCAAAGAGACTACCGCCAGTAGAGCCCTGCTGTTGATTCTGTGTCGCGCCGAACAAGCCTCCGCTTCCTGTGGCGCCGGCGCCTCCGAAGGGGCTGGCAGCCGGTTGGCTCTGAGCCTGTGCTCCGCCGAAAAGAGACATTATGGCAGTCGCAATGAGTCGCGAAGGGTACCGTAAGAAAAAAAAGCTCAATCCGCGAAAATCGGGGGTCGTTTCGGTTAAATTGACGAAAAGGCACGCGATCCGTCGAGATTATGAGGTATTGACAGGACTCAGAGATAGATCACCCAGGAATTGGGGATCTGGTGGTTGGGCGACGAGCTGAGGGGTGCTAAGAGCTCGCAGGAAAGAAGTGTCGGAGCTGGTTTGTTTAGAGTCACGTGCTGTGTCAATGAATGTTCGGGTTTCGAGGGTCGTTCAAGAACTCGAAGGTTGCAATTGACTCGTTCAAAGGACGGGTCTCCCGTATAATCCCAGGATAACAGTCTCTCTAGTCTTTTTCACATCCATCTCACTCTATTTCAGGTGTTTTACAAGATGCAGCTGGAGGCAACTATAGTCGATTATGTAATCGCATTCCAGCAGCCAATCAGGAGGAGGCCAAAGAAACCGACCTTTCGCACCCGCAAACCCGCAGCTCTCCAAGTCCTGCCTCAATTGCACTCCCCCACCCGAACAGAATCCCTTGTTCAGACAAGCCACCGTCACCATGGCTCAAAGAGACCCCCAGTATGAGCATCACCGCTCGGCCGGGCCAATCCCGCCTTCCCGCGCCTCCAGAAACCCAGACTAACGTCTCCCTCTCTCGACAGGTTCAACCAGAAGCTCCTCGTGGACACCACGCCGATGCCCGACCACATTCCCAAGGTCGAGGAGATTGGTACCACATCTGCTTTCCTCGCCAGCGCTTCCTTCGCCATTGGTGCCCGCTGCCAGGCTTTCAACGATGACTACATGAAGTGCAAGGACGAGGCGAACGGCCGCGGCGAGTTCGACTGCTTGAAGGAGGGTCGCAAGGTTACCCGCTGCGCTGCCAGTGTGTAAGTGCCGCCATGATAGAGCAGATTGAAGAATGGGAGAGTCCGAGACTGACCCCGGACAATAGCATCAAGGACATCAACACGCACTGCATGCAGGAGTTCCAGGCTCATGTCGACTGCCTGGAGAACAACAACCAGACATTTTTCAACTGCCGTCGCCCCGAGCAGAAGCTCAACAGCTGCATCTTCAACAAATTGGTACGTCCCAATATCACCATTCCTCATTTCCACCCATGAAATGTACTGCACGTGTATCAGCATCTAACTTCCTTTCGCGAACAGGGCCTGAAGAAGGAGGTTCCCGGAAGCCCCGAGAACCAGGTCCCTGTGTGGCAGCGGCCTAAGCAGATGTACGCCGAGTACCCCGGCCGCCAGTTCTAAAAGCAGATGGAGATCTTCTTCTGCTAATTCCATCGCGATTTCTCTCACGTGCCTTTTTCTCCCGCCGTCCAGGGCCCCGGCTTTTCTACTGTTTTCTTGGGATGCGCAAGTGGCCCTTGTGTCTCAACTATCTTTGTGCTAGTCCGGTGTATGTTTTATGTAAATATCTATTGGCATCAGGAATGGTTACATGATTTCTGCTCGATTATGACCATTTGACTTCTTTTTTTTTTTTCTATATAAATCGGGTGTATCCTAAATGGGTTGAGCCTTGCAAGGCACCTCTAGCCTTGAAATGAGACTATATAGGAGTCTGGGAAATGGTGCATCCGTCCACGAACGTAGATTTCAATATCAAGTATGGTCCATACGGAACATAGTAAACATGTTGAGAAGGAAGATGAACAAAGCCTAGCAGTCGATCAATTTCTAAAGTATGGACAACACCCACCAGGTCATGCTCGAACGGTTCTAAGCCGATATATAGTCTAGATCGGAGAAAGGTCTATCCTATCACACGCCGCAAGGAGAACTCATAACCAAAGGAAAAAGGGGGAAAGGAAAAGGGAAAAGCCAAGCCCTGGAGACCTCGAATTGAAACCCATATGTACTGGACAAAAGAAAGAAGATGTGAACATCGAAAAGAAACAAACTCCAATCAGAACATTTGAAAGAAACCAAGTCGGCAAATGCAACCACCAACGATCCAAATGAACAACGAATTATTTACTCGGGCTTTACCCGACAGCCCTGGATCCAAAGAAGAGAGCTAAGGAAGAAGAGGAGCATCACCGACCCTCTTAAGAAGTTTAAAGCGGCCCAGCCTAGCCTTAAGCTCCTGCCACCCATCACGCAACCGATTCTCAAGTCTCCGATCCCCACGTACACGCATCACAATCAGAATCACGCCTAAAAGCGCCAAATCCCACACAATCTGGCGCATAACCGTCCACAGAATCCACTTCAACCACGCCCAGACGCCTGACCGACGTCGGTGCGCTAATGTGCGCGACTCCATTTGTTCACGGACTGCTGCGATCTCCGCCGTCATCTTGGTTAACGCTTGCTCGACACGCCGTCGCCACCGGCTATCTTTCGGCTGTACGTCGTGCGAGTCGTGCCGTGAGTGTCTTTGGCTTTCGACGCCGCTGGCACTGTCCCCGCTAGTGGGTTGGTGTCGCGGGTCGTGGCTGTGAGATGTATGTTCTGTTTCGGAGCGGAGATCCGCATTCGTACTTGCGGCGTCTGCTTCTTCATAGAGACTATCGCGTGCTTCTTCATATTCCTCGTCTTCTTCATCGTCATCTACCTCCGCCTGGTCTTCGACATCCATTGATCGGCGCCGACGGTAGTACTCTTCTTCTTCGGGCTGGCTAACGGGGCTCAAGACGCGAAGCCGTGAGTCTCGACCATCGTCTACTCGGTTGGGTCTATCGTATGCGCCTGTTGACCCTGCTAGTCGGCCTCCTATGCTTCCGTACGAGCTGCCCTGGTGTCGTGATAAGGGTGGCACACCGACGGCATGTAATGGACTTGAAGATGATGAGGAGGAGGCGTTATATTTGATCTGGTCCCAGACGAACTCGAGCTCGGATACTAACTCGCGGGCTTCGGGGGTTTGGGAAGCGTATTGATGCATAGTGTCGATTAAAGTGCCGATATATCGACGTTTGGCTTCGGTGCGCGTAAGGCCGCGCTGCGCGTACCAGGCGTCCCTGTATCAAGAGGATTGGTTAGTCTGGATTTTATGAGGTTTTCCAGAGAGAGTTCTGGGATCAGTGCTTGTATAGACATACCACTTCTCGCATTCCGCGTGCACCTCCGAGGTATTCCCAATCGGGCGATCCATCACACCGTCCACGTCCCCCTCTGTGCAAGAGTATCAGTATCAAGACATTCCCCGAATATCTCCTAGAGCTTCTGGGAAGACAACTTACCCATACTCTGCTTATACAAGCCATAAAGCTTCAGCCGCTCAGCCGCCGGAGGGCGCGCGGTCCCCGTCCGGGGGATCCTCTTGACGGTATTAAGAGCATGAACGAAGACGCGATCTGCGCAAAGTAATCAGCAATCAGAAATCGTTATCGGGCATGGTTATCAGAGGTATACGCACCTACAGAGTCCGACATGCTGCTGGAAGTTCCGTAATCTGCCCTGTCTTCATGGAAGCGGGGTTGGGCATCGGCAGACGCGGACGAGCGTCATGGGGGAAGGTTATAAGAGCGATCGAGTATATAGGGGCCGGAAGGGTCGCGGTGGTCAGGGGTGTTGTTCGTCGGAAAGTTGATCGGTAGCGTTCTCCCCTTCGTGACTCCTGGACTCGGGAAAGCGCTGATTTCCCGCACGCGACAGCTCCGGGGTCGGATGGAGGTTTCGAGAGGACTTCGAATTGGTGATCACCCTGGATAGAGGTACCTGGGCGTACAATGTAGAGTGAACAGTGTATAGGAGATGCTCTCGTGCATCAGGGCGAAGGCCGAAAATGTGGCGTGTTTGACGTGGACCGCGGCTCTCGGAGAAGATCGTCAGGGCACTTGTGATTCTCCGCTACATCGTGCTTCCTTGCATCTGCGCAACATGTTTTCTATGCTTTTTTTTTACATTTCCGTGGTCTAATGGTTATGTGTTTATAATGTCTCAATGTATTATTGGAAAATAGCTATACACACTCGCTTTAAAGACTCGGCGACTTCTTCAAGTCTGCAATCTCGGGGATCGCGTTCTCGGAGTCCACCGCGCTGCCTGTCATAACGCCCGCCGCCGCAGAGACCTCCTCCTTGCTAACCGGAGGGCCGGTGAAGTGCTTGCGCGCATATGCAAAATACCAGACGATACTGATGCCGGCAAATCCAGCAAACACAACACTGGCATAGTTCATCCCCGAGGCCGTAACGGGCAATGTGTAGGGCATGCAGAAGAGAACAACAGCGAGCACGATCCAAGCAATCGTAATGGCATTGATCACGAATCCAAACTTGCCAAGGGAGAAAGTAGACTGAGCAACATCCTTGCGGCCCCGGAGCATGGAGATGAAAATAGGCAGGCCGTACGAGGTGGAAAGGCAAATGGTCGCCACGCCAGTGAAGGAGTTGAAAGCGGCGGTAGAACCAAAGTAGATCAAACCCAGCAGAGAAATCACCGTGGAAGACAGAATGATCGACCACACGGGTACGTCCAATTTCTTATTCACGCGGCGCCAGAGCGTGAAACCAGGGATCGCTCCATCCCGAGCAAAGGCATACGTGCAGCGACTGGCAGCAGTCAGGGACCCAATGCCCGCGAACATCATGATTCCCAGAATCAGGAAGAGCAGACCGAAGCCACCGCCCGCGGAGCCCGTCACGGTCTTGAAAACCAGTCCGATCGGCTGTCCGCTCGCCACGTCGCGTAGCATCTGCACCTTGGGCAGGACGAATAGAATGGGGATCAAATAGAGAAGACCTGTTATGCCCGCGGCGACCACCGAGAGCACAATAGCCTTGGGCACCTCGCGATGCGGGTTCTGCACCTCCTCGCACATGGCAGCGACCATTCCGTAACCCGTGAGCGTGTACGCCGCCTGCAGCAAGCCAACGAAAAAGGCCCAACCAGCAGGCCAACCACTCTGCGAAGAATCGTACTCTGCGAAAACGAACTCGCCACTGCGTCGGTGGTCCGCCATGGTGAGAAGCGTAACCAGGATGATAATGACGCTAGCAGCGGTCCAGAAAATGCAAACTTTATTAATTAGGTCGAGCCAGCGCGAGCCGAAGATGTTGACGAGTGTGCAAACCAGCGTCACAGCCCAGAAGCACAGGACCGTCTGCCAAGCATTCGCGACAAAGGACTCATTCCACAGCGAGATGGCGCTCAGAATTAACTGCGCGCCACCAAAGATAATACTCAGTGTCACAGTCCAATTGCCCACGAGGGTCAGCCAGCCGTCGATAAACGACATGAGTGGTGCCCAGCGACGCGTGGAAAGCATCGCGCTCCAGTAGTAGACACCGCCAGCGGTGGGATAGACGGCGCAAATTTCCGCGAGAGAGGCTGCAATCGCGATTGAGATGAGGGTCACGAAGACCCAGCCCCAGATGATCGTCACGGAGAGGCCGTCGTCGAGGGTGATATAGAGGGTGGTACTGAGGCCATAGGGCGCGGCCATAATTGCAAAGGACAAGCCGAGGATACTGAGCATGCTTAAGTTTCTGGGCAATTCGCTCTTGTAGCCCATACGGGCCAGGGCCTCGTCGGCGGAGGCATCGGCCATGATAGGTTAAAGTGGGCCAATAATTTGGGTCTGGGGAAGGAAGACGTCCAGGGAAGCTTGAATTATTTAAGAAGTTAGAGGAAGGCCTGGAGAGTGAAATGACGAGACCCCGCATGATAAACGTGGTCGCATCGCGGTCCGAGACCGCGGTGGGCGAAAGTTTAGGAGGCAGCAAATGGGCAAATAGGACCATGGATGGATTCTTGGGCGTCCGAAACACAGCTTATCGGCGGAGGTTCTACGGCGCGGAGGCTTATTAGCTACGAACTAGTGACTAATTCGCAGGTCGTCCTGGTAAATCAAGGGCCGGAGGTGATAAGCGGGATAAGCTATCTAGCTTGGTGGAGTCCCTTTGCCACTTGCTCAGCCGCGGGTTTTCCTTCTTTGGAACTGGCTAAGCCTACCTTAATTTACGTAGTGCCTGCGAACCTACAGCCTTCGCTAGCAAGGGTCTACTTCGATCATGGATTGATGGATTTGTTGTTTTTATTTTTTTTCTGCCTAAGGTCACCAATGGTGACGGCTGCCACATCTGACTTTGGCCGGAGTTTCTTTACCACGGTGGCAAAGATAACATACAGCACGAGATGAGCGCCAAGATAAGACGATCAATGAGAAAGGGGAAGATGCCGGGAATCGAGGCGTCGAGCTCGGACCAGAGCCTCGAATTCACTCGGCAGCGCCCGGGGGGAGTGCGAGGGGGGTATCAAAAGGGGGCGCACAAACATCCAGTAGAATCACTGGCTTCTTGGAAAGAAATTTTTTTCTTGTTTGGTGTATCTAGCCGCGCACAGTGAGATGACGCGGGGGGGAGGGGCGGAAGTAGGCCCGAAATATCGACGTCAGGGAGATAAGCAGTGGAAGGGGGAAGGTGGGAAAGGAGGTGGAGGTGGACGTGGACGTGGAACAGAGGATTGACTGAACGGGATGGGAGTGGGAGCAGAGGAGAGAAGAGCTTTTAGGGATGGCGAGAAAACACAAAGAGCAAACGAACTCCAGTCTATCGACAAATCCAGTCTAAACCAGAGCGACTTGTGGAAAATGAGATTCGTGTCCAGGTGAGAGGTGAGGAGACAGTGGAGACAGTGGGGACAGGGAGGCAGGGAAGAAATGGGATACAGAAATCCCAAAAAAAAAAAAAACAAGAAAGAAAGATCGCTGAGTCGTGACCAGCCAGCTAGTGTCAACTCCAAATCGTAAAAAACATGACCCGTGGAGGACGATCGTGAGAATCAAGGTCGAAAATGGGGAACGAAAAAACGCCCAGTCATGCAATCGTCAGGCCGGTGAAGTCGTAACATGAGAGAGATGCAAGTACAGTCGCGAGGAAAACCAGATGCAGGGGGTACAAGAAGAGGTCGAAAGTGTGCAGCAGCATCGACCGGTGGCTCATGGGCTCAATTCGCCACAGAGATCATCAGTTGCGTCGAGGCCGAAACCAGCCATGTCGACAGAGTGTAAAGATCCCGGTCCCTTGCCCAGGGAGATGTCGGAGGAGGCATAGTCGTGCTTGAGACGTTCGTGCGGCCCGAATTGCGGTCCGAAGAACGTTCGGTTCTCGTCATTCGGGGTGTTGCCATCGCCAGCAATCCACGGCCCGTTTTGCCAAAAGCGGGTGTTTGCCTGCTGATCCCCAAAGAGATCGTGATGATCGGGATGGGGATCGGGGCCGTGGATAGGGAATTCATTGGGCGATTGGAACCGCAGGTGCGACCGGCCGAAACTGGAACCTGGGGAATCGGCATGCAGGGGCAGATCCAGACCGGAGAGTGGGGGATCGTCTACCGTCGTGATATCGATGGTCGGGTTGGAGGTCTGCTGAGCCAGTGCTGATGATAGCCGTAAATTAGAGCCAGTGGAGCTATGTCGGCTATGGCTGGTCGACCGGTCGATAGCACGCTGCACAAAGCTGCCGCATGTCTTCATAATCTTTTCCTTGTCGACCTGGGAGAGGCTGTTGAAGAAATCATTGGCCAGTGACGACTTGGGCGGCTCACCCTCCGAATGGATCAGCCCATAGGTCGTCTTGGCATACTCAGAGAGGCCGGACGGCATATTGTACGGGGACTGATACACTTTGGGAGCCAGGGCCCGCTGCTGATCAAGGAAGGCGTATTTACCCGGCATCTTAGCCGCAGCCACGCTTCCCCGATCAATGGTCTCTTGCTTAACCCCCTCCGACTCCTTCTTCTGGATGACGTCTAGTCGCTCACGATGGCTAACTAACGAAAACCGAAGCATCTGAAGTAGACGAGTCACCTCCTCCGACCGCATATTCAGAGTCTGAGGCGGTAACAAGGTTCCATCAGCAGCCCGAGGCTGCACCCGCTGCTGGGCCATGGCGAGCTCGAGCTTCTCGAGGCCATTTGCCGGGGGAATGGAGCCCATGGGGCCCAGCAGGGTCTCTACCACCAATTCGGGGCTAACGATCGTGTACCCGGCGAAGACATTGGCATGGTCGGTGATCTGGGCCAGACGACGGCGGGCAATAAGTTCACGAACGTTGGCAAAGGTATTGGTGGAAGGGAGGTGATGCTGCTGCTGGTGCGACTTGGCGACGGAAGGATAGGGGGCATGACGGGTAGATTGATTTGGAAGGGTACGAAAGGCCGACGGCATCGCAGGACCAGCAGCAGCACCGGCAGCAGGGGCAGGGTGAGGGGGGAGGGGCAAGGTGCTGCAGGGAGGGAGCGGAGGTAAAGGAGGGCGGTCGGGATTGCAGCGAGGGGGTCAGATAATGATGTTGTTGTTGTTGTTTTACCTGGGGTTGTCGGGCGTAAAGATTTTGCTGGTAGGGAGGGGCAGGGGCGGTGGGAGCATAGCGGAAGTGGTGGTGGGGTGAGATCTTCGATGCACGAGCACTGACTCCAGCCACGCCAAGCGACTTGACGCTGTCCAGGAAATTGGCCCGCGGGTTGTGGATAGGCACGCTAGGGTTGTGCGTATACTGTGCCCTACTCTCGGTGGACGGAGCTCCCAGGTAATGCCACACCTGTTCCCCTTTGTCCAGGTTGACCGTCAGTGGGGCAAATGAATTCCTAGTTGCATCCACCGTCTCGAACTCGGCCCATTGATAGGGAGATCCGGTGTCGCCAAAGGCACTGCCTGCCACCGGGATAGCCGCTTCGAGCTCTTTGCGTTCGGGCTTGCGCGCTAAGTGGGCCGGGAGCGGTGGGATGCCTGGCGCGAGGGGCACGAAATTACTCTTGCGCACCACCAGCATCCATCGATATGGCATCTCAATGACATCTCTGTTGACAATTATCAGTATTGGGATTATTGGTTTTGGGTTGTTCTTTTTTTAGAGGGGCAAGTGGGGTTGGAATGGCAGAGTGAAACAACAAACTTACCCTCTCGGCAAAACCTTCAGCAGGAGACTCCGCTCTTCCGGTCGGTTCTGAAGCACAATGGCGCCATTGATTTCCTTGTCGACTTGGAATTGGATCAAAACACCTTGCACTAGACGACGAGCAGCTTCAATCACCCGGCGATCCAAGTCGGATGACTCCCCGAGCAGACCAGCTGGGCGTTTTTGACGATGGAATTTGCACTTCAAGTCCACGCTGGGTAGCGAGTATTGTTGACCATCATCGGCAATTACGGCAATGGACCCATGTTCGACCTGAACACCAGCCAAAAGCGCACATGTGGCATGATAGGCTCGAGTGCACTTCCCGAAATTGCACTGGAAGCAAGCGCCACGAACCTCGCGACAGAAGAGGCATTTCAAATCTAGACGAGCCTTAGGGATCCTGTCGATATCACACACGACTTCGTTGCCAGATGCATCGCGGAGGATAGTGGTCTCCTCGATGAACGATGCACACCGCCGGTGAGCATTGCCCTTGCCATCCTCCGTCGGTAACAGATCCTCGTAATCAAGATCGTTAGGGCATAGTAGACACGGGATCTTCCGTGGTCCCTGGAGGTGGAGTTTAATTCGTTTGGTTCTCGGGCCGTCGCCCGCGTTCTTCCGCTTTTGACCCCGGGTGGAGGTTTTCTCGGGCACACTGCGCGGAGGCGTAAGAAGATCTGAAGCACCTTCAAACCCTTCGAGGTCGCTGTCGTATTCGCCATAATACTCGGGTGTCGATTCACCACGTAGCTTACGCTCGATCTCATCAACGTCGATCCAGACACTGTCCGCCTCGCAGTGGCATTTCTTGGCAACCCGACCATACTCCAACCACTTCTCAGTTGCAAAGTTGACCGACTCGGCACAGTTGTAACCGATGTTGTAGCCGGAATGGTAGCCGTAAGGGAAAGTGATGACAAATTCTCCTTCGTAGTGGACAAGTCGGTTCACGGTGATGCCATACTGAGATTTAAGCAAGCTTGGGGAAACCAAATATGTTTTGTGGCGCAAGAACTGATCGCAATTCTTTGCATCGCTTGACCAGATACTGCGCATAGCCGCCTCAAATTTGGGGGCGTCCTCCTGTGAAATGCTGTACCACTGCTTCGGGGCACCAAAGTGGATGTAGTTGATGCTGTAAAGGTCCACGTCCTCAAGGTGCCAAGCGAAAGTGGCCTTCCACATTCCAAGGTATAGATATGCTGTGTTGACACCGGGCACCTTTTGACCGATAACATCAAGCAGGTTAGGCAATTTGGCGACATTCCACGAATCGACCGAGTCTTCAAAGAGGGAACCGGGCATGTCCGCTCCGTACATCGGGTTGTTGTACATGAGAGACTTCCAATATGCTGTTTCGAGCTCCTCGCATCTCTCTGCGGTATAGTCCTCGTGATCGTGAATGCGATAATCAAATCCCTTGAACGCTTCTTCGTCGAAATGATCCACTGTTTCGCCACGGTTGTTCTTGCGTCGTGAAGTCACAGACTTGGGCTGTCTGCCCTTGGGCTTTGTAGGGGGAAGAGATTCACCTTCGCTGAGGTCCTCGCTTTTGGTCTCGACGGGATGTGATTCGGGCGACACAGGGGTCGGGGGCCCCTCTGGCTTGGAAGAGTCGGCATCATCGACGGGTTCCTCCTTAACCTTTATCTGGTTTCCGCGCTTAGGAGGACGGCCAGGACGACGCTTGGCGCCGTCACCTGTCGGACGGGCAGACTGGGGCCGCGGGGTGTTGGCCGTACGGTTCCCGCGTTCCTGGTTGCGGCGTCGTTCTCCTCGGCGAGCAGGGGGTTGATGGCTACTCTCCTCACAAAGACCCTTCCATTGTGGTAGGTTGTAGGTGCGCTGTTTTTCGATGTTTGCTTGGGTGTAGGTGCCGTGCGAACCATGAAATTCTTGCATAATAGGATTCTTCACACGAATTGATTTCACTGCCTCGTCCAGCGGGGTGAGTGAATCAGTCCTTCAGAAAACATATATGAGTATAATCATCCACATCATGTCTATGTTCCGCACACTCACCATTCCTTTGGAGGCACGACTTTCACGATTCCGGCTTTCATTCCATAACCGTCGATTTTGTTGATGAACTTTTTGAAATCTCGGAATTGATCCATAGTCTAGCACAAGTTATTGGTTAGATTCGCTCTTGCAAGGAAAGGCAATCAAATACTCTGCTCACCGGTTTGAACACGGGGATCTTTCCATCGCCGTAGTAATGGTCGGGTTCGATTGGACCGATGTCTATTTCCTGTTCTTCCTGTTCTTCCTGCTCTTCCTGCTTGATCGGCATTTCGTCGGGCGCCTGAGTTGACTTCTGATCCAGCTCCAGGTCTGATAACTCAGAGGGCACTCCTTCGGGGATATCCTTCTTTCCGTTTGCGCTCCGCGGCGGCGTAATTGAGGCAGAGTCGACAACCGGGCCGCTCACGAGCGCATCGAGAGGCGGCTGATCGAAAGCTACCGACATGGTCGAGAGTGATTGTAGATTGAAAAGATTGTTCGAGAGTGGCACCGTCGTCGTAGAGAGCGACCGCTGAGCGACGGCGAAGAGTAGATTGTTCCCAGCGGTCAGGGAAGTTGCAAGAATCCGGCAAATCGAATCGGAGGAAAGTAGGATCGGTTGGAGGTAGGTGATGTTGGTCAGGGAGGTGATGTAGCGGAGATGTTCGTGAGAGCGGACGATCGCGATAAGAGCTGCTTCGGAGGCTCTTTTTTCCCCCTAAGGCGGACGGGACAAAACGACTAAGATCTTAGCGGCAATCACCAATGAGAATAAGCAACAGGATATGCGAGTCGGTAAGGCAAGGCAAGAAATCAAAGGACTAGGTGTAGGAAGTCTCCTGCGTAGAGGTCATTCCAGGCAAAAGGGCGCTAGGCCAGGTTTGCCAACAGGCGCTGAAAAGGGTGGAAAGAGTGGACGAAGTTGAGCAATTAACCACTAAGGGCCAATCATGCAGGCGCCTGGACGCTCGAGGGTGGAGCAGAAGACGATGGCCTGACACTGGCACAGAAAGGCAGGGGGGAACAATCTGAGGAATGATGCCCAGGCAATCGGGCGTATCAGAGCTTCATGTTCTTGGGGCAGGTGGGAATCGTCCGATCAGACGGGAAAATAAGTGGATTTTCCTTAGGCCTGGTCCTGGTATCATACTGTACTACCACTTGTCCGGTCTCGGACAGTATGATTTCCAAGGGGGACAGCATGGGAGGCAGGGGAACAGCGAAAAGATGCAGGGACGAACAATAGAAATGAATCAAACGACTCACCGAATTTACAAGTTCACTGGGCCGTGAAAGGGAGACTAGGTCGCGACAAACTGCGATTGCGACAACTCGATGAGCTTGGTCCATGCGTCGGATCACGTGATTTTGTTAAAAATCACGTGCTTGATGATATTCTCACAGTACGTGACGTCGGTTACAACCGTTCAGCTATGAAGTCACCTGACTTTGTGGTCCTCATTACGGTAAGTAATACAGAGGGCTGTGCTGAGCTCTCGGATACCGCCGGAGCCGAGTTTCGGCCATCCCTTGATGCCTGAACTCCCGGGAATATTTGTTAACTAATACGATCCCATATGGCTGTGCGTCGTCAGTTTCGAGAATCCTGCGCTATCATTGATGCTATTGCGTCATTACAGTCCTTCTGAAACTACCAAATCTCTTCTCTTCTCAAGTGTTTCATGTTGCCGACCGACATCGGGTTAATCGGAGGCTCCGCGTAGATCTATCCATGTAGGGATCTGCTCCCGACACAGGAGGGAACGTTCGCAACACGCACCTTTTAACCCCCCATATGATTGTGGTAAAAGTAAAGTATTACGAACACGAGATACTGCTTTCTATCCTAAGCGCTGGAGGCGTCAAATCTAGTTTGGTTGACGCGATGTCTAGGGCAACACTGAAGGTACATACATACATGACGCCGAAGTGAGCAGTTGGCCCGACACTCTCAGAATGACTAGCATTGAGCAACCTTGTAAACATCAGAAACTGAATAACACATGCAAAATGCCTTTTTTCTCACTTTCTGTTCACCCCATACGTTCAATCGTCCCATCCAATGTCTTCCTGATTAAATATGACGGTGTAGGGAGACGCTAACAATATAGTGGGAGGTACCGACGGAAAAGTTGCGTGCACGCTTCAAAGTTCCTTATTGGCTATATGACCATTCAGCCTTCAAGTACTTGAATTGGGCTTAATCAAACTTCCGTACTAGCTAGTTCCCGCTGGACCATGGTTTGACCTTGGAATGTGAAGAAGGTCTCGAGCCCCACATGTGCACCCGTACTCGTATATAAGTGTACAGAACAGGAATACCTGCTAAAACTAGCAAGCTACTAATATCATCATCTAGTCCCTCTAGTTAGGCATCAGCTTGATTATGCTCGTAAATGTTCACTCGTGTTCGTATTGCTCCCTAAGCCTGGCGAAGAGTTGCGTAGGTATATATAGCCAAGGTCAGAACGAGTAAAAACATTTCAACCTCCACCTTCAATATGCATCCTATCGCGTTACAACTCTTTTACTTGTTCACATTTGCAGCAATTAGTCCAGTGCTGGCTGCATATTGTAAGCTATCTCCCTCTGACAAAAGTTGGCCTTCTCCCGAAGAATGGTCTGGCCTCAATAAGTCTATCGAAGGAACCCTCCTTCGCACCATCCCAGTCGCTTCGTCTTGCTACCCGGGAAACCCGTTCGACTCCCCTTATAATTGTTCCGATGTGACAAAACATTGGTCTTACGCCGCCTATCACTCCGCTTGGCCCGAAAGTACCGACTACTCGATCTACAGTAACAACTCCTGTGTGCCGCCCGGTGCGGATGGATACAGCAAGGAAAAACGTTGCAGCATTGATGGATTACCTCAATACATTGTTAATGCCACCACTGAGAATCAAGTTTCTACTGCCATGGCATGGGCGTATCGGAAAGGAATCCGTACGGTGATCAAGTCGACAGGCCATGATCTTGGTGGCAGGTAGGCTCTTTCACTACACATGTCTTAACTTACAAAGTCATGTTAACACCCTTCCCAGATCAACTGGTGCTTATGCCATCTCTATTTGGACCCACAACTTCAACCAAATTCAACATCTCCTAGCCTGGCGGGTGCCTGGAAGCAATGAAACCGCCGACGTGGTCGTCGCTGGGGGCGGGAACAACTGGGGTTCTGTTGGTACCGTCGCTCATCAGGTAAAACGAACAGTAGTTGGAGGCGAAGACGCGACTGTGGGACTGGGTGGATTGATCTTAAACGGTGGCCATGGACTCTTGTCTAGCCACTACGGTCTGGCATCCGATCAGGTACTGCAGGTCACTGTGATTACTACCGACGGTCGCCGCCTAGTTGCCAACGATGAGGAGAACCAAGACCTCTTCTGGGCGGTTCGGGGAGCTGGCGGAGGTCAATTCGGAGTCGTGACTGAATTCATCCTCAAAACTCATCCCGTTCCTGCTAGTGTGGTCACTGGTAGTCTGACGTTCTATCCGCGTCACAAGTCAAATGAGAGCGAGAACGCGTCCTGGGCAGCCCTTGCCGAAACAGTTGCCCAGATTCCAGATTTGATGGATACAGGCATCACGGGGACGGTGACCTCAGTGACTGGCGAGCAGGCCGTAAGCCTCTTGGGCCTGAGTGAAGCTGTCCCCGGAGCAGCAGTTTTTGTTAGTTTAACCAGCTACAACTCGACCACGGAAAGCATGAACGCTACTCTCCACGAACTCGAATCTCAAATAACCGAGGGTCATCACCCTCATCTCAATCTCACTTTGACACCACCAACTTCCCAGAGCTACTGGTCGTTTACCAAGCCAAACTACCTCGCCAGCCAGTCAGCTGGCTCAACGAGTTTACTTACCAGCCGGCTCTTAGGAAGACCCGAGCTGTTCAGCCTCAAGAGAGAGAATTTGATCGATTATCTTCAGCAGATCTCTGTTGCACAAGATACCGAGAAAGGTTCTATGTTGTTGTTCGGTATGCAGGCTGGGCTCGGACCAGCCAACGTCCCCGAGAAGAGACGTGGAAGCGTTCTTCCAGCTTGGCGCACAGCATATGCCCATGTCATGGCATATGGTGCCTCCGTGAATGCGACAGGGGATCCAAGGCAGGCTTTGGCAGCTGGTGCACAGTGGTATGAGACTGTCAAAGAGCCCGTTTGGAGGAACTGGGCTCCCAGTAGCGGAGCATACATGAACGAAGGCAATCCCTTCACCAGTACGTGGAAACACGATTTCTACGGTGAGAATTATGATCGGCTTCTAGAGACTAAGCTCAAGTACGATCCGATCGGAAGTATATTTGTTTGGAGTGGGATTGGAAGTGACATGTGGAACTATGATTTGCACAGTGGTCTGCTTTGTCGGGTGGATTAGGTGCCCAGGTGGTCTGGTAAATGTGAATCACACCCCGAGATGTATCAACATGTATTGTCTATGAAGCCAGTCCGTATTATAATATCTAGGTCTATTGAGCCCACTCTTGGTGAAGTTTGTCATCCAGGTTGATATATCCCTCCACAACAGCCAATCCCCGGAGCCTCTCTTTCTCGATACGTGCCCAACTCCATTCTTCAGAGCTCCAAGAGTCTGAGTTGGACTTCTTCTGCTCCTCGAGCACTTCGCGACCGGGTATCTGATCATCGCCCATCTTGAGCACCTCTTGCACCATGGATCCATCCACGCCCGTGGCCATGATACCTTCATCACCGCTAGCCGGTGTTCCGATGACAGAAGCTTCAGCGGACGAGTCCAGTGCAGTTTGATCCTGACTTTCCACAGGCGGCGCAGGAATAAAACCGCTCGCCCGCAGAAGTCTCTCGGGAGCAACGGTCAGCCGGCCCTTCTTAACAACGTACTTGCTCAAGGCAGTAGCCAACAGCGTCTTCTCACCACCAGCTTTGCTAGCAGGTCGCATAAAGCATGTGAGAATGTACATCCACTTCTTATCCCAGGAGATAACTTTCGAGTGCATCTCATACAGCTCAAAGGGCTTGATCTCACGCTTGAAGCTGCAATACACAGACCCAAGCACAATAATAATCGGCTTCCGCTTCGGCGCGCGCTTTCCTTCCTTCTTACTAGCCTCCAGGAATTCCTGGTCCAGCTCTTTGCTGACAATTCCAACCCCAGGACTGTAAATACGAGTCACTAGCGCCGTACGCGACACGTCCAAGTCCGTGAAGTATGTGCTGTTGGACTTGTGCAAATTATAATCGGTCTCCAACAACGGTGTCCGCGAGGTGATTCCGCACGACACAAAGACCGGATGTGTGGGCTTGCCCTGTGCATCCACCATAGCCTTGCCCTTGGGGAAGAAAGGAGCATTGGGCTTGAGACGCAGGTTCCCCACAAAGTGGTATAACAGGCGGAACTGGAGAAACGGGTCAGCTTTGTACACATCCAGGGCAACAGTTCGGCTCCACCGGACCGAAGTGACATTCGATTATCAAATCGCTAAATTACCCGGGCAATACTTACATGCCAAAAGAATGGGAGGTTTTTCATATTGAGGAGGGCCAAAAGCAGGGCGAAAGTTCTCCATGACGCGAGTGACGCGACGACTGTCAGCAGGTTGCGCATGTTTTCGGTGCTGAGCGCACCCTGGATGGTTGACATGGTCTTTAAAGACGAACGAGTGAAATGTGGCTTGGGCCAAGATATGTGAATTCAGCCGCACTGAGATGTGACGAGCTGTTGGTTCATGCAGGTACTGATAAGCGATAACAAGATCGTTGGATATACAAGTTCTTTGAATGGTACACCCTTGTTTCAACGCGACACGAACCTGCCTAAGAGTGACAAAAGATGCGAGAAATGAATGTCGACGTAATGGATCGATGGGATCTCCTAAGCCGAACAATCACCTGCACGATCAGCATCTTTTTTGTTGGGAAAAGGGACCGAGGCTGGTGCAGCACACGTGATGCTGACTCATCAAAGTATGGAGGATGGATCGGGAATGGGATCTTCGTTGATACCTGAGTAGAAGGAGCTGAAACCTGCCCAGGCCTGGTTATTGACTCAATCTCGTAGTTTGACTGTGGAAACTAACTCGCGCAGCTGTACTTTCATGTCATGGTTGGTAGGAGACTTCACCTTGAACGAGGATGCTTTCACTACGGCCTACAGCTTAACCACGGAGATTATTTAAATACTTCTGAATACGCCGTCATGCCTTGTCTCCCCGGGCCTCTTAAAGAAATACTCGAATGGCTTATTGGACAGGTGCAGAAGGATGACTAGAACGACCTTCACCAAAATTTCTTAAAGAATGTTGAGAACACCCGAAAGAACAAAGTCTTTAGACCACCTGAGATTATCTTCTTGGGCGGGCTGCAGAAGTGGTCGATATAGTAACTTTCGAGATGTCCTATACAAAGAGCCATCGATTCTAATATAAATTATGAGCTCGATTCATGAATCTATTACCGAAGTTCCCCCCTCCGCCCTCGGGAGCGTTGTACGCATTCAGCAATTCTCATCTATCACAACGACCCTCGTCCTCTGCGAAAGTTCTTGGCCCAATTCTCGAGAGTGGTATTTTAATATGGCATAAGTCTGGTCCTGCGATATCTCCAGCGCTGGGTCAATAATCGATATCGGCGTCCGATCACTTGACAAAGAAAGTTCCACATCCAATTGAATAAGCTGCTGTGCAAATATCACAAGCAGCCGGGAATCAAAGAGGCCTTCTCGATGTGGCCATGCCTCAAGGGCCTCTAATGCTCGCCGGCGCAGACTTAAATCGTGGCATCTCCAACATATGAGAAAAAGGGATGGAAGGACGCCCATGTCAAATAACAACGTGGGACGAGAATGAGAGGTGCTCTCTTCTAAGAAACTGTCCGAAATCTTTTCTGAAAGGACCAGAATGTGTTCAAATTGGTCAAGGTATTCCTTGTAGATGGATTGATCCTCCCCAACAAGAACAGTTTCCAGCAGGATATTGAATAATATGCAATGTAAATGAATTAGATCAAGACCACGATGTTCCTTGATACTCTTGGGACGAAGGAAGTATAATTCAGATTGGGAAAGTCGTTTGGAAAAATCCTCAATCTGCCTTTTGATCTTAATCTGTCTCATCGCAAGCTCGGGGTGCCTATTTGGCAAGCGCGCTTCGGCAGGGATCTGGCTAGCATCCTTGCACAAGAGAACAATCTCGGCCAGCTCTTGGTCCAAGGCTTGCCTTGCGTCTGATAGAGTGTAGAAATAGTCATTTTCGATTTGTCCTTTCTGAATGGCAACAGGACCCAATCCGAAGAAGAAGGACTGCGTCTCCAAGCGACTCATTGTTGCTAAGAGTGATCGCTCGACTGCATCCATGTATTTTGAATTCGAATCTCCCAAAGAGCTCGCAGAAGCTAGACGCGATTCTTCAATGATGGCAAGACCTTGTCGTAAATGAGCCAACGCTGGCTCATAGTGCCCGCGCAGCAAATCAAATGCCACAAAGAGCAGACAACAAGTCAGAATGACATCTCTCAGTCTCGGGTCTCGTGAGTGCTGACGTTGGTTTAGAATCGTCAAAGAACGTCCAAATTGTTGAATAGCAAATCGCTGATATCTGTTGTTGAGATTTTCACGGGAAAGTGGCGCGCCTCGAGCCTCGAGGTCTTCATGTAGAGTACCGAGAGCCACGATCGCATGATTGACCGCTTGTTCGGAATGGCTCATTGGTAGTACAAGGTCGGTCCATAATTGAGAGCCAAAATATCCGCCCAAGCCAGGCACTGTGACTTGTTGGAAGAAGGCGAATCTTCGTCGCTCCTCCGGTGTTTTTCCCGGAATGACTCTTCCGATCAGCTGTATTGTTAGCGAAGTCGTTTTGGCGTCTCCTCTACTTGCAAGTCGAGCCTCGTCGTATCCCTCGCATTTCCATCCTGCTTGTGAACAGGTGTTGCATGCGCCAGGAGTCTCATCGCACTTGACGCGCCTTATCCTGTGAAGTGTCAATCACGTTGCGGAAGATATATCGCAGGAATTTTTTGCGGACGAACCGGCATGTTCGACAGCCCGTCTTGGATTTGGGAGCAAATGCCTTTTTCCTCATTTCAAAAAGCAACTGCTCCTTAGTTATGCATGAATGCGCTCAGAAGCGAAAACTTGCTGTCGACTATAAGAACGCTTGCAAAGTTCCGATCCCACAGGTTGGGGGCTAGAATTGAATTATGTCATTCTGGTTGCCTATTCTCACGCTGCCCATCTACGAAGCTATTCCCGATCTACCAACACTAAATTATTGCTAAATTTAGTTCAGGCGCATAATAAATGAAACTGCCTAGTATCATCTTACAAATCAAATGAGCCCCCAAATTACTGCTTCTGGCGCTGCCAAAATGATTGCGAGATGACTTGACGGAGCTCATGGTTTACTTTATTTACTGTACTCGGCATTTGTCGTTTTCGTTCCACCTCACCGGTCATTTATGATAGATGTAGTATCAAGCATATATTGAACTATCAATTGGCAGGCGCCCACCATTAAATTTGTTGATAGCTACGTTGTATGAAACCGATGAGATAGACAACAGAAGCTGGCGGTGGAACACGTATTCCCAAAATCCAACCTTGAAAATTTTCGGCAGGAGACTATAGCCTGAGCGGGAAGAAACGCTAAGAGGGCCTATATATTTGATTCTTCAGCACTTTTTCGACATCAATCTTCTTGTTTCCTCAAAGTGTCTTTTCAAAATGGCTTTAAATACGTGTCAAGAGATAAGTTGTGGCCGCAAATTTAGAATCGTTCATATTATATTTCTGGACCGGCTATAGAAACTATATTAATGTGACGTCTCTAGAGCTCCGGTTTGTCGAGTCTTGGGGTGTCTCAGCCCCAGCCATGGCCCCGTAGAGCCAGGCTGCAATCATCCTCAAAGACCCCCTGAGCCTGCGACGGGGCCATATTCTTCTCACACGGTGTCTAAAACGTATAACAAACCACAAGATGAAGATAAGACAGGCGGCGCTCGGAAGGGCTATAGCCCAGAACAGGCTCTGGTGAAAAGTGCCATTGCGAATGTCCACGCTGTTCATGCCCAGGTAGGATGTGATGAATGACAGGGGCAAGAACACAACCGTCACGATGGTGAATATAGTGATGGCGCTACTGTTCGATTCTTTCCGCACTTCAATCATTGATCGGAGCTATTGGTTATGGTCAGCATTGAAGAGCTACGTGAACAGAACGAGGTAACTCACAAGCATCGACGTTTTGCCGGCCATATCCTCGAGCTCATCCAGATCACGTTTCATTTGTTTGATCATCTTTCGACTCTGGTGTATGCTCTGCAAGCTGATCTGCTGGCTCGACTGATTCAGGTTGATCCAAACCAATTTCATCTTTTCCAGGACTCCCAATTGCTGATCAAGTACGATATTGACAATATTGAGCTCTTCTCTGAGCCTTTGAATTGCATCAAAAGTCTCGGCATTCGGATCCATCCGAACTTGGAGTTCCTGTCATCAAATGAGCCATCAAGTCAAAACACGTCCACGTGAGGGGACTGTACCAGTCGTGAAATATACCGCCGGTAGATCTGTAGAAGGTTGAAGCCATCCTGGTCGGGTAGTCCATTTGGCTTCTCGCTCGGTATTCTTGCTAGTCGCCCAGTCACCATGGTAATGATATTCTGGGCGCTTACACGCCGGAAGACCTTGGCCTCACTAAAGTCCCCAGCGCGGATCATGGAAATAAGTTGGTACTTTCCGATTCGAAGAGACTTGTGGACCTTCTTTGCACAGCGCTTCAGAAGATCTAAATCTGAAGAGGCGTCATGGTCTATCTGGCTGCAGATACAGACATATGTGATCAATGGATTGAAGGCTTCTACCAGAGCTTTGGGGAGGTAGAAAGTCGTTGATTCTTCATCCCCGCCACGAGTGATCCCAGCATGGATCTGTCTGATGTTTTTGCAAAAGTAGGACATGTCTTGTCCAATGAAATCAAGAAAAGCTCTAGGGTACTGACAGATAAATTAGCTGATTTGTTAGCTTCTAGATCAAAGTGACTTACCTCCTTTGTGACAAATGCCAGCAATGCACCGTAGAACTTCTTGATCAACCAAAATTGATGCAAGTTCTGATAGTGCACTGGTACAAACGCATCTAGAATTTCCATCGCATCACTGATGATATCTTGTACTCTTTTCCACTCAGACTTTTTCTTGACCAGAAACTGGGCATCTGAAGAGCGATTCTGGGCGTGACCGGTCATTTTCATCCGCAGCAGAACATCGATCCTTGAACACTCGGAGAGACTACTGATAAGGTCATTCTCTCGCTCATGTTGTAGGAAGTAAATGTTTGCCTCTGCATCTCTTTCTTCCAGGATTGCACGTATTGTTCTATCCATGTCTCTGTATTGATCTGGAATTGGCTCGCTTTTCTCTGATGGGGTGGAAGGCAAGCCATCAGTTGCTTCAAGTTTCCAGGCAAAAATTGGGCATAAAGGCGTCGTTTCTGTCCCACTAGAGGATTGCGCCACTGTGGATTTTTCAACAGAATCCTCTTTTTGCTCCAGAGATGCCATATGAATGGAGTCGTTTTCAATTTTCAAGCTCGAGGTGTGCCGTAATAATATAGGATAGTCTCTCAACTCTAACGAAGGTTGGTCAGGACCAAACGAGCTAGTTCTGCTTTGCCTGTCGGTGCTTTCACGTAAATCGAGATCAATACCCTCAGCAGGAGATATCGTGGCCGTCATACTAGTTAAAGAGCCTTTTTCCGAGGAGGATTCCTCATCGGCATCCTCAACAAAGCTCTGCAGGTCGGTAGCTCTTCGAACGGGTTTTTGGGTAATGCCAAGATGTTGTTCGTTCTCTTCAGCAGAATTTGGCTCTGTATCATGATCAGATGGCTTCGGGGATGTGTCAAATTCCGGCGTCGGGACGAGCTCTCTCATGTTGGTCTCGGGGCATTGGACAATGGTAGTCTCGCCGTGGCATTCGGAGGTCTCACAATCATCATTCTCGGCGGACGCTCTAGTTGCAGCGAAGCCCGGAAGCTCGATTTGATGATCTGTGTCCACCCTTCTTAGAGGTGTTGGCGTGAACGTCTGGTCTGTCGCACCCGAGGAGCTCTCGGCACGGGACGGGGATCTAGGACCACGACTTGGATGACGAGGACCAATGAGCTCCAAATTTCCATTGGATCCTGTCAGCCTGAGCTCTACCACACAGCCCGGGCAAATCTTGTCATCCCAGTCTGCAGGGGTTAGGAGCCCATCCGGACCATTCAGAGCGTATGCCCCAGCTCTGAAAGCATTCAAATGCTCGGGATCGTATTGCATCTTCGTGCCAATGACAGATTCCATCTTCTATATAGTTCCGAATAATCTGTCAGTCAAAATCCTTTATCTGGAAGCTTCCAAGGTGACAATCGTACTCGCCAGGTCCGGCCCACACGCCAGGGGATCATTAACTCAAACCCAGCAAGATCTTTCAACCGGATGGGCTTCTTGCCACTCTTCCAAGCATTCTCTTGGATCGCGTCAGTGCGATACTGGCGTATTGAATCATCGTCATCTTTGGTTCGCTGATTCATGAAGGCTGGGTGTCGAATTAAATCATTATGGCGAATAGGATTGGCTATAGAATAGACAGACTGCTTCTCTCTGAGTATGGGATAGACCGAGCCTATATGGTAGATTAAATCAAGAGTTAGCTTCAATGACGTCGAAAAGTGTCAGTGATGAACTCACTGGCCCGTGTCGAATAGCCATGGCGGCGATGGCGATTTGGACCATCATAACTGCTGTAAGCATCATATGCTGATACTGAAGGACGCGAGTGATTGTGTCGCACAACCTTGAGAGGCTTCGTCAAAATATGAATTGTAACATTGTTTCCTTCTCGCTCGCGAAGAATTTCGGGCCAATTTTCTTCTGAAACAAGCTCGTTGTCCACTCGTAACTCGTACTCATCCCTCCATGAATCGTTCAAGAAAGAAGTCAACATGAAGTTCTCTTCCTCTAACGTGCCGACGAACATAGTAATAAGCTCCTATCATAGCGGATTAGCCCGTTTTTAAAGACAAGGAAGATATAAAACGAACTCACAAACCAGGTTTGACATCGCAGCTTGGGTAAGCAGTATTCCTTGCCTTCCAAGTCAATAAATCTGATCTGTAGCATTGCAGGACCAGATTCAGGCTGTGCCATCTTTTCTAGAGTAAGGACATTCCCTCGAAGTGTTTCGAGATTGCAAGGGCCCATGCTCAAGATTAAGTCTAAAATATCGATTAGAACCTGAAATTCCAATGATTGAAGAAAATAGATACCTTTATTAATCAGAAGCAACCATGTTTGAGGGACATGAATTACTTCTGGTGATTCAAGAACATTGCACACGACTTGTTTCTCATCCCTCCGTCCAGTTGGGTGAAACGAATAATGGAACTGAAGTAGACTCCTTACGGGATGCATTGAGTCCCGGGGAGGGGGATCTTGCCGACGCAGCGGCTCAAGGGCAAAGTAAGGCAAAGCAAAAAAGGCAACCGAACACTCCTCTGTTGCCTGGCTTTCATGATCCTTGGCAACAAAACTAAGCGCTGTAGGATCCAGATACCTGCCGTTCACGTACGATTTTTCGTTTCGCTGTCGGAGATGTCTGAAGGCCGATCGAATGAGAGTGCACGTAACTTCTGAAATATGATCCAAGCGCAAAGCTTCAATCTGTAGATATTCAGTCAAACGGATCGGGAAATTGTCGAGTCAATATAAAAACCTCCAGAAGCTCCAAGCTAAGAAAATTGCTTTGTATATGACTTTTTTCGGATAGCATTAGCATAACATGACATACTTCAGACACCGACAATACAAACCCGACAAATCTCACGAATCTCACGAATCCGCCGAGTTTGACAGCAGAGAATTAAAGCCAGACTTACATCCAATGGGTCTCCGTCTCTGTTCGGGCGGCTCCTTCGTCGTATGTTAGGACTGCAATGTCATGTATATGCTCATCCTCTCCCGGGACGAGCCGAGTATGAACAATGGGGTACGTCTCTGGAGGAAGATTTTCCTCATGCTTGAAAGAGGACTGCTGAGTAAATACCCTGCTTCGGAATTTCGGATTCCGTTCATTGTCACGATCATAAATCGAATGAGAGGGCCGAATATTGATTATGTGATGAACTTTAACGTGCTCATCATCCGAGGCATCTGCGAAATCGGCCTGATTTTTGCCAATACTATGGTAGCTTGGGGCTCTGCTTGGGGTTTGATGGGACCGGATTCTGGTGAGTATTTCTTCCGATCTGAGTCTTGGAGGTGGGGGTGAATAAGAAGGAGAAGATGTCGAAGAACTGAAAGGGGAAGAGTTTCGGGAGTCCACCAAATAGTAGGGTGTATAACGTGAGTAAGGCCGAGACGGAGCACGCCTGCCACGGCGTGGATAGTCCGGAGACCTTGATCGGCGTCGAGATATTGACCTTGATCTGTACCGGTGTCTTAAAGGGACAGTAAGGGAATCATCCGATGTTTGCGAGTCGGTGTACTCATCTTCGACAAGTATGCGAACATTGCGTCGACGATTTTCCGTCGCTGGTGGGCTTTCATGCTGGGTGTCTTGTAGTATACCCGCTCTATAGGAGGTCGAGCCTGGCGGTGAGAAGCTGACTCTGTTGTGTGTCCGTTGACGTGAACGCACATAACTCCCATGGCTGTGGACCGATTCAACCGGGGAAGCAGCGATCGATTCATCACCTTCTGACCCGTCGGCAGACGAGTCGTTCTCTGGCTTGTGCCAATCCATGATACCCCAAAGGGTGGGTATTGATACCTGAACCCGGAACCGGAACCTTGTCTAGTCCAGGCCCCGATGGATGGGGTCGCTTTGGATCGTGGACATCTTTCTATTCTGCGGGGACCCTCGCCAATTCGCGACTCAGCCGGAGAAATGCAGCTCATCAGCGCTTGTCCCAATACGAGCGCGTGAACCCGGCATCTGCACGGCCCCCGGCATCGACGCTATACTATAATAGGAGGGCATCTGGCCCGCTGCTCAAATGCTTGCCTTCGCAGAATTGCAGCTCCCCCGCCAGCCTTAGGCATTTGGAATGGCACCTTTCAATTTTCACATAGGACACAGTGGATAAAGTGTCTAGACATCCCTGGAGTTTCATTGTATGTCCAGGTATTCAAGAACTATTGATAAATTTGTGCTATGAAAACGCCGTAATCGAGCAACATTTGAACTACATCACTATACGGAGCCGCAACATTTCATATCCCCATTTCAAAATCGCAGTCAGTCTTCCGAGATCTTCCTCAAATATTTCACATTTCATCCAAACCGGGCTCTTGCTCGAAATTCTCCGGAGACTTGTTGGAGTCCTTTCTCTTCGGGGCCTTATTTGGCTTTGGAGGGAAGATACTCTCGTAAATGTCGGCTTTGTGCGCCGCGGTGGTAGACTAAATGATCAGTATTTTTTCGTGACGTCAAACAATATCGAAACTACCGACCATCTTCTCTGCAGCCGTCTGCTCCTTCATTGCTTCTTTCTTCTGAATGTCTTCGGGCCTCAAGGGCGACCCTTCATAATCGTCGGGGAAAGTGGTGTTGACGAAGACTGCGAATAGATGATATAAGTCATTGTAAAGTATTGTGTAGTAATGGTTTTGTACGTACATTCATCGTCTCCCTTCATACCGGATTGAGCCTTTCCGTGGACCGAAGCCCGGGCCAGCCTGGTGATATGGAAGGCGGAAGGCCGCGTGAGCTGATGCTTGAGTAAGGCCGGGTACATCGTGAGTTCGAAATCAATAGTATCCCAGGAATATGAGAGCTTGACAGTATACTGTCGTCCCATATGCCAGCCGGACGGCTTTTTAAAGAGCTTCCGGTGGATTCGTGATGATGTCAGTCATATGACCATTCGACGAGGGTGCAGTTCAGATCGCTCCAATGATCGCCGGGCAGTCAATTAGAGACATGGTCTTGGAACGCCATTGTTTTGGGATCCGAGCGACGGTATTGGCCAAAAAGGAAATGGAGTGTGCAGTGGCAACCTCAGTGCGTCCACTCCATGGTACGATCAAACTTTAGTGACGGCCTCTTTTACTGGGGCAGTAACTTCGGGAATACTGCATGAAAAATAATAAATATTGTACATCCAACATGATATATGCACAAAAATTCTCCACTGCTGCTTAGTTGCCACATGGAAGTTGAGTACCTTGACGCTCCAAATAATCCATCAGTTCACGCAACATTTAGCGATGGGTTACGTCTTTCTAGACGGGTGAGCTGAGCCCATTCAGACACATCACCGAACAAGCACTTGAGGTATATGGGACAACCTTGCACGATGGAATGATCGATGGAATTGTTTGCCAGGATTCTCGGAGCAAGGGGCCGTGAGGTCGATATAGCATCAGCAGGGCCTCACATCCAAGATTTTGAAGCGAATACTAATCATGATGAAATAACCCGAGGCTAATTCACTGGGAAACTACTCACAGTCCGGACTTCACGCGTCACGTAACCGCACCGGGCCATATAGAGTCCAGTGATCATCCTACAAACACCAAGTTGAAATGACTGATTTCTATCTAATCGTGATTCTCTTGCGTAGTATTCTCAGCCCTCTCAATTCACCTAATGCATCTCACTGCGGTCTTTGGTTATGGAGAAGTTCATATAGGGTTTCCATACTTGACAATGATCTTGCCCCTTCCCTTTGAGCTGCCTTCTCCCCCGTCATATTTTGAGAATCCAATCTTGCTACAGCACTGTGGAGACCCACAGAGGCAAGGATACTCAACATGTTTCAGATATCCCTCCCCATAGTTCACCGTTATTTCCTCGAAAATAGAAATATCTTTCCTCAAGGTAATAAACACCACCCATTTGCCCCCCACGACCGCGGCGAGAAACTCCGCCTTGCTATCACACGAATGGTTTATAAATCGGGTCCAATTTCCATAATATGTGGGACATATGACCCCCTTGTCTGGACCAGGCACATCGAGGCACACATTCAAGCAATATGGGTCGTCGGCACATTTTGGCATCCCCTTAACTTGAATGACCCCAGTGTATGTGTCCATATGCACGCCACCTTCCTCATGGGGGTAAGTGGCTAGAACTCGAACTCCGGTTCCCTTGCCTTGATATTCACGAAGTTCCACCGAATCTCCGGCAAAAACACGGCAAACACAGTCACAGTCGTCATCCGCTTTCCTATCCTTCTCCTTGATTACCTTGTATTCTGCATGCGTTGTTGTACTACGACACAAATTACACTTCCGCGGTCCAACAACGAGCACCGGGTTTGCGGCATAATCAAAGTCCGCGGGCTTCCAAATATGATGATTAATGTGTTTCTGGAATCGGCGATTGAATCTGGGTCTCTTGAGGCCGCCGTCTAGTGTCTGAACAATATGGTGGGGATGTTCATTTGCCAGGTATATTTCTGGGCCCAGGGCCGGGCGTAGCAAACTGAGAGCTCTGTTGTTCCCCTCAGCTGAATGACCACCAACTAAATCCCAATCGTCTATGTCGTCGGCAGAATCCACCTCAATGGCGGGTTCAGTGGCCCCATCAATAGCCTCAATGTCAAACCGCATATGGGCAGCGATTGGAGAACAAGGCCATGTGACAACTCGCACAATACGATGGGTACCTCTGGGATATGCCTGTAGTACAAGGTAACTGATGGTCCTGCCAATAGGAGTACCTATCAAAGCATCATACTCCGGTGTACCAAAATCCCATGTTGAGGGAATATACCTCCGCACCATCCGACTTGGCCACTCCATATTGTTCTCTGGGTACAGAGTGCGTTTGATGAAATGAAAAGTCCTCGCATTGACTACCTCGGTGACGAAGACATAGCGTAGACTAGAGATAGGGAAGAACTTCTCATACATGGCCTGAATGATTTGAGACATTGGCGGTCGGTCTTCTTCCAAACGTACGCTCTTATTTCTTTCGGGATTGCAAAGCTGGTCAACGTGGCAAACTGTAGGCCCAATCCAAGCAGTTAGACCCATACCGATATCGCTATTGTCAACTTCGATACATCGATACACAGACTTTCCTCGTGGAACGGGGTTCACCCATTCGTTAGGAAGGCCGACCGCATCAAACGGTTCTCTCAACATAACACGGATATTTCTGCGGACCATCTCTAACTTTGAATCCCGGCGTACACGAGAAAATGTCAAAGTTGATGGGGCAACATGGCAATCCGGCTCATTAGGATCATCAATCCATCGCCGAATCCGCGCCCCAGCCACTTCATACAATGCTGGGTCATACTGGTAAGCTTCTCCCGAAGATGACGATTCCTCGGATTCAGAAAAGGATTCTTCAGAAAGGTCAGAAGGTGTGTAATCTGAGCCAGGAGGAGGAGACGAGCCCTGAGATTCCTCGGAGTAAGAAAGATCCTGATCGATAAAAGCATTCCCATGATTTGCATGTTTAAGTAACACATCACGCCAGGGCAGGCTACGTGTACGTGCAAAAATCTCCAGGCTTCGCCTGTTCTCTTTAATAAGTCTTAATAAGTGTGTCCAATGCATGGATTTATTACCCATGTCTTCATCGGTTTCACAAGCCAGTCTGAAAGCTTCGGAATGGGCACATATAGCGAACATTTGCCAGCCCAGCCTAGTGATGAACCCGAGGCACAGCTCATAGCTTTCTTTTTTTTGTACGGTGTCTTTTTGCTGACATATGAATTTGTCGACAAAGTTTTCGGCGCCCTCAATATAATGCCTACCGGTTCCACCTAAAGGAGCATCATTCCCTGAAATGATGGCCTCGCGAACACTATTTTGCAGCCGACAAAAGCAATTGATATCCCAGTAGATTGCTGCGACTATCTCTTTTGCATATTCTAGAGAGTCAAGAGGTGTTTGTTCAATTTTGCGTTTCTTAGCAGGCTGGGGACTTCCCTGGCGCCTCTCTTGGCGCGTCCGCTTCGTAGGAGATGCTGTTCTTTCCCCATATTTAGCTCCCAGTCTGGTGCCTCTGATGGGTGAACTTGACTGCGTGATTGTATTTCTGGGAGCTTCTGGCACAGCGCGTGCGGGACGCGCTCCAGCCCACCCCTCCTGTAGTCTGCGAATCCGTAAAACAGCTGCTGCCTGATCTAGATATTGCGCTGCTTGGTTATCCCCGGTCGTCTCTTTGAAGCCTGCAGTTGGTTTAGCTGGATCCCATCCAGGCAAACTTTTGTAAAGTTTTTGGATAGCTTCTTGCTGGTTTCGAAAATATGCGTCTCTATACCGTCCAAGAGCTTCCTGGATCTGTCCACTTTGGAGACACCGTCTAGTCAATATAGAATCTTGTTCGTAAACATCGACAAGAGATTCTGCTTGATCTTCGTAAAAGTCCTTTCTCTGCTGTCGAAGACCTTCTATGAGTTCTACTCTATCAACCATTCCTTCCCCCGATATAGCTCTCCTGAGAAGCCTTCTGATATCTTCTTTTTGAGTTTCAAACCCTTTCTCCTTTTTCCACCGAAAGAATTCTTGGATTTCGGCGAAATCTTTCATGATGAAAGCCGGCCCAAAAAATAGAGAGAAGAGAAGAGACCGCTGAAAGGTCGTGGTTTATGTCACCGAGTATGTGTTAGGTCTGCTGCTTAGGTACCGGTGGGGGTTTCTTGAGGCCCTGGAGGATATGAAATTGAAATCTTTCACAAGTCTTCATGTATCCTGAGAATCTTGCCTCATATATGCCCTAGGAAAGAGCACAAAATCGAAAAAAAATGAAAGAAAACACCTGAGGTCTTTCTCACCAAAGGGCCCCTTTCATAGGAATAAAACGACATCTAAGAATAACGACAAATACCATGAAAAGCGAGCAACATAATTCCAAGGCTATCTTTCCAACAAAGAAACTGGAATTGCTAAAAGAAGATATCTAGAAGATCGCCATACAATTAGGCGGGCTCGAAACGCCTCTCGCACAGTTCAATGGACTACTAGAGATAAAGAAGCTCCAGCGTCCAAGCCGCTGACACGTAGCAGCCAACTCCTCCAAATCAAACATCTCTCCAATAGGCACACCCCAACCCGCCAGAAGATGATGATGCAAATCAAACTCAGGGTCTTTCGCCGGGAACACCTCAAAGCTAACCGCATCAGATGCAACGGCCGCGAAATGGTTATCCCACATGAAACGCAGCACCCGCTCGCTCTGCTCAATGCCCATGTGCTGCGGCATTGACTGTGCGCTGTATTCCTCGCGCTGGGTCTCTGACATTGCGGCCCATGTTCCCGGAAGACCGATGCGCAGGAAGAAAACATCGCCCTTCTGGAAGGTGATGTTACACTCGCGCGCAATCTCCTGCACCTCGTCCAGAGTCACCGTCTGGCGAGTCAATGCGTTGGTGGGGATTCCTTTCTTCTCTGCGTAGGAAACATAGTCGATCAAGACACCACGACCAGCAATACCTTTCTTCGCCCAGAAGCCTATACCGATGCGCGGAGAGTCCGAGTCAATGATCTCCGACGCTGTCGTCCCACCATAAAACACCCTCCGTTCAGGATCCTCGGATGTCGGTGCAGGTGCATTGTGGTGGCGCAGACCATCCCATTGCGAGCCCTGCTGCGGGTTGAAGTGGTATTCATCGTCAAAGGCGACGCCCGGAGCGACCCATTTGATAGTGTGTTCAAATTGCTTGCGACCAAAGCCTGGTGGGGTTAAATTCTCGATATCCCAGTTCAGACACACGCGCTCGCCGGTCTGGATCTGTGTTCGTGCTGCGTCGGCGACTATCTCGGGGGTCAGGAGGCGTAACATGCCCAGGCCTTCTTCTGCTGAGCCTGGGCGTTCTGGCCAGTAGCGGCGCTTATCCGGGAGGTCGTCAAATTTGTCGGGGAGTGATGCGGCCATGTTGCTGGGAGTGGGAATATGCTGTTCCGTCAAGGTGGCTTGCAAAGGGTCTCCAAGGAGCTATATGGCGCGTGGAGTGCCCCCATCATTTGCCCATTCGTCGGAGCAAGTCCGGGGGTTGCGGCTACGTGGGTGACCCCGCAACCTAACCGGGTAAAAAGGCAAGCGTAGGACAATGACAAAAAAAAACAAGGACTAGGTTCAATGCTGAGGCTATAACAATTCTAAACTCGGAGTAAACGTGTACAGGATGTTCTGCATGGCGCAGAAAAAAAAAAAAAAAAAGAAAACGAAATTTACATGTCATCCAGGTCATCGTTTGATTTGGAGCTGGAGCCGCGCTTCATGTCGGACATCTCGTGCTCCTCCTTGCGGCCCGGTGACCCATTTAGGTCTGCCGACATGGCCATGGCTTGTCGGCCGGTGTCGGAGGACTCAAGGAATTCACGCAGACGGCGCTTGCCTTCCACAAGAGCTTGCTGCGAGGCGGCCTCGGACATCTTCAGCATCGGACCCCACAGGTTGAGCTGGTAGGTGATGTAGGCGCCCACGGCACACACGAACAACAGGAAGAAGTAGGCCGGGTTGCGGAGAACTATGAGTAATTAGCTAACAAGTCTGGAAAAGAACAAGACGAAGGATATACTTACCAGCAATAATCTCGTTCCATCCCAGGGCAAGCAGCAGGCCGTAGAAATACAATGGGACTTGGGTCATGCCGCCGATGGCACTCCGCTTGGCCTCAACATACACGCCGTCTGCCGCTTTCTTGAAACGTACGGTAAGCTCCTGGCGCTTGGAGTCGCCCAGAATCGTCGTCTCCTCCTCCAGGCTCTTGCCTTCGTCCTCGTCAATGCCGCCGATAGGTGCAAGGTCCTCCTCGTCTGCAGGGGTCGCAGAGCTCGGGGTGTGGCCGATCCATCGATCCAGCGGAGGCGCGGCACCGGTTTCAGCAAGGCGGAATCGAGATAGAAGAGGGATTAAAGTCAGAGTGGACTCGCGGGCACGGGTATAGATACCCTCAATATCATCTGTCGGGCGCCAGATGCGCGGGACACCCTCTTCGTCATAGCGGAATTTGTCCTCGAAGTTCTCACGAAGCTTCAAAAGCAGGTTGCCCTCGATCATCTCCTCGTCGATCTTGGCGCGCAGAACACCCCAGGACTTACGGCGCAGGCGCCACAGTCCAACGTCGACCTCTTCCAGACTGGCATCGAAGCTACTGGCCCGATCTGTGAATCGTCGCTCTGCGTCAAGAACGGTCTCCACGAACACGTTCCAGATCCGATCCCAGAACTCCTTCTCGGTGGGCTTCTCGCCATTTTCAGGGGCACCGGCTCCAGCGCGCCCAGAGCCCAGGGCATTGAACTCGAGTCCCACCGATTCGCCTAGGCGGGACTGGACCCAGCGCTCGACGCGAGTAGCCAGTCGTCTCATTTCGTCGCGGCGCAAGCTAGCGCTGACCTCAGCCAACTCCTTCTCGTACAGAACAAGCTGTTGCTTGTAGTTACTGAATGTCGATCCTTCGACCACGGTTGACCGGGCGACCTCCTGGAACTTCTCCAGGGAGAGCTTGGTCTCATCTTTGACGATCTCGGCAAAGTCGTAGCCACCGCCCTTCTTCTGACCAGACTTAACGGCATTGGTTACCGCGTCGCTGAAGTCACGGATGCCAGACTTGTGTGCAGCCGAAAGCTGGCCGTGGAAGAGAGCTTTCAATCGTCCATCAACCTTGCTCTCGAGCTCGGCCTTCTTGCGCTGGTACACGCCTTTGTGGTACCGGCTAGCTTCAGTTTCGAATCCCTTGAGGGTCTTTGAGCGTGCAGTCCGCATAGCAACACCCAGGCCTCCAAGAACCTCCGGTGCGCCTAAACGAACGGCCTCAGCCTGCTTATCTTCGAACGCAGTAATTGCCTCGTCAAATCCAATCATAACTTCACGCAAAATCTCATCGCAGCGGAACTGCGCGAGCAACTCCTGCTGCGTGGGCAGATCAAGGTCCTTGTTATTGACGATCTGGTCCCAAATGCCTTCGGCGTAATGGGAGAATCCATCCGCAGGAATCCTTCGGTGGTACTCAGGCAAGAATACACCACCTTCTGAGAACTCGCCCTTAAGCGCATCTCTTCTCGGGTCACGGTGACCCTCGCGGAACCGGGATCCAAGCTTCTTAGCCTCAGCCACGAACTGCTCGGGTTGATAGCTCTTATGCGGAAGTCCATAGAATTGGAAATCGAAGTAGTCGTGAATCGTTGAGTTCTCCAATCCGGTGGGCTTCGAGATGGTCGACCAGAGGCGGGACAGATCCTCCAACAAGGTCTTCTGGAGGTTCTTGAGCGGGGTGTTGCCAATAAAGTCACGAATAACGAAGAGAAGGAGGGATCGTTGAGTTGTACTAAAAGCAAGTTAGTCTCCAAAACAGAATATAGCGCTTCAAACATTCCGCATACTTTTTATCTTTCATGAACAATTGCAGGTTGACCTCGAAGACAGTCTTGAGCAATCCCATATTGGCGCCCTGGTACAGACCCACTTGGTGCTCCCAGATGTTGACAATGAGCACCTCACTGGTCGCAAGCGCAAAGAGAGCGCTCTTACGCTCAAAGTCCTGATCCTCGCCACGTTCGCGGCCGTCGGTACCTTCCACATCCATAACCAGGATGTTATCCGCCATGCGCTCACCGGCGCCCTCTTGACCCTGCTTCTTGTTCTTCGAAAGCCAGATACCCTTCGTCGTTTGCCTCCGCTCCAGCTCCGACATGACCGAGAACTCCGTGCCGAAGAGGTTGTTCAGCAGAGTGGACTTTCCGGTCGACTGGGAGCCGAACACGGAGATGAGATGGTAGTTGAAGCCGGCGGGTGTGACATCTTCGATAGTAAGGTACTTGGAGAGATTCGCGCTGTGGGCTGTGAGCAACAGGATATCTAAATCGCCTGCGGGCTAGACGTAGGTACACCCGGACGTGCAGGAGAGGGGCCGTACTTGAACTCCTTATTCTCGTCAATGACCTGGACGCCATGCTCGTAGGAGGCGGAGTCGGCGTTGTCGCCGACCGTTGAAAAGTGACCGTTCGCCATGACAGGAGGTGCAGTTGGATTCCTGCCCAGTCCTGACGGGCGATCGGACATGGTATTGGTGTTGTGGGGACAGATCACCGTAGTGGCGAGAGTAAAGGAAAGCGGGTTAGGGGGTTTGGGGGAGAGTGGATCATGCAACTTGGTAGAATCGAGAGCACGGACAAAACGATCATTAAAGGACAATCACAAGGTCGTTGCACGAGTGCGATCGAATGGTTCCGAGGTCGATGGTTGCTGGGGAAAACGCGTCTTACATAACCCTGTACCCTGGTTTGTTCTAAAGGTTAATAGTGATATGCGTAGAATCCCGGGGAAATGCGTCCGATTGTGAATGCATCGGTTTGTTTGATTATTTAAATGTACAGAGAGTGGGGGTTGTGTTTTCTCCATCTATTCGAACCAGTTCAAGTTCCAGCCATGATCCAGTCCCAGATCAACGTTAGGATTCGGCCACATGTACTGTCCAAGATCGTCAAACAAGCCGGTGAATAGGGTATTGGTGCCGATCTCGTCTCCTGCCATTAGCGGCTGGGTCGAGAAATCAGCTCCTAGGCCGCTCGGTCCAGGAGTAGCGTCGATGGTGTCGGCGTTGATGCTCGATACCTCGGGATCAGACATGGGCGGAGTAAAGAGTTGACTGGCCCTACGTTTCGACGAATTCGCAGCTGCAACAGGACCCAGAGCTTCAACATTCTGATCTTTACTCTTGGGCCTCACTAGATTGGTGCCAGCGCCCACGGTAATAGTCCCGAAATAGGGCACGGTGACCTTGCAGGTCGCCGACGATGTCCAGTCCCTCTGCTGGGTTCTGCTATCAAAGATTGCACCGAGAATATTGGCAGACTCGGCAGCGACAGAGCCGCCACTCTCGGCCGCGGCCTGACGAAGAATTGTAACAACATCCCGGACGAGCTCCCAGTCCTTGTCGTCTTGTTCTTTGCTGTGATCCGGCGATTCCTCCGAGTAGCCGTGCAGGTGAACGATGAGGAGCATGCCCATGGTGAAAGCTAGGAAATCAAGAATCTTGCACAAGTAAGACCGAGTGATCGTTCGCAGGACTTTGTATAAGGCCAACCCTTCCCGGGTAGACTGGATCGCCGTTCGGTGGCAGAAGCTAAACCGTGGATCATGGGGATATTTCAACATGAATGGAAGATGAAGAAGGGCGCGGTACATCTTCGGTATGAACTGCAATGGCATCCGTTCGTGGAAACTTTCCCGGTCCTCGTCGGGCCCAGGCTCGGGGCCTGTAACACTCCGAGGCAAGGCCTCCCAGGCGTCCATAAGCTCTTGGTCAAGCCGCAGTGTTGACTCGAGACACATTTCCGACGGGTTCTGGTTGCGATCAATCATATGTCCACTGATAATGCCGAGGCGTAAGATATATTGCTCTGCAGCCGGGATGTCTGAACTGAGCCGTAATTGGGCTTGAGGGATGAAGAAGGCATCTGCGACTCCATATGGAAGACCGAGAATCAAACTCAGAGATCTATCTGCGGTCGTTATGGCACACCAAAGCTTCAGTCGCCTTTCGAACAAAGTGTCTGCCGGTCGAGGTGTCCGGGTTGATAGATGCATTCCCGCGAGATGCGCAAACTCGATAGCTCTGCGGACCACTAGCCACGCTTTTCGAAGCCGGCCTTCATTCAAATGATACTTGGAGAGCAGCACCTGACACTCCATACCAGGCAGTGTCGCGGCATAGTCATCATCACGAACAATCAAACGATCCGCAGCTGCACAGCAGCGTGCAGCAAATTCCTGAGGATCGATCGGGACTCGCAATGCATTGAAGTCGAAACCAGGTGGGGATTGTAAAACGCTTATAGAGAGGCAAACCAAGCCTTTCGCTATTTCCGCAGGCGCCACTAGACTCTCAGAATAGGACTTGGCCTCGAATGCATTTAGAAGTTCGGGGAAGTTGTCCTTCCACATGCACCAAAGCCCCGATCCTTCTTCGACAATTTTGCGGATATCCTGCTGACAGGGAAGTAAAGATAGAAGCTCTGTTCGGACTGTTCGTGCTTTGGGTGATACATCTTTAGCGCCCATGAACTGGTCGTTAATGGACGAATCCTCGCGACGACTGACGAGATAATTATCGAATAGTTGCATGACTGGCGCACTTTGAATCTGGCAACTAGATGGTCCTAGCTGGTCTGACTCGCCTGATGGAGGCGTCATGTCTTCTATTGATGGTCTCCGCGCTGTAAACTGTTAGCAAGTAAAGAACCAGAAAATAGGACCGCGCGTCTGTGGGCTGATTCACATTGTCTACCTGGTGAGCGAGCAGGGCTGCTCTCGTCTAATCGTTTCGCGAGATCCTGCACTATATTTTCCAAATGGGCTACACGTTCCCGAAGGCTGTACCGCTGATCTCCTTGAGCAGCATCCGAGGTGTTGGGCTTTTCAGAGTCGTACTCCTGGTCAATACACGTAGAGCCACGCAAGCGACATTCATTGCAAGCTTCCGGGCGATCAGGGTTGAAAGTACATCGAATCTTGCGACGGCGGCCTAGAGCAGAGTTCAGTGTGGTTTCAGAGTGATGTATCCCACGACATTGAACGTACATTGTGTACAGCTTTTGGTCCCCTTTCGCATCTTCTTGCGAGGTGGGCCATTTATGTCATTCCATGAGTCCATTTTTGCGGCGATAATGGGGATCTACTTGGAGAATGTCGAGGCTCAGCCTCTCCGGACCAAATCGGACCAACACCGCCAGTGCAGGCAAGGGCGCCGGGCGGGACTGGGCGGACTTCACTGCCGTGCGGTCTCAGTCGCTTAGAGAGGTACCAGGTGAAACTACCAGCAGCCTCAAAGCATGCAAGTAGGAGAGAAATGAACCACCGCGGAGATGGATCAGGGCGTGTCATACTGTCTGTTGGGGCCCATTCGTCCGTCAATTTCGGCCGAACCGAGAACCAATCATGAAGGTGGTTCGCATCGTTCTGGTCAAAAGGATTCGAAGGCTATTTGTAATGAGAAACGTTGCCTTAAGAAGGTGAATACTGAATACTATTAACAGTCTGGTAGACTTTGATTGATTTTGAATACATTCCACGGGAGGGGAGAGAAGGTACAACTCGCTACATCTTCAATACATCTTCAATACATCTTCAATACATAGAGGTACATGAACAGGATTCAAGCGAAAACTCCGGCTTATCCCCCGGATCGGTGATTCCCGCGCTGTGAATTTAAGGTGGCAGACAAACAAGAAAGAAAAGGGGTGTCATAATACAGGGTCTAGACAAGCAGTCCGGACTATAGGCGAGAGGGTATTAATTGGAGCCTTACTCAACCACACGGGTAATGAGACCGGTGGCAACGGTGCGGCCACCCTCACGGATGTTGAAGCGCTGGCCAGTCTCGGCAGCAACGGGACGGTGAGTCTCAAGGACCATCTCGACGTTGTCACCGGGGTTGACACGGCGGGACTCGTCGTTGTCGGGGAAGGTGAGGTCACCGGGCTCATCAGCAGTGCGGATGTAGACCTGGGGGCGGTAGTTGGCGCCGAAACCAGTGCGGCGGCCACCCTCCTCCTCGGTCAGGACGTACATGGACACCAGGAACTTCTTGGCGGCCTTGGTGCTGTTGGGGAGGGCAACGACCATACCACGGCGGATGTCCTCGCGGCGGATACCACGGAGGAGCAGACCGGAGTTATCACCAGCCTGGGAAAAGTCGCAAGACTTCTTGAAGGTCTCGATGTCGGTGACCTTGGTCTTGATGGGCTCGTTGGAGCCACCGATGATCTCAACCTCGGTATCCTTCTTCAGCAGACCGCGCTCAACACGGCCAGAAACGACGGTACCACGACCGGGGATGGAGAAGACCTCCTCGACGGACATCAGGAAGGGCTTGTCCATGTCACGCTCCGGGGTGGGGATCCAGGTGTCAACGGCCTTCATAAGGTCGTCAATGCGCTCGGTGCCGATGTCAGGGCGGCGGCCCTCGAGGGCGCACAGGGCGGAACCGAAGATGATGGGGGTCTCCTCGCCCTCGAAGCCGTAGGTGGTGAGCAGATCGCGCATCTCCATCTCGACAAGCTCCAACATCTCGGGGTCATCGACGGCGTCGACCTTGTTAACGAAAACGACGATCTTCTGGACACCGACCTGGCGGGCAAGCAACAAGTGCTCACGGGTCTGGGGCATCTGGCCATCGGAGGCAGCAACGACGACAATGGCGCCGTCCATGTTGGCAGCACCAGTAATCATGTTCTTGATGTAATCGGCGTGACCGGGGCAGTCGACGTGGGCGTAGTGACGGTCCTCGGTCTGGAACTCAATGTGGGCAGAGGAGATGGTGATACCACGCTTGCGCTCCTCGGGGGCCTTGTCAATGGCATTGTAGGCGAGGAAGTTGGCCAGACCCTTGGAGGCCTGGTGCTTGGTGATGGCAGCAGTCAGGGTGGTCTATAGAAGTTGACACGTTAGAACGAGAAAAGCGGGAAGACCGGAATAACCGAGTTAAATCATCATACCTTGCCGTGATCGACGTGACCGATGGTACCAATGTTGACGTGGGGCTTGTTACGCTTGAAAGCAGTGGCCAGTCCACGGGCAGCCATCCTGTCGCTGGCGAAGACATGGTGGACGGGGTTGACGGCACGCGGGCGCAGCAGGGAAGCCCGGCTGGAGCGCGCCAGAATGTTTAGGGAACGGGAGATGCTCGACATCTTGCAATTATGAACCCGAAAACGATAAAGAATGGAGACAAGCAACAAGAAGGAAAGTCGATGGGAGACGACGAGAGGAGAATCAACAGCCAAATTTTCCGGGCCTGGCTGCTTAGTCATGTATGGGCCAATCAGGGGTCGCGAATTGCGGAGGTCAGTCTGTCATCAGATTCACGAATCCACGATGCGCGTGGCATTGCTAATTGGCAGACATATTGGGACATTTAGTTCCGAAGATCGGGTTTTCGATAATATGTAAGTCTAGTGCGTTACAGGAAGGGGCTTGAAATATGGTCGAAAGGAGGAACCTGTCCCAACTAGTGAATCGAAGCATATTCAAGTACGCCACGCGATCAATGCCATTTGCTCAACATTGGGGTATTGCTTAAGGTTACGTAGGATTATCTGCATGATGCTATTCCAATAGCTCGATACTATATACAATGGGCTCCAATCCGCAAACCTGTCATTTCTCCTTCCTGACGGTAATGATAACATGCTTGCCGGGCTCTCCCTCCATAGCCTTGACTTGAGTGCCTCCAATCTCTTTTGTGGTATCCATTACACTCTGCATGACATGCTTGATCTCGTCCACTGTTGCTGCTCGCTTGCCCTTCTTCTTGGTCAAGACGAGCTCCACCTTGGCACCCTTCTCCAGGAAAGTGGTCAGCTGGCCCAGGCGGTGTTTGAGGTCATGAGCATCGATAGCCCAGTTCAGCTCCAGCTTCTTGGTTTGAATCTTGGTGGCCTTGGCGGCTTTCGCTCTGGCCTTCTCTTTAATCTTCGTCTCCTTCTTGTTCAAGATCTTGCAGACAGGTGGCCTGTCGGGGGCTCCCTCGCTCACTTGTTGGAGGAACCACTCGCGGTGGTCAAAAGAAGCCAACACCTGAGAAAGCCTGATTGGAGGATCGAGGTCGTTATCCTTATTTACCAACTGCACGTACGGACCTCCGATAGCTTCGTTGGACGGCCACTTGTTGTAGTCGCCAAAGGCAAGGCGGCGGGAATGTTGTAGAGACCTCATTTGTAGTCCATTTTGAACTGGGAGAACATTCCGGAGAGGACTGGATTGTACGAGAGCGGCTCGGGGGGCTCGGAGAGGTGCGAGGAAGGTCCGGCGCAAGGCCTGCGCGGTGGACATGAGACCACGGGTATGGTTCATGATGGCGGGGTTGGGGGGAAGAAGGGGAGGTATCGCAATGAGGAAAAAGGACGATATCAGTAAATGATATTATCGAGAAACATACGGCAGAAACAACCGGGCCGGATATAGAGCCAAGTGGTGAAGACGGACGAGAGTCGACGGATGGAGTAATTCCAACGCCACATCTGCGCCACAGCTCTGAAACCCTTGAATCTGCAGCCCTCCTTTCTTTTCTCCTTTCTCCAACTCCGCAATCTCCCTTTTGGATTTGGCGATTCTGGAGATTCAATGGTTTTGATGATTTGTCTTTTTGCTTAAAACCCCTCGCTCTTTCTTTCTTCGGTGGCAACACCCTGTCTTTTACTTATCTGTTGCTCGTATGTCGACTGGAGTCGACAATCAACAGCCCAGCAAATTAGATCTGAAGCCGGTCGCTCGTCAGCGCTCCGTTTCCCACAGTTTCGCTTCTGCTTCTCCGAACTCCGTCGAGTCCGGTCGAATCCCCGGTATACAATCCGACACAATGGTTTCACAAAGTCAAAGATCGCGGTGGTTGAAGACCGGAGCCATTGTTGGCTTCATCTTCATGGTCCTTTTATGGCTGTCGCCCTCTAGGCCGACCGTCTCTTCCTCTACTTTCTCTCAAGGTATGCGTCGCAGGTCAGACAAACTCAATCACCATGCCTAACAGTTCATTCCTACGCTAGAAAAAGCACCCTCCGCCACGGGTCTCACTACCAAGTGCTCCAAGCCTTTCGATTCTTCTAAACCTCTCATCCAGTATGCGCTCATGATCGATGCTGGTAGCACTGGCTCTCGTATCCACGTTTACCGCTTCAACAACTGTGGTTCTACTCCCGAACTGGAGAACGAGGTCTTCGAGCAGACCAAGAAGAAGGAGGGTGGCTCTGGCCTTAGCTCCTACAAGGAGGATGCCGAAGGTGCGGCGCAGAGTCTGGACCCCCTTATGGAAGTCGCTCTGCAGAACGTGCCTGAGGAATACCGCCGCTGTACCCCAATTGCCGTCAAAGCTACTGCTGGTCTGCGTCTCCTGGGCCCCGAGTTGAGTGCGAACATCCTGGAGGCTGTGCGCCACCGTCTGGAGAACTCCTACCCCTTCCCCGTGGTAGCCCGTGAGAAGGGTGGTATCGAGATCATGGACGGCTCCGACGAAGGTGTCTACGCATGGATCACTACCAACTACCTTTTGGGCAAGATTGGTGGCCCCGATGAGAACCCCACCGCTGCTATCTTTGATCTTGGCGGCGGTTCTACTCAGATTGTCTTCCAGCCCACCTTTGAGCTGAGCAAGGCCGGTGGCATGCCCGAGCATTTGGCTGAGGGTGACCACAAGTATGAGCTCAAGTTCGGTGGCCGGGAATTCGAGCTTTACCAGCACTCTCACCTTGGCTACGGTCTGATGTCTGCTCGCGAGTCCATGCACAAGGTGGTTCTCGAGGCTCTGCTTGCTAACCACGACAAAGATCTGTCCTGGTTGCAACGCCCCATCACCAACCCTTGCATCCAACCCAACCAGCAGAAAGAAGTTACTGTGAAATTCCCCGATGACCATGTTCTCGGGCCTAAGACCACTGTGACCATGGTGGGCCCCAAGGACGGGTCTGCCCCCGCGCAGTGCCGTGCCATCGCAGAGAAGATCCTGAAGAAGGAGGCCGAGTGCAAGGTGGCTCCCTGCTCTTTCAACGGTGTCCACCAGCCGTCTCTGGCGAAGACCTTCGCCCGTGAGGATGTGTTCATCTTCTCCTACTTCTTCGACCGTACCGCCCCTCTGGGCATGCCTTCTTCCTTCACTCTTGACGAACTGCACCAGCTCACCTCCAGCGTCTGTGCCGGTGAGAGCAGCTGGAGTGCCTTCGAGGGTGTGGAGGAAGCTCTGAAGGAGCTTCGCGGCCGTCCGGAGTGGTGCCTGGACCTCAACTTCATGCTGGCTCTGCTCCACACCGGCTACGAGATGCCCATGTCGCGCGAGGTCAAGATCGCCAAGAAGATCAAGGACAACGAGCTAGGCTGGTGCCTTGGCGCGAGGTAAGTTATTATGTCTCTATCGTTTTTACTGAACAATATGCTAATTCTATTCACAGCTTGCCTCTTCTCAGCCAGGAATCTGGTTGGACTTGCCGCATCAAGGAGATCTCATAGATCCTTGCACGGTGATGTCTTCAAATTTATCAATTTTTAATCATACGGTTCTGCCATAGTGTGTGATGGGTCCATGCATATAAATAGATTCTCGACATGTTTTCTTTTCGTTTTACTTCTCTTCTTGACTCGTGTCTTCATCTACACTTTCTTTCTCTTCTGGAGAGTTGACGAACTGCATTAAAATGAATGAATCTTCATGTCTTTCCATGTTTGTTTCAACAGCTTAGTGCTATCCATTAATGGAGTATGACTGCTTGTAAGAGTCACTGCTGGTGCAGTCTCCATGAGTAGAATGTGGGATCGAGGCTATCATTCAAAATGTTCAAAGATTGATCCGAGACTCCTGTACAAAACTCCGAGTCGCCAAAAATCATCACAAGTATTCACAACTTCACTCCGCCATCTCTTCGATCGAAGGCTTCTCCGCATCTGACTTCTCAGACTTCTTCCCACCCATAAGCTTACTCAAGACGTCTGAGTCACCCTGCCCGTTGGAACCCCCATTCGCAGCATAAGGATTCTCATCATCACTATCGGCCTCACTCGAGTCATCACCTTCACGCTTTTCCTTAAGAACTCCCAACCCAAGATTCTGCGAACAGTCAGCACAAGTCATACCAGTGAGTCTCAAAGCATACCATTTCAATATACTGCTTCCCATCTGTTTCATCGGCATCATCTAGCACGATATCCTTTCCGCGCCCAGCAGCAATCTCTTTCTCTAGATCATCATTGGCCTCCTTCATCTGCGGCAGGAACGCTGACAAGCGCGATAGGAGATCCGAGCCGGCCTTCACCTTCATAGGCTTTATCCTGGGTTTTGGGCGGTGAGGAATACTCGGTATTGTGGATGCGCCAGCTGTTGTCTGGTTTCTTTCTTCATCTTCATCTTCTGATGAGTCGGACTCGCTCTCTTCTGAGGAAGAGCCGGAGGACGAGGTCGGGTCGTCGTCATCGGAGAAGTGTGCTGAAGATGTCTGGTGTGTTTCTTTGGGGGTCTCATTTGTCGCCCTCATAGTGAATAAATGTGCTGCTTATTGCGCGGAGGTATTGGAGTTGACTGCGCTGAACTGGGACGCGGATTTTTTGTGGGAAGGTCGGGCTGGGATGCTAGGGAACGGGTAGAAATGTTTCACAGGGTAATAATACGAGTAATTTCGTCTTGGTAGATCCTCGTGTTCAGGCAACAATAGGTGTGAGAGGTTGGAGGTGTGCGTTATGAAAAAAAGTCGAGTCGCGAGCTGGCGATTTCAACTTTTTGGGTGGAGCCCGATCCGATAACGATAAGGACCTTCACGTTAAGCCGGATCGGGATTGAGATCTGGATCTGTGTAGATTTCACTAGGGGTATCGTCCACTGAAGTCCATTAATGAGTTATGGCTAATATTACAGAGAGTTAAACATAAATTTTTGCCTTCAAGTCAAGCACATCTAGAGGAAACTTGGGCTTTTTCAACGACTGCGGCTCCTGCGACGACTTCGACTGGGACTCCTGCGTCGCCGGCTGTGGCTGCGGCTGGGTTGTCGAGTTCGACGGTCCTCTGGCTCCTTCGCAGGCTCTGTTGTAGCTTCGGTCTCTCCCTCTTTCGCCTTTCCAGGCTCAGAGCCGGGGATGTAACGGTCAATATCACCAGCCCGGCCAGGTCGAGCATCACGCTCTGTAGATCGCTTTCGGCGTCGAGGTGAAGTGCTGCGGTTGCTGTTTGGTGGAATGTAGCGATCAATGTCGCCAGTGCCAGCGCCAGGAGACCGGCGTCTTTCCCGCGATGGTCGTCTCTCGCGGGAACGCCGCCTAGATCGTGATCTTCTCCGTACAGTAGATCGAGAACGCGAGCGTTGTCTAGGAACAGCTGACTTTGAGCGTGAGCGCGGGCGGTCCCGAACACGCGGACGGGAGCGGGATTGCGAGCGCGAGCGACGACGAGAGAGAGATATGCGGCGAGGGCGATATGCATCGCCGCGGTCTCGACTTCTGTCGCGGCTGCGATCAGGGCGGCGCCTGTCGAAGTCTCGGTCTCGCGACCGAGAGCGTGGACGATCTCGGATCCTATCGCCCTCTCTATCCCCTCTTCCAGTAGATCGGCTACGGCTGCGACGTGCAGGTCGGTAACTTCTTTCATCTCGGAAGTCACGGTATCCACGACGTTCATCCATGGCGCGATCTCGAGACCTCACAGAAGTATCACGAGAGCGATCACGGCGCCGGTTCGGGTCATATCGAGACGCCTGTCGACGACGAGACCTGCTACGGCTTCGACTGCGTTCTCTGGTTTGGCGGGTTCGATCACGATCCGCAATTGAATCGCGCCTCCTGGAATCTCGGGAGAGACTGGCACCTCTGTTTGAAATGTTAGGTAGCTTTGGATCGTTGGCACTCCTAGTCTGGGTAGAGGTTGCTGGTTTCAGGCCATTTTCAATAGCCTCGGCCTCTTCGAAGTCGAACTCGCGCTTCTGTCGAGCCTTTGCAGCGAGTTCTTCACCTTCTTTCAAAAGCATTTGCAAGGCAGCCTCCTCTAATGATTTCTCATCTACTGGTGGTGCAGGAGTCGGATCCTTTGATGTAGAAAATTTTTCGCGTTTCGGATCGCGGCTGCGAGGAGAAAGACCACGGTCAGAGCGATATGCTGGTGAGCGATCACGATAATGATCTCTGTCTCTGGTTCGACTGCGATCGCGATCATAATCTCGGTATCTGTCACGATCCTCTCGCCGCCGTCGCTCATATCTCTCCTGACGCTCTCGCTCCCGTTGATCATCGAGTGCACGTTGCTCCTCGCGCAAGCGCTCCCGTTCAGCGCGCCGTTGGTCATCGATCTCCTTTCTTCGAGCCCTGTCTTCGTCTTCTTTTTGTCGCTCGAGTTCTCGCTTCTTTCGTTTCTCTTCCGCCCTGGTGCGATCTTGCTCCTCCTCGATTTCTTTTTGTTTGCGCATTTCTTCGCGGTAGACCTTGTCGCGCTCTTCCCGTTTGGCGTTCACCTCTGTCTCGTAGGCCTCGTCTGTTTTACTACCGGCTTCTTCCTCCTTGGCGGCTGCTTCTTCACCGATTTCTTGGCGACGGATGGCGCGGATATCACATAGAATCGATTCGAGATGTTTCGAGGCTAGTTGGTCAAGGGATTTCTCCACGTTCTTGTAGACGTCGCCACGGTCAACAGCTCCTTCAATAAGCGTCGCAGCTTTCCCCCTTTCACGAGACAGATGTGCTGGCTCGCGCTCAATTTCGGACTCGGCCAAGGCGATTAATTGATCAGTAAAATTGGTCTTGAACTCCTGTGGAGGTTTTAGCCACGACAATGACGAGATGAAAGCAAGACGGCCAAACATACGCCATCATTGAATTCAGCCCAAATCTGCTTTCTCATGTTGTCGAATCCGCCCTTCTTCCTGAACGAATGAAGAAGTTTGTCGATAGCTGCATGTTGCGCGGCAGACAGAGGCAGATCATCGGCCTTGAATTTCTTGCGCTTCAAGGACTCAATATCCAGTGCTGGCCTCTTAGTGCCCGGCACATCCTCCATAACCTCGTCAGTGGCCATGGTTGTACGAGGAGTACAAGGAGGACAGAGCAAGGGCACTGGAGAAAGTCGCGTGCAGACGATAAGCGATAACACGGGAGATGTCGGGGTAAAGTTAATCCGTGCTTAGAACTGCGGGCGTTTGATTTGCTTCACCTCCCTCCTGCCCCGTTGCGACCTCAAAGCCCCGACCCCATCCAATTCCGACCGCGGGCCACCTTCACTTACGACAGCGCGAAGTCAATACTTCCTGCCCTGTCGGAATTCATCGGCACCTTTAAACACCCTTTTTTCCGCCTACGCCCGGTCGCGATCATGGTCCACAAAGTGCTCTTCTGGAGCGGCTTCGGTGCGTACCTTTCCCTGCTCCAACCTCCTCTCTCATATCGCTCTACGTCACACAATTACGCTCCCTGAACTTCTCTTTTTGACTATGGTACTAATCGCGTTACGGTCTATTAGGCATTGCCGTCCGCCTCTGGCAACTCGGAATCGAGATGCGTCCCATCCTCGCCAAGGAATCCCTCTGGGTTTACCCTCTTTTCGCCGGTGTTGGTGGCAGCTTCGGCTACTGGCTCCAGGGTGTCGAGAATAGACAGCTCCGCATGCTCGCCCAGCGAAGGGAAGCCATTCTCGAGAAGCGTCGGCGACGAGACCAGCCCCAGGGTCTCAGCAAGTCTGAGGAGAATGCTGTTCTGGCCTCATAAACTGTTTTTTGTCCGAATGATTTGAGGAGGTTGAGCATTGCGTGTGTATTCCCTTTTTTATGTGTACCAAAATTCGACGGTTTGATATCGGGATTTCATCTGGGAGGTCTTTGCGGATGTAACCGGCAGCAATTGTGCTGTAGAATATGAACAAGACTTTCTATCAATTATCGTTACATTCTTTCTTAGCTATACCTTTTTGACCTGTTCAAACTGTCTCTTTCCCAGGCATATCCATTCAATAGTTAGAAGTACGTTTTGATACCTTATGGGGTTCATTGTCTTGATGCAGAACTAAAAGTGGATTCGTAATGTACAGAAGGATTCTAGATGCATTGTCAAAGGTTATTTATGCGCCAGCTCTTATGTTTTTTCAATGGTGAACTGGAGGGACACCTCCCACTTCTGTCCTCCGGTTCCATATCCCCCACCAAGACGGTTCCGAATCAAGCTTGATATCTTCTCTCGAAGTCGACCAAGGCTATCCTCTGTGCCAGAGACACGCAACTTGACGTTGGCCATATATAGACCATAGTGAACCTGCCAGAACCTGGCATCATCGATACCGAACACCGCTGGATCGGCCTCGATATCTTTGATGACATCAGACACCCCTTGACCTGAATAGGACATGAGAAGCATTGATCCTAAAGTCTTCACCAAGCGCACCCCAAGGAAGCACATGGAAATAGCAATCGTGCCAGAAAGGAGCTTATCAAGCCAATCGTAGATGCGAATCGACACAAGGGGCAAGAGCAGGAGAAGGGTGGAGCAGGAGAGGGTCAAGAAATGGGAGGGGTTACTCAGCACCGACGGAAGTGAATCAATATATCCAAAGCGCATAGCCTTTCCAATCCGTGCATGGTTCTTCAAACCAATTGCAGAAACCAGGGTCGAGGAAATAGCCAGCACGGCTGTAATATCCACACTGCCTAATGAAACGCGCTCATGGACATGCATATGGTGGGGCTCATGACCAGATTTCTCCAGGAAATGCTGCAGATTGTGGGAAATCAAGTCAAGACCCATGAACATGAGAAGCACACACATAGCAAAGCCAGCCAGCACCTCGGCGCGCTCGAGGCCGAATGGGTGACGAATGCTAGATCTCTTCCATACTTCGAAGTTGCCCAGGACATCCACTACCACACAGAGAAGCGCTCCAAGTGAGTCGAATAATATCAAATGGGATAATGCCGTCATGGCTAGTGACCCGTGCGCCGTCCAGAGAGTATAGGCCGCCACGAACATGTGGCACACACTCCACCAAAACCGTGTCTTCTGGTCCTTTGACATGCTAGATCGGCATTCCTTCATTGTTGGCATCGGAAGTGAATTGGGCAGAGCTAGGGGCGCGCGGGGGGGGGCTCGAGGAAGATCTGATGCGAGATACTGCTGTGCTTGTATTTGTGGCCACGACGTTGCCCAATGTTCTATCAGAAATCAATATCAGTAATTGTTTCGCAATAACTTTGCAGTGACACAAGACTTACCGATTTGATCACCGGGCTCTTTGCCATAACAGTAGTATTGAAATTGAACGGCCCCGCGTTGGGAGATTCGCCCGATCCATTCTGCGTCAGGGTCCCATTCTCTGGAGGACTGGTTCCAAAGCTGAACGAAGCTTTCGTAGGGCTCAGGCGATCAGATTTCACAGGTTCCAAAGCGGCGCTCTTGGGGAATGATTCCTTCAGCGGCGACAGTGAGTCGCGATCGATCGATACTCCTGCATTGGCGTGAGAGGAATGGGCCATGCCATCGTCCGATAGAGGGGATGGAGTGCGTGGAGGAATAGGTAAAGGGAGGTTCGACGCCATCTCGAGGATCTATCGAACACGTCTCCGTAAGAATAAAGTCGATGGGTGTCTCGTGAAGGAGTCCGGGGGAAAAGGAGATAACAGAAGCCATCGGTGCCTGATAGACCAGGTGTCAATCGGCGGGAAGGGGCGGGGGTTCTAAGGGCCTCGACCGCATGTCATGTACATCATCCACTCAAGTCTAATCTTGATCAACTACCACCCTCGTCATTCATTACTATCCGCGCTCTTTGAGCTTTGCAGTCTGCATAGTACTTGAAGTCTTTGTACTTCGCTCCTTTCTGTCCTTTCCCCGCGATGCTCACCGTCTCGATCTGAGGAAGCATCCGATGCGGAGAAACCCCTGTGGCACCGATGACCGATGGATAATCGCGGTTCTTTCTTATTCCTGCTGCTGGTGTTTTACCTGCTCCTCAGCTCACAGTCACGTCCTCCGCTGATAGATGAGGACCGGGAACGCCAGCGTGAGCTCGACCAAGAGCGTCATGCGCTCCGACTGTTGAACCAGTCGAAGTATGGGGACTTCGATCCGCCGGCGGATCATTGGCTTCCTTTCGCAGGAGTTCGACAGAATGACAGTTATGCATGGGACCTCTTTCCGAACGTCCAAAGCCGTGTGCGACACCAGTTACAGACTATTCTCTCGACTGCCGGGCTCGAGCCTCCGATAGGTCTGGACGACTCCAACCCGTCGTCGGCGTTGAACTTGACGAAGCTCTTTCTCCCCGTGTATCGCAATACTACAGGGAAGCTGCGGGGTGACTGGGTACGACAAACTGATGTACAGCGCAAAACACCTCTCAACACGTCTGCTATCGCTCATGAGCACGAGTACTTCACTCATGACTTTAGCTCAAACATCACTGGAAATGGTGGCACTTTCTCCTTTGATCTGGAAGAAGGAGGCGGAGAGGAACTCCGACGAGGTGAAGGTCTAGTTCGAGAAATTAGAGCGAGCTTGACGGTCGAGAGCGAGGACTTCTGGGGTAGTACCTGGTATCTCTCGTTGTTCGGGATGCACTTCCCAGAATCTGGATCGATCATTCTGACTACCTCAAGTGAAAAGTTTGGTGGAATATTTGCTTTGCCTCACTTTGCGCTTTCCCCCGATACTTATGAGCTGTCCCATCGGCTTCTGCTCAAGTCTCTCTCTGATACCATGTTGGAAAGGCAGTATCGTCCTCCAACCCTGTTCCCATGGGCTTCTTTGGCTGGATCAGAGCAGATGGAATTCCCTGCGCCCAAGTGTGAACACATCATCTTTCTCCAGCAACACCCTGTCGTGGTTGACGGTGCTATCGCCGATCGGTTGCTGTTGGAGCGAATGGAACGAGAGCTCAGGTTCCCGATGGGCGCACCAATTCCAGACCCTCCTCTTATGGTCATGTCTGCCGTGGTCTTCTCTCCCGACTGCGGGTACATACTCGAAACGAAAGGGGCACCGGAATACCCTCCCTCCGAGCCTCTGTACCTTTCTGGGCCCAAATACGAGGAATACAGTAAATATGCGGCTCGTCTCATATTCGTCGTTGCCGCTGTCTTTGTTGCACAAATCAGTCTTCTTCTACGCCAGATTAAAGAGGCCTCGACCCCTTCGACCCGGAGTCGCGTCAGTTTCTATACCATTGCATTGATGGCGCTGGGGGATGCCTTTGTCCTCACTTTCATCATTTTGGAGCTCTACGCCGCGGTTTCCTTCTTGGTCCTGGCAACCGCGTCCTTTTTGGCCTTCCTTTCCGTCAGTTACATCGGCATGAAATTCATGATGGAGATCTGGGCTGTGCAGGAGCCAGAACGGCGAGATGAACGGCCAGTCAGCACACCGGCTCCCACCACACAGCCAGGAACTCTTCCGTTGCCTGCGACTGCGGCGGTCCGAGATACTGGCGCCACGCCTATCATTTTGACACCCGATCAAGATCCTCCAGAAGATGACCTGGATCCGACACCAACTACCAATCGCACTACTCCTCCAACTCCGAGACAGATGCGCAGTGATGTTGGTGCCATGTATGCGCGCTTTTATCTCGCACTTTTCGGAATGCTCATCTTATCCATCTGGGCTGTCCTCCTGCCCAGGCGCTTGGGAGGCATATATGCCCGCGCGTTGTCAGGAATCTACATCTCATTCTGGGTCCCGCAGATTCACCGCAACGTGATGCGGAACTGCCGCAAAGCGCTGCGCTGGGATTTCGTCATCGGTCAAAGCATCCTCCGGCTATTTCCATTCTTGTACTTCCTCACTGCTCGAGGGAATGTGCTGTTCATTAAACCCGATTGGACGACCGCATTTGTAATGACCGGCTGGATGTGGTTGCAGGCATGGGTGTTAGCCAGCCAGGATATTCTAGGCCCGCGGTTCTTCATTCCGCGGGGCTGGGCACCTCCTGCCTACGACTACCATCCCACTCTGCGTGATGGTCCTGGACAAGATGACGACCTCGAGTCTGGAGGCTCTCTATCGATAGCCTCTCTCCGGGGCGACGAGCGGGATCTGATTACCGAGTCCAAGGATGACGACAAGCATCGTCCTCGTGACCGTAAGAAGGTGATGTTTGACTGTGCCATCTGCATGCAAGATATCGAGGTTCCTGTTCTCCCCACGATTACTTCCGCGGGCGGAAGTAGCGTGACTGATGGTGCTGCAAGCATTCTGAGTCGTCGACAGTATATGGTGACTCCTTGCCGACATATCTTCCATACTGCCTGTCTTGAGAGCTGGATGAGGCTTCGGCTTCAGTGTCCGATTTGTCGTGAATCTATTCCTCCTGTATAAATTAGATCTGATCTCAATGAATATCCCTTTCTGTGCATAGACCTCTTGATCATACGATGGGTCCATGTCTTATGTCTAATGTTCCAATGTTACTTCCTTCCGTTCATAGATCGGGTAACTGGTATTGATCCCTGGCACCTGGGAGCTTTTTCTCTAGCCAAGTTCTCGGGCTACGAGCATGACTTGTATCTGAGTGCTCTGAACAGTATTCAGGAAGCTTGCACATATGAATATCGATTATCTTATCTTCGTTATGTGGTCAAAGCCGTGGAGGGCTCGACATATCTAAACTCTTTTGTTGAAAGAAAAGTGTCTCCGTTAGACAAAAATAATATAAAATCACAGGAAAACATAAGAAATGCAAAGGCGTCACAACCTATGCGCAACAATTCGCCACAACTCTAATTCCGACATATATTCTCTACAACTACAACCTCAGATCTAGTGATCGATGGTCTCGTTGTAGGCGGCCTCGTCCAACAAAGCCTCGAGCTCAGCGGCGTCGGAAACCTCAATCTCGGCAATCCAGCCCTCACCCTCGGGGCTAGCGTTGATGGTCTTAGCGTTGTCCTCTAGGACGGCGTTGCCGCGGATGACCTTGCCGGCCACAGGAGAGAGGACGTCCGAAGCGGACTTGACGGACTCGACGGCACCAACGGGCTCACCGGCGCCGACCTCAGCGTCGGCCTCGGGGAGCTCCACGAAGACAACGTCACCGAGAGAGCTGGCGGCATACTTGGTGATACCAATCTTGGCTGCGGGGCTGTGTTAGCTTGTTGCTATTCAATTGCACTCAATATATCCTATCCGTATAGATAGATGACATTGATAGGACATTAATGGACTTACCAGTATTGGTGCCCTCGGCCAGCTCAATCCACTCGTGCGACTCGGTGTACTTCTTCACCTGGGCTATAGATGCACCGTCAGCAATCTATGACCTCATGAAGCTCAATTTGGTCCACGACAGACCACAACGGATCCATTGTCTCTGTATATGGCCCATTGCGACCACCATGACCCGCTAAGAAGACAGGATAACTCACCAAGAGGGCTCTGCGAGAAGCTCCGGGTTCCCCGCGGGAAGCGGAAAGCAGGCGCAGCGCGGCAGGTAGAAGCAAGAGGCTTCTGAGCAAGGGCCCGGGAAGCAAAGGGACGGATGGAGCGGGCGACGGCGGACATTTTGGGAGGGTTGGGAAATAATTGAAAGAAAATGAAGGGAAGGGAAGAGGGGAGAGTTTAAGAAGGAAAGGAAAGAGAGGTGCTTCCCCGGCGGAGTAGGTTGACGCTGATAAGGCGATGCCAAGACTTTGATAAGCTCCGACTTCGTTCGGTTTTTGCGCGACAGGAGACTCCTCTTTGATCCTCTATTTAATCGGGATTTCACGCCACCACTCGATGCAATGTTGTACGAGCTAATTGCCATCGTATGTTCTTACCCAACTCTTATCCCTGGGTGATGGTTTTGATTTTGGAAACTAACGTGTGCGCTTCCGTCAACAGGTCCGCCCGGGCAGCCTCCAAGAGGTTCGAGAGTACGTTTCGCGATAGGAATTCCGGCTTCCCGCTTCCTCAATCGGCCGACCAACTAATTTTGCCTACAGAATCGCCCGTAACGCTGGTGTCCAGGTTATCCGGTCCGGCGGTGTCGTCCGCGGCTTCACCAACTGGGGCCCGTTCCGTCTGCCCAGAGTCACCACCAAGCACCAGGCTCGCTACAGCGAAGGTCACCACTTCATCATGCGCTTCGATGCTTCCGGTCCCGTTCAAACATCTATTCGCCGCACTCTCGGTCTCGATCCCCGAATGATCAACTTTTCCGTCGTCAAGCTGGGCGACAAGCTCGAGGAGATCAAGGACATCGAGGGCAAGGTCCAATGGAACAAGTCCCGCAGCATCACCGACGCTATTCAGGCTTCGCGGTCATAGATAAACACCCACGGACTTTGTGATGGGATTTGGGATTAGTTTCGAGCATCTTTCTTTTTGTGTATCATTATGGCTTGGGGAATCGGGCATAACCCCTCAGTACTGTCAGCACGATTGGCGCACCTTTGTATAAAACCTGCAATCTGATATTTTTCTTCCGATATAACACTCATATACTGCAATATCTGTCTGCTTTCCTTTTGACCGTTTATTATAGTGCCACGTGACTTTCCCCGCGGTTGCCTCGGCTCCCCAGTTTCAACCCCGATATTCTCCCCTTTGGATCGATCTTCAAGGCTCTCCACACTAGATGCCAGGCTGATTTGATCGTACGGGCACGAAATCGGAGTCATTCAGTTCATCTGTTGTGGACAAAGCCTTATCTAAGTCATTTCTCAGCGAGGGAACAATCACCGCGGTAGGCCCAGCCTGCAGATAGCAGACGATTTTTGGCTAGATTGTTGGCTCTTCTCCTTCTTTGTACATGCTTATCATCTTCGTTGGGCCTCGCCTATCTGATCATGTCTTCACGCGAGGCGGCAGATGGTGATCCGGATGAACTGGGTTCTCCGGCCGAGTTCGTGCAGTTGATGGCGTTGGAACGACTTGATAATAGCGAAGTATTACACGCCGATACAGTTGAACCAGAAAAAGTTGAACGTTTCCGTTCACTGGCTGCTCCATACGCTCCTGGCATGAATAGCCGCTCATTTGGCGGTCACGTATACGCCCAATCTGCATTTGCCGCCTCAAAGACAGTCGGAAAAGGATTTGTGGTCCATGTAAGTTTGTAGTAGCTCTCGATGATAGTATTGAGTGTCTACTTGGATGATTATTGATATTAACGTATGCGGTAGGATATGACGGGCACCTTTGTCTTGGCCGGCCGGCTAGACGTTCCATACGTGTACACCGTACGGCATATTCGCGATGGCTTCATGTATTGCACACGGGCTGTTGATGCTCGACAAGATGGCAAGATCTGCTTCTCGTGCCTATGTTCATTCAAAAGAGATGAAAATCAATGCGACTTCCACCACCAGCCCCCACCGGTGCAGGAGCGGTTTCGGGAAGTTTTGGCGGCCAAACGACCTGAAGATCAACCTCTCAGCCCCGATGCTGATGCGGACTGGTGGACTGAAATAGTCCAAGATGGCGACATAGAAGAACAACTCTTTCCCGGTCTTGACGTGCGGAAAACCGACATGCTGGACTATAACAAGTCCAGAGCCAGCCGAAAGGGACAAGCTGAGCATTGGCGTCAATTGACACAATATCGACTCAAGGGATCTCCAGATGAAGATCCCGGTGCAACACTTTCTCAAATTCGAGAAAGAGACCAGGCTGGCGAATACGATAATCTCTATGCCTGTGCGCATATGTACTCTAGTGACAAAAACTCTCTCTTTTTGATTCCGCGGGCCCTGGGTATCAAGAATTGGAGTGAAATATGCAGTCTTACTTTGACGGTGATTGTCCACCATCACGGAGAGGCATTACGAATGATTGATTGGGACACCCCTAGCAGCGATGGCTCTGGTGTATCGATGAAATGGTTCATACAGGAGGGTTGGACGCCTCGGTCAGGAGAGAACAGAGCCGTGCACGAAAGCCACTTGTGGGGTCCTGATGGCACATTGATAGCCACGTCGTTACAGGACGGTATGCTTCGACTGCGGAAAATTGGCCGAGCAGGCAATCTGTAATCTACTTTGACGCGCAGAGTTGGCCCTGTTTTTTAGACTTCAATGTTAGAATAGATGGTGTCGACATTAGATCTAGTCGTCGCCGGCACAATTTTTGAAATTCATAGATATTGTGTTATATACCCGAAAGCTTCTAATGTTGAAAACTAAGCCCAATTGTAGACGATCGAGTATTCGCTGCTTTTCCCTTGTATATCTCTGTAGTCCCCATTGTTTCCTTAAGATATATCGAGAAGTCACTTCACGATTGCTCAGAATCAGCGGCTTATTTGAGGTTGCGAACTAACAAGAACCAATACCTAGGAAATCGGCCATCAGATCAAATTTATTTTAGACCAAAACAAAAGCCTAAGCCCTTAAAAAGTCCAATCGGTCTAGGCGCTTCGATACTATAGATGAGAATCACGTGCGGTATGACGTAAGGCATCAGTGGATCTTCGTATTGTCTTCACTTTCTTCACTTTGCATTCGCGACTCCTGCGCGCCATTTCGGTCCAACACGTTTCCCACCATGATTCATGATCGCCTGTGAATCCAACATGTTAAAGACACTTCTCGTGGTATTTATCCACGGATTTAAAGTATGAGCATCTCGGCGCATTTCCTTGCTGACACTTCCCCGCAAAGTACCTTCTCCGCGCCTGCATATTGAAATACAATCAACCGAGAGCTTGGCTGACCTGTCTTCGAACTTTCTAGGGCAGCGACGACACCTTCGGCAATTTTCCAGAGCATCTGCGTGTTCTAGTCAACAGGGCACTTCCAGCTGTCAAGGTCGCAACAACTGTGTATCCGAAGTTTGAAACACGAGGTCAATTAGGAGAAGCCGTGGGGAGATTTCGGGAATGGTAAAGCTATCTGATACCTTTACACCTAGCCTGAAAGCTTGTACTAATTGGTCCTACCTACTACAGGCTTCAGAATACCGTGATCGATTTGGAAGTTCAAAATCAAACCGCGTCGCCCACCGTTGATCCATCTGTTCATGTATTTCTCGTTGGACACTCCATGGGAGGGATCGTGGCAGCAGAGACATTGCTGTTACTAGCAGGTGAACAGCCCGTTCCGCACAACCCAGGGTCAGACTCTCAGCCAGGGCCCCAAGCCGACGATCATGCGCCCGCCGTGGAACCCGGCACATTCATGTTTCCTCACATCCAAGGAGTCTTTGCCTTTGACACTCCATATTTGGGCATTGCTCCAGGTGTGGTAGCGCATGGTGCAGAGGGACACTATCGAAATGCCACAACAGCATATAATACCTTTTCAGAAGTTGCAGGGCTGTTCGGATACGGGGGCAAGGAGGGTGAACCTGGAGGAACTGCTTCTGCCACAGCCGCGAAGGAGCCTCCGAAAGCTCTAACATCATCTGACGATGCTGCTGCAGTCCCATCATGGCAGAAGTGGGGTCGATATGCCATGTTCGCTGGTGCTGCAGGCGCAGTGGCAGCCGGTGGCGCCGCTGCTCTTTACTCCCAACGCCAGAACCTGTCTGCAAGTGTTGACTGGGTATCCTCGCATCTCGCATTTATTGGATGCTTGGCGCGAAAATCTGAACTGGAGCAACGTATCTCTAAATTAGCAACCGTGGAGGAGGAACGGGGCATTAGTTGTGTCAACTTCTACACCTGCCTTGGAAAAGGAGCGGGATCCTTGGTAGAGAACATGGCAACTGGAAAGACTTCATTCACTCAGAAGATCATTCGTTCAAAGAACAGAACATTTTGCGCGCTTCCACCAGCGGTGGAAAATGGCGAGGAAGTCCCAACTTCAGCTCGGCCTGGACTCCGGTGGACAAAGGCTGTCAACAACCAAGCCACAGATGAAGTGAAGGCACACGTCACCATGTTTCTACCTAAAGAGAACCCTGCATTTTTCGACCTTCTTAGTGAGGCCTCCAAGACGTTGGTGGCATCGATCGACATGGGCTGGTACCAGACGTCAACGGGGCCGGACGAGGGGAACAACCCCAACCTCCAACCTGACGAGCGTGCACCAGGAAGCGACGACTTCATGGATGCGGATGACGTCGTTGTCGTGGATTGAAACAATTGCCCGAAAGCACTACTAGTGACTTTGCCTTTCTCCACCCGTCGAACTCTCCTGGAAAATTTCCTGAACGTGGAAACTTCTATTCCGTACTAAGCCCCCTGATCGGCAGTCTCCATTTTAAAGTTCCGCCGGCCGGAGACCCTACTGTACCTATGACGGCCAGCGCTGATCTGACACGAGATAAAAGATTGCGGAGCAGGGTGAGACATTTGTTCTACGATACACCATCGTCGAGCTAGCAGAAACTATCAGTTGGCACAGACCCTGCCTAATATGTTAGGGTTTCGAGAGAAAGCGGCGTTATCGAAAGTTGCAGATCAAAGCCACGTTGACCCTGTCACTCGTTTCAGTTTGGCAGACTTCTGTGCCGTCACTCACTGGTATTCATTGGTATGCCAAGTATGCAAAAAGTCTCCGAGAGATCTCAGCGTACACTGGACACGGTACACTGGACACGGCATAGGTCCGGACTGCCTTGCTTCTGAAAGCTCGTGGCCCGTCTTCCGATAGGGAAGATCGGCTGTCCAGGTTTGATCAAGCCTGTACATACTTTATGGTGCCAGAGATATGCACATTATTGGTATAGGCAATCCATTTTATGGTAACCCTCTCTGTCTATCATTACAGAACAGCGCGTATTGCATTAAATTAGCGTCTGGGCGCAATATCAATACATTGAACTATTGAAAAACAATATCTTATTAATGGGATCCGAAGTAACGCTCTATCCCATCCCGAGACCCTCCTACCCCATGTGCAAATGTGCAAAGTATGATTGAAAATCCCCACACGTGCATGCAAGCATCCCGTGAGATGTAAATCCGGGTTGAAAATAAGAACTAGAACTAAATTTATGAGACGGACAATTCAAATATCGTCAGATCAATGGTCACATGTACATGTAAAGAAGGCAAAAACGGTTAGTAGTTGTGCTGGCTGTAATTCGAGGCACGGTGGTCACGATGTTCACGGTGGTGATACAGGCTGCCCGCGTATTCGGAATTGTTGTCTTGGTAGAGGGTTTGACGACGCTCTTCCTCCGGGAGTAACTCCTTGACTTCCCAGGTGTTCGGCTTGACTCCGACAGAGAATTCCAGGTCTTCTGTGGTGATAGAGTCCCAGAACTATACCATGTTAGCATCATGTGGACACTGAATTTCGGAATTCCACAGCTTACCTTGTAAACCATCATCACTGCAAGCAGGTTGCAGAAGGTGGCGAAGAACAGACCATCCAGATAGTGCTGGACGTTATTGCAGATGACGTCACTGAATTCATAGAGAAGCACCTGCCCGATGATGAAAACCAGTAGGCCGAAGCAGATATTGCCGAGAGGCCAGCGGTCATCAAGGGTATTCATGACCAGCAACAATTGCATGACGATATAGATTGCAACACAGATGGCGTTGAAGAGGTATAGCACCACAAACAGGCCGACAGTGTTCTCAGGCCCCAATCCACCCCATGACTTGAAGGTCAGCAGGGAGATCACGAATGTCATGACAAACATGGCAACGGAGCTGATGCGAATCAACCACACCGATAACGCGGTTCCATCCTCGTACAGCTGGAAGCCTACGAAGCCGTTGACCAGCAAGCAAGCGCATAGAGACGATACCAAACCACTTTGCACTGCTACAAAGTACGGGAACGGCCCGCTCTTGGGAGGAACCACACCCGCATCAATGATAAGAGAGCAGATCGTCAGCGCTAAGTAGATGTAGAAGACGGTAATAATCTCCTTTCGGCCTAGTAGCATTCCTTGAGTATTAGCAATGCGCAACTATAATTTGTATACCCGGGAGTAACACGAACCGACAGCAGTGAATTTGGACCTGATATGCAAGATCATAATCACGGTCATGGCCAGTGCAATAATGTGCATAAACGAAGCGGCACCCTCGAATATGATTGTATTGGCGACCTCAATGTTCCGCGCATAGCAGTTGGAGATGATGCCTGTGGCACCGGATATCGACGAGGGCGGTCCCACCAGGGAGCACAGCGGTAGCGGCACCTTCTCGCATATTGAGGTGAATTGGCCGAATCCCATGATGCTGGTGGATGGTGGATGGTGGATGGTGTAACAACAAACAGAGGCTATCCCGTTGTGGTGGGCGGTCACAGAGCGAAGGCTGTCTCCACAACGACGGGGGACGGTGGAGAGAGGGTGACGACTAGAGGTGCTTGGAGCTGCTTGGGGCTACCTGGAGCACTGGCTGATCTCTCACTTTCGCCTTCTGCGCTCTTCACTTCCCCAGAGCAGATGAGTTTCCTTTTTTTTGTTTTCAAACGAGTGTCGAGGCCAGTGTCAAGGGCAGGCTGAGTTGCGGAATTCTTTCTGCGAGGGGGAAAAAGGGTCACGGGATGCGAGGAAGCGGCTATTTTTACGTTTCCATTTTAGGACTAGCTCTATTTCCCCAGGCCACGAGATTAGTCATTTCCACGTGATGGGTACCGGCTCCGAGCTCGGGCCGGACGATCGTGTAGAACGAGGCGAGGCGAGGCGAACCCCCCTTTCTGCTCTAGGATTCCCAGGCGAGCAAAACCTCGGTTCATTTCCCCTTGTTTCGGAGCACGCAACCCGCAGAGGCTCTACCCGAGGCCCTACCCGATTTCCTACCCGAGGCGGGCTCTCAATGGTAGCTGCAAGACTATTTTGCGCAGGCTCCACAACCCGATACACTTGGGGCTGGAGACCCAGAACCACGCCGCGTCGTATCACCCCAGGCAAACCATTGGATCTCGCATCCTTAGGGGCAACCGACCGCACCATTGACTTGAGACGAAGGAGACACAAAATGGGACCATCGCTCGTGGAACCCCCACAAATATGGAAGAACTGGGGCATGTGGATAGGCCGTCTGCCAGTCGAAACGTCACTCTGTCACACCATCTTGTGTTGCTTGACTGTGCCGAAATCTACCACATCCATTCTGCATTGCTTAGCGTCTACTTCACTCTATCTCATAGGGTGAAGATTACTCAAATCCTCGTAACTCTAGCCTTTAATTTTCTTATAAATTCTTTTTTTTATTTTTTTTAATTTTTTTTTAATTTTTAACTTTCAGGCTCGGTCCATCACAGGGCAACGTAACCCTGTGCAATGCAATGATGGGACAACTCCGGGAACGATTTAAATGCCGATGAACTTTTTTGCGTCACGCACAGCGGATCGACAAAATCTAAAACACCTGGTGATCGTTCCGGTTGGAAGAAAAAAAAATAAAACAGGGCGCCATCAAGCAAGATGGAGCTTAGCAGCACAGTGGGGCATGTTTCTGGAGCATTTCGATCTGGAGCCGACGAATCTCAAGCTTTGTTACTTTTCTGGTTCGTGGAGTAGGTTCGGGAATGGGAAATGGAAACACGGCACAGTCGAGACTGGGGCGTATGGCGTACAAGATCGGAAAGCAGGTCTCCAGTCTAGTCTGCTGCCATCGACGCTACTACCCTGAACGACCCTGATTTCCCAATTCTCTTCCTTGCTTTGCCAAGGTGCGCACTTGGTACTGTACATGAGACTATTCGGACCGTTCCGTTTGGTTCTGCCCATGACTCGCTCAATTCGCCCATAGTGTCCACGTAGTTCTTCCTATTCGAGTGTATCATTCCCATTCTGGTCGACAAGGGCTTCGCAAGTGGTCATTCAATCGAAAGGGGTTCCCTCCAATCAATGCTCTGCACTGGATAGACAGGGGGTTTCAAAAGGCGCCATGGGGCAAGCTCCATAGTTTTAATTATCATTCTCAATTTTTTTTTTTTTTTTCTTTTCTTTTCTTTTCTTTTCTTTTTAATTAACTTTCGTCCATTTTGACTCCGCAAAAATGCACCGCTGGAGCCTATCGCTCTCTGCGAATGCCCAACGCATTCCCATTCCGTCATGGTGAGCTTGCCATCAAGGTTGCCCGAATGGCCCAACGCGGGAACCATTCAATTGTCACCAGATGAAAGACCGGAGGATCGCCTGATGTCCTGAAGCTCCACAGAGGTCTGGTCGCTCAAAAGGTCCTCATCCGATATGTCATTCCCGCTCGCGCTGGCTGCGTCTCACGGCGTATCTGTTTTATGCATGAAGATCTTGACTAGCGCCACGTGTGAGTGGAAGAAGCATCAACGGCTGTGAGGAACCGCGTCGATCTCCCACCTACCCGATGACCTGACATAGGAGGTAGAGTCTACCCTAAACACTAAGAGGAGGGGAGAGGAGGGGGGGGAGGGGGGGGGCGTCCTCGTCATCGGGGGGAGAAATGCTGATCCCTGATACTCTGAAGGCAAATTTCCGGCAGTGGTCCTGTCGGGCGTGTTTTCTCTAACGGTCAACCCATAGATCAAAGCCACCCTTTATGCAGGACCCGCTTGGACCTGGGTATTTTTTCTAGGGGGACAGAGATTGCTGGTGGGGTGGGGGGAGGGGGAAACAGGGCAAAAGCTACCGTCCAGCATGTACTATACTGCTTCTTACGACTTGAGGTGTGGAATTATGGAATTAATTTCTTGTAGCTTCGCGATTAACGACAGGCATCTGTGTGTTCCGGTTTCTTATTTTTTCTGCTCCGTCTCCCACCGTTACTCGGAGACAAGTTCAACCCTTTCTGTCCCGAGTGTTTTCTTCCCCATACACTATTTACTCCCGACTATTCTCCATGGCACAATCGCCTTAATACAACACTCCATACCTCCATACTTCGCACGCTTTGATCCTTCTCCCTATTTCAACCTCCATTCTACGGTTCCCCTCAACAGCGCATTCCCGGATGGGATCAAAATGTGCAACTACTTCAAAAATTATTACATCTATAGCAGCTGTCGAGATCCCAGCTCTCATTTTCTCCGCACTTCCCTGGATGGCAACAAAGACAATTGCTGCTCAGACAGCCCCCACGACCGATTCATCATAGTAGTCGGCAAATGCATACTGTGCCGATGAATTTTCCTGAATGCCCTCAGGCATCGATTCGTGACGCCCGAAAAGACCCCACTCTCCTTTCTGT